CACAATTCTACATCGCCGTCGCCCGGACACCACAACCCGTCGCTGGAAGATAAAGAGGCGAGAGGGAGAGGGAGAAGAAGAGGTGAGAGGGAGAGTGAGCGGCGAGAGGGGAGATAGAAAACAAAAAACAAATCTGAGAGGAAGAGGCGAGAGGGAGAGGGAGCGGCGAGATGCGAGAGAGAAAACAAAAAAAATATGATTAGTTGAATAAACGTGGGATATTATATTTAGGGTATAAGGGCAAACTAGGGATAAAATAAAAATTAGGGATGTGGGTCATATATTATTATAAAATAGAGATTTAATTAAAAGATTGAATTTAAGGTTGTCATTTAGTTCAAATTAGGTTTCATTTAAGGGACTCTTAGCATATTAACCCAATATAATATCTATATTCACGTTCCTCCAATTTATCAGATTTATTTCTCTTATTTTCTTTTCTCTCTGCTTCTCTCGTTCTCTCCTTCTCGTTTTTTTCCATCTCTCAATCTCTATCTCTCCACATCTCTTTCGCCCCTTAATAATGGTTGGGCTGGTGACGGCGGCTATGGTCGGTGGACTATGGTGGTGGAAAACAACAGATCTGCAATTTCGACGGTGGATCGCGAGGGTTTGGTGGACGCGGCAGCGGCGGGTGGAGGCGACGGCGGCCGGTGAAGGCACAACGGCGGGTGGAGGCGGCGGCCGCCGGTGGAGGCGGTGGCGACGGTTGGAGTCGGCGGCGGCGGGTGGAAGGTGTGGTGGGGGTTGTGATTATGGTTGAGATATTATGGAAAATATTTTTTGACTAATCAATTGGATCTAATTTCCTTGTGTTTTGAACGATTTTGCTTGATTTGGATTTTCCCAAAGTTGGTAGGTTGACTATAGTCGCGGCGGCTGCGAGAGTGGGTTGCTAGAGTTGGCGGCGGCTGCGTTGGCTGCTAGGGTTTGCGACGGCTAGGAGTTTTTGATGGCTAGGGTTTGGTAGTAAATTATAGTATACCGTAGTGTACTATACTACACCATAGTATACTATAGTACACCACTAAACTATAGTATACTACAGTACGTCGTAGTATACCATAGTCTACTACAGAAAAATTGAAAAATATGTAAATTGAAATTAAAATAATAAAAAGATAAACATTTTTTTTTTGTAATTCTCAATATTATGTAGAAAAAAGAAGGAAAAAAATAAAGAAATTTTTATACTAGTGTATAAAATGCTTAAATAAATAACGAGAAAAATGAAGACAAACGGATATTTGAAAAAAATATTAGATGAAAATATGGAACTATTAAATGCATAATAAATAAAATGATAAATGCAGTTTGAAATTTACTTAATGAATATTTTGAATTTGTGAGTGGAGGGGCATTTTTGGAATGAATTTTATAAAGGATGTGAAGCAAATGTTTAGTTAGACTTGTCATTTAGTTCAAATAAGTTTTGTCACCAAAGACCTATATCCTAAGACCCCAATTTTATTTAGGTATTTGGGAGGGGTAAATTTCATTTTCATCCCTGTATTTGTAATCAAAATCAAATACGTCCCTACATTTTTAATTTTGTTTAATAACATCCTTCATACACAATTTTCGTGCCAGAATGGAACATATTTTACATAGGGGTTTTTGTGAATAAGCAACCAAGCATCTTTATTATTCTCGGTTTAGTGGTCATATCTCTTTCACCAATAAGTCCATCCGTTTAATATTTATTATAAATAAAGGAAACATTCATGTATATGCCAATATTACACAAGAAGTACACTCAATTACACAAGAAGTACACTCAATTTCCAGTGTGTGGTTCACGGTGTAGTGCATTTTATTCAATGTGTGTTTTGGTGTAGTGGCTGTTTTTTTTAAGTATGTGTTTTTGGTGTAGTGCGTGGTTTTTTTTCGGGTGTTTATTTTCTATTGTAATTATTATGTAATTCAGTGTATGTTTTCGATATAGTGCGAGTGAGTGTTTACGGTGTAGTGCGTATTTGTTGTTAGTGTGTGTTATTTATGTACTGCGTGGTTTTTTTTCCAGTGTGCGTTTTCCACTGTTTTTCTTGTGTAATTCAATGTATGTTTTCGATGTAGTGCGTATTTTATATTTCATTGTGTTTTTTTTGTGCAATGTGTATTTTTTCTAGTGCGTGTTTCTGGTGTGGTGCGTGTTTTTTTTCAGTATGTGTTTTTTATGTAATGCGTGGATTTTTTTCTAGTATGTGTTTTCCAAAGCGAAAATACCACACACTACACAAAAAAAAACATCAAAAAAACACGCACTACACGAAAACACACATAAAATAAATTAAATGCACTGCATCGTGAAACACACACTGGAAATGCAGTGTACTTCTTGAGTAAAACACATACTACATGAAAAACGCACACTCAATTGTACAAGATGTACACTCAATTTCTAGTGTGTGTTTCACGGTGTAGTGCATTTTATTCAATGTGAGTTTTGTTGTAGTGGTTCTTTTTTTTTAGTGTGTGTTTTTGGTGTGGTGCGTGGTTTTTTTTTCGGGTGTTTATTTTCTATTATAATTATTGTGTAATTCAGTGTATGTTTTCGATATAGTGCGTGTTTTATTTTTCATTGTGTTTTTTTTGTGTAGTCTGTTTCTTTTCTAAGTAAGTGTTTACGGTGTAGTGCGTATTTTTTGTTAGTCTGTGTTTTTTATGTATTGCGTGGTTTTTTTTCCAGTGAGTGTTTTACAGTGTTTTTCTTGTGTAATACAATGTGCGTTTTCGATGTAGTGCATATTTTATTTTTCAATGTTGTGTTTTTGGTGCAGTGTGCATTTTTTCCAGTTTGTGTTTCTGGTGTGTACTTGGAGAAGAAAAGAAACACACTACACTAAAAAAAACACAATGAAAAATAAAACATGCACTATATCGAAAACATACACTAAATTACACAATAATTACAATAGAAAATAAACACCAAAAAAAAAACACGCACTACACCAAAAACACACACTTCAAAAAAACCACTACACCAAAACACACTGATATTGGAACTGTTGGAAATGAACAAAAACTGTGTATTTTCACCTCAAAATCGAAGCCGTTTTCATCCATGTTGATAATAGTTGTGCTCAAACTGATATTGTTCGAAAAATTATTGGATTTGCAAAATTTCAAAAATCAAAGGTTGAGAGTGTTTGAGAGGGGATTTGGAGAAGATTTAGAAAAGAAAAAAAAATGAATTATTTTGCACTGCGAGTAGAAAAAACCACACTAATAATAGCAAATCCTTTTTTTTTTTTTTTTGTGATTGTTGATTAGATGTTTCTGTAAATAATAGACGATATTCATTCTTTTTAATAATTTGATAAACATGATTGTACTGGAAATGTAAAACAACAGTAATAAAAAGAAAGAATATTATTTTTATTTTATTTAAAAAAAAAATTTGAAAATATAAAAAATAAAAATAAGGGGAAATGAGGGATAACCCCCTAGTTTTGAAAATATATAGAGATAGGTCCTATGAATTTTTCTTTCCTAGTCAAAAACCCAAATTCTAATCTTAATTTGATAGACTCCCCTAGACAAATTGAAATTCCAGTTTTGCCCTTTTAGTTACAATTTAAAACCCTAACCCTCACCAACTCACGTTAATTTCTCTCTTCATTCTCCCAGCCGCTTTCTCTTCTCTCTCCCTCTTCCAACGTTTTCTCTCTTCTCTCTATCTCTCTCTCAAAATTTTTGTTCTCTTATCTCTCTTCTCTCCGCTTCCCTGCCTTCTCCGCTTCTCCGTTTCTTCACTTCCCCGCCTTCTCCGTCGCACCGCCTTCTCCGTTGCTCCGCCGCTCCGCTGCTCCGCCGCTCTGCTGCTCCACCGTGCTCCGTCGCTCCGCACTTGCTCCGCTGCTTTGCCACCAAAGCCTTGCGCCGCTCCTCCGCCACGGCCTTGTGCCGGTCGTCGTTGCTCCTCCCACCGCCTTGAACTCGGTACTAAACCATTCACTTCACTTTGTAATTTATGAATGTCAAACTATTTTTAATTTATTTTTTTAAGATATGAATTCTTATCACTATTTCACCTAATTTTTTTAATTTTTTTTTATAAAAACCAACTGAATTAAAAAAAATTAAATTATGATCCGACGATGTATAGTCAGATCTAATGGTGAATTTCAGATCTGGAATTGGTGGTGTTCGATTGTATATATTTACTGCATTTATATAAATAAAAAAAAACCCAAATCTACTATGTGTTTGAAGATCTGTGACAATTAATATTAAAATATTTTTCTTTGGATTAATTTGTTTTTTATTATAAATCATATGTAATTTATTTTTTGTATTTATTTGAAGATGATTCGAAATGCCTAAAGTGTGAGAGCTTTGTTTATCTGTAATGAAAATTTAACCAATACTGGTCACTTACATGGGTGATTTAAATCATGTGAATATACAGTTATATTTAGTCATATACAGTCATATATAGTCAGTCACATGTAGTCATGTATAGTCATGACTACATGTAACTATACATGACTATATATAGGACTTGTAGTATAATATAGTCATTTGTAGTCGATTTTAGTTCAGTAAATTTATCAACAAAAAAAATCATGTTTTTTTTGTATTTTTCATGTAATTTGATTTTTTTATTATAAATCATATGTAATTTATTTTTTGTATTTATTTGAAGATGATTTGAAATGCCTAATGTGTGAGAGCTTTGTTTGTCTGTAATAGAAATTTAACCAGTAGTGGTTACTTACATAGGTGATTTGAGTCAGGTAAATATATAGTTATATTTAGTCATATACAATCATATGTAGTCAGTCATATGTAGTCATGTATAGTCATGGCTACATATAAATGACTATAGGACTTGTAGTATACTATAGTCATTTGTAGTCGATTTCAGTTCAGTAAATTTATCAACAAAAAAAAATCATGTTTTTTTGTGTATTTTTCATGTAATCTAACTCGCATGTTCCATTTTGCTATTTAACTCGTGTTTTTTTTGTTGCAGGTTTTACTATTATTATAATTTTATGACATGCAGAGAATAAGATTCGATGAAGTGCCTTTGTGAAGTTGGATTCATGCTACAGTAATCGAGACTTTATCTCATTATATATAACTATAGATAATTATAAATAACTATAGTCACTTGTAATAACATACAGTTATATGTATGCTATAGGTTTTTAATGTTCAATAATACTTCATGTTTGAAGAATATATATGCATATGATTGTATTTTTTTCATTTTTTGTTTGTTAGTTGATTTATAATATCAAGATAAATTGTGAATTTTTTTGTTGGTGTATATGATTTTTGGGGTAAACAGACAGTACATGTCTACATATAACTATACAGGACTATTGAACTTGTAGTAAACTGTAGTCATGTATAGTATACTTTCAGTTCAGTAATTTTACCAAAATTTGAATTTAAAAAAAAAAACAAAAGAAAAAAAAAATTAAAAAAATTAAAAAAAATTGAAAAATTAAAAAAATCAAAATATTAAAAAAAATTATTTTATAAAAAAATACAATAATAATAAAAATGTATAATATATATACAATAACAAAAAAATAATTAAAAATAAAAATGATGATATATGCAGTATAAAATACGAAATGCAGGTCCAAAATGATAAATGCTGTAGGTGAAAATGCTGAATGCAGTTGGGCGAAAATTATAAATAAGGGCGCAATAGCACTTTTGCCTCTCCAGGGTATCTCTCTCAAAGGAAGATTTTTAGGGGTGAACCTATCCCTATATATTTTCCGGGTGTATATCAAATGGACCCTAAAAAGAAACGAAAATATTAAATGAAGTCCAAATAATAATATATGTTGATATATATCGGTACAAAAAATACAAAAAATGAATTTTAAGGATGGACTTAAGTTCTATTTATTAGGAGTTTGTGGGCTGATTGCTAAAGGCCCCTAAATACAGTCTTCCTCAAGCCCTTGGGTTATCTTCGCGAGACGTCGGAGCTGAGAAACATATGATTCAGTTGAATCGATCCACGGTTTATTTAATTTCGAATTAGAAATTATTTTGATTCGCAAACGTACTAGAAAGAATGTCGGGTCGATTGATGAAAAAGGTTCTGAAAGAACAAGAAGCTGCTCTGCTTCAGCTCAACGGCGGCGATGATGATTCAGAATCCCCTGTCTCTTCCCCCCCTACCCGAAATCCTTTCGACCTTCTTGAGGACGAAGACGAAGTTGACGACCGCGACACCACCACCATTGACCGGCGCTACTCGCAGCAGGTTTTTTTCCTCTCCGTTTTTACTCCAAAATAAATTGCCTTTTACCCTAGAGATGATAGAGAATATGCAATAATTTGTTTTTATCACCTTTTCCTTTTAATTTTTTGTTGATTATTTCACTATGTCATATGTAATGATCAGCCACGAAATTGCTCCCTTGATAATATTAGGCGCACTGCGGTTCTCCAACCGCCAATTACAAAGAAAATTAATTATCATTACTGAATAATATACAGATAGCCCTTATGAAAGGATGAAATAGCAAATATCATGATTCATGTCACTGCATCTACTTCGACAATTTATATCTTTTAAGATGATGTCCGTCTTTCCTCTTATGGAAGGAGGATGATGATATGGAAGCATTTAAGAGGCTTGGTAATGTTTATCAGCTTCTAGTTCCTTTTTGGATTGTGTTTGATTTTCGACGGACTCTGCATCTTTATTTGTTTCGGTTTCAAGTCTTTCTTAATTTTTTTTTTTACCTTTTAATAAGCCACACGCAGCAAAGGAAATAAGAACATCCTCCCTAATCAGCCTAACGTGATAAATAAGCAAGTTCAATCTGAAAGAATTTATCAAGCTGATAGAAAATAAATAGCCTACTTGGAACACAAATTCTTCTATCTTGTCTTTCCACGGTAGGCTGCATATCGTATCCCTTAAGTTACCATTATGATGTCACCAATGGAGATATTTCCACCCTATGACTTCTATTTGTTAGCCCTACTTGATGTAGATTCTTATTTGTAATGTATAAAGTGGATGTTGCAGTGATTTACCGAATGGCTCGTCCGGCCATCATGCAATATGCAATATATTGACCTGATATTTATGGTGGTTATCCTTTTTTTCTTTTTTAAGTGTAGTAGACAAATCAATTTCTTCAAGTGTTTTTTATTAGATGAGGGATTTCAATCTAAATTTTGCTCTTCGTATTGTCAGCAGGCAGATGGTGAAATTGCTATTGAGACTTCAGTTTGTGATATTGGTAGCAACAAGCATTCCTCCACGGAAAAACCTGCTCTTCCCACAGTGTCAACATTAGATGTCAAGTCGAAGAAAAAGAAGAAGAATAAGAAGAAAATCAAGGAAGATTTATTTCCGAATATTGAAGATGATGTAAAACCTTCCGATCTTATGTTAGAAAACTTAACTTTGGGGGCTAGCTCTTCTGGTCATCAGCGGATGGCCCAATATCCTGCTAAACAAAAGTTGGTGAATATAGATACTGATGAAGTAATGCTGAAGAAGCATTGCGAATCTTCCATATTACAAGTTGAGCCCAAGTTACTTAGTGCAGAAAATGAGCTGAAAAGGATATTTGGTTCTAAAGTAGTGAAATCATATGAAAAAAGTCAATCATCTGGACATTCTAGGCTGATACGTGGTGGTCGACGAGGTAGTCACAATCTCAAAAAGACCATCCTTGTTTCTCCATCTCAACATTGGCCACGTTGGGATGGGTCCTTAGCCATGGAACTTCTGGAGACTAAAAATGGCGTCAACTATTTCAAGTAAGTGTACTTATCATTGCCTTCCTTTTTTTTCCCGGTGAATGACAAACTTTGGTTATAGGTTATGCAGGACTTAATCTAATTTGCGTCTTTCTTATGTTGTTTAGGTATGTGCATTCATCATCATATGCCCAAGCTCAGAGGGCTTTTGAAAGTGCCAAGGCAATGCATGATCTTAATGGTATTGCAAGCATTCTTTTGAACCATCCCTATCACATAGACTCGCTGATAACATTAGCGGACTATTTCAAATTATCGGGCGAACACGAAATGTCAGCAGATGCTACTGCAAAGTGTCTGTATGCTCTGGAATGTGCATGGCATCCACTGTTCACTCCATCACACAAGTGCCAATTAAAGTACATCCATGACACCAACAGGCCATTATTCTCATCACTTTTTACGCACATGAAAAACATGGACAGGCGTGGTTGCCACAGATCTGCCCTTGAAATTTGTAAGCTGTTGCTCTCCTTAGATTCAGATGATCCAATGGGTGCTATTTTCTGTATTGACTACTACTCTTTGAGAGCTGAGGAGTATGCTTGGTTAGAACAGTTTGCAGAAGAATATAGCTGTGACAATTCCCTGTGGCTATTTCCTAATATTTCTTATTCACTGGCGGTGTGCCGGTTTTACCTTGAACGTGATGAACAAGTTTTAATAAACAAGAAAGAAAAGGATACAGGGAAAGCTGATTCTGTTGATCTGATGAAGCAGGCTTTGATGCTTCACCCATCAGTATTGAGAAAATTGGTAGCAAAGGTACCTCTGAAAGATCGGATGTGGAACAATGTAGTAAAGCATAGTCTGTTTAGGGGTGAGGAAAGTGGAAGCCCATCTCTGGATCACTTGATTGCCATATACGTTGAGAGGAGTTATATAATATGGAGGCTACCTGATCTGCACAAGTTTTTATATGAGTCGGCAGTTTTGGTGATTGAGAATCTGGAGAAGCATGCAAGTGATGTCAAGGACTGGGATTGCGTAAGGAAAGAAGCTTTCTCATCAGACAAGAATGAGTGAGCATTTTTTTTTATTTTTTTTTATTTACTGCTAATAAATCTGCCAAATTTGTACTAATATTCGTTTTTGCTGCTTTGGGCGTAGGTACTCTCATTTGTTGGTGTCGGATTTCTCCGATTCCATGCCAACAGTGCCACCTGAAAACTTGCAAGAGTTTATGGTTGGTGGTGGTGGGGTTGAGCACCATCAACATATGCCTGAAAATAATAATAATATGCCCATGCCGCGTGACGTTTCGAACCGGAATGCGTTAGCTGTTCTGTTCGAGTCTATGTTACCTTGGATTAACTATGGAAGCAGAGAGGAAGAGGAAGATGATCTCCCCGACCAAGCCAACCAAGATTAGATTCTTAAATATTGATTCAATCCAAGTTTTCTGTTTTTTATTTGAGACCTAGAGGTTTGCGTGGCACATGAATTGCTCTAATTAATAGGTTGCCAAAGTCCTGTTTAAGACATTGAAAGAATAATAATGTTTGGATCTTTTTTAATGTAATAGCTACTGTGAAATCATCGTCATACTTGAAATTAATTTTACACTCATTATCAATTTTAAATGGAACTTATTTACATCAACAATGATGTGTGTTGTATGTTATACTACGATATCATATACATTTTGCATTAGAAGTATTTTTACTTGGCTAACAGTGAGATATGAGATGGGAGGATTTGGTGCTCGAATTCATCAAGTTTTTCCTTCAAATTCGAGTTATTCTTAACCAACATTTCATATCTCAAACATAAAAAAATTCAACGAAAATAATATCAAATGGGAGTTTACAAATTTAACCACCTAAATAATCAATTAGAAAATGAGATGTGACAATTAAATATATAATCACCTTAATATTTTTAATTAAAGTGCTGCTCTAGAAAAAAAGAAAAAGAAAAAAAAAAGCTCACAAAAACTAGTAAAAATAAATAAATTAATTAAAATTAATTAAAAGTGAAGAAAAATATGTTTTTTTACGAGAGTGGAAAAAATCCAATCCTCTGTGGCGGTTGAACTTGACGATCCATGTATAGTCAGTTGACTAATCTTCGTTCTGATTTATTCGAACCAACGCCGGCCGGTCAACGAGATAGGTCAGTCAATCTGCCGATCTTCACCAATTCTTCCTTTTTTTTTTTTTTTTTTTGGTTTTCCTCTGAGGGTCATATGTCAATTCGATTATCCATTTTTTCAGGTATTCCGTTTATCTTGTTCTGGTAATTCATTCTTTATATGTCAAAACGGTGAAGTTTGTTTATTCTGTATATGTCAACTGAAATTCGAAAATCATATTATTTCCTAAAACAAATCATATTCTGAACAGCCATTTGAACCTTTCTCGACCTGTTTTTTGCCATCCTGCCATCCCCTCTGCAGATGTAGAAATTGATTAATTTCCTTTTTAATATTTCAAAGTTAGTTATAGAAATTAATCAAATCCAGTTTCACATCCTAAAGCCAAACAGAAAAATTATGTTTAGGATGTCCCAACATTCTTTCATCAGCACATTTCTGGATAGTTGTCAGAGTTAAATATTATTGATTTTAATATTTTTTTTATCCTACTTAGATGGAAGATGAGAGAAAAAGCTCCTATACTGTTGATGAAGCTCTTATTGCTCTGGGATTTGGAAAATTCCAAGTCTTTGTTCTTATCTATGCCGGGATTGGTTGGGTTTCTGAAGCCATGGAAATGATGCTCCTCTCATTTGTTGGATCAGCTGTTCAATCTGCTTGGGGTCTTTCTTCTCATGAAGAGAGCTTGATAACTAGCATTGTTTTTGCTGGAATGCTCGTTGGAGCTTACTCATGGGGCATTGTTTCAGATATCTATGGAAGGAGGTCACAATTTCACTTTATTATTTATAATGCTCAAACTTCAATGCTATTGTTCATCTGCACAACATTCATAGCGCTACCAATATGTCTTTAACCAATACAAGTGTCCATATCGAATTAAAGTGAGAAGTTGAGAGTTGATAGCCGTACGTTTCGTACCATTGTCAGCATTTGCCTGCAAACGATACTTGTACATGATTGATTGTCTGTATGTTGTGATGGTATCTTTATGAATCATCGTATCACACAGTTTCTATACATTTTTTTCCAAAGAGTTAAGAGGAGTAATATTGAAAACTAAGTTGTCCCCACTTTCGGTAATTCTTATACACAATGCTCTTCATTTTCTTATATAATTGTTCTGCCTCTTCACCTTGACCTATCCTTTTTGGTATTGTAACTCTTCCTTGTTGATATAAGCTATCAGGAAGACCTTTAAACCTTTCCTTCATCATCTTTATCCACCAATAATAAGCATTGAACTATTTGGTTTTAAATATGTACGGGAGTACCCTTGTAAACTTCGTGTAGGCAAATAAACCAATTTTTTTTTCATTTCTATTTGTACATTTATTTTCACTCAGGAAAGGATTTCTTATCACAGCAACCGTTACGGCTGGAGCTGGTTTTCTAAGCGCATTTTCCCCAAATCTTACTTCTCTGGTCATTCTCCGTGGTTTAGTTGGTGTTGGCTTAGGAGGAGGTCCTGTGCTTTCTTCCTGGTTTCTGGAATTTATTCCAGCTCCAGAGAGAGGCACTTGGATGGTTGTCTTTTCAGCTTTCTGGACTCTTGGAACAATTCTTGAAGCTTCCATTGCTTGGGTATGCTTGGTTATATTCTTGAAATCTCCTTATTATCATTTTTGTTTTTACATGCAGACTTTCAAGTAGTGTGAAAAGATAGCTTTACTGATGATTAGGTGGATATTTTTTTACTTCAAAAGCTGCAGTCAATATGTTTTATCCAGATAAGTATGGACTTATTCTATCAACCAGAAATAACAAGTTTACAAACCTAGTATATGCAAACACTAATTATACTTGAGAAACAAAAATTTATAGCCACAAGAAGTTTTTGTTCATGTATTATTGATTGATTGCATTAATGTTATGTGAATTTGAGAGCATTAATGCTGTGAAGAGTTTCTCTTGCTACTTGAGGACAGATGGTGAAGATTGTTATGGCAAGTTTGAAACTTGTGTGCTTTTTGTTTGTGAGTCTTAAATTACGACTTTTATTTGCAAGCTACTGTGAAGGCAGATTACTGTTGACGCCGGATGATGTGTTATATAATTACTTCCACTGTTGAAACAGACAATTTTCTTCCTTTCTCGTCGGTACTGTTCTTGCTTTTTCCCCTATCTTATTTTCCCTTGTTTGCTAGTAAATCAAAGGAAATATGTGAATAATTCTGAGAGTTACTATATTACTAAACTAGTCTAGTCCGGAAAAATTTGGTATCTCTTTACTTCAGAAGTCTTTAAGCATCAAAGCTGTTTGTTTGTGAATTTTTTTTCCTTGTGATCTTTTCTCTTCAAGCTTGAAAATGTAACCTAGAACAGTAGTAGTATTTCATAACACACCTGGCCTGCATCTCTAATGGTTTTTTGTTGTTGTTATAATTATTTTATTTATTGGCAGTTTGTTATGCCAAGATTGGGTTGGAGATGGCTACTTGCAGTGTCTGCTCTTCCTTCATCACTGTTGCTTTTATTCTATAAAATGACACCAGAATCACCCAGATATTTATGCATGAGGGGAAGAAAAAGTGATGCCCTAGATATTTTGGAGAAAATAGCTAGAGTAAATGGGAGAAAACTTCCTTCGGGAGTCCTTGTTTCTGACAACCACCACATTGAGCTAGAGGAGAAGTTAGATTTTTCAGAAGATACAAAGTTAATAACATCAGCAAGAGAAAATGATATAGGTTCTGAGAAGAGTGGTGTCTCATTGCTAATGATGCTTGTTTCACCGGAATTGGTTAGATCAACTTTACTTGTATGGATGGTTTTTTTTGGGAATGCATTCACTTATTATGGGCTCGTTCTGCTGACCACAGAGTTGAACAGCAAAAATAACAGATGTACAGCACCGGAAGAGTTGCCATCCGGTAATCACCAAGATGTTAGTTACAAGGATGTTTTTATCACAAGTTTTGCAGGTAAACTATTTCCCTTGTCTTTATCGGAGAAATTGATGATTTCCTTGTATAATTTTATTTGATATTGTTTTGTTTTTATTGTCCAAAGAGTTTCCTGGACTTGTCCTATCGGCTGCAACAGTTGACAAGTTTGGACGTAAGAATTCGATGGCAGCAATGTTCTTGGTATGTTTCATATTTCTGCTTCCGTTGGTATTTCATCAGCCTCAGAGCTTAACAACAGGGCTTCTGTTCGGGGCACGGATATGTATAACGGGAACCTTCACAATTCTATATATATATGCTCCAGAGGTAAGATTTAGGGAGAGTTGTGCCATTGTCTAAATAAAAAGAAAAAAAAAAGGAATGATGATTGATGATTGATGATTTAAAAAATGAAATGAAATGCAGGTATATCCAACATCAGTGAGGACAACAGGGGTTGGAGTGGCAAGCTCAGTGGGTAGAATTGGTGGAATGGTATGCCCAGTTGTGGCGGTGAGCCTGATTCATGGATGTCATCAAACTATAGCCATATTTTTATTTGAGGCTATTATTTTCTTGTCTGGGATATGTGTTTGTCTTTTCCCAGTTGAAACCACTGGCCTTCAGTTAAGTTAACCAATCATTTTTCTTCTTCAAAGCCTCTTTGAATACTATCATGGATCAACCACCTTACATATTGTAATGTGATTTTTATTTTTCAATCATATTATCTAAAACAACTGGTCTGGGTACAATGAGTTGACGTTATATACATGTAATCTTAAAATGACCCAATTGTCATCTGTTGATATCCATGTCACCTGTCCTATCCTATCCAAAAAAAAAATAAATAAATATTCAATGTTATTCATGCATGTTTACTATACAATTAAAAAAGAAATAATTTGAAGCTACATCCACCAAGCAACCTGAAACAACTTTAGTAAACAAAGTGACCGAGCCCGGTTCAAAAGGAGCAAGACTAATAATACTGCAACAAGAGACAAAGTCGTAAATTTATTTAATATTTATTTATTTTTGGGGGAAATAGTAATACGTACGACTACGAGTGGCCAGGCAGGGTCGAGTGCATAAATCCAAAGAATTGGAAAATAACATTTAGATTTGAGTGGATTGAATCCCCAATATTCGTTACATATACATAAATTGAATAATGGGGGAAGAAGAATTGTTCTGGAGGGAAACCCAAACCCAAACCCAAACCCAAAGCCGAAGCCAAAGCATGGATGGAGCTGCTTCTGCTGCTGCTGCTGGATGGACATGGCCATGGACCCTCTCCGTCCTACTTGTCTTATTCACTTATACTTTGCTCACCTCTCCCTTCTGCTCCCGCTTCCGCCGCCGCCTCCGTTCCTTTTCTTCTTCCTCCTCCTCCTCCATCTCCACACCTGCTGCAACAGATTCTCTACCCTCTATCCGGTAATCAATTCGATTTTTTTCTATTCCTTGCTGTTTTTCACAATTCGATTACTAATCAAAAGAAAAATCATCTCCCTGTTTTTTTGTTTGTTCTCTATCAGAACTATCTCCGATTTGGATTTGAAGAATCTCATCGATAATCTCAACGAGGAGGAGGAGGAGGAGGAGGAGGTTATATGGGAAAACGTCATCCACAAGACTAGCAATTCTATTTCCTACGAGGCCAAGTGCTGCAAACCTAATAAGGTCTTTCCTTAGCTCCTCTTCTTCTTCATATATTTTATCATCATGATTTTCAGCATAATAACATCTATTGTTTTGCAGGATGGACCCTTGAAGTATTTGAGCGTTACAACTTTTGAGGACTGCTCCGTTGATAAGCTCTTGAACTTTTACATGGACAATAACTATAGGGTGCAGTGGGACAAGACCGTCGTTCGCCATCAACAGTTGCAGCTCGATCACCCCTCCTCCACTGAAATTGGTCGCACCATTAAAAAGTTTCCCTTCTTAACACCCAGAGAGTATGTATTGGCTTGGAGACTCTGGCAGGGGATCGATGGATCCTTCTACTGCTTTTGCAAGGTGTGTGTGCCTTGGAATTGTTTTTTTTTTCTTCCTCTCTAGTTTCTCCTGTCTGCAGTGTACATGTTTTCTGCCTTGTTTTTCAATAATCATAACCAAGAAGAAAGATTAGTAGTTGCCTTGTCACGACTTGCAATTTTCATTGTTGATTGCCCTTGTGTGCGGTCATCATATTAGGCGTTGAAACCCATGGCATGGACGCTGGAGCTCACTATTACAAAGTGATGATATTAGTGGTTGACTAATAAATCTGCTAGGCTATCTTATAGCAAAGAGCTAAATTGATGGATTTTTCTACACCGGGGGTATTCAAGTTGATAATTAGTAAAATTATTCAATGCTTAATTTTTGTATCCTTTTTTAGTTCTGGTTTCTTGACTGATAGTATAACTGAAAGCACTTTGTGAAATTGAATTTTATCATGCATGAGTTAGTTTCTGTAGCATAATGTTAACTGTAATACTCGTTCAAATTTTTCTATGAAGTTCTGCACAATGTTTAATTCTGATCTTTCGTTTGAAAGGAATGTGAACATCCTTTGGCTCCAAAAGAAAAAGGTTATGTAAGAGTTGCAGTTTTCAGATCTGGCTGGAGAATCAGGAAAGGCAGGTTTTACCTACTCACCTTTATATTCTGTTCATGTACTATATGAACCACCCATCCAACTAAATGCCAGAAGCAAACACTTGTGTTGAATATTGTAGTTTTACCTCACATCTTGCAAGCACCATCCCTTTCCCTCTAATAAATCTTTAAGGCTTTACTATTACTTTGTTATTTAATCTGAGAATCTGTTAAATTTAATATAAATTACGTAGCAAGGTATAACTCTAGTGCAATATGGAAAAAAGGGGTGCCTTCTTTAAGGGCATTTTTTCACTTGTTAAAACGGTTTTATTAAGACATTTTTCTTAAAATGTTGGATTCTTATTGGAGTTGTTGCTTGGCAGTTCCTGGTAGAAATGCGTGTGAGATCAGAATGGTGCACCAAGAAGACGCTGGTCTGAATGTTGAAATGGCCAAAATGGCATTTGCAAAGGGGATATGGAGTTACGTATGCAAGATGGATGATGCACTGCGCAAATACTCTGCTGGTGGAAAGCAGAATAATATAATAAATCCAACTGCTGTTTTGCCTATTCAAAAGGTCCCACGTGAATTTGAAGTGGTGAAGGATATGAAGGACGCAGAAAACTCAATGGCAACTGTGAATCAGCAGCACGCAGAGATTTGTACGAGCAAGAAACTGACAAGAAGGCCTTCAAGTAAATTGATTGCGAATGGTTTACTTCTCCTTGGTGGTGCTATCTACCTTTCTAGAGGTCATTCAAGCTTGGGCAGCAAGGTTGCCATGGCATATTTGGCGAGCAAACTCACCAAGCGTGGTGGTGCTGCTGCTACTGCTTCATCAAAGAAAACAAGATGAGATCTTCAAATAGCAATTAATAGTTAAGCTGCTGCACATGGGAAGTTGTATGCATGTGGAAGCTGCTGCACATGTAAATATCATAGATGGATAATACTCATCCTCGTACGTATTGTCTTTACTCTTGACTCTTGATGTGGTTGCTCGCTCTTCTGGATATAGTTGGAACTTACGCTCTTCTTTCTGAAATGTCGAAAGTAGCTCATCATCTGTGTTTCGGGACCTTACCTTTTCCTTCAGACTTCGTACGCTCTACTTTGCTTCCTTACAGACGATAGTTGATATTACTCTGCTACTACAGTTTTGTCTTGTACGACTATAAGATTTATATGGATGATATACACTAAAAATAGTTGGGAGTATTTCCTTTTTCATTTTTGGTTGTCTACTTTAATATTTTGGTAAACTATATATTGGCTCATGAAGATCTTCTGTCGCTTTATATTCTTTCTACTGCCAAAAATAATCTTGTGACGCAAATTTTGGATTTGCAAGAGAAATTACAAAATTAGAAAAGCTTAGTTGAATAAAATAGAACATTGTTAACATCTATACAGTTTCTTTATTTCAAGAATATTATCGTCGCATTTCTAATTTGCTAAACGATAATTTGCACTTCTACCTTCTTTAAGTTAGGATTTGATTTTTAATAATGTTAATTGAGGGTTGCATTCTTATTTTACGTGCAAGTTTTTCGCTCAACACAACTAGTGACGGCATGTCAATTTTATTTATGGCTAAAAGTTTAGCGTTGTTTACGTATTTTCTATTCTTGGTAAATATAATACAAAGGTTGAATTTTGTTTGTTTTAAACTGCATCTGGTATTGTATTTACTTTATTAAGTATCTGTTTTTGATTAGGGAAGTAAGTGTTGGGCCAAAGGTAAGTAGGTATAGATTAATGTCTCTCCTGAAATACCGTTGCAGCGCTAATTAATCAGTTAATTAGTGTAATTGCATTGCCACCAGTTTTCACACCTTGGCATTGACTAATATGCACCTTCCATGGACACAAAATGGAAGAAGCACAAATTAGGAAACATATCATCAAAGGGGTAAACAAAAAAGGAGGAAAAAAAAAAAAAAAAAAAAAAAGAGGAAACCAAACGTTTAGACAAAGAGCTGAAAACGAAGAAAATTTGCACTAGTTGTTGATCTTTTCAGCAAGATTAACAATGCAGAGGGGCGCGCAAGGTGCTGTGCGCCCAAAATCAAAATTATTAATCATTATTACTATACATGTTTTGGTGTTGTGTTCATCATTGATTCGTTTGTCGGGTGCTGCACAAGAACAACAAAATATTGATGAATCAGAATTACTGTTGAAATTCAAAAGCTCCCTGCAATCGAATAATGGAGGGGAGGTTCTTGCAGATTGGAATGCCTCTATAAAAGGTAGTCCATGCTCGGGTAATAATGGAAACTGGGATGGTGTTCTGTGCTTCAATGGGTACATATGGGGTTTGCAGCTTGAGAACATGTCTCTCAAGGGACAAATCGATGTGAACTCCCTAGTCCCTCTCCGTTTCTTGAGGACGCTTAGCTTCATGGGAAACAACTTCCAAGGGTCGATGCCTGATTGGAGGAAGCTTGGTGCTCTAAAGTCGTTGTTCTTGTCCAACAACCAGTTTTCTGGTGATGTCCCACAAGATGCTTTCAAGGGTATGACTTCTTTGAAGAAAGTTTATATGTCAAACAACCAATTCAGTGGACCCATTCCAGCATCTCTTGAATCCCCTAAACTCATTGAGTTGAGGCTTGAGAACAATCAATTCATCGGCACCATACCTGCTATCAGCTCCGATAATCTTAAGCTCCTCAACGTCTCTAACAATCAATTGGAAGGTCCCATCCCTGCCCCTCTCTCCAAATTGGATCCATCCTCCTTCTCAGGTACCTTATGCTTATTCTAATTCATGCATGCATCATTATTTCCTTTCCTTTCTATATATATATATACACACATACACGTATATACATATATATCATTGGTGCATGCATCGATTATATTGATCGAGATATATAGTGCTTGATCATGAATGCATTGGAATTTTTGCAGGCAACAAAGCACTATGTGGGAAACCTCTAGATGTAGCATGCGATGATGCATTACCAAATGAGGATCCATCTAATTCTTCCCAAAACAAGTCATCGTCGTCTAAAATTGGAATAATCATAGGATGTGTTATAGGTGGGGTATTGCTTCTCATCATTATAGTGGCGCTTCTTCTCATGTGCCGAAAGAAGAGCCGCGGTGGTACCGAAACTAATCCACAATTGGGGAGGACAGCATCGGCAAGGGGCCTCCCAGAAGTGGGCGGCGGTGGTAGCAGCCCACCTGTAACAGTTAAAAAACCGGAAAAACAACAGCAGCAGCCAGGTAAGCTGTCGTTTGTGAGAGAAGACAGAGACAAGTTCGACTTACAGGACCTGATGAGGGCTTCAGCTGAAGTCTTGGGAAGTGGAAACTTTGGGGCTTCCTACAAGGCTGTGTTGGTTGACGGTGAGGCACTTGTTGTAAAGAGGTTCAAACAAATGAACACCATCGACAAGGAAGATTTTCACGAGCACATGAGAAGGCTCGGTAGGCTAAAGCACCCCAACCTTCTCCCTCTCGTCGCCTATTTGTACCGCAAAGAAGAGAAGCTGTTGGTGTTCGACTACGTCCACAACGGCAGCTTGGCCTCACAGCTTCACGGAAAGCACTCCCCAGGGCTGAGCTGGGCAACAAGGTTGAAGATAATCAAAGGAGTTGCAAAGGGTATGGTTTATCTCCGAAACGAGCTTCCAAGCCTAACAGTGGCACACGGGCACTTGAAATCATCAAACGTGCTTCTAGACAAAGAGTACAACCCATTGCTCATGGACTACGCTCTTGTGCCGGTGGTGAACTCAGCACAAGTCCACCAAATACTGGTGGCTTACAAGTCCCCTGAATACGCCAAAAACGGCCACACCACCAAGAAAACGGATGTTTGGTGCTTGGGAATGTTGATATTAGAAACACTGACAGGAAAGTACGTGGCCCATCAGGGTTCAGCTGCTGAGTTGGCAGCATGGATCAATGGCATTGGTGAAGAAAGCACAGCAAGTGTCTTCGACAAAGAAATGGAAGATTATGACGTAATGATAAGCAGCATGGAAATAAAGAGTGAAATGGATAATCTTTTGAAGATTGGAATAAGTTGCTGCCAAGAGGATCCAGATAAGAGGTGGGATTTGGATGAGGCTCTTCAACGCATTGAAAAAGTTCAAGAATCCTCTTTCCTCTCATCCGTCGTCTCTAATTAATCATCATTCAATATTTCTCTAATAATTATCATTCCTAGCTCCCATCCCATCCAATCCCATCCAATCCCATCCTCAATAATATATTATATTTCGACTTCGCAGCTATAATATCCTATTCGTTCCTCGATCAATCAATCAATTAATAAATAGATTTCGAGTCATTAATTATTACTTGATTAATTTTGTACAAAACTGATAAGTATTCAGGTTTTGGTTTTTTTATTTTTTGTTTTTGTTGTCGATCGGTAGAATTATATGTACGTACCCTTCCTTATTTCACCCATATGCCACTTAGGGAAGTGAATATAGACAATTTTGTGTTGCTTGTCAATATAATGTTATTGCAGGATTATATGTACATGCATATATATATTTTCTTAGACCAATCACATAAACTCCATAAATATATTAATACCGTGTACGCAATTTTCGCCACCTGCATAGGATTAATGCGTTCAATATATATCGATAACAACGTTCCAACTTGTTCCAACTGGCAGCTGTTAGTGTTGCATAGGATTAATGCGTTCAATATTTCAAACGAGAAAACGTAATGTCTATAAAAAAAAAAAGATGAGTAGTTTAGACTTAAGCGTATAGCTAGAGAATCAATGAATCATATATTCCAATAATAATTGCGAAAATTACAATTACATCTTCTTAATTATATGAAAAGGACTAGTTACCTATAGAACAAGCAGCTGGCGGGTTACTTAAGTTGGGATACGTTCCATATTAATCATTTTGATCACATCAACTCATCATCCGCCTATAATTAGAGGCTATTAATAATAATTATTATGAATTATTGAATGATCCTCTCTCTATCTCACACTACAATCCATCAACTCTGTTTCCATTTAAAAATAAATCTACTTTTCAATATTCACATAAATAAAAAATAAACGTTCTTTTTCCCTGTCATAAACGAAAATACGTACGATACCTGGTGCATCATCTAAAAGACTCTTAATTCTTTTGATTACAGCCTTTTGATCGTGTCCTAAATTTATTACGGAATGATTTCTCAACTTCTTTTGCAAATACCCTTTTTCTTTATTTGCAGGATTTTTCGATCAAATTATCAACTTCATACATCTACACTTTATACTGGGTAAATAAAATAGAGATAGATGCTTTGATCACTTTATCATTAATGGCTTGCCTATCCCGATATTAATGCTCTTTCTTTATTTTCCTGATCATCAGACTAAAAAAGAAAGAAACAAACAAAGAAAGAAATACCTTACGATCAATAGAGCTGGGAGACGTACAGTGAATACCTACTAGTACATTTTAGGTAACAAAGTTTGCAATACGTAAATGTAATCAGGTTCCTGTAATAAGACAGCTAGCTTAATTAATTGATTCATATACATATATATGATCTCACTGTAGCATGCATTATAAAGGCGCCATTAGGCAACACCATTTTCCTCACCGAATATATCTTAAGAATTTGAAAATGATGATTCTGTGGGCACTTATCGTACTCATCAACAACAATGCTTGTATCTATGGTCGGCAGTTGGAGCACAATAATCCAGCTGTACCAGTAATGTCAGCAGCATCAAGGTTCCTGCTTGAGAGCGCACCTGCAAAAACTCCTCTTCTTGAGGAGGGTACCAGATGGGCTCTGTTGGTGGCTGGTTCCAGGGGTTATGTAAACTATAGGCATCAGGTACTAATAATATGCATGCATACCATATATACATGTATACATTTTTTTATATTTGTAATTATAATTTAGTACTGCTAGCTAGCTCCATCGATCATCTAAATTGTGTTACTAGTAAGTAGTAGCTACAATGAATGAATGAATGAATGAATGAATGAATGATTATGATGGGGTTTGTTATTAACAGGCTGATGTATGCCATGCGTTCCAAATACTGAAGAAAGGTGGACTGAGAGATGAAAACATGATAGTATTCATGTATGATGATATTGCATTTAACGAAAACAATCCCAGGCCTGGTGTTATTATTAACAGTCCAGGTGGTCATGATGTCTATGGAGGAGTCCCCAAGGTCAACATCATCATCATCATCAGTTGATTATATATATATTAGCAGCTATTTTGTTACATAAATTAAAATAAAAGTTGATGTATGTATGATGATTCAGGATTACACTGGAATTAATGCGACAGTCGAAAACCTATATGCTGTTATACTTGGGAATAAAAGTGGTGTTACCGGAGGCAGTGGAAAGGTTCTTGGTAGTGGTCCCAACGACCATGTTTTCATATTTTATACTGACCATGGATCTCCTGGAATAATCGGTTAGTCGTTACGTAGTGATACAGAAACTAGCTAATTAATGTTTTTCTTGTGGTTATTAATATTTATTCATCATGTTGCATATAACACCGTACCAGAGATGCCTTGTGATGAAGTCGTTTATGCTGATGATCTCATCAATGTCCTCAAGAGAAAGCATCAAGCCAATGCATATAAAAGCATGGTCTGTCTGTCTTCTATAATTTCTCATATTTTTCTCATATTCTACGGTTAGCTTATTCTCATTAATGTAGGTATTTTATCTGGAAGCCTGTGAATCTGGTAGTATGTTCGAAGGTCTTCTTCCCAAGAGTCTAAATATTTATGCAATCACAGCATCAAACTCAACAGAGCCCAGTATGGCGACTTACTGCCCCGACTACAACCATACTTCTACGACATCATATGAATATGATGTTTGTCTAGGGGATGCCTTTAGTGTTTCTTGGATGGAGGACAGGTATACTACCTATAACAAAAAACCACGATTTACTACTCTTCTTGTGTTGTTTCCTTGACTAGTTGTAATTCTTGCAGTGAAAAACACGATTTACGGTCTGAGACTCTGGGGCATCAATTTCAAGTGGTAATTTAATAGAGATGACATGAAACTCATTTTAACATCCCCACTTAATACATACGGATAACAATAAATGACGTATACTCTGATTGGGACAGGTTAAGAGCAGGACAGCAGTAGAAACCCCTGATGGCGGTTCCCATGTTATGCAGTACGGCAATACGTTACTTAGTAAGGAAATCTTATACACATATATGGGTACAACTATAATACCAAATGATACTTACACTTGGGAGGGTGCTGCTCCTCCAACCCTCAAATCCGTAAGCCAATGGGAAGCAGACCTCCTCCATTATAAGCACAAGGTAATTAGGTTGATGTATAGTATATCCACTATGATTGAAGTGCGTGACGTGGTTGATTGTAACTAATTGTTAATTAAACTCCGATCCTCTTGTATCATCATCATCATCATCATCTCCCTTTTTTCTTATTCACTAGCTCTTCAAAGCCCCAAAAGATTCTACTGTGAGGCTTCAAGCGCAGAAACAGTTACTTGAGGAGATCAATAGCAGGATGCTTGTAGACAACAGAGTAAATCAAATTACCACATTTCTTTTGGGCACTCAACGTGACATTTCAATGTTGCACACTGCTCGACCAAAAGGAATGCCCCTTGTCGATGACTGGACCTGCCTTAAGACAATGGTAACTTGAATAAAATCCATATACGTTTGTAATAGATTGGTTACGGAACACTAGCTAGTAGCAATAGATGCATTTCAGTAACCAAAATTTTTATTCTTTGCTCACTCACAGGTAAAAGTATATGAGGAGAATTGTGGATCTTTGTCGAGGTATGGAATGAAACATATGCGAACATTTGCTAACATGTGTAATGCAAGGATTACAGTAAAGGAGATGAATGCAGCAGCAGCAAGAATCTGCAAATGAATTTCTGCCTTTTTACAAAGAAGCAGCTTTCTGTTACCAACTCAAGATCCTTTAGTATAAGTTTTATTATACTCTGTTGTTGTTTACCAAGGCCAGCAATAAATTCGATGTATCAAAATGAGTCATACAGATGACAAGATGAGCTTTGATTGTGTTGTTAGAAAATTTACCAACAAAAAATGGAACTATTATTAAGCTAAATCCAATTTAACCCCATCAGCTGTTATATAACAAAAATCTACCACTGACTTGGCAAACATAATAACGTCTACAAGGCAAACAAAAATACCATAACTTGACACAAATTTGAATTATCAGTTGAAAAAGGCAAGCCTTTCAGTCTTATAATGCCATTCTTATGATAAATGATGATGAAGAAAATAGATACAGGCAGCTAAAAAAAAAAAAAAAAAAAGAAAAAAAAGAAGAGTAGTGAGAGAGAGACTAAGAAGAGTTGGAGGAGGAGGAGGTGGATTGGCGAACGGAATTCCAGAGTTGGAGAGCAGCAGTAAAGATGCCGGAAGAAGCGACACCGAGAGCGAGAGCCTGAGGGTAACTGGGCTTAGAATCAATCTTCATTTCAAGCTGGAGGAGACGAGCGTGTATTGCGTCCAGCTTGGCAGATGTCACCACCTCAGGGGAGTTGTTGGCGGTGCTGCGGTTGCGGCTGCGGTCGGAGGTCATCATCTTGAAAACAGCACCCTGCAATTCCTGTATCACTTTGAGTGATGCCTCTTGTGTATCCATCCCCTGTTTCTCGTAGTGTGCTACCAGCTCCTGAGGGCTCGCCAGCCTTCTTGTACCACTCTTCTTCCTCTTACTGTTATTCATACTCCCAATCCCAATCCCATTCACATTCCCATTCCCATTCCCATTCCCATTCCCATTCCCACCCGAGGGTAATTGCTCCATGAATGATGCCTCTTCTTCCTCTCCCTTTCTTCTTTTCTCTCTTTCTTTCTATAAAACCCTAATGAGTAATGCTACTACTGCTTCTGTTTTGGGGTTTTAGAGCGTCGAGATAAGGTAAGTAGCTAGTAGACAACAAAATAAAGAAAACAAAAGTCGCTTCGCGTCTTTTATTAGTTACCCCGTAAATGCGATATTTAGTGTTTATTGGTGATAAGACTCCTCCTGCCTCCTCCTCCTCTCCAATGGCTGCTGCTCTGCTTCATCCTCGTCTCTCTCTTCACAAACCTTCTTCTTCTTCTTCTTCTTCTTCTTCTTCTTGTATTAAATGTCCCAAGTGGGGTTTTGGTAATTATATCCAATGTTCGGGTCGCGGTTTTGGCCCCAAATCAAGAAATGATGACAACAAGTAACCAACTCTTCATTTATGATAACTACTATCCGCCCGGGGGCATCTCCTAACTTGTTTGCTTTCTTACAGGAAAACTAAATCCTCACCTAAGCAGCAATCTTCAACCTTACCTTCTCGTAACTTCATTCATTCCCTTGTTATTTTTTATTCTTTCCCTTGTTATTTTAAGTCATAATAATAGCCTTTTCTCTTATATCTTGGCAGAGGCGCCTGGCTTAAGTTCTCCAACTGGTGGTGGTGGTGGTGGTGGCAAAATGATATACACTTCTCCAGATGACCTTGACTTTGAACAACGTCTCCAAGCTGTTAGAAAGTTAGCATTTTTTTCTCTTTTCTTTGCTTTTGGTGCCATCATTCTTGCTTCTACATCTGTATATGTATATCCATTGTTTAAATTTTGTTGACTACTATTCCACTTTGATATCCATTATCCACTTTTTCCTGTCCTCATTTTCTCACATCACCACAATATATCTACATTATTAATATTTCGGTTTTGTAACCTTGCTCTAAGCAATCTCATTTTGTAGTTATGTTGACTTTAAACTTGTACGGACTGTGAAGGTCGGCTCTTGAGCAGAAAAAGACGGAAGAGAAGAAAGAGTACTTGGCTATTGATTATGATGCTCCGAGTGAGACAAACAGTAGCACAGTAGGATTGGGGACTAAGGTATATCATTAAGTTAGCTGATGCAATTGTTTACTTCTTTCTTAGAATTTTCTGAGTTTTCCTGTGATTGCTGATTCCATATTTTAGAATGGAATATGGTAGATCGGAGTTGGAGTTGCTGTTGTTGTATTTGGGCTTGTATTTGCTCTTGGAGACTTTTTCCCTTCTGGAAGGTATATCTTTTAAACTACGTTCGCCAAATTCTCTACCTACATCTCTCTCTCTGATACACAAGCTCCTGATTTTGGTTAATTAATATGAATTCGTTTTCATTTCCTATTCCTCACAGATGTCGTTTTTCGTGCACTTCCCACTAATTATGTGATATAAAAGGCAAAGAACAAGTCTTTAAATTCATTAATATACTTCGAGGTGTTGGTTTATGTTAGTGATCTACTTCAGAATAGGGGTTGTCATTTGTCAAACCACACCAAACAGAGGAAGCTAAAGTCTAAAATTGATCAGAATATGTCAAACCCAAGTTGCATGCATGCATGCATTTGATGTTGATATCCTGATGTGAAAATCTACTATTTGCAGTCTACTTAAGAATAAGAGTAATATGATGTTTGAAATTACAGTATCAGCCCTACAGAAGACGTTGCCGCAGTTAATAAACTTTCAGAGAAGGATAGAGCAAACCTAGAGGTGAGAATAATAACCTTGATTTTAAGCAATTTTTATATAGCAGATCCTTACTCAGATGTTTGGTTATTTACTGCTTATTACTTTCTTTACCTCTATTCTCTGGCGTAAAATTCCAGTAGTCCTCAACACTTTATTGGTAACCATCCACTTTGAAAGTTTAATACATATATTTGAAAATTTTGCATGGCTATCACCACTCTTGTGCTTTTGCAGAAGAGGCTGAAGCAGTTTGAAGAAACACTTGTCATCTCACCTGAAGATTCAACTGCTCTTGAAGTGAGTGGTAGTTTGTTGATGAGATAACATCGTTTATGTTATTACTATGAGTTTGTCATGTCTATTACATTATTTAATTAAAATCTGATATTTTACTTACTTGATTCTGAATGAATGTTGAATGTTGATTCTGAATGAATGATGATAATTATTATTTCCCGTAACAGCTATTTAATGTTTCTAGAAATTGAACTGCAGCAGAAAGAATTTGAGCAACTTTATGGTTTGATTTATCAACTAGAGCCATCCTTTTAAATTGATTCAAGTTTTTTTTTTTTCAATAGGGAGCTGCAGTGACCTTGGCAGAAATGGGAGAATATAAAAGATCTGCAACATTGCTCGAAAAACTGACTGAGGTTTGTCATTTGCTGTAATATAGTCTTGTAATGAACCCAACACATTGTAGATTATCTCAACTCAATTGATCTGCAGAAGAAGCCAAGTGATCCTGATGCTTTTCGTTTGCTTGGTGAAGTAAAATATGAGCTCAAAGATTTTGATGCAAGTGTTCTTGCATATAAAACTGCTGAAAGGGTTAGTATGGATAATTTTCTTGAATGTTACTAATATGAATAGATCCTCGGCTGAATATTGATTGTGCTTTGACTTCATGCAGGTATCAGAGAGTGTTGATTTTGAAATCCTTCGAGGTCTTACAAATTCTTTGCTGGCTGCCAATAAACCTGATCAGGTTGCGAATATTAAACATTTGTAACTCAATCCTCAAGTCACTTAAATGAACTTGTATTATAATTTATATTCCTCCCTACTTGTTGTTTACCAGTAGTAACTTGTATTATCTACGAATATTAATTTAATGTTTCATGCAGAATTATGCTGTTAACTATCTTAGCTTCTTCATGTGTAGGCTGTTGAAGTGCTCCTGGCATCTCGGGAACGCTTGAGTAAAGAGAAATCTAGTGTTAACATTGAAGCGAGTAGTACACGATCTGATGTGGATCCCATTCAAGTGAGTTTTTATCGAACTTATTCTGGACAAGAAGCAGTAATAATTTAAAAAATGGCATGAAATTGATAAATATACAGGTTGAGCTGCTTCTTGGAAAAGCGTATTCAGATTGGGGCCACATAAGTGATGCAGTATCTGTTTATGATGGACTTATCTCCAACCACCCTGATGATTTCAGGGGTTACTTAGCCAAGGTTTCTTTTATTTTACTTTTTATTCCTCCTCCTCCTCGTAATGTTTGATCGTTCCATTAAACAGCTGAAGAATCATTTCTTAATGCAGGGAATCATCTTGAAAGAGAATGGGAGTGTAGGTGATGCAGAGAGAATGTTTATACAGGTGGGTGAGACACCATTAATTAATTAATTAATTAATTCTTGTTGGGAAATATGTTTTGTTCTTATTATTACAAATTCCTTAAACTGAAATTGTGATGGATATGGACAGGCACGTTTCTTTGCACCTGAGAAAGCAAAGGCATTTGTCGACAGATATTCCAGATGAATCAAACAATTGTTACTTCTTGGCTATATGCAATATGTATTTGCCAAGATCAACAGCTACCGAGACTGTACACAATGATGATGATGATGATGATGATGATGATGATGATGATGATGATGATGATGATGATGATGATGATTATGATGATGATGATGATGATGATGATGATGATGATGATGATGAACTACGTTTGTTCTCTCGTTGTATTGCTGTTTACATTAAATAGACCATTTTACAAGAGAGATAATATATAAAATAATTGGATGGTGTAGAGAAATTGGTAAATGAAAGAAAGACTATTGTTAGTAAGTAAAAGAAATAGAGGGGGGTTGGCTTTGATAAACCGTAATGCAGGGGAGCCCAGAATTTGGGCGTCAGATACGGAAAACAGCCAAGTTTTGTTATTATGAAGATTTGTGTTTTACATGAAATATGAATTCAAGAACAAGAATGAAGAAGATGGTGTGTCATGTGGTTAATAATGCTGTTCCCGCAAAACAGCTGATTTCAAAATCAAGATCAAAATCCATGGACGAAAACTCGTTACTAATCACCCCTGATCAGCCACTCTCCCATGACCAACTAATCAATAACAATCATAATCGTCATATTCCTAAAGGATTTGTTGCAGTGTATGTTGGGCCCCACCACCGTAGATTCCTTGTTCCAACCAGATACCTTTCGGTCCCGGATTTCAAGGCCGTGATGGACAGTGCAGCGGAAGAATTTGGATACGAGCAACAAGGCCGTTTGGAATTCCCTAATTGTGAAGAGGAAGACTTTCAAGAATTGTTAGCACACTGCTGCAGATATACCTCCATTCCCAAGTCCAAGTCTTATTCCTACATACATATGATTATACCACTACAGATCCACCAATAATAGTATATGTGTTTTATTAATTATGCATATATCTTTCTTTAAATACACCTCAATACTCTCTAGATCTCTCCCCCTTTTTGTACGCAGTGGTTATTATGATCCGGTACATACATAATTACATATGATTTTCCATGCATCATCTGGTGTATATGGTTTAATTCCATCCTTTCTTTCATATATAGAACGTGTATATATCTGCAGCTCCTTGACCGTAAATCATCATGTTTGATGTTGGGCTATTAATTGAAATAAAAGATTGTGTTGAACATGTTGATATATATGAGCAAATAAGCAAAATTATGATAAAGTTGGGAATGAGTTTATTAGCAGCCTAAGTAGTAGTGTGTACAAGTTGTCTGCAAATTTACATATTATTATTATCATCAGTTGTTATCATAACATGGCAAAAACTTCAAATGTCAACCAATCCATATGCAATAATACCTATATCTCTGTGTATCTTTGGTTGTTGCAGTGGAAACCACTAGAGACAACAGTTTACTGATAAAAAATCTTACATTCAAATCATGACTAGAGAGAATACAATGACATTAAAATTCCCACAAAATCCTTGCAATTGAGCAAAAAGAAGCATGCATATATGTATGTAACGTAAATATGAATAATAGAGGATGTTGTTATCTGCACATCATCAGAGATGGGGTGAGCTGATCAGCAGCATCTTCTGGTGAGTAGTTACCGATGAAATCAAGATCGTGATTGTATCCAAACTCAGCATCATAAGCTTGAACATCAACATTATCATGCTGCAACAACAATGAAGATGATGTTGGTGATGCCGATGAAGGTCTCTTGTCTTCCACCATCATCATCTTGATTATCTTGTCGAACAATTCCACCTCACATGGAAACTTAAGCACACCTTCTTGCTGGAAACCGAATTCTTCTTCAGCTTCTCTCAATAGAATCCCAAACATTTGGTGACTCAGATACTCTGTTGGAATCACATACCTCTTCATTTCTTTCCCTACGCAAACCGCAATGTACCCTTTTGGGACTGCATTTCCTACTGCCCCCGATGTTGTGCTTTCAGAGAAAGACAGTGTTTTCTTCAGGAATTTAATGCTCCGGCCGGTGGTGGTGGTGGTGGTGGTGGTGGCGGTGGCGGCGGCGGCTCTGTTGTTGCTGGCGAGCTTCTTCCACTTCTTGAGGATCTGTTGAAGCCTCACTATGTCTCTTATCTTGTTAGAAGAAGACTTTCTTGATGATGAATCCATATATGTATATAAATATGATACACAGATAATATCTGGAATTAAATGAAAGATAGAAAGGGAGAGAGGTACGGTTGTGCACGAAATGGGCAAATGCCAAATGATGCTGCATATATATATATATATATAGGTAGGTAAGCAAAAAGAAGCAAGTGGAGGAGATTCCTTTTTTCTGAGTCAAACAATAAAATATGGTGGGAAATTAATTATGATGAATTACTAAATTAATTAGCAGCTCAATAGTCAATAAGACCTGCATGCAGATGCAGATGCAGATGCAGGAGGCAGTCTGCCTCAAAATCACAAAGAATTAAATTACTATAAGTATTCAAAAAATCATACACCTGCCATTAATTGATTACTTGTAAAAGCAAAGAGTATTTATTCCCTCTCCAAGTAGATTAAGAGTAATACTATAATTAAATGTACAGCAACTCATCCATATGCAGCACGCAGCACATCCATCAGCACCATACTAGTCCGTATATGTATTATATATACTAATACCGTAGTAATACGTACGTACAGCAATCATCGTAAGTAACCCCACTAGCGTGTCGTGTGTATTAAAATTAAACAGATTAATTAATTATTGTTCACAAGTAGTAACTTGTTTCTGCATTTGTTTATTGGGAATTGAAGATCGTGGAAGATGGAAGCACACAAGAAATGCATGTGATTTCCCAATTTTCATTACATAATAAACAAATACAACTAGCCCTTGTGCTCCTCCCTCCTACCTCTTTAATCATTTTCTTGGCCAATAATTATTATATTATATTGTTTAATAATATGTACTTGTTCTTCTTAGTTTATAAATCTTCAGCTTCCATGTGATTTTAGTCCCACCGCCCGTAGCATACGGTACTTGAACAACCATAAACCATTTGATTAATTTAATAATAATAATAATCCCCACTACTAAGTACTAATTACTGCAGGTTTTTTTTTCTTCAAGCCTGTAATTAGTGTAATTATTTAGTAATTGAGGTAACCGACTTGCAGTGAGAGATGATGGGCGGTGTGGTGTGTCAGCATCCTTTGTTGGAACGAGCAATACTTAATTGAACTGAGCCATATTATTCTGCAACAAATAGTCTGACCACTTCCCTCATTACTCCATTAACTACTAAACCTTCTTTCCTCTTACATGTATGTATTCTTCTATGCTTGTATCTCTCAATAATACATGATCATTTCATCACGATAAATAACAGATTAAGCACCTACATATATTCACCAAGCCTAACTGACTAACAAGTTCAAACATGGTTGGTTACCTAAGGATCAAATCCAATACAAAATAACTCAATACATGCTTGTTATTTGTATCATCAATGTTAGCACCAAAATTGTTTCTAGAATCAACGAGACCACTACCTACCACGCAAATTACAAGTAACATTATATACATGTACAAGGTGATAAGTCCGTGGTTGGTACCATTAAAACCCACTTCATATGTATGAAACCAAGACCTATTACACAGTAATATATCATCTGATACAGTTGGGGTTACCTTTCATCAGGTAACAAACAGCTTCTTCAATGATTTAATGTTTCTTTAAAAACTTCTTGGACATTGAAGAATACTTCATCTTATCAATCTCATCATACACTCTGAACTGCGAGGATGCAGATTGCAGAGTTAAAATCAACTACGACAATAAAAGTAAAACCACATCCATGCAGAGGATCTTTTTAGAGATTTATTGGATGTGAATTTCCTATCCAATCTTTCAGATTTTCAATCCCGGTACTCAAACAATACTTTGCAGTGGCATAATACTCTTAAGGTATGTTGTAAGAAAATACCTGTTTCCGCAAAAGACGTCTTTCCATACAACAGTGAAACTCAAGCTGTGAGCTCCAGCATGAATAAAAACATGCCAAGGAGAGGCCGAGATTGTAGTCCTCAGAACTTGAATTCAAGCTAAAACAGGAGCTCACTTGCTAACATCCAGAAGGTGAGATCAAATTACTAGCAAATTCACTGCATATCAACCAAAAGGAATGCCCATTTTTCCAGGGATTCAACTCTTCAAAGATGTAATTAACCAACAGAGTTTCACAAGCATCCCCTAGGAAAAGGATTACTTAGCCATTTTTTCGTTTCTGAGGTCTGACGGGATGAACACTGGTATTTGTTGTTGGAAGAGTCCTCTTCACAGATGATTTCGGCAAAGATGCTGACTTCTTTGAAGATATAAGAGCTGAAGAAAGAAGAGCATCAACGGCTTCACGTTGCTGTTTCCTTTCCATATTTGAATCTTTAAGCATTTTAACTTGATTGGATGCTTCTTTTTCAGCGTCTACCTTGAAGCTACACTCAGAAGACGACGCGCCCATTTTCACCTCCTGTAGCTTGCCGTGCTTATTAGTTTTTGAACGCATTTTATCAGCTACAGGACTTGGGTGTTCCTGAATTCTACTCTTCGACTTTCCAGTATTAGGTGCATGTCTCCTTACATTGTCTTTATCCTTTCCCTTCCGAACATCAGCTTCCACCACATTAATTTCCTTGTCATTATTCTTGTGGGCCCAACTTTTATTATTTTTCTCTTGATTTTCTTCAAATTTTGACATTGTACCCTTGAAAACTTTGTTATCGCTATTTGAACTTACACCAGATGCAACCTCTTGCAGAGCTGAAAATTCTGTTCCTTCTCTGGCTCTTTTAGTGACATCTTTCGCAGCACTCTTAGCTGAAGGAGAAGCACCTTCACCACTGCAGACACTTTCTAGTATAGTACCAGTGCATTTTCTCTTCCTTTGAGAACTATGCTTCACAGTCTTCTTCTGTGTATTCACATATCCACTTGCAGCTTTGACCCTATCAACTTCTTCATACTGAATACTAGAGGAACTTCTTGAACTTGGTCTGTTTTCCAAACCGACCTTATATATTGAACTGTATGGCTTTCTTCCTGATACAATCAAATTCCTTTCTTTTGCATCTACTACAAGAGCCTCCCAGCTCTGGTTGGTCTGTAATGTTCTTGCATTACCAAAAATCCACAGAGAGAGCTTGGCCCTAGTCAAAGCAACATTCATCCGTCTCACATCCGCAACAAAACCAAGATTGTTAGAACTAGCCCTGGGTGTATCAGCACAGGATCCTGATGCTCTAACGGTTGAAAGTAGCAAGATATCAACTTCTCGACCTTGAAACCCATCAATTGTATTAAATTCCATTTCCGCAGCGATAGAAGATCCAAATGCACTAGAGAACCGCGAACGCAACAGTGACAGCTGTCGCTTATAAGGAGTGATGATGCCAATTCTCCCGCCAAAAAATTCTGATGGATAACTGTCACAATACAACTGCATCTAATCATACAAAATTACAAATCATTGAAAAAAAAATCACAGAGATCATGGACTAAGTACCTTTTCTTAAAATATCGTAACAGTTCAACTGCAGCATCAGCCTCGGACTCATTGTACAGGGACATTGAGGCTGCAGTCTTGCCACGAAGCTCCTGCCCATCAATAATATCAAAAAATACATATGGCCCAAGGCACAAAGTCTCATGGAAGGAAGCAGCTTTGTCTGACATCTGATATCCATTCAGCAACTTGCCCTCGTAGAAATGCAAAGACGGAAAACGACATATATCTGGGTGCATCCTATACTGGTAAGTTCATAAACATATTAATTACATTGTTTTCATACTAAGACACAAGACAGATTTTCTAGCAGTAACAGGACGAAATAGAAATGACATGACAAGACGGTAAAACTAAATAACAAGTTTTAATACTTTATCCAAAATGAATTTTAATTAAAAATTTCATGATTTCATCTCAAATTTTGAAGTGTGCAAATGCAGATTGCATATGGCAGGCTTTGTATGAAATGTATATATCTTCAATCCAGATGTTCCTGAAATAGAGGTTAAATCATAAGCAATCAAATGCCCTTAAGAATTTTTTTTTTCCTTCGACGTGAGATGTATAGGTGTAGGTTGCAATAAAAAAATCATCTGATGTTAATACCGATGCATAAAGTAAATACTGCAACAGCCATCAAAACAAGAACAAAAACATGCTGAATTACAAATCTACTAGATGACATGAACTTGTCAGAAAAGAGAACATACGACAGTAAAACATACGATTGAAGATATTGAGTGTTTGACATGTTAAACTCATTTTTAAGAAGTCAGGTTTATCTGTTGGATAAAAAAAAAATCAAAACACTTCTGTAGAACGGAAATAGGTCTGTTCATATCCTTAGATTGATTATTCCTTTAAAGTTACAAGGTGGGATATATGTGAGGAATTTAAGCGTCAAGAGACTCTGGATATTCAAACTACCTGCTGGGTGAGCATGATTACAGGATGACCTGCTCTCTGCAATCTTTCAAACATGCTGCATTGAAACAAGTATTTGCTAGCAACATTAGAGAGAACTGTGGCAGGGAGCTGCTTCGGATCACCAACCTTGCATAAAAATCCAATGTTAATGACGCCTAGCATTATTGGAAACAAGCTGAAACAAATACTTGATCAACTGCTTACCATGATACATTTGGTTCCCTTCGATTTTAGGAGCTGAAGTGGAATCAAAGTGGCAGGTTCCAGGGCCTTGAGTAATAAGCAAAAATAAAAACACATTTTCAAGAGGAAGAAAAAGAAAGAATTCGTAACAGTTGAAAGTGAAAATCAATAAGGAGAGCAAGGATACAAGAAGGGGAGAAGGAAGTACTTGAGCCGCTTCATCAATCACAACAGCATCAAACAGAGTATTCTCAGATGCATTAATGAATTTATGGCCTGCTGTAGATTCCGAGCACACCCCATATAGATCTCCTCCACAGCCACTTAACGTAGTGACAACAATTTCAGCCTCCTTCAAGATAGCCATTCGGAATTTATGTCTTAGGGCTCTGATTTCGTCACTAGCTTTCCTCTCTCTTGCTTGAGCATTGGCAAGATCTGTATATGTCGATTTCTTCATTTCATATAATTTCCTTAGCATTTCTTTTAGTTCAGCATCAGACAGTATCTTAGCATCTCCTGCATCTCCTTCCACTACATTTCTGGAGTCACAATTTCCACCCTGCAGGTTAGCTCGCTCAGCTTCATAGTATCTTATGCGGTCCACTAACTTCTCTAGATTAGTACGTAGAGTGGTTAAAGAGTCTGTACAGGTGCCATTCTTTTTTTCATCACGTGCATTCTTTTTTTCCTCCTCTAGACGAATTTCAACAAGTGTATCAATGAAGAACGGTAGAGAATTAGGATGTACTGTCTTTGCATTACCAACTCTCACAAGATATGGCTTGTAACTCTGTCCATCACTGCCGTAAAGACCCTCACTTGATATTCTTACAACTAACTCATCAACTGCGGCATTGGATTGAGCACAGATGAGAATCCGCCCTCCACTGCAGCTTCCTGCAGATTTGTTGTTACTTTTGACATCCTCGTTCAGTTGTCTAGCCAATGCTGCATCCTGCCAGGCTCTTGAAATTGCAGCAGACTGACTGATCCTTTGGTTAGTTCTAGAGCTACTGCTGCACCCTGATCCAACATTTCTTAATCTTTTTGGATCTTTCATTTGAGATAAAGCAAGCAGACCACTAACAATAGCCACAATTGTTCGGGTCTTTCCAGTTCCTGGACAAAAGATGCAATCACACAGGTTATAAATGCAAGTAAATATGTCAGGAACTAGAGATCACAAATAAAAGAAAACTGCAAAAGGAAGGCAAATAAACAGAAAAAGGAAAGAAAAAGAAAAAAAAGACCTGGAGGTCCCTGTATAAGAGTCAAGTCAAAATCCTTCTTCAAATCAACCGAACCAATAGCAAGACTAATAGCCTGCAGCTGACTGTCATTATATGATGACTTCAAAATCTGCTGTAGAGGTTGAGATAGTTTACTAAGATTTTCAGTTTTCGATTTGTATTGACCACAAGGATGATTGACAGGGTTCAAGATGATTGGCAGCACAGGGATTTCCCTTATTGATGACAGTGCCTGGAATTCTCGAAGTTGAGGGGTAATGCTCATTATACGACTAACATACCATTTGCTTCGCTCAGTGAGATGCTTTCTAGCTTGACTAAGACGAGAACATCCTTGAAGATACAGTCTGATGGCTAAGATATTCAACCTTCTTTTAGAGTCTTTCTCACGTCTCTCAACCTATAGATAGACGCAAAGCATCAGTAAAATACACTAAACATTGGAACAATTCAATTTGGGCAAATTGGTCGATTTTCAAGTACTAAATCACAAATTACAAACTAAACAATCCCAATTTTTAATAAAATAAAAGGATGGAGAGTGGTAAAGTACCGATTCGATCGTCCATAAAACAAAAGATGTGTCGACAGTTAACATGAAAGGGAAGAAAAAAAAATAGCAGCTTCTTACGAATAAATATGAAACGATATAAACCTCTAAACAAGTAACATTTATCGATTTCATAACAAAGAGGACAACTGACTTTAATGAAAAACATAATTTCATTAACTCCTAGAGATGAACATTGGAGCAAAAGAAGGTTTTCATATAGCTGACCCAATACGGCTTTACTGAGTTGAATTGGTTTAAGTAACTTCTGTAACTAAATTTGCCCTCCGGATCTTAGGGAAACATGTTAACAAATGAAGTTAGTAAATTGACAACCACTCCGGTCATAGAAGTCAACGAACTCCAAAACCAATGTTATTCACATCTAGCAATATTAGAAAATGGAATACCTTTCCAACCGTGTGAACATCACTGAGAGAGTCCCGCATAGGTTGTCTGGTAAGTAATATGAGATCATTTTCCGATAGGCTTTTTGATCCATTCGACTCATTTTCATCATGGACAAAACGAACAACATGGAAATCATCAATTCTCTCAACTGACAACACAGATAAACTCCCAGAACACATTTCTTCAGCAGACGCCATCTCCTGATAGGAACTCTGCAGCTGCGCTTTGAATTCTTCCAGTACCAAGGGCCGGAATATGTCAACATAATCATCAGGTGATTGGAAACAAACAGGGACTTCCTTTAATTTCCCAACACTTTGAAAGTCTTTATCAGTTCCAGAAGCTAATCCAACAGCCACAAAGAAATCCAACTCTAGAATAGGTCTGTACCAGTCATCCAGCCTAGGGGACTGAAATCTTTTCACTCCACCACCCAACCTCATAGATCCATGTCTGTTCCCCTGGGGTAGGGAGAGCTGGATGACTTGCCGCTTAGGGCCAGAAGTGATTGGCTTTGTAATTAGCAGCTGCTGCCGTTTTGGTGGTTTGAAAGATGAAAAATTCCAAGCATCATCATCAATATCAGATACTATCTCTTTTACCACTCCATCGCTAATTTTTAAAGGTTTATTCACAATCTGTTGATCATTGATTGCAGAAGTGGTAGTTTTATCGGAAAATGACTTGCTACTTTTAGATGCAAACGAATCGAATTGTTTGGAACTGACAGCTTGACAAGATTTATTTGTCAAATTCGAATTCTCTTTTGAAAGGAAAGAATTGGTTACACCATATTTTGTTTCAGTTACCATTCTCTTACTTTTTGGTGGTTCTGCTTGAACATGGGATTGAGATCCACTATTATCTGAGCTCATTTTTTCAATAACATGATCGGTAGAATACCCAAGCTGAGGGCAATCTTCAGGCGCGACCTCCAGAGTATCACTGGGGCTAAAATATTTTTCCTTCAAGTCAGCTTTTATCTCTCCTCGAGCAGCACTTGTACTAGTATGATTATCAACATACTCACTTTCACTTGACAAGCTACTAGAGAGGCCCGTATGGGCAGAAACCTCTGGTTCTTTCTCGTCATCAGAAAGAACTATGACATGGCCTCTACCCAAATCGATCGATGTTTCAGACTCTATAACATTCAACTTTGCTTTATCAAGTAGCAAAGTTTCATTTTTTGCCGAAGAGTTTTTCATATTCAACAAATCTCCAGAAGCAGAACATTTGGACTGAATATAAATTGCATTCAATGCAGAACCTTCATCTGTTAATGACACAGAAAGTCGTGCTACTTGCTTGCTCAGTTCATCCACTGAAACTTTTTCTGCATCCCAAACAAACATGAAACATTTTGATTTTCAAGCATGAGTGTGGATAATGAGATTTTAAAAAACATGGGTAAATTAAAAGCTCACCACATAAAATAAGTTTCTCGATATCAGTAATTGTTGAAGCAGATTTACCACTGCAGGATGCTTTAATTTGACCAAGCAAATAAGAAAATGTTTGTTTCCAATATCTAACCACAACAGCAAGCGATGACTTCCCCCAATCAGCCAAATCATGAAGCCACTTTAGGTTATCAAAAGGTACTAACACTATGCCAGTATTCTGGGGAAGCCTTTCAAAAACAATAGGCATGAGTTCAAGCAAACGGATACATGTCATCTGAAAGAATGAAAAAAAAAGAGGCATTAAAAGAATCCTATTATAGAAGTGACAAAAATAAATACAGAGAAACCTGGCCAGGGAAATAGAATTAACAAAAATCCACGAACGAGTTAACTGAATTAACTCCAGTGAAAGCTAGCTATTGACAAACTACATATTCCAACTAACACTCAAAATCAAAATTAATAAGCTATGAAAAAGTTTCATTTTTGATCATCGATGTCGTTGTCACAGCTGATACATGAAGTTACATGAATATAAGTTCTCAAAGATACTTATTAATAGCTAGGGATTTGATAGATGTAATTAGTCCTAGATTATGGCTAATTATCAGCCATATCAATTACATATATTTTCCTTTCGTGTATTCTTTAGTTAGTATAAAAACCCTCTAGTTTGAGGTATTGTAACACACACGAAATACAGAACATATTCTTCTTCTTCTCTCCTTATTCCACAGGTACGAAAGAATCTAAGAAATCAATAATCCTAAGAAATCAATAATCATGCATAAATAAGCTGAAGACATCAACGGAAACGCACAATAGAACAAGAAGAACAACATAGAAGAAACGAATGAGTTTATTGCAATGGGTAACCGTGTTATACCGAATTGTTAAGAACTACCTACGTTATTTTATTGGCAAAAACACCCTATGATTTAACTTTTTTGGCAATTAGTAACCTGTTTAGGGGTTTTTTGCCAATAAAATAACATGGGGTAGTTTTTTAACAATTCGATATAACACAGGGGTACTAATTGCAATAAACCCTAGAAAGAATCGATATAGATGTTTCATGAGAATGTTAGTGCAATGAAGACCTGAGATACTGTGTAATCTGTGAATGTTTTGCATCCATCTAAGCATTTCAGAATTGAAGGCCATGCAACCTGTGATAGTAAGCAGCTAAACTGCTTCCACAATGTGGGGCTAACAATTGATGAATGTCGATCGCCATCATTGGGTGAAGAATCAAATACAGGTTGCTTAAGAAAACCACCTTGCAAAGAAACTTTTAATACATCAGCAACATCTGACGGATTTTGGGGTGTGTTCTGAGCAGATGCATTCCCTTCTTTGAGCAATTTGCACAGGATGAAGAAGAGATGATGTAAAGTCTGAAAGTTCAATAGAACAGAATCCAACTGAACCTGAAAAGGTTGGACAAAATATCAGTAATGCAAAATCTTTTAGCTCCTAACAAGTTTATTGCATTAAGGAGAGAAGATGGCAAACAAGAGGAATTTCAATGTAAGTCAATCAAACATGTCTAAAAAACTATCGAAACTAAGAGAAATGTGAAACATCATTTTAAATAATGAAGTAATACTACCAAATACCCATGCGGCCTGTGACAGATATGAAAATATATGTAGATAAATTCAAGTGGTTTTACAGTCATAACTCAAATACACTGCATGCCAAGTTATTCTTGACGCTAGAAAAGCTAGCAATACCACATTAGCATCTTACCAACTTCAGAGCATGTCTCAACCCCAGAAGAACTGCTGCCAAGGAAGATGGCGCTGAGCAAAGAAATTGCAGACCGCAAGTAAGGCCACGCACGTTTGAAACTTGTTCAAGAATAAGCCTACCCACTTGTCTGGTATTCTACAACAACCAGATAAATGTGGGACTCAAGACAAAATCAATGAAGAAAAATAAAGCAGACAATTTTCGTTTTCAGAACTCAGAGCAAAACTATCATAATGAATAAAAATTACATCATTAGGATCGACAAGCAAAAGAATCAAACTATTGCTCATCATAGGTTCCCAAATCCACTGCTTCCGTAGCTCTGATTGCTCCATTCTAATAGTGTAATGAGAATTGAACCTGCACCATTAGTTCAGATTGCGCAATTCCTTAGATTATGTTGTCTAGAGTGCAAAGTATCACCTATTCCCAATTAGGCCGTTCATATTACATGAGATGCCATAAAACATATAATATAATGCACTAACCTCTTGAATGTCCTAACTAAAGGCAGGCACATAGTTGAAGTCCTAATAGAGTTTCGTGACTCTGTTCCATCCCCACCATCATCAGAACCAGAGGGAACCTTCCACCCAAAGAGATAAGAAATTTCTGAAGCACAGGTTGCCAACCAATTCCTAGCAGAAAGAGTCATTTCTGTGCTATTCTGAGGTTCTATCAGTGAAAACCGAGATAATGCCCAAAAAACAGCCTTCGAAAATGATAAGGGAAGAACCAAAGGGTCCATTTCCACCAAAACATCAAACCATAACATAGGTACACACATCCAGCTCCCATCTACTTGAGAGATAATTTTATGCTGCAGAGTGAACTCTTTCCAACAAGTAATATCTTCCTCTTTAATATTGAGAGTAGACAGAATCTCTTCTTCTTCCTCCCCATCACCATAATTAGTTGGCCTGATGGGTTTATCACTTGGATGCAACTGACCGTTCAAAGTTATAGAAATCAATGCAGAAGCGTCAGACACTATAATAGTTTGAATAAGATCAATTGCAGGTTGCCGGAGAGAACTATGCAGGGATGAATCCTTCAGAGAAGACACAAGAGAAGGACCCCTACAAAATTGATAATGAGAAACAGAATAGAATCATTAAAAGGTAAAAGACATGTTTCTTAGATGCCTACCACATGTGTGCACATTCAGAAGGTGGGCAAGGTGGATCCATCCTATAACCTCGCAGAATAATGAGGAGAGCAACCTGCATAAACAAGTGAAAAGGAAAAATTAGAGAGATAGATATTGCAGGTAACCAAATATTACATTCTTTAGCTAAGATGTCATGGAAGATCGAAGTGCGACCTGACAAGCCTTTTTCCTCATCAGTATGCTAAAATTACTGCTCACAGGCACTTGATGAAGGAGAAAGTATAGAAAATGCCTTCTTTGTTTTTCATGTTCTCCATCTTGCAGAGCTTCAAGAGACTGGAAGGATAATATAAATATTATAGCAATGAGGCATATAAAAAAATCCCTGTTTCCAAAAAATTGACAGAGTCTATAAAAGACTTTAACAAACAAGTGGCATCAGAAACATACCTGCAGAAAAGGCTGGAAAAGATCAAAAATTTCTTTATGGCTTTTCTCGTTTCGAGTGTGGAAACACTGACCAAGCAGTGTGTTTCTCATAACACTTGGAGATAATGTAGCCCTCAACCATAGTTTACATCCTGTGCAACAAAAACATCAAGAAATGTGGTGCCAAAAGTTTATACACATAAAATTACCAAAAATAGCAAAAAAAATTACCAAGCTTCTCAAATAGTAGTCTCAAACAGTTAACTGCATGAGAGAACTCAAGTGAATCATCGCTGATATGGTTCAGCACAATACTAAGGAAAATGGGATACCGATCTAAAATCCCTTCTTCAAAAGCTGGAGGCTCTAAAAACCCAACCCTTCAAGCACAAAATGGAAAAAAGTTATTAACCATCTAACAAGTATAGGCTGCACATATTGAGAAATAAACCAGCTGGTTCCTACAATGCTTTCATTCCAAGCCATACAGTCACACGATCCAGGTGTAGCCTAGGCCTTGATGTCTCGACAACTGACTGGGTGCCTTCGGCTTCCAATATGTAAATGCTTTTCTTGAGTAAATGCTGCAATGGATCCAAGTCTGCTGATCTCCTGCATGTAACCGAAAAAGAAAAAGAAGAGAAGGATAAATATTTTCATGGGCTTTTGGTCGGATGTCATACTTTGTTCATTCAGCAAGACCAATGACACAATTTCCAAAGGTTTTTGACTGGATATCATGCATTCTTCATTTGGTAAGATCTAATGTACATGCATTCGCCATATAAGACTTTAGGCAATAGTGACATGGTACTTATAAATAACCAGTTCAACTATTTTTTCAAGATTGTGTATATTCTCTCAGCCCAAAAATTGTTTAGCGACAACATTAGATATAATTTCAAAATTGTATGGAATGAACAAATAAGAAGAGAAATATAGAGAATTAAAAAAACGAACGGAAAGGTAAAATGACCGTATAAACCAATATAAGGGATGAAATAGTTTTATTTTGTAATAGGGGGCAAAGTCAAGACAGGCCATTTTCAGATCCTTTTAAGATCTTTCACGTGCACATGCCAAGAACTCATAGTGAGGCCAAAAACTCTCCAACATCCCAATACCTCTGGTGGAGTAAGCAGTTGAACATTTCCTTGAGATAGGTTGGTGATGCTGCATTATGTGGTTGTTGAACTCTGGTGGAGTTGGCAGCATCATCAACCTATCTCAAGGAAAATGTGGTCGTAACATGGGAAAACTATTTAATTTGAACCAGCAAAAGAGATCTGATGATTGTAAATGATTTTGATTCAAGTTCAATAAATGGGTTCCCAATCAACAGAGCGGAAGGCAATCAAGATCCAGCAAAAATATCATTCCTCAAGTTGCATAAAACCTTATCACAAAATAAGATGTGATACAATACGAAATGTAGATTATATCTCATAACCAGAGAGAGGCAATCAGAGGAAACAATATATAAAATCATCATCTCACCATACTTACCAATTGGAATATGAATAGATGCAAGTTGGACATAGGCTAAATATTCCAAAATCATCATCTCATCAACTTGAAAGAATACTTTTGTTTATTTTCAGGTAATCACGGCAAAAAACATCACAATAAGTAATTAGCTAACAGCAACTTGACAAAACATATAGCCTCAGGGAGTACCTCCATTAAAAAGCTCATAACCTAATAACGACAACATGGGTGCATACTAAAACAAACTTTTAAGACTAAATTGCAAAATATTGCAATTAAAATCAAGCTATGGTAAACTGCCAACACAAGGAAAAACTGTACCTCAATTTACCCATATGTCCAGCCAAACGATGACCTATAGATCGTACTCTTCTGCTTTTCAAAAAAAGCAATGCATAGACTCCCTGACAAACAAGAAAAACAGGTAGGGGACGCTTCAATAGGATTGCCATAGAAAAACCTGTGGTCTATATCAAAGATACAACATCTAAAAGATAAAGGAGGGCCTTAATAAAGTCATACCGGATATTGTTGATGTCCCTCTAATGTCAGTTCATGAGAATTATCAATTGCTTCAATAAAATGTTGAAACTCTGTCGCCAAGGATTGGTCATCCAACAAGATGGGAAACATCAAAACCTTTTGTTGAAAAAAAAATGACGAAAACTTATAAAATGAGATCATTAAGAAATTTTGTCCTAATAATGGAAGAATGTCAAATGTAATAAACACTGAATTGAGCACGAGGTGTCTATCCAGTACTTCCCATGCATGAAGCTTAAACTCTAGGGATAAAATGGAATTGGAATGTTCAAAAAGAAGAGCAATTCATTGCATGGAATTTTGCTATAATGATAAAGACAGGAAAACATAATTTTATTTTATTTTTGTCTCATGCTCAGATTCCATTACAATAATAAAAATATTAAAAAAAAACAATACTAGAGGAAGAGGTGAGGCTGAAAAGCAGAGAAAACAATCCATAGCAAATTCAATAAACGAAACCTGATATTAAAGCTGACAACGCAACTTAGTCAGAATAGGTCCCGTAACAAATTCTATAAATGAAATCTATGAATGCTAACAGCGTAACGTACTTAGAATGGGTCCCGTAACAAATTTTATAAATGAAATCTATGAATGCTAACAGCATAACTTAGTCAGAATAGGTTCCATTGGGTCAGTTGTTTACATGTTTGAATCCACATAACTTCAGATATCTGGACTAAATTTAACAAAAGCAAGTGATGGAGCCCTTTGCGCAAAATACTCACATCAACTAGATGCTATCAAATTGAGTGCTCCTACAAGTTTGTGCATACTGTCTAGGCGATCATGCATATCAAGTAACTGAACCTCATTTTTTCTTTCTTTCTTAAAGTAGTCTAGAAGAGTTTCATATATTTTTCATCCTACAGTACAAGATCACTTTTCAGTAAAGTTACGAACAGTTTTCGAGGCACAAGTTTTTTACGAGCTTGATCAAAATTTTATTGGCTTATCTCACATATGATTTGTAACTTTACTTCACCAATGTTGGTTCTTGTCTTTTTGAGTCTTTGATTATCAACCTACACACGACTTCTCCTTTTGTCCAAGTATTTGTTTCAGGCACTCTTGGGAGAACTCAACTTACATTTAACTCCCCTAGTTTTTCTCCTATACTGCCAAGTGCCAACAGATATCTACTCCAAACTTGCAGCATGCATACTTTATTTAATCATTTTTTTCTCAATAACTAACTCTACACCAATCTTCATGTTGAACTGTCGTAGTAAAATGAAACACTATACAGAATTGATGATGAGTCAGTTAAACCAAAAGTCCAGTGACTCCACATTCTAAAACTACAAAATGATGTAAAATTAGAGGCAAAACCAAGATAGATTGAGGATATGTACCTCAAACATAACACTAACAACTTCTCCATAATCATGTGTTGCATCATACTGCCCTCGTCCTATTCTAGCATTTAGATCCTTGAGGTGTAGAGTTATCCGTTCTTCATCAAGCATATGCAGCACATCAAGTAGAGGACTGATACAGCTGAGCTCATATTCCGTATTGTACATCTCTTGGGCTTGATGGTGCTGATGAACGCATAGAGTGCAACTTCTCATCTCTTGAGAGATCCTCTTCCATAAAATCTTGAGAGGAGAATCGTGGCATTGGTCCTTGAAATAATTGTAGAATGTCTCCAGAAGAGGCCCCATCAGATCCCAATAACCACACCAGACGTGGCTTTCTTTTGGCAAATATGTCAAGAAGTTGAATGCATCTGAAAACCTGGTAAGGAGTATTATTGAGCCATATTTAGAACAAACATGAAGAATAAAATGCAACAAAGCCAATTTAGTAGCATTTGAAATTGAAGCAGATGATAGTTTTGAAAAACAAAGTTTCATACTCCAAATTTAACATCGAAGACAGGATAGATTGGGATACAATGTCCTTGATGTTACTTGTTTTCTGAACTCCTAAATTAACTCTTGAAAGTGCAATATGTCGCATTGAATTAAAATGAAAAATATATTAAAAAAAAGAGAGAGAGAGAGAGAGAGAGAGAGAGAGAGAGAGAGAGAGAGAGAGAGAGAGAGAGAGAGAGAGAAGAAGAAGAGGGGGAACCATTGTTCTTTGAGCTGTCGGAAACGACGGCGTTTAACGGGGTGAATGGAAGAAATGGCATCATCGTCATCGTCTTCTTGTTCAATGAGACCCCATCGCTCCAATAGGTCTTTCCTGGTGACGTCCTTGTTCGCCATAATCAATCGACTGAAGAATTAGGGTTTAGGGATATATTAGCGCCAACTGGAAAGAATCGGAGCAAAGAATTGTTGGCGCGGGGAAAGAATAATTATTTTATGCCATTTCTGAATTTTATTTATTTTCAGATTATAAAAAGCAAAAATAGAATTATGCCATTGCCAGCTATTTATATCTGTCTGGGCTCATAAAAGCAAGGAAGCCCATTGGAGTACTATTTATTTATTACCATCCCCAAAACAATTGGATTTTATTTTTGGTTGGGCTCATAAAAGCCCGAGTATCAATTAAGACTAGGTAATGGGTCGGTTCAACCCACATTATCTGGCCCATAATTAACTACCAATCAATCTACTATAGATTAAAATTTTATGGGTGGTGATATACGCAGGCCAAATTAAACATTCAGGCACTTTTTTACCATGGTTTTTTACTTTTTTACCATAACTATTTACCTTTTGTACTATTCCTACCAAATCCTATAAAATATAAAACTCAACATTCAAAGTGAAAAATTTCAGATATTCAACAATTTTTGCGATGGATCCAAACAACTTAGACCCGAATGTAAGTTTTTCGTTTTTTTCCCGAAAATTCATCTACTCGTGTGAATTTACGTGAGCATTTGCCAAGTGCTCGTGTAAATTCACACGAGTAGATGAATTTTATTTTTTATTCATGTGCTCATGTGAATTTACGCGAGCACTTGGCAAGTGCTCGCGTAAATTCACACGAGCTCAAGAACAATTTTTTTTTTTTAATTAGCTCGTGTGATTTCACACGAGCAGATGAGGTTTGCTCGTGTGAAATCACACGAGCAGAACGTCTCTGTTCGTGTGAAATCACACGAGCACCACATTTTTTTTTTTTTTTTTTTTTTTTATAGTTTTATTCTTTAGTTTTATAATTTGCTAATTACATTAATATAAAAACAGGAAGTATACATAGATGTGGATGAAGATATTGAAACATTCGAGCTACATGATTTCAGTGAATTTTTCACAATTTCGACTGCATTTGATAGTAAAGATGCACTAGTCGAGTGGGCGATGAATATGGCCATCAGTCATGGACATGAGATTAGGCGACAGTCTTACCACGAGGGCCGACAATATTTGACTTGCAAAAGAGCCTATAAGAGTCGAGGAAAAAATGCAGAGGTCGAAACAAGCCGGAAGTCCGGTTCAATAAAGTGTAAATGCCCTTTTGCGCTATGGGGTAAAGAGGGTCGTGATGGATTATGGCGCCTTACCATCAAAAATGGCAAGCACAATCATAATCCTCATAAATATCCACAAGGACTACGTTCGCTAAGTCGCCTGACTGAAGAGCAACGAGAAGTGACAAAGATACTGAAAAAGAGCCATGTGAAGCCGAAGGAAATTTTGCATCATCTGAGGCAGATGAATCCGGATACGGCTGCGTCCTTGAGAGAAGTGTACAATGAATCACAGAAAATTAGACGAGAGGAAATGAAAGGAAAAACAGTTATACAACATCTGTGGCACGAACTAGTGTGAGAGTGGATACAGCAAATGGCATCGAACAAATCCAGCTGGTGATACAGTGCAAGACGTTATGTTTGCGCACCCTGATTCAATAAAGCTTTTGCAGTTATTTCCATACGTCATCCTGATGGATTGCACGTACAAGACTAACAGGTAATAATTATTTAAATGTGTATTACATTTATTATATATATATATATATATATATATATATATATATATATATATATATATATATATATATATATATATATAAGAGTTGACTAAATTATAATTACCTTCATGTAGATATGAAATGCCTCTTTTGGAGATCATTGGGGTTACTCCCCGTGGGAAGGAACTTCACTATTGCCGTTGCTTTTATGTCACGTGAAGATGGGGACACTTATGCATGGACATTGCGATGTTTGCGAGACATATTACCAATCGGGATAGAACCAGAAGTGATAATGACAGATCGTGAGCTGGGCCTACTGAAAGCATTGCCAAACGTGTTTCCACATTCGCATCACATGTTATGTTTATATCACATAAACAGAAACGTTGAGGCAAACGCGTCAAAATTCTTGGGTAACACCAAGTTGGGTGTACTGTTCCGGAGGACGGTGTGGGCAAAGTTAGTCGAATCTGAGACTGAGGAAGAATACGAATGCAACTATAGAGAGATAGTTAGTTTGTACGGGCAATATCCGAAGCTGATAACTTACATCAATGAAACGTGGTTGATTTATAAGGAGAGATTTGTTAAGTGTTGGACGAACAACATCGTTCATTTCGGTAACACGACGACTAACAGGTATATATATTGATTTTACTATAAACTCGTTACGTACAATCTTTTATACACATGTTACATTTATTCATTATTTGAGTGTTTTCTCGAAACAGAGTAGAGAGTGCACATCGTGCATCGAAGCGTTGGATCCAAACATCGACTGGAGCTATGGATACAGTCCTACTGTCCACCCCTCGACCCCCGACCCCGAGTCCTCGGACCTCCCCGCGACCCCTCCTAGGTAAGAGACGCAAATAGTGGGCATGTGGCGTCAACAAGTCCCTCAACTGCGGCTGAATGCTCAGGAATGCCTCAGCTGCGTCGTCACCAGTCAAACCGAACACGATCGGAACTAGGAGCCGAGCTATGTCGTTGGCGAACGGCTGGTCTGGCGGCACCGCAGCAACAACCCGTTCTGCAGGCGGAACTCTATCAGGGTTGCTAATGAACCGTTGCGTCCGCTCGATGTACCACTTCATGTACTCCTCGGCAACTGTTTCCGGCGGCCAGGCTTCAGGGTATTGCGACAAGTCAATGAAGTTGGCGTACTCGTTCTGCCACATGCCGCCAGGACCGTGGAAAGTGACTTTGTATCCCGCGCCAAACAAGCCGCGGTTATGTGGCAAGTTCGATTCAATTATCGGGAAAGGAATAGTCTGGACTCTTCCAAACTGCCGCAACCCTCGGTCGGGCATGTACGGCTCCACTATATCCATGAACTGTATCGTGCCGTAATACATGCTCCGAGGATGTAAGTAATGTGCACCGGTACCATACGGGGTCCAACAAACCTAAGCATATTTTAAACTAATTAGAAAAATCCGTAACTCTACTATAGACATAATTAGAAAAATTATTACTCACATCTCTTTCGGTCATGGCGTCGAGTATTTTTCGGTATTCCTGCAGCGTGGTTTTATTGCCTCCACCATGGGCCTACCTTCTGCATCGAGGCTCAAACTCGGCATATGAACGGGAAAGAGGTGGTCGAAAGCAGGGGAAATACTCAAAGATCCAGCACTGCAAACAAACACCAATGAATAAATAAATAAAATAGAAGTTTAAATAAATAAATAATTACTAATAAAGGTACACGTACCAGAAGGAGAATTACACATCCACAGAGACTGTTCATCCCAGCGCGGGTGGCAATACCCAATTGGCGGTACATGTTTGCTAAGCATGCCGAAGCCCACGAATACTTGCCAACATTATCGAGATCGTTGGTAAAATGGATCCACCACGGCTTTATGTTAGACGCTGTTTTGTCTACAAACAAAACAGACCCAAGCAGAAACATCAAGTAGCCCTTCATCTTCTTGTCGTCTGTGGCGCAGAGAAGGGTCAACTGATCTCTCACCTTAACCCAACCAACTCCCTTATTTCGAAACATCTCATTGGTGTCCATAAGACCGACACCCAATACAGATGCAAGACTCTGTGAGCACTCTTCTACCGGGCGAATTTCAGACACTGATGGTCCGTCCAGCCGCAACGCCAGGATGAAAGCGACATCGTGGAGCGTGATCGTCATCTCGCCCCATGGCATGTGGAAACTGTTCGTCTCCGGCTGCCACCTCTCCACGAAAGCTAGCATGAGGTTCTTGTTCATCCTCTTCAGAAAACAGTCTCGTAAGTGGTAAAGACCTGTTGCCTCCAACCTCGCAATCATCGTGTTATCCTGCGGGCCGCGGTAGTCCTCGAGTGCTTTGGTCCTCGACTCGCACCGTGTAGTTTCACGGCGCTCCTGAAAAATATTGCATGTATTGTTAGCTAAAAAAAATGAATAATATAAGAATTATGTAAAGCACGTGTTGACAGAAAAACTTACATATCCTTCCCAAATGTACATCGCTATATGCGACTTGAACCATCGCATAAACTCTAAATTTTGCGGCCCTCCCTCGCACGGACCCTCCAAGTACGCAGGACCAGGCAGCTGCGGAAAGGGTAAGACACGACCACCTCTACGATCCTGAAATGCATCTGCTGGCCCATCATCTTCCTCCAACTCCTCGTCAGTATCCATATTATCGTCGTCGGCATGTGGCAATGTACAGGGTCCGGCTCCAGCTGCAACACCTTCTCGTCTCAGTCTCTCTTCTTCCCGCTGTAACGCTGCTTCTCGAGCTAACTGCTTTCTTCTACGCGCGGAAGCAAGGACATCTCGGTCTCCAATGCGATCCGGATCTTCCGGATTGTCCCCCTTCCCACTCAAGGCTTTCATTAAGCTCTTGCCTTTACCGGCAACTTGACTCATAAGACTTTTCCCCCGACCTCCTGCCATCTACATTTTAACATTTTAAATAAGCACTTTATTAATATTTCATATAATAAAAAAAAAAGAATTTAAATAATGAAAAAAAAAAAAAAAAAAAAATTTGTTGTGCTCGTGCAAAAACATGCGACCACTTCAAAAGTGCTCGCATGTTTTTGCACGAGCACCCCTTCTAATTAAACTAATTAATTTTTTTAAAAAAAAAAAAAAAAAAAAAAAAAAAAATTGTTGTGCTCGTGCAAAAACATGCGAGCACTTTAATTTATTAAAAAAAAAAAAAATTAAACACTCGTATGAATTTACACGAGCGGAACCACTTCGCTCGGGTAAATTCACAGGAGTAAAAATCAACTCCCATTTTTTACGAAATAAATTAAAAAAAAAAAAAATATTAAAATAATTATTCACACTAAAGAGAATTTTATCGAGCCAAGTGGTTTCGCTCGTGTAAATTCACACGAGTGTTGCTAAGCTCGATTTTTTTCGTTTTTTTTTTCGGATTCGTAATCTACATAACAAGAGGATCGTAAAAACGTAAAAATTACCTCCGATCTGTTGACGATTTGCACGGGCTTTGCGAAAGAAAATCGAGAGGGTTGAGAGAGTTTTTTGAGTTTTTTACCTTTTGGTTTTTGAGAAATGGTAAAAAATGTGCCTGAATGTTTAATTTATGCCTGCACAAATCATTTCAGAAATTTTATTTATTTATAAAATAAATTTGGACATTAATTAATATGATTATTATAAATTCAATAGGTTTACATAAATGTCAATTCTACCCTGCATATTTTATTTTATTTTATTTGATAATTAAACAACAAATCAAAACATATCTTAAACCTTATTGATTTTATTTAATTAATAATTAATATAAAAAAAATAAGGGAAAAAAACAAAGGAGAGAAAAAGTGCGGAGGAGGTGGATTGATTGAGATTTTAGGGAAAAGTGCAACCCTAGAGAGAGAAAGAAGAGAGAGAGAGAGAGAGGAGATTGAGTTGAATAGAGGAGTGAGTGATAAGAGAATTAGTAGTGAGAGAGACCCTCCCTCCCAAATATCTGAAGTATTCAAACGAGAGTCGTCCTGTCCTTCAAATAGTTGGTTGCAGCAAAACAACAAACACCTTGGCTATACGGCTTTACCAATAAATATCAATCTCCTCTCCTCTCCTCCTCTCTCTCTCTTGATGATCCAAAAGACTCCGACCCAGACCCAGCAACGCCTCCAGGCACGTCTCTTTCTCTCACTTTTTTTTTTCTTTTTTTTTTTATCATCTTCGCATTCACTGCCATCCATTGTAAGCATCATGTTTATCACTTTTTCATATCATCTTCGCATTCACTGCCATCCATTGTAAGCATCATGTTTATCAATCTTCTGCCTTCTCTCTTCCCCCTTCCCCCTATATCTGTTCTCTATAAAATTTACTGCTATCGACCACTTTCAATTGCATTTCAATTAAAAAAATTGTTCCTTTTCATTTCTCTTTTTTCTGTTAATTAATGGCCATGTAATCTGAATCGCAGAAGAATAGCTACTGCATTATGGAAGATATTTATGGAGTTACGGTGGTACCCAAGGAGGACCTTCAGCTCCAGCTTCAACTCCAGCCTCAAAAGCCATCGCCTTTCCGCCTTAAGCTCCGCGTCCCTGATGTTGGACGTGCTCTTCAGGTCTTTTCCCTCTATTTTCCTTTTTTTTGTATTCTTATATTAGTTTCTTCATGTTTCCTCCTCTGTTGCCGTTTTCTTTTTGTTCAATTGTTCATCCAGATTCAGTTTCCCCTCTTACTTTTTCCATCCCATTTTTAATGGCTTTACCCTCTCCTATTCGAACTATGTCTATATTCTGCTTATTTGATTCATTTGCCAGAGTCGTAGCATTTCTGTCATGTTCTTCTTCTTCTTTTTTTTCAACTTAACTTGATCAAGTATGGAGCTCTGAATAAATATTTGGATCATCTGAAATAAGTAACCTTCTTTGATTTTCTTCAGGATATGGCAAAGACTAGAGAAGCTGGTGAGTTTCTCAGCGGAGCTTTAGCAGGGGCTATGACCAAAGCTATTCTTGCCCCTCTTGAGACCATCAGGTTAGTGATGCATTTCTGAAATCTAACTAGATATCTCAATTATGCATATTACAGGACCAAAAAACATTTTTGCTCGTACCTTCTTGTAAAAGTCCAGATTTAGACCTTACATGTTTCTGTATGGCTTTTGCATTTTAGCTTATCAGATAAGTTCTGTGAGAATGTAACTCAATAAAAGTTTGGCAATGTTTCATTCTGAGGTGAAGTGATGAATACCCACAGAAGTTAACAAAGACTTTTTAAGTGCAGCTATGTTTCTTGGTTGGCATATAAATCCTATTTCAGAGATAGTGCACTGCAACTATTATAAATCAGACACTATTAAGTTCTTCCATGTATCCGTTTTGAAGAATTATGAATTGATGTGGTTATACTTGAATTTTGACTTTATGTTTGCAGGTGGACATATTGTTTTTTTATGTCTGATATGATAATTTGGAACATGCAGGACAAGGATGGTGGTTGGTGTTGGGTCGAAAACCATTCATGGTAGTTTTGTTCAGATTATTGAAAAACAAGGTTGGCAAGGACTTTGGGCTGGAAATGCAATAAACATGCTGCGCATTGTTCCGACACAGGCAATTGAGCTTGCAACGTTTGAACATGTCAAGCGAGTGATGACTACAGCACAAGAGAAATGGAATCAAAGTGAAAGTCCAAAGTTGCAAGTTGGACAGCTCAGTCTCAGTTTTTCTCTATCCTGGTTGTCTCCGGTTGCTGTAGGTGGTGCGGCAGCTGGAATTGTTAGTACCCTTGTCTGTCATCCTCTCGAAGTTTTAAAGGTAAAATTCCGTCTCTGAAACAAATAAGAAAGAAAAGGAAGGGTTTGTTGGGTACATTGGTAATTGATACATAATTTCACATTCGTTTTTTTTTATGAAACTTTGTTTGTTGTTTGTTTATCATCAAGGGACTCTTATCTATATTTGTCTCCTTTATCAAGTGGTTATTTATCTTATACAGGACAGATTGACTGTGAGTCATGAAATATATCCCAATCTAAGTATTGCAGTGCACAAGATGTACAAAGATGGTGGAGTAGGAGCTTTCTACTCGGGGATTAAACCCACCTTGATGGGCATGCTCCCTTACAGCACATGCTACTATTTCATGTACGAGACGTTGAAGAAATCCTACTGTGTGACAAAGAAAAAGGAATCATTAACTCGTGTAGAGATGCTCTTGATAGGGGCTTTTTCTGGTAAAATCTTGCTTAGTGGTCATTTCAGTAGTCTGCTATTTTTATTTTATTTTTCAAATTACGTAAATATGGTGATTAATCTGATATGTGGAGTTGAATTGGGGATAGAGTATAGCATATGTGTTGATCGGTGTTGCAAATGTTTCAGGGTTGACAGCAAGTACAATAAGTTACCCTTTAGAGGTTGCAAGAAAACGGTTGATGGTAGGAGCTCTGTTAGGGAAATGCCCACCCAACATTTCAGCTGCACTAGCGGAAGTTGTGAGAGAGGAGGGTATGATGGGTCTTTACAGAGGCTGGGGAGCTAGCTGTTTGAAAGTGATGCCGTCCTCTGGTATTACATGGATGTTCTATGAAGCTTGGAAAGATGTATTGCTAGCTGAAAGACGTAAATCTAAAACACAGATATCGACTCAGGGCTAAAATTCCTTCAATAAAATACACTTTCTGTCTTTCATAGTCGTCTGAACACACTTTCAAGGAAGGCATTATTGTTGATTGGCGCATGGGAGACTGACTAGGAGCTGTCTGTCTTTGAAATCTCAGCCCATTTTTAATAGAAATGAAGCTTGGGTTCGTTAGATCTCATGAATGGATGGATTTATTTGCTGTTTTAGAAAGGTAAAAGAAGACTGATTCCAACAAATTTGAGGCATTGTATTGCTGATATGGTGGTGTTGGTGCCATTTTTAAACTGTGCGGCACCAACAAAAGTTTTGGTTTATGAGGAAATGTCTAATCAGAGATATTGTCGTCATCTTTGGATGTCGTGTGTAACTCTACTTTAGTCACATGAGACTTATTTATGCTTCCCTTCATTGATCCGAAGGCATACAGAAAAAAAACATTTGTTAGCTGTTTGTTGTACCACAATGTGGCTTTAGATATTCTTATTATTTGTTTGATTATTGGATTCACCTGCTATGGTTTGCAACTCAACTCCTCAAATAAACAAACACTCGACAAATCGACGAATCAGCATTCAAACTACACCTAAGCAAGTCCCCTGCTTCTATCTATACATTACTCACACATTTCTACTAGAAGTTACACCACACTGCTACATTCTCACATATATACGTACCGACATAGTAATTTCAACCTAACTTCTAAATGCACTGCCCAGCACTTGTCGACCGGAGGTTGGACTATTATGAGCTTATCTCAGCTATATCCACTTTCAATGTCAGGTAAGAGCAGAGAATCTCGTAAAATAATTCTCCGACATTCAAAGCAAATCCCCTATGGCTCTGAGGTACTTCCATTATCTGCATACATCATTCAACAACTGCAGTTAGTTGCAATCATCAACACAGCTGCAAAAAGATCTTTTACAAGTTCTATATACCGTTCTCACCATCATCGAAAATTGAAAACTAGAAAAAAGAAAGATGACTAGGAACGTAGACTGTCTATACCTTCACCACATAATTGTTCAAATCGAGCAACTATATGTTTCCCATATGTATATTTCCTCAAAGCAATGAGATGAAGCCGAATTCGATGAAGCAATGTTTCTCTCTGCTTATCGTTACTAATTTCAAGAATCTTCTGGACTACGTAATTTGCAAACTGGTCCTTCATCATCACCTAAAAATGAAAAAAATAAAAATAAAAAAATAAACAACTTTTTAATAAAAAAAATAAAAATGAAATCCTTATTATATTGTTAGCCAGTTAAAAAGGGCAGAATGAATGATGCCAAGAGACATCAATTAGGTATAGTTAAAGAATGTATATTGTATACTCGTGATATTTTAGTTTATTCTTCAAACAAGGTGTTGAACAACAGATTCTCTTACCAGTAAATTGTCATTTTCTTCAGACTGCAGAAGGATCTCATCAATCAAGAACTCCCGTTCAGCAGCATCGCCAAACTCTAAGCATTTCTCTACAACATTTGATGCATACTTATGCTGGCTCATCTGTACAATTTTCCCACACAATTTGCGGATAATTTGACTCCGTACAAGCGGTTTTCCCCTTTCCAAAACGTGCTGTAGAAGTGATCAAATTTTTATGTTCGACAAACAAGTGGAGAAAAGGGACCAAAATTTTACTTTCAGCTCAAAACGTACTACTGTTATCTTCAAATCGTAGTTTGCACTATGCTTCAATAATGGAGTCTCAGATATATAAAAAAAAAAATAAAGAAAAAAAATAAAGGGAGTAATCAATCCCAAAAAACTATTATATAAAAGAAAATGGTTCTACATTGCATACATTTAATAGAGATCCATAAACCAAAATAGAAAGAAACCTGTGTGACGTAGTTGCCATACTGATCACGAGCAAGATCAGAAGCAGATTCCAGTATCTCATCCACTATTGTTCCACATCTTACGTCATCTGAGCAATGCTCCAAAACCCTCTGCAAGGAAATCATGGATTCAACAATCTTCTTTAAAATCTCCTTCCACTTTAGGTTTCATGTAGCAAGAAAAAAGGATCGGGATTCCTGTATTTTGTTTTAACCAAGAATGGTTGTACCTGAATCACTCGACAACCATAGGGATGAGTAGATAGCGTAGCTACTTGTCCATGGAAGGCGGAGATGATAAAATCAATATTTTCAGTGGGCATACATTCAACGCATTTTTGTATGACGTGATTTCCATTTTGATCCCTCACACATCTCATTACATGCCCATCCAGTTCCAGTACAAGTTCTGTCTTCTGCTCAACATCGATAACCTCCAGAGCCTGAAGTGTATATCCACATATATGTTTTTTAAGATCCGTCACTTATCATGATTATGGTACAAGTAATGAGACTTAAATAGTCGCCATCATTTAGCATAGGATGGAATAATGGATAAGAATATGCACATACCTTTTGTATAACACGACAACCATACATTTGCAAACTTAAAGGTAGCATCTGTCCCGATAATTGGCTTGCAAGTTCCTTCCTTTGATCGTACGTCCCGTGTTCAAAGAACTGTAAATACAACCAACTATGCATGAAATGCAGAGAAGGAATAATGTACAACCCCAAATATGCAACTATAAAATCCAATTGGCACAAAACAAACTGAGGTAACCTACCTTCTGAATAACATAATTCCCAAAGACGTCGGTTATCAATTTTGAAGCATGTGGGAGAACTTCCTTAAAGACCAACTCCTTCTCTTGTACACTACAATTTTCCAACTTCTGTTGTATAAATCGACTCCCATGTTGATCAACACTGAAGTTACACATGCATATTAAATGATTTTCGAATGATCATTCAGCTCTATTACAAAGGAAACCGACAAAAAAAAAAAAAAAGCTGAAAGGCTACCTGAATTCAACAATACGACCTACAATGTCAGAGAGATCAATTCTTCTAGCATTGCTTGTTTTAAGTTCTTCAAGAAAAGAATGTTTTCTGTATTCACTAAAGCTGTCAGCCTCCCTTTGTCCTTGCCACCTGGCATACCCACCAACATTTCTGGGTGAAGTTTGAGAAAACCCAAAATCATATCTTCTTCCTAATGAACTTGTGCTTGTGCCTCCAACCGGAGACTGCGGGAAAACTGGACTACCAAGAGGTGATGTTGGGAACTGAGGCACAAATCCTAGACCAGTGGGACTGCTAAGGTAACTCGTACCAGGTATCATTGTTTCCCTTGCACTTGGAATGCCAATATTCCCACGTGGGGAGAACTGGAATGTCTGCCCAGCTGTATAAATAAGCAGTTAGTAGTTCGTTGGACCCTTTTTTGTAAGGAGATCTTTCTAAAAAAAAAATGAATTTCATTACTAATCATACCAGGTGATGGTAAATTGGCATATTGCATAGGTACACCATACGGATCTCGCATAGTCTGCTGGAAATACTGCAACGAAAGAGGATCTTGAAAGGTTGGAGGCATTGTTACTCCGTATTGGCCATAAAACCGGTTTAAATTCTGTACAGCAGCAGAGCCTTTTGAGAAGTTTTCCCCAGTTGGAATGCCAGGAGTTTGACTAGTAAGATTTTGTCCAGAATTGGCATTAATATGCAAAGGAAAAGCTGTCTGAGGTGGATATCCAGCCAGATACGGTGGAATAAATGTTGAGGAATCCATAGAATATCCACTGTACTGTGGAGTAGTAGTATATAAACCGGAAGTACTGAGATTGGGATAAAATGAAGTTCCTGGAGCCATATAAGCTCCAGTACTTGCATATAAAGGAGATGGCTGCATCTCAACCGAGTTGATATTTCTTTGCAGACCAGTTCCGGAAACATGGTAGCCTGCATCATGCGGAAAATAAGTATTATTATGTATGCGGATGTATTTCATTTTCGGCCGAACAAATCCTCCATTATATGAATGATTATAGAAGCATCTAAATCAACGGTGCCACAAAAACTCACACAATCACTGGTAAAATAATGTATTCTTACTAATTAATTCATCCCCGTGCATGGAAAGAGACCTTCCTGAGGTGTCGAGGAAAGGATTTATTGGAACTGTGGGGATATCAATGCCAGAATCCAGTGACAGGCCTTGCATTTCATGGTTGAAAGCTTCGCCGACATGGCTTGAGGAACGATTCTGGCTAAACACTGGCGAAGGCGTCCGCGGAAAACTCTCCTACAAATTAAACAAGATACCACAAATAAACGATGTCATATATAGAGTGATTGTCATCGGTACGTAGCTATCAGGTAAATTGCATTAAATGTATAAAATATAAAAATCGCTTAGTTTTGGTGGGGACCACTGCAATGAATTTACATGGCACTATTCTGCTCATGATCTTAAGAGATTATCTGCATGCCCACATTTATTTCAACTAATATAAAAGCATGCACTGACAGAAGCAATAGATGTTTCCTTAGAAGTAGAAGCATGATTTTAATCACCACATGAAAGAACAAAATCAGAACGCAAAGTAGTTATTGAAATAGGATTTCAAGTACTAATAAATGCACTCGTCAAGAGTCCCAAGTTCAACACTGTTTCTTGAGCAGCCACATCGAATCTGTCTATGCGCATAATTTCTCTATTAAAGGAAAAAAAGAACAGATTCTACACGTGTTGTATAGAATACCTGTAGAAGATTAGCCAAACTTTTGTGACGAGCACTAAACGACAAAGAGTTGTGTCCAAACATGAGACTAGTACTTTTTGTCCGGTCATCCTTTAGTGTTGTATCATCTTCAGGGTCGTCCTCATGGGTCGTAGAAAGAGAAGTTCTCGATATGTACATAGATCCACTTCCACGACCACCATCTACAGAGGGTGATCTCCAATTATTGCCTGAAAACACACACAGTACAGTCATGTCCAAGGTTAATGTTTTCAAGACTTTGGTTCAAACCAATACTCAGAAGATAACATATTATTAAATACAATGAATCAGCTTGCAAGAGTTGAATTGGACAAGGGATGTTGAATTATAAGATCGATTACCAAAAGCGGAGAAAGAGGCTTCCATGCTTGGAGGTGCACTACCACTACGATTAGGAGCAATATTAATGCCATCTCTTTCAGTGTTGTCGTGGCCTCTGAGCAACGACCCCAGTTCTTCGGTTGCTGATGAAGAAGAAAAAGCAGGAGTGGCCCTGGGTGGGGCCCACTTTGCAGCTCCAACGCTATCCTCCGAAACTCTCATAGGGTTTTCAGTTGTCATACTTAATAGTTATAATTTGTCAGTACTTTTTGTCACATCTCTTATTCACAGAAAGTGAGTAGTACTGGATTCTACAAACATACGCACATGATCACCCACTGCAAATAAAATAATGCCAATCAAGAGAGTGCACAACAACCAGAATTAGAGAAATCTTTAGATAAACACACACACACACACACATACACACAAAAATGGAAACACAGAAGAACAACAAGTGATAAGGAAAAACGGCATTGATTGAACCAAAGTGAGAAGAAACACCAACCCTCATGCACTGCTTCCTAAACCAACCCTCAAAAGAGCACACAGACATGAAAAACCAAAAAAAAGATTAAGAAGGAAAGAAGGCAACTCACATGGGATGGATGGTGTTAAAGATTGAGCAGAGAGTCTTACAATTGTTTGAGTTACAGTAAACGATCAGAAGAACAAAAGTCACCGGAAGGAACCCAACCGAATAAATATGTTGGCCGACCGACCAGCTTATTTATATTATATTACTTCTTCTTCTTCTTCTTCGGTTCTTTTGTTTTGTTTTATTAGGAAGGAAATACAAATGTCGCTTCCGTAACCCAACACGCTGTCTCTCTCTCTCTCTCTCTCTCTCCTCTCCCTCTCTCTCCTCACTCTCTCTACACTTTCTTCCTCTTCTCTCCTATTTCTTTATTTTTTCGTGTATATACAAATATAGTCAAAAGTGATGACTCCCTACACTACACCAAGCCCCTCCCACACTATAATTTACAACAATACAAATAATTTGGTTCAAACATTGACTACTTTAAGGTTACTATTCCTTCCTTCTTGTATATAATTATAATATATATTTGTTTCATTTTTTGTTTAATTGGACCACCAATCCATTATCAATGTGTTCTTGTATAGTAAAGATATGAAATTTGTCTATCCAAGTGAACTACAAGACACTGCTTACATAAAAACAAACTACAGATTTACAGGTCCACAACTAAACTTTTTAATACATTTCTCAAATTCAACTAACTAGGGGAAACAAAGACAGGTATTTTATATTATATATATATCAGAATTCTTTCACTAATTAGAAGTTACTAGAATAAATAAATAAAGTCTTGTAGTGTGTATCTAAATGATCGGAAGATACATACATTACATATATATAAAAAAAGATTAATTAATTAACAAGGAAAAAGGATTGGTGAAGGGTCTCTTAGCAACTTGCCATCAACAACCAATTTCTTCATCTTTTCTTCACACCAAAACATTTGTTCTTTGCTTATTCTCACCATTCTTAGAACCCTACACAACACTTTGACGTCGATAAGCCCAAGCAACGTCTCCACATCCTCTTCCGCCGTCGGCCAACTTTTCTTCTTCTTCTTCTTCGTCGTCTTATTATTATAATTATAGCTCTTCTTCTGCACCTCCTTCATTTTCACTGCTTTCTGTATTCATCTTATCTGGTTAAAACACTTGTTCAAAAAAAAGAGAGTTATATATTAGTTAGTTATATATTCACCTTCTCAAGGGAATGTTGCATCTGTTGAACCGGTGTACCCATCTGGTTCTGGCTTCCAAATATGTTGCGCACACTGCTCGTTTTCTTCTTCTCCATCTTTATGAATTGCCGGAAACTTAAGATACAGCTTTCCATTATTTTGCTTAAATCTGTCGCAACAACCACTAGCTCTGATGCCTCTTCCTCCCCCCCTGTGCTTTTCTCCTCATAAGCTAATAAAACCATCAACAAGAACAACATCAAATCAAGCCTAAAATTCCCTTATAAACAAACAACTTGTTTTCAACAACGGCTTTCCACCTCATCATCATCATACCTTGGATTTTAGGAACCTGGAGCAGTTTGGGCAATGATTTTCTTGTGCGAGCGAATATCTCTGGCCTAGAGCCGAGTTCAAACGGCTCGTTTTCAATGAACCTCTGCAATAGGACAAGGAACTGCTGGAACTGCTGAGCGCTGTGGTTGTAAGAGGAGTGACATTCGGGTTGTGATGAGATTTTCTGTCTCAGTTGTGTGTATTGGCAATGAAGCGCCTCCCAGGTCAAGCACATTTGACCCACGTATGCAGTTTCGAGTTCTTGATAAGGGTCACTACTGACTGCCCCCTGCAAATGCTCATTTTCGTCTTCTTCCACCTCGAATTTTCTCATAGAAAGGCATCGCAGTGGAGACGCGAGCTTTTTAGAGGCAGATCTTGGCGATGGTGTCGAAACAACATGACAACCTGTACGATTTTAAGCTTTTAACTATTGCCCAATTCAGAACAAAAAAAAATCACTTTCCCACATTCCCACTCATCATCAATACATCAAGAAAGAGCGAAAAATAACATTTATCTGAATCAAATTTGCTACTCCTGAAAATGTCCTGATGAGCTATTCAACTGAATTTGGCCTAATCAGGCATCTAAGGACAACTTTATCTATAGAATTTGAATAAGGGCATGCATACAAAGAGCTGATGAACTTTAAGGTCATGACAAACCAATTTTTCGATTTAGAAACAGTAAGAATTGTTAATCCCTTTTCTATAATTACTTCAATTTTGACATCGAGTTATAATGAGCTTGTGCATGTAAGTCGAAGTTTCCAACTAATTGAGCAACCACAGATAATTTCGGAAACGACGACATTAGAGGGATAGAAACAATTACCAAGTTCAAGCAGCTGCTGAGAACTGAAGCGATCAAAAAACAACATGCGTTCGCAGTATACATCATAGACAGCATCAAAACCAGACCAGAACTGTCTTCCCTCAGCTTCAACATCCCTCCATTCATTAGAGCTGGTTTCCCCTTGTTCCTCTTCATCTTCCTCATCAGCCTGACAAGTTTCCTCAGGTATCAATACCATGAAGCTGTTTCTTCTCAGCTCTTTCAGCCTCCTCTTCACCTCATTCGTGATGAAATCATCGTCATCGTCTTCCATTTCAGGATTCGTAGAATCGTCATTGACTGACTTACCCAACGCATTATCAGCGTTTTTGGGCTCCTGTGGTTGGGGCACCGGCTGATCTTGTGTCACATTATCAGCGTTTGGTTTGTGGGCATTCCTAAATTTCTTTAGTTTGAAGAAATCCATCAACAATAGTTATGGATGCAAAGATGGCCTTTTTAAAGAAACCCTGCAAAGGCATTCATCCAAGTAATTATATCAGATCCAATTATTACCAAGAAATTATCCTCAACCAGGAAAAAGAAAAACGAAAGTGAAGATAAATGAGACTAACTATACGGAGATATATATATAAAAAAAAAAAAAAAAAAAAGGAATTAACCAGGAAGAGGAACTACATTTCGTCAAACATCTTGATCCTGTATACAACCCACCAAACCCTTGCAAAACCACCACCCCCAGAAAAGAAAAAAAGAAACCAAAATGGATAAAAACGAATTAAACAAAGAAAAGCATTTCAAGAAACGATTTTTTTTCTTTTCAATGGTGAAAAGAAACAAGAGAGAAGCTCGAAGATCACTTACGAAAATGGTTGGCTGCAGCAGTCGAAAATGAAACCCCAAAGAGAGAGAGAGAGAAGGGGTGTTGGGGTTTGTGTGTAGAGAGAATTAAAGAGAAATGAAATGGGAATAGAGAGAGAAGGGGAGTGACTGCAAAAAACAATAAATGAATGCAGGATTTTGAAAAATTAGAAAGAGTTAATGAGATTCCGGATTCCCATAACAAAGCTTGTAGATTTACTACCAAGATTTGTTTCAATTTTCTGTCTCGTTTCAATCACACACTCTACTATTAATACTACATTACTTACACCATTTATGAATTACATTAATTAATTGTATATAAAAATAAATAAGAGCAGCAGAGCAACAGTAGTATTATTTATTTGCATTGGGAAAAAAGAAGAAAGGGATCCAATCGTAGTAGCAGCAGAGAATATTGTCAGAAAACCAAACACTATTGTTTTTTATTTTCTCATATTACATTATTGTCCTTTGTATACTCTACTACTACTGTCTACTCAAATCACATGAATGAATGAGTGAGTGATGGATGCCACTTATTCTTATTCATTCAGTTTTATTCATTCATTATTGCATATGCAAAAGCCCAAAGTCCATTTAACCATTCGCCCGGCCCATCAGAAACAGAAACAGAATCATCTTAATATGAAAACAGAAGAAGAGAGCTAAAATCATTCCTGCTTGCTTGTCTGAAAGCTAAAATCTCATTATATATTCACATGATGTTTCTTCATTCACCAACAAACATCATACATTCATACTAATAATACATTCACATTAATAACACTATTACTGTTGCCTTCAGTGGCCTAGCCATGTTGCTGGTATTGCCTGAAACTTTTGTTTTGCACAACCTAATAAATCATAGTATTCTTCATTACTCATGCAGTCTCTAAAATCTGTCAGAAGCCTCTCGTATATCTTCCACTCAACTCGGTGCGACCTCGAATACGGATATGCCAGAAACACCACCTGCAAATTACCCCCACCCATTATTCTCTCCTCATTTCACATTTTCCTTCAACAAGTATATATATGATATATGAGATATGCTCACATGATCTCCTCCCTCCATTGCAAGACGTTTCAGTAACAGAAAGGTGCGATGATTGTCCTCCAAATTTTCAATAACACCCAACCAAATCATACAACCAAGCTCATGTGCCCTGTCCCTTGACTTTCCACACGCTATAAACTGATCTGCACCTTCATCCATACATTAATTCACTTTTGTTTTGTTACTAAAACATACACACAGTTAAACGATTTTCATTACATTCTAATCGTACCCACTCAAACCTATGTTACTGCCTAGATGTCGTCTACTTATGTTAACTTTAATTTCAGTGAACCATAGGGACTTGATCTGGCTGGTTAAAATATTGTTCAGTTTCATGTAAAACAACATAGATTAACCCAGCTATTTTAAAACATCTGCATCCAACTAATCTATTTACGAGTAGCTAAAACGAAGTAAAAATAGGTCATGATTCCTAGGTACAGAAATAAAAGAAATTATTTGTTAATGGTTTGAGAGATAGCACCTATAATAGTTCCATGAAGTATCCCAGATGGAGGAGGCATGGTTGAAATGTGAAGCTGCTCTTTTAAGAACAAGTATGTATGACCTACAATCTCACTTAGTTCATCATCTTCTTCTTCTACCGGCAACATGATGAATTTACTCACATACAGAGCAACAAACCTCCTGAATAATGATTAGTGAATATACATACACATACAATAAGGTGAGTCACTCGAGCAATGATTGCATACTCATCATATAAAGCATACAGGAAAGGACCAACCTTTTACTGATTCCGCGAGGAATAGGGCCAGGCCACCTTTTACGATGACCAGATAAAGGGAAACACCTGGCAAGAGCAGCGTGCCACAAGCATTCCTCGCGAAACAAATTAGCCCAGTACTTATTAACACACGATAGCTGCCCCCACTCCACAACCGGAACACGGATCAAGATCTCTATCAATACATGACCCGGAAGCTCTGCAAAGGGACAATCAAAACCAGCTAACAAGGTCCCTTCTGCCATTCACCCCACCATGCAGTGGTAGTTGAATGAGTCTATTGAAAGAAGAATATAATTACAATTAAATGGGAAAAGGTTAAATCTTTATCACAGAGAACGGAAGAATTATAATCTTTATAAGATTTACACAAGAGACATGAAATACTAACAGTAACACAAACTAATGATTTCTTGCAACTCTCCTGCAAAATCAGAATAAATATATATTGAACCAGGTCTCGGGTCGAATTTACACCGGTAAGAGAGAGTAAAAAGCAAATCAAAATCATAAGAAACGATTTTAGAGAGCATCAGAACAAGAGTGTAATTAATTGTGAGGAAATAAAGAATGAAAATGGAAAACAGAAACAGTCAATCATTGGATGAAAGCAAGAAATAAAGAGAGACAAAAGGGACATAGGCGAAGGTTCCTGTAATTCAGACAATTGATGGTACTGTATGTAACACGGATAAAGAAGATGAAGAAGAAGAAGAAGAAAAGAGAGAGTAGGCAGATGATGTGGGGCGTGGGGTAAATTTGTTCATTCATTCATTGGTAAGGAAACCGACAAAATCACTCACCTAAGTCGTAACTCGTAACGCATACGCATACGCATACGCAACTCTTGTTTTTTATAATAATAATTGTATTCAATAATAATAATAATAAAATAACAAGGTTAATTAATATACAGACAGAGAGATTACAGTAACCCTGATGAAAGAGTGGGTTGAGTAGAGTGAAAAGAAAGAGTAAAGAATGAAAATTTAATAGCAGCAAGTAGGTGTGTGGGTGTGGCCGGTGAATTAGACAATGTTTTGGCGATTAAGAAGAACCTTGTTCATCAGTGCTTCTCTCCCCGGAAATGGGCTACTCCTCCTCCTCTGCCCATATCCAGCTGCAGGCCCACTCACCAAACCTCCTTCTTCTTCTTCTTCTTCTTGTTCATCATCCTTAATGTTTCCACAGCCCCCCGCCTCCATTCGCCGCCTTACCCTCTCTCTCCTCTCCCTTCTTTTCCCTCCATCTTCTTCCTCCTCCTCCGCTTTAATCTTCTTCTTCTTCTTCTTCTTCATTATTTCACCTGCAGTCTCCTCCTTCGCCCCCACTCGGGGTATTCTCCCTCCCTTGGACGTGCCCAACAACCCAAAATCAACCTTACTCCACCCACGCTTATCTTCGTTGTCCCACCCAAATCTCTTGCTGATTTCCAGCAATTCCGACACAGCATTTCTCCCAGATGACAGGGTTTCGTTTCCTCCGCTGAGAATCTTGTCGGCCAACTCCCACTCGATTCGGTCTCTGTAAACAGGGTCGGTGAGCACTTGATCAGCCAGCTTGGCCCACTCTTCCGTATCACCCGCTCTCAGATTCTTCGACACCCACCTCAGGTACGAAGACGGCAAGCTCCCCAGCATTTTACCACTGTATTTCCCCAAATCTATCACTCTGTCCCGCGCCGGAACTCCCGACATACGCGAGGTGCTTCTTCTGCCCGGTTTTGGGTGAAAACAACATGATATTTTAGAGGTCTGGAATGGGGAAGGAATGGTGAACACGAGATTCATTTGAATTGGAATTGGAATTGGAATCGGAATTGGAAATAGTTTAGATGATATCACCGTCACTGTCATCATCTTTCAATTTCTGACGATGAAAATAAAAGATAATCAAATCTTAAATTAGCAATATCTTTCAGATAACCAACCATGTCTATTTGGGCTCCCATTAATCACATTGGTAAAAATGTAAAAAATGTATATTGGGCTTTCTCGTTAGGCCCGAAATTGGCCCGGTAAAAGATATTTATAGGTAGGCTGACATGGCATAACCTGATTGGGTATCTGTAACAAGTGCAAAAGTAGAGTATCTTTCCTCCTTAAATTACCATAAATCAATCAATCAATCAGTGTAACCAGCAGCAGCAACTACCTACATCGATCTCCTCACGTTCTCTCTCTCTCTCTCTCTCTATCTGACTGTCAATAATTCCAAATCGCCGCGAGATTTGATTTCAACCATAGACTGTGTGTGAAGTTCTTTTCTTCACCGATCGGATCTTGTTCATTCGGATTCAGTTCCGAACGCTGATTACTTTTGTCGATTCGATTCTCTTAACCTCGAAATATGCCGTCTGTTTACGGAGGCCCATTGACAACCTTCGAGGATGCCGAAAAGGAGAGCGAGTATGGATACGTTCGCAAGGTTCGCTTTTTTCTTTTCCTTCGATTTACTCTCTTTACTGTTTTGGTATCTGCTTTTGACTTACTTCAGATGTTTGCTACAGTTGATTATTTTTATTTTTATTTTTCCTTTTCCGTTTCCTTTCCGGGGTTGAAAATTATTTTGTCACTAAATGGTGCAACCGCTTAGTGTTTAAAATTCAATCTGCCATTTATGTTGATCCAATCTAGATGCAGTCAGTATGTTCTTTTGCATTGGTTTTTTTGGATTCTTCCAACTTGGATCCATTTGTTCTTAGTCTAATTTGGCAATTCTGTTACCTTTTCCGTCCACTTGAATATAATTTTACTTTAGTCTGTTCATATGGTCTCCCTTGATTCAGGGTGCTTCAGTATATTTATCCGTGACTTTTAGATGATGATATTATTATTCAATCTAAGTTGCCTTCTTTGCTGCTGCAATTAATTTTATGTTGAAAGAGTATCTCTTATGTAGTTTTAACTTTGGTTCCCAATAGGTGTCTGGACCAGTTGTTGTTGCTGATGGAATGGCAGGAGCTGCTATGTATGAACTAGTTCGTGTTGGACACGACAATCTTATTGGTGAAATTATTCGGTTGGAAGGAGATTCTGCCACTATTCAGGGTTAGTGTTTCTACTATCCTTCAAACTCTTCTTTATCAGCTCAAGCCAGTCTTTCTGTCAAGCTGTAAGTGTTTTCTGACTCCAGACTTAGATTTTCTTAAATTACTGTCTAAGAACTACAGAAGTAGCAAGGCCAATTTGGAAGAACCAAGGTTAAGGCATGTCTCTTTATTAAAGAACTTGTTCTATGGGGATCTGAGTTCTGAGCCCTCTGGTGTGGATACTGCATAAGGCTACATGAGTTGAATAGCGTTCAAGAGGGTATGCCAAAAACATGTGAATTGTGCCGAGAGGCCTAAGCGGGTTTCTAGAATACCCACTGCTTGTGATTCATATGTAACACTGCGCGTAAAGAGATGACCACTTTCCTGCGTTTGATAAAAGTCTCAGTAGGCTACTCCATCAGAAGTCAACTTTAACTAACATTCTTTATTGATAACATATGTAAACATCAATAGCTGATGTGATGATGCCTGAGGCCTGTTGGGTCACGAATTGGGGAATGACTGGGAACTGGGAGAATGATTTGTCTAACTTACATTTGCTACCCCTGGTACTCAACCGCACTCCCTAGTATGTAGAAAGGCCTTTGTGGACCACTATAACTATTACTAAAGACCCCATAGTCAATAAGGAAACAAGATTATCATTTCTTTTATTCGGGCTGTTATCATATTAATAATAGTTGTGTACTGATTACAAGAGTCATTGTGATTTTTTATTGCAGTGTATGAGGAAACAGCTGGACTGATGGTTAATGACCCTGTTCTTCGAACTCGCAAGGTTCTCATGTTCTTTCTGTCAAACTTCAATTTTTTTAAGCATATGTCGCTTTTTTATTAATTGAAAAATGCTTACCCTGTACTCATTGACCTATTTTTACAGCCTCTATCAGTTGAATTGGGTCCTGGAATTTTGGGAAATATATTTGATGGTATTCAGGTTTGTAAAATTCGTCTTCTTTAAAATTTTCATGATAACAGGTTGGCCAAATGATATTTGGTTTTCTAGCTTGAAGTCCTTGAATGTTTTTCTAATGGCGGTTTTTGCTTTTGTTTTTGGTAAAATACTCAAACAGAGGCCTCTGAAAACAATTGCAATAAAATCCGGTGATGTATATATTCCTCGTGGTGTATCTGTCCCAGCACTTGACAAAGATGTTCTTTGGGAATTTGAGCCAAAGAAAATAGGTGCCTGAAAACTATTCCTTTTTGTGTTATTTGGTGCTGACTTAAATGTCTTGGTACAAGGTAGAAAAGTACTGCGATTTGGTAGCATCCTTATTAACTTAGAATGATTTTGAATGGCAGGAGAGGGGGATCATTTGACAGGTGGTGACTTATATGCGGTGAGTTTGACAGAACTATCCTACCCGTGGAAATTTCAAGTTTTTTGATTAAAAGCTACTGCTGATTTTGTAAGCACTTCTTGTTTTTGTGCATTAATTCTTCATGCAGCAAGTGGTTGAGAACAGTTTAATGCAACATCATGTTGCTCTTCCTCCTGATGCTATGGGAAAGGTAACCTACATTGCACCAGCTGGCCAATACTCGTTGAAGGTTTGTCTCTTTGAAAATACAGTACCTACTATACATCAACCTGCTAATAGTTTTAAGTCAAAATCTAAGTTGTCACTTGTCACATGAAATTTTCTGAACTTTTGCAGGACACTGTCCTAGAACTCGAGTTTCAAGGTGTCAAGAAACAATTTACCATGCTTCAGGTTAGCTCTTAAATTAAATGTGGATAATTTTCATAATATTTCTTATCGATTGAGCAAAAAGCTCAATATGATTATGATATACCGCTCTGCAGACCTGGCCCGTGCGTACACCTAGGCCTGTAGCTTCAAAGCTTGCTGCTGATACACCTCTCTTGACTGGACAGGTGACTATTTGTGACATGATTTCTTTTTCCATCTTGCATGTTCTTTTTGTTGATTCTTCCCCTCCACCAAATAAAAACACACGTGCACTCACAAATTGTCACTCTCTAGAGTGTTTTGTAATCTGACGATTTGGCTTCATTCAGCGTGTTCTTGATGCTCTTTTCCCCTCCGTGCTTGGTGGTACTTGTGCCATTCCTGGTGCATTTGGTTGTGGAAAAACAGTCATTAGTCAGGCTCTCTCCAAGGTGAACATCATTGATTTGCATTAGCTTTTTTCATGTTATTGGTAATCTTGTTTGCCAGTAATATCTATCAGTTTTAAAACTTCTAATCCTATTTTTGTCCGATATTAAATGCAGTATTCCAACTCCGACACTGTAGTTTATGTTGGTTGTGGAGAAAGAGGAAATGAAATGGCAGAGGTACATAGTTTGCTAACTTGTTTAATTAACTTGTGGTGTCTTCGAAGTGTCTGACCTAGTTATTTTCTATAGGTGCTTATGGATTTCCCTCAATTGACAATGACATTGCCAGACGGGCGGGAAGAATCTGTCATGAAGCGTACGACACTTGTAGCTAACACATCAAATATGCCAGTGGCTGCTCGTGAGGCTTCAATTTACACAGGTTACTGTTGTTAACCATTATTATACTTTTGGAGGTTGATATCTGCACTCCAATATGAATCAATTCCTAAGAAATTGACTGGATTTCCTCCATTTCTTAGTGAACTTATGAAAAAAATAGCAATAATAACAAAAAGTAATAGTGACATACTTAAATGAAAATAGGCTTCGGTTACTGTTTTTAGGGAACTGTTCATTTATAATTGCTTAATTGTATTATTCCATCCTTTTCATGAGTGACTGCTTTGTGGAATAGTTAAATAGTTTTTAATTTTGACTTGATGATGTTCAGGAATTACTATTGCTGAATATTTCAGAGATATGGGCTACAATGTCAGTATGATGGCAGACTCAACATCTCGCTGGGCAGAGGCATTGCGTGAAATTTCCGGTCGATTGGTACGTATCTCAATACCGTGACCATTTGTTGGTTACTCGGAGCCTCTCTTTGATGGTAGTCAGCCATGCTTGTATTTTATCTTTTTGTGCTTTGAGTTAGTTATCATCATGGACCATTGATATTTTGTCCTTGCTGGGAAAGCTACCTGAGAATGCTGCACTTCATCTGTTTGTCACCAATTTATAGGACTGGGAAAATGATAAAACTTTAGATATTGCTGGTGGTGAAACAAAAACAAACTCACATGTACTAATTGTTGTTATCGAGAACTGTTGAGCATGCAAAAATGTATTGCCTTGGAGTATTATTTTTATTGATCGAATAAACAGACGTTGTGGCCTTCTTTTCTATCATGATTATAACTATTCATATTTTTTTTAATGTTTTGATTGTCATGTACCATGTTTACTTCTGCCCGCAGATACTTTTACTGGCTGTTTAAGACCTTTTCCCATTTTGTTGCCACATATTATGTGCTCATCAAAACCGAGACAAATTTATAACTTTTACTATGTTGACAAGCAATATTTGTGCTATGCAGGCTGAGATGCCTGCAGATAGTGGGTATCCTGCTTATTTGGCAGCGCGTTTGGCATCCTTCTACGAGCGTGCAGGGAAAGTTAAGTGTCTTGGTGGGCCAGAAAGAACTGGAAGTGTCACCATTGTTGGTGCAGTTTCTCCTCCAGGAGGAGATTTCTCTGACCCTGTTACATCTGCAACCCTCAGTATTGTTCAGGTACACCTTATCAGAGAGAACATCTTGAAAATTCAATTTTCCTTCCGCCATGCTATACTCTGTATTTTGCTGTCATGTTTCAGGTTTTCTGGGGTCTAGACAAAAAACTGGCCCAAAGGAAACATTTTCCTTCTGTGAACTGGCTCATTTCTTACTCAAAGTATTCAGGGGTATGTTCATCTCACCAATATTTGTTTTAGTTTGATCTGCCGATTTGTGTCTGTTTCTCTCCTTTCATGAATTACTCTTTGTTCACATATGATGCAACTTGTTGCTTTCTCAGGCACTGGAATCCTTTTATGACAAGTTCGATTCAGATTTTATTGACATCAGGACAAAAGCTCGTGAAGTGCTGCAAAGAGAGGATGATCTGAATGAAATTGTGCAGGCATGGGCTACTTTTTTCTTGCCCTGTTTTTTCAAATGTCTTCTTTTGTGGTAGTGAGATAAAAACGGGCAACTGGCGAGGAATGACCTTTCCTTGATCATGTCCCTAAAAACATTCCAAAATGAACCCAAAATCAACCATTTTTTTATAAATTGCTGATAGGCATGAGGATGTGAGTGTATCTAGTCATGAAAGTGTAGCTTGTCCCTCCTGTGATAGTGTTGTTTGAAACTGAAGAACTAAAAAGAAATTGTTAGCATGTGAAGGCAATATACTTTTTGCTTTCTGCTCCAATGTCTTGCTGCTTGCTATTTTTCATAGATTATACTCGAGTTTGACCAATGTGGATAGTGTTTTCTTTTTGGAGTTTAAATTTCTTACTTTGATTTATGCAGCTAGTTGGAAAAGATGCTCTAGCTGAGTCGGATAAAATCACCCTGGAAACAGCAAAGCTTTTGAGAGAGGACTATCTTGCCCAAAATGCATTTACCTCGTTAGTGCTGGCCACCTATTCTCAATTTTTAGCATCCGTAGAAATGATTAAATTGGAAGACTTATGTAGTTATTTACATGTTTCTTTGGCACAGGTATGATAAATTCTGCCCATTCTACAAATCTGTTTGGATGATGCGCAATATTATTCATTTCTACAATTTGGCAAATCAGGTAAAGTAGTTGGGCATTCCCCCCCTGCACTTGTTCTGAATAAAATAAAAAAATGAAGCAAAAAATGTAATTTATCGGGCGGGCTTTGACTTAGAAGAGTCGTATTTCGTGCTCCGTAAATGAAAAGAAAAATCAATATTTTGATACTGCATGTGGTTGGATATTGTTGGCCGTTACCGAGTAAGAAATATTAACTCTGTATGCAATTTCATGTGCAGGCGGTAGAGAGAGGGGCAGGTATGGATGGGCAGAAGATAACCTACAGCCTTATCAAGCATCGTCTAGGAGATCTGTTCTACCGTTTGGTGTAAGTGAACTTGTAGCCAATGACCTCAACTTTCTATGTTTGAATTAGATACTGCTAATTCTGATCCATCTATCCTCTCTTTTAATGATGATGCAGTTCTCAGAAGTTTGAAGACCCAGCCGAAGGTGAAGAAACACTGGTTGCAAAATTTAAGAAACTTTATGATGATTTGACTGCTGGTTTCCGCAACCTTGAGGATGAAACTCGATGATGAGTGTATGCCATACCACTCAATACTGGCTGGTAAAACTGGGTTGTTATGTTGTGTGAGGCTTTCACTTGAGATGATATTTATGGCTCATGTTCGGTATTTTGGTTGTGTAGCTATATTTATGTTGTATTTTCGTTAATGCCCCATGATTTTGGTCAGTAATAAGAGGGCGAGGGTGAGAGCGAGCGAGCGCATCGTTCAGGCAATTTTTTGCATATGTTTTTGTTGCATTAATAAATTATAGAGGTACAATTTGAGTTGTGGAATGATTTATGTAAAGACCATATATTTGTTTATCCTATTACGTATCTTGTCATTAATGGCATATTTTGTTTGCTAAATATTAAAATTATGGTTGTCATATAGATTAGTTTCCAGCTTTTTTAGATCCACACCGTAACAAGATCTTTCAAATACACTTTGGGTTGATCAAATTACTCCCAACTATGTACAATTTCACCTGCACATAATATGATTTACGCTCGCACACAGCAACATGGACCTACTGACCAGGTCCCGAATACAAAGAAGCGGGTAACTTCAAGAAAATTACTAGTTACTATGTAATGGATGGAGACCCCTGTATTCATCAATCTCGAATAGCTATATAACGGAGCGTATTACAAAAGGTTTTAGAGCACAAAACATAATCGATAAGTAGGGGAAAAGGTCTCTACTACAGCAATGAAAAATAACAGGACAAACCAATATTGGATACGATACTAGAATCATAGTCGCATGGTCATCAGCTGAATATGTTATCATGCAACGGGGCTTGATTCATTTAACTGGTTAGCCAGGGCCAACTTTAGGAATGTCATAATGCTCACTCATATTTGCAAGATACTGATTGAAATCCTCAATTCGGTCGCGGTGTGATTTATCGGAAGTCTTAGCCAGCTTGTGCGAATAAATTCTCTCTCTTTGTTCCATGTAGCGTCTCTCTGCTGGGGTGAGATTACCATCCCAATCAGTGTTACTCTCATCTCCAATGATCTTGTTAGCATCACTACCCTCTTCCTCCTCCAAATTAGTCGACGCCTCTGCACCCTCACCTGTACACAATGTTTGAACCAAGTCAAAAAAGGGCTTACCATATGAAACAGAAAACAAGAAAAAGGAAAGGAGAAAATATTTGAAAAATATGCAGCAAAGGAGGGTTCCCCAAATATAGACTCTTCAAAAACATTATATTATCATGTGACTCTGGAGAAAACTTGATGCAGATACAATGATATCCAAATACACACAGGACTGCATGCGTACACACTACGAGTTACCTATCGTTATGAGTTCCGATCAGAATCCTCTAACACAATATAAAATAGTTAATAGTTAAATCTAAGAGGATCAAAGCTTGTAGGTTTGAGACAATGCAAAGAGCAGGGCCTCAACTACAAGTAGACAATAGAAAAGGCTAAACGCTGCATCGTATAAGACAAAGGCACCTACAAACAAGCTGTCCTATAACTACTGCATATGATTCTTGGAGTATGTTTCAAGGATTTTACAAACAATCCACCCCATCTATGCACACACAACATACAACTAAATTGCAAATACCCATATTCTCCTCTCGTGTATCCTTCCCAACCAGGCACTCTCCTCACAATTTGCATAACTTGGATACAGAAAACAATGCAAAACTATGAAATAAGTTAGCTAGTCTGCAATGATTTCTCATTGTAATAGATATAACTACACAATGCAAAACCATTAAATAAGTCGGCAAACTTGCAGAAAACTCACTTTCCACAGCCTGAGAGATGTGTTCAATCTGCTTCTTTTGCTTCTTCTTTTTCTTCATTCCGGGAGCCTTCACATCCAGAGCCTTACCCTTGAGCTTCAGTTTCCCGCCTACAACATTCTCGTACGCAGACATTCCTCCTACCAAAAGAGAATGAACGAACCATCAGCATCAAACTTTAGAACGATAGGCAACAATCATACTAAAACCCATGTTTCTCAATGCATAATTTAGTACAAGATGCTTATGTAAACTTGGCTGAATGTTGATGGAATTGAAAACAGATACTTTATTGACTAGCATAGGAAATTAGGAACGGTTAAACATATGATGAAAAAATAATAAAAATTCAATACCGGCACGCACAGCCTACCCATAGATTTAAGTAAACTAAAAATCAGTGCTCACAAGATTACCTACACTTTAGCCCTTCCGGGATTTCGAACACAAGAAGAATTAGGGAAATCAGGAATCCCCCAAAGAATCAATTTTTATTTTTATTATTTTTTTGCGCAACTCGGATCACAAGAAACCCTAGAAAGAGAAGAAATTGTGAAGAAATTCTAAGAACGTAGGCTTCAATTATATTACACAACGTACCTAGATTAACAGCACAGCAAATTCAGAATTTAACGATCGGAAGTTCGTATATATATTGAAAAATAGGCTAATAAATACTAGTAGTATAATGTGGAAAGGAAAAGAGGAATTTTCATCAAGGTCCCTTATTTCTCAGTTAATTAGTCTATGTTGACCCTAAACTTTGGATCCTTTTATATATGGGTCCAACATATAAAAACATATATATATATATAGAAGTATGTACGTATTTATGATGTAGCGGCTCCGGCCTTGATCCCCCGGCCTCCCGTAGACAATTAGATAAAAAAAGGAGAGCCTGAATACGGCGTCGTTTGCATAATCAACATCGCCGTCATCATCTCCTATTCCCTGCTTAACCCAAAACAGACGCAAACGCCTTATTTCCTCCGGTCAACCTAACCAAAACCCTATTCCTCTCTCTCTCTCTCTAGAGATCCACCCACACAATTATCCAGATCCATGGAAGAAGATGATGAAATCCAGTCCCCCACTCCCAACGGCCGGATCACCGTCACCGTCGCCTCCGCCCCTCCTTCCAATTCCCTCACTCTAGCTCTCCCTATACAACCCCAGAAAACCCCCGGCAGAGAGGATTGCTGGAGCGAAGCCGCCACCGCCGTCTTGATCGACGCTTGGGGAGAGAGGTACTTGGAGTTGAGCAGGGGAAATCTGAAGCAGAAGCACTGGAAAGATGTCGCCGACATTGTTTGCAGCCGAGAGGATTACGCTAAAACCCCTAAAACCGATATCCAGTGCAAGAATCGGATCGATACTGTCAAGAAGAAGTACAAGACTGAGAAGGCCAAGATCGCCTCCGGTGGTGGACCCAGCAAGTGGCGATTCTTCGACAAGCTCGATGTATTGATCGGCCCTACTCCGTCTAAATCCAACTCAACACCTCCTCCGCCCATGGATTTGTACCAGAGGGGGGTGCCAATGGGGATTCCCGTTGGGATTAGATCTTCATCTTCTGTGCTCAAAAGGCCCTCCTTTGACTCCGAAGATGAGTCTGAACCGGAGAATTCAGCAGATTCTTCAGATGGTTTGCCTCCGGACACTTATAATAATAATAATAAGAGGGGGAAGATCCAGAAGATGGAAATGCCGACGGTGAATAATGCTAATGGAAGTTCTTCTCAAAGACGAGATGGTGGTGGGATGAGAGGAAACGGAAGGAAAAACAAGGAGGAGAGTAATTGGGCAAATTCAATGAAGGAACTGACACGGGCGGTGTTGAAATTTGGGGAGGCGTACGAGCAAGCGGAGACGGCAAAGCTGCAGCAGTTGGTAGAGATGGAGAAGCAGAGGATGAAGTTTGCAAAGGAGCTGGAGTTGCAGAGGATGCAGTACTTCATGAAAACACAGATGGAGCTTTCTCAGATCAAGAATAGGAGCTCCGCAAACACCAATAACCACCACCACCACCACCACCGCCGTGTGATTAGCAACAACAACAACAACGATGCCAATAATAATAATACGAAGAAGAATAATAATACCAAGAATAGTGACAGCAGTAACTGAGAATGTACCTAGAACTAGGTTGTATTTTTAGATATAGATAATTGGTTGTATTGTTGAGAGGGGATTGGTGTATCTGAATTTGTTGCATTAAAGTTGTTTTCCTTCCTTCCTTCCTTTTACTCTGTAATACGAAAGCAAGCATGTTTAATACCAGCTTTACTGCATTGTTGTTGTTGTATAGTTACTTCTTCTTCTTCTTGTTCTTCTTCTTGTATTATTTATGTTGTATAGTTGCTTGTGCATACATCATTGTTAAGTTGCTTGTTCAGAAACTTAAATGACTGAATAAGTTGCTTGTAATCAGCAGTTACCAGAAGAAAACCAGATTGACTAATCAATTTTTCTGAATATGCTAATGAGATTCATCAGTCAATTGAGATGAGCAAGATTTCTTTTTTCCCCAGATTCTTTAATTTTGTTGAATATGATGATCTGAAATTGGATCTTGTCTCTCTACAAATTTAATTTAATTAATTAGCAATTTTATTCAAATGAAGCTCTTAACTTAAAAATGGCAGTTTAATTGCAAAACACGTGAAGCTAATGTTACATTGGAAAGATCCATTTGTTACAATCTCGAAATTACAACACACCCTCCCTCCCTTGTTCTCAGTAAATTCCAGGTACTACTCTGTAAGGGACCTTCTCGCAATACAACTTCCAGTATTTGCCGTACCTGCCAAGCACCCATTTTTATTTCGTCAAATCATCTCTACTCAAATAATAACATTCAAACAAGCTAGCAACGAGAAATTGACTTCTTACTTTGATTTGCATCGATCATCATCCCTTTTAGCTCGATCAAGTAGAAGAATTGTAAGGAACACCACATAAAAGTAAGGCAGAAACTGCAAGTCAAAAACACCACATAACAAGTAGTAGTGCGTGTTACTATGCGGAATCAACCAACGAGAAAGAAAAACAGCTAAGAAGCATATTATGTCCGTAATAGAACAGCTTACATGGTTAAAGAGAGCTGGCAGGGTCCAAAAGAAGGCTGCCAAGATTTCCGGCACATAATGGAAGTGACGAGCTAACCCCCACCTATATGTATATACCACAAATATATTAATACTTCAAATTCTTCGGTGTTCATAATAAACCAGGAGATCAAGTTTTACAGGTAATGACAATTAGCAGAAAAATGGAACATAACTTACCATCCTGATGTAAGTAAGATGCTGGATTTTGTCTCACCCGTAGTGGTGGTGTATGAGGCAACAATCTATATATTAACAATGAGTAATAAGTAAATAAACTCTTTCACCACTAGATTTCAACAAAATAAATGTTGTAAATAAGTCCCAAATGGTAACGAATGTGCAATCACTAATAATACCTTAGATGGTGCTTTTCCCCAGACCAAGCCTTTGCCGTTTGTCCTGCGAAATTCTTGCCTTTGCCTGTCACAGTCGTAGTTTATATATATGCACAGAACCCCAGCTACAAGAATATACAGAGCAAGCTGCATAATAGGATAATCAATCACATGTTAGATACATGAACAAAACACACTTTTTAAAGCAGGATATGAAAAGTATTATATGCAAGTGTATGGGGGAATACCTGAACTCCAAGAGTTACTGGGTGATTGACAAGGTACATGCCAGGAGAAGTATACACAGATGGGACCCACACCAAGCATCCCCAGCATATGTAAAAGCCGGCTGTAATTGCATTTGGAAATTTCTAGTTATGGAAAGATTAACAACCACCAATATAACATATCGACAAGCATCAAAATACAAAAACAAGGCAGACCTCTATCATGAGCAATATCCATTGTGCTCCAATATCCAGCTTCCCACCAGAAGAATTTTGTTACGTACACCAACATTAGTATCGTGTTAACCAGCATAGAATCAGACACAGTTCCATATGTTTCATACTGCAGGGGGGGGAAAACATTACATAGAATTAGCTATGTATTTATAAAAAATAAAAAATAAAAAAAAAGTAGAGCAAGATTTAGAAACAAGACAAAGTAATAATATGTAAGAAAGCTTAATCATTTGGCTGAGGAAGTGGATAACTTGGTTGCTGCCCAATTAGATAGAGATTGATCATTTGGGACGTTGTACCGACCATTGTTAACTAGTATCAGAATCTTTATTGCTATTTCTACCTGCTTTATGCAATACGTCACAGCAAGAACAGCCCACGACATCATTCCAAATCTGCAGTTTGTAAAAACTTTGATATCAAAGTTCTTGCCAATACGGGGATACAGCTCCATTCCCTGCAAAAGAAAAGGAGGATAACAATCTCTAATTTAGCACATGAATTCTACAAATTCGGCTTCTAACTTCCACATTATTATTTCTTAAGAAATATATACCAAACATCCCCTTATTAAGTTTCTCTCTTTCTATGCCAAATATCAGCAAGTCAGACAGCTAGTTCTGTAAAGGGGAATAAACATTCAAATGTAGAAAGGAAGGAGGCGCAATTCTCACCCAATAGAAATCAATAATTATATTTCCCGATGAACCAGAATCAGTTGAAGATGGAGCCACCAGACCCTTAAACAGATGGAACAAGTGTCAGGAAATTAATCATATGCTTGAGAACAAGAAATTAGTATTACATTACATGGCAATATTGTCGGTATCACTTACTTTAATATACAAGAAAACACAAAAGACAAGGCTTCCAAAGATGAGGGCTGAAAATATCTCTCCCAAATGGTCGTAAACTATTGTAGGGTTGAAAATTCCAAACCTGAGGGACAGTACAATACGTATTCATAAACCAAGCACAGAAAGGTAAATGGTGAAAGACAGAAAAAGAAAAGACTTTTCATGAACTGTTTGGGCAGATTATATATAAGCTGAAACATCTTACTTAGCTATTAAAAGTTGCAATAGCTTAAAAGTTATAAAATGATTCAATAATCACAAATCATTCTGGATCTGACATTCGATAATAGTAATACTCGTGAAGAAAGTTGTTAAGAAACTGAACAAGCTAGTTGATCTTACCACCAGAGGCCAAGATATGTAATCAGCGTTACTGCATATGCTAAAACACCATTAGCCTGCAATAAGTACATGATGGAAGTCAGTGAGACCAAAAATTGGAACCAAAAGAAAATTCAATATTGATCTAATTTGTGGGTTTCAATCAATCTTGCAGCATAGAAGATCCAAGTGAGAAATTGCCAGTCATTTGTAATAACTCCGAGAAATGATACCTTGTAGACGGGCCTATTTCCAGTAGGCGAAATTGGGCCTTCAACCCTTTTACCGGGTAGCAAAAGCTGAAGAGCAGCCTCAAAAGCCCCATAACAAGCAATGATCTTCCATGCAGTTGCAGTGGGTTTAGGCCAGAAATTGATGAATCCCTGAACTCCGTGCTGCCTTAGGTAATCCCAGGTTTGCAGTACAGATCCATCGGCATGTACCATAGTATACCATCTGCATGCATTTCAACCATATAACAACTAGATTCACCAGCACATACTAATATCTAATAAGAGATCAAACTATTCTTGATAATAAGTTGTTGGCCAGTTCAGGATTCAATCTGATTCGAAAAAAAAATTGCAGAAGTTCCAACTACATCATGAATCTACCACTAGTCTTGAAATGTATTTATCAGAAAAGAAGAGCATGAAGAGGTCCCAATGTTATTTTCCCACCAGCATTAGTACTAATAAATTAAACAAAATAATTTAATAGATGTTTAGAGAAGACCACCAATTGAATTCTCCAACAGCAAGGGTAGAACAACAGATCAATAAAAAAAGGAGAGAGAGAGAGAGAGAACTGACAGGAGAATAACAAAAGGGGGGCAGAGAGAGAGAAGGGATAGCATTGATGCGTATGTGATCATTGGTGAGTGCACCATCTTCGACTCCGACCCCATTATTCCTTCTTCCTTTCTTCCTTTCTTCTTCTTCGTCTGAGTGAACCAGATGCCAGTTGTTTCTCAACTCAATATATTATTACTACTATTTATTTAGTTATGAAAAAAAGGAAAAAGAAATGGGTATTAGATATTTTATTGAAGTCACATGCCACGCTCGTCAGACCACGTGGCTGTTGGGATCTCCTTCTTCTTTTGCTCAAGCCCCAAGCCCTAAACTCCAACGCCGGAAAAAAAAAATTTACTTTCAGTCATTAATTAATATTTAATACATTGATTGAGATTAGGTTTAATATACCAAACCTATAGTCTGTCTAATTTGGGCCTAATTTGGATTTGGACCTTCATGGGCCGTTGCACACATTACAATTCTCTACTTGCACACTACTCCATCTTCCCGCCGTCGGAATCTATCTCCGACCCATGCTTCTTTTCACTCTAATTTCACCTGCAATCAACGCCGTCAAAGATCTCATTTTTATACTGTTAATATCATTTTCCCACACATTTTAAGTTTCCTGCTTTTCGGAAATAGCATACGGGAAATGATATGGCGATTGCGGTTCAAATTCCTTGCAAACATTACTTTTTCCCCACCCAAGTCGCGATCTTTCTCTGCACTTCACCATCTTGCTTCTCCGCTTAAGCTCTCAACAGATACCAACCCTCGATTCAAATCTTTTAGCAATCAGCAACAACCCAGCCACAATCCCCAACCCATATTTCTCACTCATCAAATCGTGCTAACCACTTTACAAAACTGCCCTTCTGATTTAGTAGCTCTGAGCTTTTTCCTATGGTGTGCACGGCAACCCCATTACTTCCATGACAAACCCACTTTCCGTCACATGGTCGGTGTGGTTTCCACCTTAACCCAAAGTTACGGAACTGTGAAAGGGATTGTTCATGAATTGGAGGCTGTTGGTTGCGTCACAAAGCCCCAAACTTTGTTGCTTTTGATGAGAATTTACTGGTGTGGAACTATGTACCCTATGGTAATCGAAGCTTTTCACGACATGTGTTATTATGGTTACACTCCAAATACATATGCAAGAAACATTGTTATGGATGTAAGATTCAAGCTTGGGGATGCGAATGCAGCCCTCGAGATTTTGGGGGAAACTGAGTCCCCAAATTTCTTGAGTTTTAACATTGCCATTTGTAATTTGTGCAGACTCAATGATGTCGATAACATTAGAGGTGTGCTTAGGAGTATGTTGATGAAGGGTTATTATATGAACCTCGAGACCTATACATTGGTGTTTAATTGTTTCTGCAAATTCGGTAGGTTGGAGGAGGCACTACAGCTGTTAGGTATGCTGATAGTTTTGGGTGGGCATGTCTCTGAGAATGTTTGGGGTATATTGATAGATGGTTTTTGCAAGTCCGGGCAGATTGAGGTTGCAGCTTATTTACGAGAGAAAATGGTTGAGATTGGCTGTTCGCCGAATGTTGTGACGTGCACACCAATGATCAAAGGATTCATGGAATCTCGAATGCCTGCCAAGGCATTTGAAATCCTTGGGGCTTTGAAATCAAAAGGATGTTTCCCTGATCTGGTTCTTTGTAATGTATTGATCGATTGTCTATCTAAGATGGGGTGGTATGATGATGCATTTGAAGTTTTCTCTAGTTTGAGAGAACGAAGACTAATGCCCGATGCTTACACTTACTCTTCTATCGTGTCTACTATTTGTTTGTCTGGACAATATGTTCTTCTACCTTTCCTAACCAGCGGATTTGCCGTACAACCTGACTTGGTGGTTTGCAATAGCCTTCTAAATTATTACTGTAAATCTGGTTATCCAGATTTTGCTGTTGAGTTTTATGATGACATGATAGACAGAGGGTTTCAACCCGATAAATATAGTTATGCCGGACTGCTGAGTGCACTATGCAAATCAGGTAGAAGAGACGAGGCGCTTAATGTGTATCGTGGAATCATTCGGATCTGTCCAGGTATTGATGCTCACATCCATACTATAATAATTAACGAGCTTACGAAATCAGGTGGCTTTGATGGAGCTAGGATATTATTAAAAGAAGCTGCTGCAAAAAAGTATTCACTCGATGCTGTGTCATACAATGTTGTCATTTGTGGACTTATCATGGGTAGTAAGATGAATGAAGCTTACACTTTGTTTACCCAAATGAAGGAGACAAATGTCGCACCAGATAAGCTGTCATATAACCGGATATTGTCCGGTTTCTGTAAAGACAGGAATTTCAGCATGGTTAAACATGTTCTACCAGAAGTGTTTGACAGAAATATTGAGATAGACTATCACACATACAGATTGATGAAAAACCTTCTGTGTGACTCTCCCGAGACTCTTTCCGCTTTTAACCATCTATTTGAGTTGAGAAATTCAGAGCAGTTGTTTTTGGTCGATGGACATGATTCTGGAACCGATGCTCGTAACAGTTCATTGACTGATTATCGGGATATTCTACACCTTGGCACAGCCAGCTCTGACGAATTCTCAGATGATGCTATTGTTTCAGTCGGTTGAGTAAAGTGAAGGAAAAGTTGCCAGGCTTGGGAAGCAACTAAGTCGCCATGGCCTTATGTTGAAGTCACTTTTCAAAAGGTATTGTAACTCCCACTTATTTCTCTTGAATGAAATAAATTAATCCAGATGAATATATGTTTTGGAAACTTTTGCAGTTAGGAACTTGGCTTCTATTGGTTTCTGTTAGCAATTTGAGATGATGTACTAGTGAATTTGATCCATGCTAATAATACTTAAAAGTAAATTGTCTTGATAACTTATAATCCTTGAATTCATAGTTGTGATTAGGACATAGATATCATGAAGAACCTCTCTTGTGTTGTTGTGGTTGTAAGTTAAAACTGCATTTTCTAATTTGTGTTTGGAGTGACAGAACTATGAGTTGTTGCTTTATAGTTTCTTTACTATTTTCAGATGAATGCTCTTCTTACCTGTGATATATCATCTTATTGGTAATTTTTTTTACTCGAGCATTTGTTGTTTCAACTTCGAAGCACATTCTTATTATGTTGGCTAATCAGAACTTCACAACCTTCTATTTTTAAAATAGGTAAAGTGATATGAACTCCATGCTGAAGAAGTATATGCCCTATTTTAATGGATTGGATCTCTGTTTACGACAAATACATTATCTAGAAATGGAGGAGGAGGCAGTCGCCAGTCAGTCCTGAAAAACTAGAGAACAAGATAAAATTTCTCAGTTTTCACCCTCATCTTGCTGGTCATATCCATCAGTTTCAGACAGGTTCTGTTTCTGGTTCATTTAGTTACATTTAACAGGCCTATGGTGTGACCTTGGTCCTCTCCGGCTCTCAGTTCTTGCTGTTGCTACCTTAAACTAAATCAGTTAAACTCTTTGTCCGCTGATTTATTTGTCTATAACTAGTAAAACAACTCATCAACTGTACATGGTTTCGTGCGCTATGGATTTAATAATATAATACGTTGAACAACTTCACAAATCTAGATACTGCCCATTTATTGATTGTTTGTTTATCAGTGGGCGTGGGATGTACATTTGTTTTTTTGTTCATTTTGTTAACAAAATCAAAATTGTTACAGCAAATCCAGGAATTGTAATCTTTTCTGTCTTTCTCACAACTTCCGCAGTAAAACCTGTGATGTCTTTATTTTAAATCTCCTACTGAATGAGAACTTTTCGCATACTTTCATATATGACTTTGTTTTCGGGTCGTTTACTAAGAAAGAAATTGAAAAGAGGGGGAAAAGAAAGAAGAGTGATTCCCATAACTGTCATCAGTATATACACGTAATTCCTCTGTTTCTAGTTCTGTCAAGAAACATTGAAGTAACCTACTTGATAAAATAGTACAACATATCATATTAGAAATGGCATATCAATATTGTTCAAACAATTATCATCACTGCTGGTTTTGTTGTCTCTGCTGCTGAAAGTTGGGATGATTCTGAGAAGTGTTTTGCATAGGTAGCATATTGGATTGTATATTCTGTGGTGTGTTTTGTGACATGTTCCCAAAAGCACCTTGTTGCTGTTGCTGTTGCTGCTGTTGCTGTTGTTGGATGGGCATCATACCACCCGCATTTGCTGCTCCCATGTTATACACTGAAACGAGTTCAAACTCATAAATTAAGTACCGATATACGAAAACATAACCCATCGATGCAATTTTTTAACTAGACAAAAAGAAAGGGGTAATTCGTACTCTGGTCACTCAGACTTGGAGCAGGCAGAGTCCGATTGCCACCAGATATTCCAAACTGAAACCAACCCAAGAGTTATTAACAATGTATGTCTACGTCGTATCAGAATTTTACTGCACAGCAAACTGCCATGTGTCCATTACTTCCTTCTCCAACATAGTAAGGGCATTGTAAATGTGCATTGTGAAGCAAATTAACTTTTGTGAGCAATTGATTAATTCAAGTGATTCTTCATAGATTTCATCAACACATGAGTAATGAGAAATAAAACATCCATGACGTTCCAATCATTAAACTTTATTGGAATGTGGTTCTAATTGTGCTTTGTTGTTGAAGTGCAAACTTATATGCAGTTCATGATTTTGAGCCCTCAATGGTTCATAACATGAAGTTCAAATTATGTATGGAAGCTCACCTGCATTCTTGGAAGAATTGATTGTGAAGGCATCATAGCTGACATGTTAGGTATCTGAAATTTATCAAGGTTAAAAGTGTGAGAAAACAATATCATACAAATCTTAATCATAAAGAAAAGTTGCAGGAGCATTTCATGACCAAAGTTGTTTGGAGTTAACCAAGAAAATATGCTTTGAGAGAACCTAATTTGAGATGGAAAATACATTGAACAAGCAAAAGAAAATAATCAACCAACCAGATTTAATCCAAACATTAGACACTATTTAACTGAAATCAAGCCTCTGCTAGCAGTTAAAAGTGTTAAAAATCCCAGATTTTAGCATTATAATGAACAGTGAAATATGTTTCTTATTGAAAAACCATTTCGTTGAGAATGAAAGATAAAAATGGAAGGTTAAATAGCCTGAAGATATCTGACCATCTGCGAGGCTGGTGTCGTCTGAGCAGCATTAAATATAGCACTATTTGCTGGGCTAGAGAACTGATTTAATTGACGATTCAGCTGGTTTCCTTGGTTTAGTTGGTTTTGACCCATATGCATTGCACTGGATGCAAGCTGTCTACCTTGTAGTTGCTGAGCTGACAATGGCTGAGAAAACTGCACATGATGTTGACCTTGCATCTGCTATGCAACAAAATTTTAAGGAGTCAAAACGAATGCTGACAATATCTATAAAAAGCATAGACATGGATAATGGCTTCAGGATTTTGGATAATTCAGGATAGCATGTTCTTTCCATCAGAAAGCAATGTGCAAGTAATGGTTTCGCTACAAAGGCAAACATTCCATGTGACTATAAGAACAACTTCACTAAATTTTAGTACCTTGCTTAGATTACTGATCCCACAACAAGAACAACTTCAGTAAATTGTAATGTTGTTGATCACATGCTAAATTCCCTTTCTTTTGCCAAATCATACAAATATTATCAACTAATATTTATTGTAAAAGGTTGAATATTCGATTACCGACTGAAACTTTTGTTGTGCCTGGCTCGTCATGTCGTGCAACTGTGGTAGTTGGCTCTGCAAACATGATTCATGATAACATAAGTCTGTTATTAAGAGAGCCTTACGACGTAAACAACCCATGGTATCGCTAAAGCCAAGAACGTAGTCAAAGAAGGCAAAGAATGAGAACAATTCTACATGATCTTGACTCATAATGAGTGGACTATTTAAATGAATGAAACATGCGCAAAAAAAAAATGCATTCCACACATAGATAAGAGCAATAGAACACGTTATAGGGAAAGTCTCAATTATTATCTAACTCTTACTTTTACACACTGATTAAACTGTTTCGACTCTCATTGTTGTAATTTTAGAGGACATGAATAGAATTATGAAATCCTATTGAACTATAATACCATTGTCCCTTAATCACTTTTTTGCAAAACATGATTCTAGGTATTCAAATCTTATATATAGCATGCAGTAAACCAGAAAACTGTTTCTTACTTCAGTATGAAATGCACTTCATCAATAAATTCAACGATCAAAGTTTCCAATGGGGAAGAAAATGAGAGAGTACAGTATCGCAATGCTCGTTATGTTGAATGAAAAGTAAATAAGCTTGATCTGCATAATTGAATGAAATACCTACCTGTCCCAGAGAAGGCATTGAAGATCCTCTTAGCTGCTGTTGATTTAAAAGTTGTTGCTGCATCATTTTCTGCCTCTGTTGTTGCTGATGTTGCTGTAGTTGTTGTGGCTGTTGTTGTTGAGGAGATGGCATGTTCATGATATTTGCACCGGATCTGGGCGAGTTGGCATATTGCAGAGGAGATGCTGTCGTATTATCAAAAGAAGTGCTCCCAGTAGCACCAGAAGGCGAAGCTGCTGCTCTTCCAAATTGTGCTCCAGAAACCTATTTTAATAGCATGGATCAAAAATTAAAAAGGATGCACTGGTTAATGGTTAATGAGCGAGCTCTGTTTCTTTCAGGTACTCATTGTTCAGAACGCTGTATGAGGTCAATCCTGAACGCTGTATGAGGTCAATCATACTTGAGATTGCAGTATACAGAGTTCAAAGAGATAATAGGCTATAAATTTATGGTCATCGGTTTTTCATGCAATCGGAGAAGATTTCAACTTTGTACAAAGAAAAATATAGTACAGGGGAAGGATAAGTTAGAAGAAATAATATTTCAGTTGTAATAAACGGATCGACGAGAATGGTTAAAATTGTGGTTACATCAAGAAAGGGAAATTCTCTAACAGAATGTAGGTTATGGTAGGTTATGATAGAGTAATTAAACATCAACTTGAGATGCAAGCTCTCAGTATGGAAGGTTAAAAAAAAAAAAAAAAAAAAAAAAAAAAAACAAACAAAGAATGAAAAATAACAGTACCAGCTTTATCCTTTATGCAAAAATTATTGTAAACCATAAATAAATAAAAAGGAATTACAGAAATGTAGGTGTAACACCCCTGGGTTTTCTAGTGGAAAAAAAATTGTGAAGAAATGTCATCTGATCTAATAGTAGAAGGGCTATCAGACCAGAAATGTCATTGTAGCTTTGAACTAAAGAATGCTGATTACAGTTTGGCAGCAATATGTAAGATTGAAATATTGACCTGTAACAAAGAACCCTGACTGTTATTACCGGCAGTTGTCAAAAGTGGAGGTGTTCCCTTCTGGTACATCCCTAAAGTGCACAAATATGATAGTCACGGATGTGCAAACTCACGCTAACAAGACATAAAATAAAACTGAAAAGAATAATGAAAGCAAAAAGTATAGGGAAATGACAAACCAGACGAATCCGGGAAAGTCTGTGTAGTGTCATTAGTAGCGAGTACATCTACCAAATGCATTGGAAGTGAAGATGTTACTTGCCTTTGGTCTCCAGGCATTCTTAACCCTGTGAATGAATTATCATATAAGATGTTAGGATGAGGGAGAGATATAAAAGAAGCTACAAACAAATGTAAAGCACGACGCATGTTATAAATTATGGAAGTGAAACAGGTACTCGTCAGAGGACTAAACTTAATTCATAGTTAAACATATATTGATTTAAGATGGTCCTCGCATTAGAGAACAATTAATGAAGGGAAAAATTAAGATGGCATGTTGATACAATGTGAGTTAGTAAGTTCAAGAAAATTGTTAATAAAAAACCACCAATAGGTTAAGCACTAAACAGTGAGCACCTCACGCACCTTCACCAGATCCTCAGGTCCATGGCTAAAATCTATAACAAATGATGAGAACATTGACCAATAAAACTGTAAAGTAAACGCTGAGAAAGAGCCACATCAGAAGCTTATACATATATTATTGTTTTACGGCAAATAGGACCATGTTAAAAGGGAATTAGCATGTTGTAATATGACTTTCTAGTGGACATTAAACATCTAAGTATAAATATATCAAAGGAAAAACCCAGTCAACACAAAATATGGAGTTGTTCAAGGTAAAAATTTGTACCTTCACCATGATTGACAGCACTTCGAAGTAAATTTTCTTGTTCTTGTATTTTTGCAGCTTGAACCTTGTCAACGGTTGGGAGAAGTGTTGGGCCCTGTCGCGTACCAAAGTAGGCTTTACGTGCATCAGCTATGATCTTTTCAGCACTTTCACAGGCTGCTCCAATCATATCAATCCTAGTCTGAGAACAATTAGAAATCAGATCGTTTTAAAGAAAATACCAGTGTAAAAAGCTAATACTGTGTGGGCATTATAACTACTCACCTTTAGCTTTTCAATTTGTGCAGCCACTGGCAGAATCTGCATACCATGTAACAGCTGTTCTCTCTTGACGTTGTCCTCCACCTCAATTTCGGGTAAAAGCTTAGACGACAGCATAACAGGCAGGACTGTATTCAGATTAAAATCCATTTAGTAAAATTCGCACATAATGCCTCTTGTTCTTCCACCTAATTTTTTTTCTGCAGATATAGCCGACTTGCCTTCCTCGTTCACTTGTCTTTTTCCTCCTATTTTTATGTTGTTTCATAGTTTATTTTGTAATCTCAAAAAAGGATGCAGATTCCCCTAAATTGTTAGTGATCTTACTAGCTATCTCATGTTGAATAAAAACATATCCACCAGAAAACATGGTGAACACTGAACAGACAGTGGTTCAACGGGAAGCGAAAGTTATACATAATTCCAGTATTCTACTGATAATGAAGACATTTTCCTCTTTCAAACAGTGAAAATAAATTCAAAAGGGAGTTGCAGTAGATATACAAAAGGGAACATACTTGTAGCATTCTCAGCATTGACATTCTTAGGATGCACAACAAAAGCTTTAGACACATTCTTAATATCTTCAACGATATTGTAAAGCTCTAGATTTACCATCGAGAACTGCCCCAATACATATTGCCTGCATACACAAAACCCCCAAATATTTGCAAAATTAAGGAAAAAAGATAATTCATATTCGTCCTTTCTCTCCTTGACGAATACAGGAAATCGATTGATTTGAAATAGCACGGTTATACCATTTGGGGACGGCATTTGTGCGGGCTATGACGTCGAATTCTTCGAGGATACGGGAGATGGCTTTGAAGAGGCTGATAGCGCGAGTCTTGACGGAATCGAGGTTGAGCTGCTGCTGAACCGCCGGATTCAGACGCTCGACCACCTTTGGCGGCTGGTCTTGGGCTCCGGCCATCGTCACTCCTTCCATGGCTGCCATTACAATTCTGTCAGAGCTCCGCCGGAGGCAAAAGTTGTCAGTGCTCGGGCTTGTGAGTACTCTTTTTTCCAACCAATTAATTAAAATTTTAAAACTAAATAATCAAGTACTAATTAACTAATTATTTAGTTAATGAAATATCAGATTTATTGCATTAATTGATAAGGCCCGGTTTTGAGGGGAGACGAGAAAGGCGGTCGCCTCGGGCCCCCGATTTTTTACGAATTTTAGGGGCGCCCGATTTTGGAAAAATAGTCCTTATACATTAGTATTTATTGATTATATATAAAAGACAGAAAAGAGAAATTAAAGAAGAACTATGATGAAAGATCCGTCAACTCTTTGTCTTCGATTCTCCATTATCTCGTTCTTCTTGTTTTAAGATTGCGTAAAAAAAATCCAGATTTTCGTAATTGTGATTATCTTATATAGGTGTACTTAGTACTTGAATATATAGGAGTTTCCTTGTGCAATTAAAATTCCTATAATGCATAGTCGAGGAACTACAGGCGGTCGTCCGAAATTTAGTTCATTTTCTCAGACGACCGTCTCAACCTTCTATTAGATTCTTTTTCCTCCCGGGACGACCCGTCGGAGAATCTGCTGAAATCTCCAAACGGGCGTCTCAGTTCTACTTTTGGTCTGCAGTTGGTTGTCTTCCCTTGCCCATTCTTTACCGTTCCATCCTCTAGACTCTCGATTCTTCAATATGTACCTAAAATATAATAACCAAGTCATTAAACATCATTCAATCAATAAAATTCAACAAAAATCCTCATGAGAAAATATAAATTGAGTGTAAAACTTACACTCAACAACTTTAAAAAAAATCGGGGGCGATGCCCCCCGTACCCTTCAAGTATTTTAACCTATTATGTTTTAATTACTTCGAACAAAAAAAAACAATGTTGCTCTTTCTAGGGGCCCCCGTTTCAAAGATCTACAGAATTCGCCTTGGGCCCCCGAATTCCTAGGAACGGGCCTGGATAAGTGGCCCAAAATGTATTTTAAGAAGGGCCCATTACCTCTTTGTGAAGCCCATTTAAATCAATTGTTCTAGTTTCTTCCTGAAAGAAGCTACCTCAATGATGATGGCAATTGGATCATCATCATCTGATTAAACTAAACTAAACCATATTTTACATAAAAATTGTATAACTATCAGAATAATAATTGTAATTATAATTCTGCCGGTCGCTCAGTTCCAAGTTCCTGTCGGTTTGTCGCATCTCTCCCCCTCTCTCTCTCTCTCTAGTCGCCGGTGTTACATTTTTTAGCGTTGAGCTCTCATTTTCATCGATTCACAAACCCTAATATATACTTTTTGTTTAATTGCTTATGATGCACCTGTCGAATCGCAATTCATCATCAGGTCATTACTCATTACCCCCAATCAACGTTTCATTCATTGTTCTGTCTTCCCCATGGTATTTGATTTCTCTACATTTAAAAAAACTGTCCTTTTAATTTTTTTCTTTCGATTGCTAGATTTGATATTGATTTCATGGGCTGTAATTAATGTATTTGGCATTTTCCCTACTCTACTTGCTGTCGATTCTTATGCTCATCACTGCTTACAAATTGAAATTTAAACTCTATTGCTGCTACCAATAAGATTGCCTTCTCCAAACCTATGATCTCGTGTAGCTAAAATTTGATTATATAGTGTGGTTTTGGGGGGTTTAGAAGATGAGTGTAACAGTTGCAGTCGAAGTAATTTCATTATCACAAACATAATTGGTGGAGATAATGTTGTTTCAAGGAAAACAACAGGAAAATAGCTGCTAACAGGAACTATCCGAGGATGAATCAAAGTTGGTAGATTGCTCGTTAAATGCACTATCTATTCATTAAGAATTTTCAACTAAGAATCTAAGATGGCCGTGTATAGAGTATTTGCTTTGCATCCTCTTGCTAATATGTAAAAAGTTAAGGATTTATTGTATCATGATATGAAGACTTGTATTGGAATTAGGTATCACTTGACCCAAGGGATTGCAATTATATATCATGATCATAAATTAGCAGTTTTTTGATTGACTATAATCCCAGCTGTTTAAAAATTTTGGCTGATTTAAGACTCTTTAAAATATGTCCACGCAGGAAGCTCTTTCAGTTGATATGCTCTGTAGCAATAATTGCTATGGTCATGGTTTTTTCCATTTAATCTTTTGTCAATATCCTCGGCAATGCAATTAGCACAACATGATATTCGGACTGCCAATGCTTCAGAAACAGAACCCATTTTACCTCATCCCAGTATATCAGACAGATCAGAAGAATCTTCTTCCTCAATTGAAATAACCGTGGGTGTGGATTCTTCTATAGCCATTCACGATACATCAGTTCCTGAAATTGATGAGGGTATTGCTCTAGTGCGTGCAGACCAACCCCAATGCCGCATATGCCTTGACAATGAAGGTATTTTTTGGTTATTTGCATTTGTCGTAGATTTCTTGATTTTGATAACCTCTATCATTGAAACTTTTAAGTTTATCATTACTTATTCTATTTGTGAGTGATATTAAACTGAAATGGAACAAGTTTTTCGTCAGTGAATTATCATCATTTTAGAGTCAGAGGTCTATGTTTTATCTTGTTTTATTTAGTCTTTGACCATTATTTTCAGGAGAAGACTTAATTGCACCATGCCATTGTAAAGGCACCCAAAAGTATGTACACAGATCATGCCTTGATAATTGGAGATCAACAAAGGTATAATAACTTCATAAGTTCACGAATTCTTATTTTTCTTAAAATTCTTCTTCTAGTTTTGGTGATCTCTCATATTTCATTGAGTATTAGGCTGTTCCAGCAGAGCATAAATATTTAAGATAAAACAAACCCAACTTTTCAAGATATCCACCTAAAAGTTGCACAATCTTTTTGCTTCGTTTTAACTATATGGACTAGATCGTGATTAAGACTTATGTTTTGATCTGGAAAATGGGGAATATGTTTAGATCTCTAATGTAAGTCCTCTTAACACTGAAGATGCATCTTAAGTCTTAATTATTAACATGAGTTTGTTCTAATTCTTTTGCTCCAACTTTTCTTCCCTCAAAATGATGTTTATTCTCCTAAAATAAAACCCAACGTAGAATTCCATTTTTCCACCTGAATACATTTTCTCTCAGGAATTTCAAAATATCCTGCACACTCCGAACATATATATACCTAAGCACACACATTTCAAATGTTATTACTTATCTGTCAACTATATGTGCTCAACCCGTTACATTCTAAATGCCATCTCATATCATTACATTAAAGAAACATGTTTATGGTAACAGCGAAAGAGAGACATTACCTTAATTTTGTCAATTTGCATGATTTCTTATTTATAATTTCATGAAGTGTTTTTTTTTGGTCTTCTATAATTCAGGAGGGCTTTGCTTTTGCTCACTGTACAGAATGCAGGGCAAAGTTTATATTGCGCGCAAATGTCCCCCCCGATCGTTGGTGGTTGAGATTAAAGTTCCAGTTTCTTGTTGCAAGGGACCATGCAGTCATTTTCGTTATTGTTCAGCTGGTAGGCAACATTTCTTTTATTCAAAATTATCATCAGAGCATTTTTATTTTTGTATGGATTGTTTTGATGGTACTAGGTGGAACATTTTATTATTTATGCTTCTCAAGAAAATATTGATGCCGCTTTGTGTTGATGTAACTCGCTGGCAGAATAATTATTTATGCTGCTTAAGAAAATAATGATTAAAGTTAATATACCAGTTTGTACAGCACCCTTTTGTTATCTAATATGAAGATATAATTATCCTTCCCTTAAGTATAACAATCTAGTGCTGTAATGGCTCATCCCGGAACTTTGAGAGTGATTTCAAAATTGAACCGTTCTGTTATTTTTGTGAATCGTTTATTCCTGATATCATTTGAATCTTGTCAATCTTGTGAAGAGTTGGAACTTGATGTTTTTGGGGAATGATGCATAAAAGTGTATACATTATATACATTTTGGTGTGTGGTATGTCTTACTAATAATTGTTTATTAAATTTCCCTTAGATTGTTGCATTTCTAGGTGTGCTGGTATACAAATTTTATGGAGAAGAGCTAAGGGAAATGTTTGGTTATGAAGAACATCCATACGGATTTTATACTATGGCTGGTAAACAAAAATAAATCACTGTCGGCATTTTTTTCTTTTTTTCTTTTGGTACTTGTTTATAGTTTTGGATCTGGCTATCCAAGTTGTTATGGTTTGCAGTTTTGGCCATCGTGCTGGTGGGTTTGCTGTATGGGTTCTTCATTGCAATAATATGTGGACAGAGGATCAATGAACGCCACTACCATGTCCTTGCCAAGCAGGAACTGACAAAGGTTCAGTGATCTTCATCTAGTGTACTGTTGATTGTTCTGCTCAACTAAAATAATGGAAGATAACAAAGATGAAATAAAACGTATTTATTTATCTGCTTGAACCGTGATCAAAGGTTTTTACATGTGGTCGTTGATTTTGGTATTGATTTATGTGTTTAAAAGCAGGAGTATGTGGTAGAAGACAGAGAAGCCAATAAGGAGGTGTCTGAACTTGATTCAAGTCATGTGACTGAGCTCAGAATGCTAGGCCTCTATTGATTAACTTTTGTTGTGAGTGCTATATTTCAATTCCCAACGATTGAAGAAAAAATTATCTTTAACATAACAAAAATATGGTGATGCAGGCAGGCTATTGTATTTCTTGTGGAGTTTGCTGCTTCAAATGTCAGTCACATGGAGAAAATACACTTATTTGTTTTTGTGCCATGATAAATTATTATACCTTGGTTCAAACTACACTACACTACACTACACACTGGTGAGTTCATCATATATGTTTTTTTTTACATTATGGCAAGGAGAGTGTTAAATTCAAATTTCCTATAGGAGTCTTCCTATATTCAGAGGTGTATCAAAATTACACAAACATGCTTTATAGTTAGTTAGTTTGCTGATCAACTCCGGTATCAGTCATTTACAACAGTCAAGTTATGATTGAGATTAAATGAAATCATTGTTAATTATATTCAAGATTTGCTTCTTCAATATTATTTATAAATTGTTCAAAACAGAACTAATTCTAGAATAATAATTAATAATACTTTCCAAGATACAAAAGGTGAAGTTTACAAGAGCTTAAAATTTAAAGCCCAAACATTTTTGAATCTACAGTCTTTGGAACCAAGCAAATGCGCTCATCAAAATGGTTAATAATCTGTACAACTGAATATTTCCACAATTTATATTTTCCTTGACAACTTAAGTTAAAATATTGAAGTTATGCAAGGTACAAACATTTCTATACACTGGTTATCTATGCTATTAACATATATACCAGACCGTAATCCATGAGAGCTGGCTGTACATAATTATATCTCTACAAACTAACTTGTCTACTCTTCTTCCTCGTGCACAGATATATTGGCAGATGAAATCTTGCTCCCTGCATAATCCATTTGGGAACAAGCACCTGCATTCCAAAAATATTAACAATTACACAAGTAAATAACAATCATAGATATATATAATTAAATCTAATCATTGAGATTGTTTGGTCAGATCACAAACTTTTCAACAGAATTTGTATCAGACAGGGATAACTGTGATTTGTTTGTCTCATCATCCACAAACATTACATACATTATGTAAACACGAACAAAAAGCATCTTGCTAAAACTGAGTATTAAGCAAGAAATGTTTGTTTTCAAATGATTATACAAAAAGAAATCAAAGTAATGAGCTTATAAAGCATTCCATGTCAGATTACATGTTTTCAGCAGATATATCTCAGACAGGGATAACTGTAAATTATTTGTATCATCATACATGGAAACCACATGCTAAGCTCATCTCTCTAAAGTAGAAAAGAAATTTAAAAAAAAATGATGAAGCCTCAGACCGTCCTAGTCAAAATGGAGTTTTCAACATGAATGCATAAATGCATTTCTTGAATAAAGCATCATCACAGGCTTAATTAACATTCATATCAATTATTATAAAATAAAATTCATAAATATTTTGTTTCAAAAGAAAATAAATGTGTCCGAGAGCATCAGATCTTCCTATTTAGTTGAGCGTCATTTCACTCAATAATAATAATTGAGTACTCCGTTCTGAATTAGTACATCATCTGCCCCTTCTTCACTCATATATATATACAGACAACCCCATAACAAACAAAGATCTCAAAAAAATTGATTATGAACAAATAACTTGAAATGCAAATAAATTATGATATACCATCGTGGATGTAGTAGGCGGATGAAGGCCATCCCTGCAAGCTAGTAAGAGATAAATACTCCTCCTCAGTCAACGCGTTTGCAATTTTGTTGACAACCTCGGCGACGCCGTATGAGACTCGCCGAGGTGGGGCCCAATAAGAGGATCCAGGCACAAAGGGAAGCCAATCTGGTTTGGATCTAATGACGATGATGCCATGAATGGCATCTTCAATCTTATCTACCATCTTGGCTTCAGCCTCCGACGCCGTCAGCTCAATAAAGGAGCTGCTGCTGGAGAGGCGGCGGGTGGCAGTTTGTTTGGCGGCGGAAAAGCGAATTAGGGTTTTAGCGAAGGAGTAGGCCATTAGGGCTGGTGATGTGAGGAATAGATGCAGACGGGTAGGACATATATAGAAGAAAGGAGCAATGGGGTGAATTTAGAATTCTTGTCAAATTAAGGGACTTTTTTGTAATTTTATTGATACATTTAGCTAGGGCTGACTTGGACTCGTAGCTATTGGGCTTTTCTCTGCTTTTCACTCTTTTGGGCTTAAATAAAATTCTATTGCACGGCCCAACTGAGCCCAGTTTCAGTTAATATTCTTGCAATAATAAATAAATAAATTCCCATTATTATTATAAAAAACAATTAAATCTTTTCTGCAGCCAGATCTATCAGCAGAAATTCAAGGAAAATGGCGATGAGGGCTTTCTACAAGGAGATCAAGGGTTTGAAGGTGAAGGAATTGCCCAGCCACCTTAAGCCAATCTTCTCAATCAGCAATCTGAAGAACGCCGGCGGTCGTGCCCTCGACAATTACCACGCCAAGTACATCGAGACCAGCTCCGTTGACCCTCTCCTTCACATCTGCTTCGGCGGTATGATCTTCTCCTACCTCGTCGCTCTCCCCGAGGAGCGCCGCCACCTCCAACATCAGCAGGACCACGCTGCCCATTGATCCAAAGGTCTCCCTCATTACCCTATTTTTCCCAATTTCATTTCATTTCATTTCGTTTTTTTTAACCTAATTTTGTACTGCTGTGTTTCTCACCTCTTTGCGATCTACTATGCCCTTGGTTGTATTACTAGTCATATATATGTAGGGTGATTTTCCTCGATTTAAGGCCCTCATTTCCAAATTTCCGGCATAACCACGTTGATAATATACTTAATTTTAGGAAAAAGAAAAACAGTATTAAGAGCATTCTGGAAATTGATCGGGCTAGGTTGCTCTAAGTTTGGCAACTTAAAGAGTTATTGGGCTCGACACACATAGCCTGCATTTCTTGGTTATATTGTGAATCTAGTTCTGGAAATTGGTTGGCCTAGGCCACTGTAAATTGAATCAGTGTGATTTAATCGAAAGTATGTGATAGAGATTGTAAGTTATCTTCACCAGCTCATTCAATTCTATCAATCCTGCAATGTGATGTTGGTCCCTGCTGGTACTAATGAATCTGTTGTATTAGTATACGAAACAATGCTCTTGGCTTGTCCTGTGAATAGTTTATTTATTAAATTTGATTATGCTTACCAATGCCTAAAAATGTTGCAAATAGGACTGATTTGCTGATTTGCGTATAATGCAATACCACGTTTGATTTAGTTTTTCTTGATTGAAAATACACTCGGGACATTGAAAACTATTGCACCTGAAATGTGACTGTGGGATGTTCTCCATGTGGAGACTCGTGCCATGAGTAGGACACCGGCCATAACATAATGGCATACACAGTCCAAGTACTGTGGAATTGCATTGTCATGAATCCCTCTTCACATTTTTGTTGATTGGATGGATGGACATAGTCGAGAAGCACCGTTTATGGTTGCTAGTAAAATGTGAGATGTCTAATTGAAATTGTGTAATAAGTTTTGAGCTGTGCAGCTATCTTTACATGTTGCTTGAATGGTTAATTCTTGTGTCAGTATACTAATTAGAGATAATGCTTGTCTATACCTTAGAAATCCCACATGTTTTGTCTAACACCTTTTTACGTGATGATTGCAGCTTCAACGAAATGCATGGGCGATTCTTGGTTGGTTTGTTTCATTTTATGTGTTCTATTGGATTCTTCAAAATATAAATGCTGGGAAAGAGCGAATAAACTTTGAGCGAATCTCGCTGTCTAAAACATCATAATGCTGTTAATCATTGTACTATCAGTGTTGGAATTTGCTTCACTATTTTTGAGCTTTGTTTCTTTAATCGGTTAACTTCTTGCCTTTACCTGTTTACTTGCGCAACTTTGGTTTCTGGAGGTCGAAAAGTAGTCTTTTTACGCATAGTGAGTACAGAACTATGCCATTGTTTATATAAAACATATTGCATGACTGTATGATAACTAAATGGGGCCACAAGACATGATTGCATAACTTCCTTCCTATACATTGAAGTTTTGCTTAGTGCACCGTCTAGTTTTCCGCATTTGATTTACATAGTCACATGTTGTGTGTAAATTATGTATCGATTTATACACGTGTATGGTGTGACTTATTTGTTCAAGTTCATGTGTTCATATGTAGCATAGACAATCACCAAAATAAATTTAGTGCGATACATTGTATGGATGGGTGCAAAACAAAGAATTACATATATCATAATTAGTTTGTTACGCATGGATATATCAGCAATCAACGGTTCCGATTATTTAGATATTAAATGCCTAATTGCTTGCTCATAAAGACTATAATAAATACACTTTCTTAAATAGGCAAGTGAAGTCCGGTTATTTTTATGCAAAAAAATGAAAAAGAGAAAAAGAATAAAATTTAAATGCTTATAAGCAAAGGAACTAACCAAAATCATTAGGAGAGAGGATATCTCCAAAACCTTTAAAGCAAAGTAATTAAAACAAAATCATTGTATTGCCTCAAATCTTCATTTCTACTTTGCATTTCATATCCCTTTACCACCATTATTATATCTCAAATTCAACCATATTTTTATTGCTCATTACAGTTATCCTATTTAAGTTCGCATGGAAAACATATTTATAAATAATTATTTAAGTAAAATAAAGAATTTGAAAGATTAGATTGTTATTACGGTTCAAGATGAAAAATTGCATGTAACCTACTTTCTTCCAAAAAGCGTATTCAAAGTTTGTAAAGGAATGTCAAATATGAAAATAAGAGCTTATGAGTTATGACTAATTCGTAAGTAGGACGATGATAATCATATTCGATAAGGGGTTCAACGTACAAATGACAAATCTATTTGGACTCGAAGTGGGTATATCCATGTATTTCAACTCATATTCATGAGATGATACGATACATAAAAGGCTATATCAAGAATTGGTTCATGTGGATCATAATGGTAAGAAACTAATTTCCACCTATACGATTTTAAAGATTAAATGTTCGAACCTTATATTCTAGAGTAATAAGAATGATTGAAGTCCATTTTCACTTTTGTACCAAGTAATTGTGTATGCCATGATTAGGGATTCGTTCGGATCCTAACATTTATTGTGAATATATTTATTTCGAGTAATATGAGTCGGAGACGATTATGATTTATGACTTGATAGTTCAAGATTGATCACTAAAAGTACAACATCCCATTCTTCAAAGAAGTTCGAGATAAAAGAAAATGTTGTTGTACTAGAAATAGTTGTATATGTTCATATAAACATATTACGTGTGACATGTGACTAGTAACGAGACACCAGTACTAAAAAAAATTAATATTAATAATTATATAAAAGAAAAAATATATAATTTTATATAATAGAATAAATATATTCAGCAGTGTTTTGTTCGTATTGGTTAACACTCAACAAGTAATTTTTAAAACTTCATGTGTCAAAATGATAACAATATAAAAGTTAATGTACCAAAATAAAATATACTAAAAACTAAATATAAAACTAAACCCACAGTGAAGGAGTGAAGAGAGCAGACCAGAGTGTGCCGAGAAAGTGGAAGGTGTTTTTTGTTTTTCTTTTTTTCTTTCGCATTCACAATTCTCTCTCTAGAAATTAGAAATTAATTAATGTGCTGCAATAATTTATAATTGCTGTCACTATAACCAACAGTATTTGCGAAAAGAAAAAATCTTATATTCTTAACAGTAGAGAGAAGTATATATTTTTCCTGCTGTAATAATCTGTGTTTGGATGTTACAGGAGACAGACAGGCAGACAGACAACCCACCGGTCGTTGCGGCTATCGCAAGTCTCAAGACTCAATTTTTAAGCATTTTAGAGTACAAATTTTGATGGTTTGGTGATGGGATCGCACCAGAATTCCATGTAACAACGACCCTCTTGTTATCTTTTTCGTATTTGCAGATTTTCATACACCATTACATTACATGTACCCCTATCTTTTGCTGCTGTCATCTTCAGGTACTGCTTCTTTCTTCTCTACTTTTTGCTTCCAAGAACTATATTTCTTTTTTTATTAATTTTTGTTTTCTATTTTTGGTTTCGTTGAATGTGTTTGACAGGCAGGATTTACATTTTTTTTAATTCTATTTTAAGTGTTTGAAATTAGTAAATTAATGTAGGAGAGTTTGTTCAAATGGGATTTTACTATCAAAATTTCCAAATACCAAATTTTGAATCCAAACTCATTTCATTTGCTGCTGTTAAATTGCGTTGTCTTTTCGGAATCTTTTTGTTTTTGTTTTGTTTAATTGCTTGAAACGGTGAAGTGGGGGTATGTACTGTGTTTAATTGATTTAAGCAGGGATAGTCCAAATTCAGTTATACAAATGTGTTTTCCTTGTGACTTTATCTGAAATTTAGGCATTTTCTTTTGTTCTTTGATGTTTAGTTGGCCTCCTTTTTCTTAGATTTAACTATTTCGAGTGAGATAATCGACTGGTTCCCGGCGAGGGTTTGTGTGGAAATTTCATGTAAATTTCCATTCCTTGTTTTCCGGTAATTTGGCTTAAAGTTTTGTCCTTTGTGGATCACTCAAAACTGAAAATGGATGTATATGAAAAAAATAATATTGTTTGTGTACCGCCTGAACGCATCCACATGTGTAGCTTACTAAGATTTGTCTCTTGTATTTATTGAATCACTTCCATTTTTTGGAAGATTCTGCTTTAATGCATCAACTTATTGCACACAGTTTTATCAGAGCTATGGTGTGTGTGTGTGGTTACACTACTCTACTTGCTCATTCTATGGACATGCTTTTGATCATATAAATGGACGTTAAATCTCATCTTATCTCTTTCTCTATCGATTGCCAAGCTCCGAGTCTGTAAATCCGCTACAACTCAAATTGTTTTTCAAATCCATTTGATAGTCATAATAACTTTGTCTAATTTGCAGCTGTGAGTTTCCTGAATGTCTATGCTGTCATGCAAAAAAAGAAAGTTCTTTGAAAAAAACTATTATTATGGTGTACTTTTAGTGTAATCTGGAACGAACCCCTATTGCTTTTGCTTTCCGGTGATAATGTGAAAAAGAAATTTATCCGAGACAATCGGTTACAGTTTTTGTGCGGCATCCATTAACTTATAATGTTTTCAGAAGTTGGAACATTGATCATGTTGTGCCGACAAAGATTATATTTTTTACGTGCTGTCTGTACATCTTGTTTGACGGCTCCCTTTCTTCCACGTGTTTATGCCTCATGGGCACCTTAAAAAAAGTCGGTGAAGTTATAGGCGGTAACTAATAGTTGGATTGCTTTCCTTGACGTCATTTGTTGAAGTTCGTTACGTCTGTCTCTATTTTGTTTTTTCCGTCCTTAATGTTGCATTCGTAACTGTATTTATATAATTCTCCGCACTGACCTTTTGTTGTTTAGCAAAGCAAACGGCTTATCAGGCAACATATCAAAACCATGAATGGTCGTATTATTCTTTATTTACACGTGTGTTTGTCAGTCATTCCTTCGACGACTGTAATATCAATTAGTTACTATAAAAGATTCATTTTTTATTCAATCCTCAAGAAACTCGTTTATTCACCAAGTTCATTTATTTTTCTCCAGAGACCTGAATCATCACCCGAAAAACCACTCACCTTCTTGATAATCAAAACCTAAAATGGGGTCTCGATTCCCATCTCATCAGCTGAGCAGCGGCCTCTATGTATCTGGCCGCCCAGAACAGCCGAAAGAGAGAACACCAACCATGACATCAGCCGCCATGCCTTACACAGGCGGCGACATAAAAAAATCTGGCGAGCTCGGAAAAATGTTTGACATTCCTGTAGATGGCTCCAAATCAAGAAAATCTGGACCAATCACTAGTGCTGCAGCTAGATCGAGCTACTCTACGTCAGGCCCCATATCATCCTTTGGTGTTTCTGGTTCTTCGTCTATGAAAAAATCAAATTCTGGTCCACTGAATAAGCACGGGGAGCCTATCAAAAGATCCTCTGGCCCACAATCTGGTGGAGTAACCCCGGTAACCCGCCAAAACTCGGGTCCTCTGCCGCCGGTTCTTCCAACAACAGGTCTCATTACATCTGGACCCATTTCATCTGGCCCACTTAACTCATCTGGAGCCCCACGAAAGGTATCCGGACCTTTGGATTCGAGCGGGTCGATGAAATTACATGGTTCTTCCTCAGTTAGCAACAATCAGGCTGTGACGACTCTTGGTCAAGATGATGAGTATTCGTTTAAGAGGAACCTCCCGAAAACTATACTGTGGGCGGTTATTATGCTTTTCGTGATGGGGTTTATTGCGGGTGGTTTTATTCTGGGAGCAGTTCGCAATGCTGTTCTTCTCGTTGTTGTTACTGTTCTGTTTTGCATTGTTGCTGCTCTGTTCGTGTGGAATTCTTGTTGGGGGAGAAAAGCTGTCGTTGGCTACATTACAAGTTATCCAGATTCGGAACTGAGAACTGCTAAAAACGGGCAATACGTCAAAGTTTCTGGGGTATGCAACTATATATAATATGGCCGTGTTCTTAATTATAATATATTTTTTTAATTTGTACTGATGGTTGATTGTTATATTGGGAAGGTGGTTACGTGTGGAAATGTTCCACTAAAATCATCCTTCCAGAAGGTTCCAAGATGCGTGTACACTTGCACAAATTTGTTCGAGTACAGGGCATGGGGTTCCAAGGCTGCAACTCCTACACACCGACGTTTCACATGGGGGCTTAGATCTTCAGAGGTATATATATAGTTCTAACTAGATAGTATGATTCATTTGAAGCTAATTTACTGAAAATTCCGTGTCTGTAAAACGCAGAAGCATGTTGTGGACTTTTACATATCGGATTTCCAGTCTGGGCTGAGAGCATTGGTCAAAGCTGGCTATGGTGCACGTGTGATTCCGTACGTGGATGAAACTGTAGCCATTGATGTTGATCCACTAAAAAACGAATCATCTCCAGAACTTATCCGCTGGCTAGGAGAGAGGAACCTATCAGTCGATGATCGTCCGATGCGATTAAAAGAAGGGTAAAGTCGTAATCTTTGCAACTCCCACTTTTTCTTTTATATATATATGGACATTCATCTTATTAGTGATGATGGTATGTATATATGTTTTGGTGGGTGATGGTAGGTATATAAAGGAAGGGAGCACGGTAAGTGTGATGGGGGTGGTACAGAGGAACGAAAACGTGCTAATGATAGTTCCACCGGGAGAGGCATTCACAACAGGGTGTCAGTGGAGTCAATGTATATTTCCTAGTAGCTTTGACGGTATCGTGTTGAGGTGCGAAGATTCATCAAAGGTCGATGTTATACCAGTCTAGTTTCTTTAAACAAATAGGCATATAAACAATCGGGACGGGGTTTTTTGCGACAAGACAAGCCACAGCTTGCTTAGTAGGTGTTTTGGCTGTTCATGTATATTCTTAGGTTTGTTTGTTTGTGTATTTGTTTATTTCTTGGAGTCTTGGTAAATTGGTAAAGCTTTGTTTGTTGACGACTATGGAAATACTTTTACATGTTTTCAGTTCAAGAACAGTTTTTTTTTTTTTTTAATTACTTGTTCATTAACATGTGCTGCATATTAATATGCATTGGATCGATTTGTTCAACCAAGCACAAATTAATGATTATTCACTAATAGAGTAATATTAATTAATTAATAAATTATATATATAAAGAATCACAAAGTAACATGATACACTAATTAAAGAACCAGATCCTCTGTCTCTCTCTCTCTCTAAATTCACAATCACATCCAATTATTAAAATTATATAATTACAGTTGCAGAACCGCCATAAGTGATAAGTGTATTCTCTCTCTCTCTCTCTCTCTCTCTCTCTGAATGGTGAATGCGGCGGCGAGAGATGGGTAGGTCAGCTGCAGGAAAGCTTAAAACCACCAAGTTTGTGTTTTTATTGGTCGGTCTTTTAGGGCTTTTTCTGATTGTAGATCTACTCTGGGCTTCCTCTTCTTCTTCCTCTCCCTCCAATTGGGCTCTCCGAAATCCCGACCACAATTTCGTTGTTCCCCGCCCCTCCTCCGTTCACACCAATACCACCACCTTACCCTTACACACTCCTCCAATCAAGGTACGCTGCTGTAATTCACTCATTTCTATTCACTTTTCTTGCCCCTTTACAATTGCAACTCCACTTGCCCATAATGCCTGCTCAATTGATCTGATCCTGAAATCCATGCTTCCTTTTTTTTTTTTTATTAGTGATGTATTATTGTATTTCATTCCGTGGTTGTTCAATCTGATTCTTCTAATATAAGTGATCATCGAAACTTCGTTTGGCTTCCTTCCTAATTACTGAAATATTGGATATTATTATTATGATCTGTGACAGGAGATACCTAAGAAGGATAATGCCTCGGGGAGGATCTTATCGGCAACTTTTGCTGATTTGGAAGCCCCTCAATTGATATGGGAGAAGATGGAAACGGCACCAGTGCCTCGTCTTGATGGTGCTGCAATACAAATCAAGGATCTTCTTTTTGTATTTGCTGGTTATGGAACCATTGATTATGTGAGTTTTTTTTGCTGATTGAATGAGCATTTCGTCTATGCGTCTATGTTTCCGTTCCATTTATGTCTTCCCATGAGTGTATGTGAGCGAAAAGTAATGTTCATTGGTTGTTTTGTATCTTTGAAGGTACATTCACACGTTGATATATACAATTTCACTGATGACACTTGGGGAGGAAGGTTCGACATGCCGAAAGAAATGGCGCATTCACATTTAGGAATGGTAACAGATGGAAGATACATTTATGTGGTGACTGGACAATACGGTCCTCAATGTAGGGGCCCTACGGCACACACGTTCGTACTCGACACAGAAACAAAGCAATGGCGCGACATGCCACCTTTACCAGTCCCAAGGTAATAGCTACTAAGTGTAACCCTGTACTCAAATAGAAGCGTACAATCCATTTGTTTTATATACGAGGGAGAAAAAAGTTGCTTAGATTATATAGGTATATACCAAAACGGAAGTTATTAATATGGTACGTTTAGGTATGCACCTGCCACGCAACTTTGGAGAGGGAGGCTGCATGTAATGGGTGGCAGCAAAGAGAACAGGCACACGCCTGCGTTAGAGCATTGGAGCATTGCTGTCAAAGATGGCAAAGCTTTAGAAAACGAATGGCGATCTGAAGTTCCCATTCCTCGTGGCGGACCCCACAGGTTTTGAATTTATCTGATTCTGTTTCTCGGTCTCGATTTAACGATTTTATTTATTGAGCATGTATGTATATTATTGTATGTAGGGCTTGTGTTGTGTTCAATGACCATTTGTACGTAATTGGTGGTCAAGAAGGTGATTTCATGGCTAAACCTGGATCTCCGATTTTTAAATGCTCTCGCCGCAACGAGGTAGTCCAATTATAAGTTCATTAATTGATCTGGATGATGTTAGTATAAATCATTACACTGATGTCCTTGTATATTATTTTGTGCAGGTAGTATACGATGATGTGTACATGCTAGACGGTAACATGAAGTGGAAAATGCTACCTCCAATGCCAAAGCCCGATTCACATATCGAGTTTGCTTGGGCAATTGTTAATAATTCACTAGTCATTGTTGGAGGTACCACTGATAAGCATCCTGTAACCAAAAAGATGACTTTAGTTGGAGAAATCTTCCAGTTTAATTTCGACACTCTGGTATTTCTTCTACATTCTCCAAATATATTATATTTTCTGATTTTTCAATCTTACTTAAATAAAAGTCTGATTCTCCAAATGTGAACTATAATAACAGAAATGGTCGGTGATTGGAAAGCTCCCTTACCGTGTAAAAACGACACTAGTTGGGTTTTGGAACGGAATGTTGTATTTTACGTCGGGTCAACGAGACAGAGGGCCTGATGATCCTGCCCCAAAGAAAGTCCTTGGAGAGATGTGGAGAACTAAGCTTATCTTATAATCACATTCCTTTTTTTTGTCTTTTCTTTTTGGTTTTATTTTTTGATAGATTTAGTTGTTATATGTACTCTGTCAACACAACAAAAGATAGACTGTAAGCAATTCAAAATGGCCCATAATTCTTTTTTTTCCTTTAATTTCTCTATTTGTAGATGATTGATACAGATATATATATATATATATATATATATATATATATATATATATATTTTTTGTTGGTTTGTTTTATATCAGGAAGCAAAACACAGAAGAGTTATCTTTTATGTTACAAAACAGCATCAACAGCTTCACTAATTCATAAAAAAATGTTACAAATGACTAATCCAATACTTAATCCTACCTCAAAAACAAAATACCAAGAATCATAAATAAGAGAGGCTACAGATTTTATTTACCATCTTTCACCAAATTTGCAGTAATTCTTCAACTATTTACAGTCTCTGATTTAAAAGAAAGACAAGTTGTGATCTCTTCTAAGGCTGCTGCAGCACCACAACCTCCACAACAAAACTCTCCCCATCAAACCTCAAACCTGACGGATCACTCGGCTGAATCACTCCATCCACCATTCCACCGTGTACATACAAGAACCTTCCGGAATCATCCACACACCCTCCATGAAATGATCTACAATTAGGTCTCTCCCCTTCCGATTCCACCCTTCTCCACATTTTCCTATACACTCCGTTTACCATCGAACCAATATCCAACACCCAAAAATCATCCTTCCTCCGCCTATTCGAATCTTCCCCTCCATATATAAGCAACCGACGCCCAATGATAAGGCTTGCCGAGTGGCCCACTCGCGGCAGATCAAAACCCCGAGGCACACTATGCAGCTCAAACAACACTTGCCTCCATCTCCAATTCCCTTCTTCATCAGATGATGTAGCCCCATCGAGTAGCCATACATCGTGCAACACCTCATACCCCACCCCCCTCCCTCCAAACAAGATCGTCTGTTCTCCCCCAATATGAGTCAGCGTGTGGCCAGATCGAGACGGAGGGCAGTTCTGATCGACAACAACCTGGGCCCACCTCCCGAAACATAAATCTTCTGAAAGATTAAGGATCCAGGTGTCACCTAGTCTGAGACCGGACAGTCCTATGCCGCCGTGGATGACCATTCTCTTGTTGTTTAAGGAGCAACAGGCGTGGGCCCCTCTCGGCGGCGGTGCGGTGGAGGTGATGTCGAGCAGCCGCCAGGAGAGTGTGATGCTGCCGGATCTGTCGTGGAGGGTGAGTCGGCCGATCCAGGTGTCATTTTGGCGGGCGCCGTGGTCGTTGATACCTCCGAAGAGGATGAGGGAATCGTTGATGACTATGCAGGAATGGCCGAACCTACCACTTGGAATGCCTGAAGCGATCTTCTGCCAGTTTAGTTTTCGCTTGAAATCATTGCCTATGTATGCTACCCATGTGTCATCACAGTGCCTGCCTGATTGGGATAAAAACAGAAAAAAATTCAGACAATGTAATATGTATACATTGTTTTCTATGGGGAGAGGCTCTATGTTTCAAGATTCATGAACACTTAAAATAGAGCAGAAGGTAATCCTTAAAACCAGTTAATGTTTCCACAGAAACTAATCTTGAACACTTCAAATGCTAGCTAGTAGCAATACTACAACATGAAGAGTTTGTAAGAAATGAACACTGAGAGACAACATATTTGCACTTGATCAAACAAACTGTAAAACCCACAAAAAAAAAAACAGGTATTATCATTAATCCAAGAATCATGGAGCAAAAAATCAAGAAAACATCCAAAAAAAAAAAAAAAAAGGGCTGACCTCCTTCACAGCCACCACCAAAGAGAACCAAGCATCCAGAAACTAAATTGAGGGAGTGGGAAGCCCTAGGGCAAGGGAGAATCTCAAGAACAGCATCTGGGTTTTTGTGGGACAAGAGTCTAGTGCAGAAGACAGAGTCCAAGAGGTAAACCTGGTGGTACAACTTCTTCCATGGAAACTGATGCAGGCGATTGGAGCCCTTTAGGGAATCGACAGGAATATGGCCCCAATCACGCTTGCAGATAGATTCCCACAGCGAATCTGAATATGCCAAAGACTTCAACTTTTTACAGGTCATCGCGAAGCAGAGTATAGATTCCACCGGTAAGAGCAGCAAGATCGAGAATAGATGGTCTTCCGGTATCAACGTCACTGATGCTGCTGCTGCTGATCCATTGCTGCTTGTTTCCGCCATGGGAGAGAAGAGCCTCTGTTTTTTAGAGATGAATTCTTGATTTGCTTCTCTTGTTGCTTGATTTTCACTGCTCATGTTTTTTTTTTTTTAACTGATGGCCGGCCCCTATAGATATGTATCATACATTGGATACGACAGCCATGGATGAATATTGAGCTTCGTCTGTGACCCCACCATTAAAGCTCTCGTACTAAGCTTCGAGTATGACAATTTTGTTTTTTTTTCCAAACATTTTTTGGTATCTATTGGGTGTTACCATTATCTAAAGAAGAAGAAGAAGAAGATGGGTTTTCCATTTACATTCAAAAAAAAGGTCAGGTCAGAAGAAAATATTTAAGCATCCAATCAGGTTTAATCCAAGTTGATGTATAATATATAATATAATATAATACAATATTGTCTTCAGTCTCGATATAAATATATTCCTCTGGTACTAAATATTTGGTCTCTTTTTGTGTAGCCATGATATTTATTGTATATTCCATTTAATAAGTTGATGATTATTAGGTATAAAATCTTACAAGATAGATATCATATGATTTCGGACATTTTTATGCCCAAAGACTTTTCTCCCACACGCCTTTTGAATTGTCAAAAACAAAACTCAACAATTATTTTGATTTTTAAACTCCAAATATAATTAAGCAAAGTCTGTACAAAAGAAATGAGTTATATAGCTAGTATCAGACAAACACAGCCAAAGCTTATAATCAAATTATCCTGACTTGGGTGGGTCATAAATTATTAAGACACTACTAATAATACTACAGAGTAGAAACACAGTCAGTCAGTCACTCACTTTGAAAATATTACAGCTTAGTTTCTAAGACAAACAACATGGGATGGAAGAGAGCAAACACATAATATTATGTCAATTACTTTTGCAGATTGGGTATTCGACCTTTATCCAACACTCTCCAAAGTGCTTTCTTCGCTTCCTCGAGTGTTTCTACACTATGTCCATCTTCAAATGATATTCTCTGAACATTAAACTGCAAAAAACGAAATGAAATATTAGCTTCGAAAAAACATAATGGCAGATTCAGAACACTATGACATGTAATGTAGAGGACCTGGGCGCCTTGACGGACACGAATATCGATACCCCTACTGTCTATTGATATAAGAGCAGCATCGTCTACCTCAGCTTCTTTTGACAAAAGCTCTTTTAGTGGTTTTGAAAATATTGCATTTAGTTCCTATAAAACAAATACATAAAAAATTATATCCCCGTCATTGGGTTGACATGACCAATTTATTAAGAACAAGGCATACCTTGAGATTTTGTTCGCCCCCATCAACAGCAATCTTATCGGGTTGAAGGGTTTCATACTCTTTAACATCAACCCATGCAACAGTTCCAAAGCCTCCAATGAAATATATATCACTGCCATGACAGATAATTGTTGTATTCATGAATGTTGAACACTCGTCTCTGTATTATATCTTCTTAACGTACTGATAAAGAAAAACAGTATGACATAAAAGAGCTAACCTTATGTTCTGCATCCGGAAGTAATAGAAATTCCCCCACTGCTGAGAAGGTCCTTGTTGGTGTTTTGCTATGTATTGTTTATGAGCCCATTCCTGGCAATGGAATTAAACATAATAATCGTTGTAAGAAATATGGAGAATCTAAAGTTCTAAGTGATATTTATGAGACAAATGTTTTGAACTCGGAAGGGAAACTACAACGACATCGTGGAAACTTAAAAAACGAACATTTACTTTGATTTTATAATGCAAAAGAAGGTAAACCACAAAACAGGATTTTCATTGCCAGACATGTGGTTAGGACTATTTACTAATTAAACAGCATTGGCTGAAGAAGGTAGTCACCTGCTGGTCTTCTGGGAGGGGGTAGACATCGCCAAATATTGTCACACGAGCATTTGATAAGCCACTCCATCCAGGTATCTAACAAATTTACAGATCTTTATAAATCAGATGAAAAAAGTGCAGCATAAACAGTGATGATGGCATTACTGAGGAACTCTGATAATATACTGCTAACCTGTACAACTAGCGTGCATCTTGGATTAGCTAGTAAGTTCCTAGTGTGTATAGCCAGTGGGGAGAATGAAAATATTGGATCTGCAAAAAAGAAAATGTCAAAACCGAAACACAGGTTTTATTTGCACACTAGTAAGTCGATTTGTGAAGACAAAAAGCAGTATATCCTTCACAATTTCAAGACCTTGGAATCATTTAATGGTTACGAAAACTGTTTTTTTCTAAAAACCATCCATCCTTTTTTAGGGTTTAGAAGTAGATGTAAGACATTTAACTGGAACAAAAACAGTTAACAAAATTGTCTTCAAAGTAAAACATTCGTGAAAGATCAAAGATATTTCTTTTAGAAAATTCTTTCCTTCGAAGGAGCATCTCATAAAATGCACATAATGGACCACTGAGACTTCATTTAGAAAATGGTTCTATCCAAAACTAAGTTGACGATTGATAATTGTCCATGGAAAATTTTGAAGGAAAGAAAACATTCTCAATGCCAAAAACATCGTTAAGGAACTATTTAAGTTTCTATCAACCACGAAGAAATTTTCAACCTTCTGTAAAAAATATATAACAGTAGATAGATTAGCATTCTGATTAAAACGGAAGACAACAAAAGCCAATTAGACACACTGTCATAGCCATAAGAGGGGGGAAATGAACGTACGTCCCATTGAATCTGGTGCAAAATCTACGAGTGAACCAAACGGATAACCTTCTCGGCGGTGATGCATGCGAGACATCACAGTACACAGGTGAGCAAATCTAGCCTTTCCTCATTCAAATGCAACAAGAAAATGGCAAAAAACATATTAAAAGCTGCTTTAAAAAGTTATTAACAGCATAGCTACCTTGAAGAAAAATGCATATAATTCATTAGAAAAAAGGTTTACCTGCTCCATTAAATTCCGAACTGCTAATGCTGGTCTAGGTAAACCGTGGGCAGAGGTTGCACTTTGTACTCCTCCAGATATAGGTGTTCGGAAAAGCCCAGCTCTAGTACCACCTCCGCCAGATGTGCTTCCATATGAGACCATAAGAGGGGGTGTCGTCAAATTTATATCCTTTTCGATACTTTGGTTGAGATCGAAATTATTACCCTTCAGGATATGAGAGAGGCCATCACAACAAAGCCGAACAATCCATTTGAAATATCCATTGACGGACTATATCATAAACAGAGATGTCTAAACTTATCATGGCAGGGGATATGAGTACAACTAAACCAATTTCTGTAATACGAGACCAGAACAAAGATCCTCCCAACATAAGAAACAATTAGGCAACATATAACATTTTTTATGTTAATTTTTGAGCATCGTAAATGGATTTACATTATGCTGGCATGCATGAATGTAAGGAGTAAAATCAATGGTTTGGATATGAATTAATATTTTATAGGTTTGAATCCCAATGATGAATTTGATGTCACCAAAAACATGAGTTTTCCTGACTTATTTTTCATGCTTACGGACTGAGGATATATTTTCAATATAAATGTGATATTGGATCCCCGAAACAGCTTCTTTTGGAAATCCATGACATCTTACTAATCTGTATAAACCTAAAAACGAAGGAACTTTTAAGAATAATTTTTAGCTCCCAAAAATCATAGAAATTAAACAAAAAAAAAAAACTTTGAATGTCCAATAAACAGAAAAATAAAACAATGAGGAGGGAACCTTTATTTTAAAACATTTACCTGAGACAAAGGGAGAGATTCTTCGGGTACAAAGCCCAAGACACCATTATCGTTATCCATCCGGGTATCCTCTTCGCCGCTGCCGTCGTCTGATACTTCCCGGGCGAGCGCCGAGACTCGAGAGGCACATCGCAACGACGGCGTTTTGGCCGAACTCGGATTGATTTTTAACGAAGGGAGGTGTTTTCTGCTGATTTTGGAACAATGAATTCCCCAGGAAGTCTCTGGCAATCTCTGAATTTGCAAACCGGAGCCGGAAAGAGCTTCCATGGACAAGACGACGGTAGAGAGAAGCGAATTTCTGTTCGTTATTCGGCTTCTGAAACAAGGTTTACGCTGATTTGAACATCAATCTGGGCCTTTGCCCCCATTGGCCCATTTTATAATCAGGCCTTTGCCGCATTGGCCCAAATTTTAATCTGGGCCTTTGCCTTATTAGCCCATTTATTAATCAACCTTGACAAAATAAATTGAGTGCATTTTTGTGTACAAGGTCCATTAACTATTGTAATTGTACACAATATAAAATATATGTTTTCAAATCCTTTATGTAATTGATATTATTACAATTAATCTACATTAATATTGTTGTTATCATATATCTTTGTGAATATAAATTCCTACTAATTACGATCATAATCAATAGTTAAAAAGGAAGGACATAATGGTAATTTCACACATCATCAACAGATAGGAATGAAACATCTCTCATTACATACTTAAGTCCAACTTTAAGCATCCTAAACTAATCACACAAAACACACAAACATCTCTCGTATGATTTGTAAGTTATTATACAAAAGTATAGATTTAATCAGTGCATTTATATATGATTAGGTGCGGGTTCATTCATTACCAAAAAAACACACACGCTAAAACTGTGTATATGTGTGTGTGGACTAGAGATCTGTAACGAATGAATTAAACATCATATATACGATACGTGGCTAATATGAAATGCATCATATAGTTTATAAATATACACCACAGATTTAAACAATTTGTGTCAGTGTGTGTGTGGAAGCAAACCAAATAATCTTCAAATCACATATCGAATTATTGAATTAATACTTTACACGAGAGACCACTCATTTTTATTCTCTCTCTCTCTCTATATATGTTATATACTGCATTTTGCACCACAATTTCATGTCCATTAAACAACTTATTTGTCTACTGCATGCGTGTCATTATTATTTATATTACTTTAATAATAATAATATTATAATTATTTGAAATCATATTTAGCATCTCTAATACTTGCAATCCTAATTAAAAACATTATATTAATATTAAATCTAAAGAGGAAAATGGGCCAGAAAAATAAACAAAGTTAACAACTTTTTAATTAATCAAAGCCCAAACTAGCTAGCACTCAGCCCATCCCTCTTCCAGCTCAAGGCGGCGCCTGCGCTGCACTTTTACAGCACGCTCAAGCTTCGAAGCCGCAGCTAATATAATCTTAGCCGGCGCACCGGAAATCTCCTCGAGCCGTTTCAGCACCTGCCATGTCTGCACCGAGCCGAATCTCAAACCATGCCACACCGAAGCCGCCAAGCAAATGCGGAATGGTAAAACCGTCAACCGACCCAAAAACACCCTCATAGCTCTCGAGGCCATCCGTACTGCCACGTCATCACCGACCCCCAGCTTGCCATACCAGTTGACGAAAACGCCCTCGGCTTCAAAAATATCCACCCGCGATTTTCGCTCCCGCTCCGACGTCACCGAAGAAGACGAAGAGTCAACACTTTGACCACCACCGCCGCAATATAATTTCTTAGCCGGAGATGTGGTGCTGGAGATGCAAACCGAGGAATTATCGGAGGAGAGTGAGCTGACGTCATCAGCCGTAGGGCACGAGGAGCAGGTCGCCGGAACAAGGTCAGAACCTACGCCGGAGATCGAATGGCCGGTTAGATTATTGCAGGCGGAGCAGAGAAACTGGCGAACATGTCGAGCCACGAGGAAGTTGGCAGAGTGAACTCGTGCGTCGCAGCTCCAGCAGAGATGTGCGTTGTCGGCGGAGCAAAAGACGGCGGCTTCACCACTGCACAGCTCACAGTGTCGTCTCATTATCATCGTCTAGCCTATACAAAATTTTCGATCTCTTTTTTTTTTCTGGTACGTTTAAATTTTTCTAGAGGATTAATATAAATCGCCGATCAAGCACACCTTCAGTGTGTGTTGTATGTGAGAGAGAGAGAGAGAAGGAGATTCAGATTACAAAGTGGTTATAGTGAAGAAAAAAAAAGGAAGGATTTTAGAGAGAGAAACTAAAGAAATGAATGGATTATAGAGAGAGAGAGAGAGAGAGAGAGAGAGAGATCGGCGGTGAGAAATGAATAGAATTGTTAATTAACAAAAAGCACACACGCACCTGTAAAATACAACTCATATTTCTCTGAAAAAAGTATATGTATATATATATGTTGTGAGAGACGAGTGTTTATTGTGTGTGTGAAATGAAATTGGAATAAATATAATTACGAATTTTGAATATGTGGAATGAAATTGAAGTAGAAAAAACACCACATACACATATACAAACAAGTGTATAATATTTCTTTATTTTCATTTTACCTTTCTCTCTCACAAACACAATCATACAATTAAAAAAAAAAATCTTTATGTGTACCAATCCCTGTCCACAAAAACCTCGTTCCCCTCGAACCACTCTACGTCACTTTCCATATTTTGCACCCATGCCCCTTTACTTGTTTGCACATTATTATTTTGCAACATATATATTTTTTTTGGGGGTCTAAATTCGAAAATTAATATCCAAAGGGGCAGGTGTAAAACGAAATATATGTATGTATACCATGAATTGGAGTGGAGTACACGTGGCACAAATTGACCTTCATATATTTTATACCATGTTTCCCCATGTTCCAACTTTGTCATCATTCTAATTACTGTGAGGTTAATAAATTATTTTGAAGTAGTTGTAAAAAATCAATAAAAAGAAATTTAGAATTGTATTTGAGACTCAACAAGTGTTGCAATGAATTGTGATTTGTATGGACTAAAGTTAACTGCATAGTACAATAATTCAAAAACCAAAATTGAAGAAGAAATAAATATGATCAAATGAAAATGATGGGTGGAATCGGCTGAATCGTAAATCACCACCGGTGGAGATTAATTGCGTGAAATTCCAAACAATCTTTACTCTGCAACCCCACCCGGCCCCCTACAGTGAAAAACCACTACGTGTCAAAATCACAGACGGTCCATCATCAACCACCACACACCTTTTACTACACCTGATGCAAATATATAGCAATGGACACGTGTCGTAAATTAAGAGGTGATGATGAGTACTGGCCGATTAAGGGAGACCACGCAACGTCATTCGGTTGTTGGACACAGAATTGGTGTGTGTGTGTGAGAGAGTGACTTCCACACTATTTACTACGTACGTACTGTGAGGGATCAAATAAATTCGTTACCGTAAACTATTAATAATATACTATTCATGTTGTGGTGATATTTATTTTGTTTTGGTCCAATAATTAATTAAATAAAAGAAATATATAAAATAATTTATGAATTATGGTACAAAATTTATATGCATGGGATGGGATAAAGTGGTGGTGATGACTGATGATATGTTGATATTATGATGGGGGGAGTGAAGGATGAAAATAATTAATTAAAACTTGTGACATATCTACCTTACTTTAGTTAACCACGTTATTATTATTATTAGCTATCTTGGAAAAAGGGTCGGTGGGTTGTTTCTTGTTTTGTTTTAATCATCATGCTGCTCTGAATATTTTAAACTGCTGAATATGTACACATGAATTATAAATTTGTTTGTTTGTTTGTCTAGATAATTAAGCATTCTCTACATCTTTCATTTTGTTTCCAATAAACCAATTCAGTAATTATTGCATATGCACAACATACTACAGCTGTAAGAGTTATATCATATGTTCAGCAATTTATTAGAATCTTAAAACTTCATTATTAATAATCTGTTTTTATCTTATATTAAACAAAAACCATAAGCAATCTAAAGAAAAAGGTTTAGTTTTAACTTACAAGTATGGTCAAAGAGCATGCTTATCCAGACTCCGGTCGAGCTAAACATGGAAACTCCATACTCGTGGAACCGTTCGTTTGCAGCTAACACACATTCACATTATTCAGATTCCACAATTTATGCTCATTCACATTTCATGCTTCTTATTCCACCATTACTTCTACCCTTGCACACCAATTATCATCATATATATATTCTCAAATCTCAATGTACTTGCTACATAGACATGTTCCAAGAGAAAGATAAAAAAATGCGACTTCTTTTATTATTTTTTTAAATACTAAATATACGTATAAAATAATTATTTTCATAATTTATTTAGATAAATATCAAATAAACTCGTATAGATGAATTTATAACTGCTCGTTTCTCCGAAGCCACATCATTAACTTTATCGTAAGAATTTGGGCTTTTGGAGGCCCAAGGCCTGCCTTATAGGCCTTGTCGTTGGGCTGTTCCTAATTATAGTGCAAGCCTGATTCTGGCCTTGTATAATGTAGACGCTACTGTGAAATACACCGGGTGGTTTTGCACCTAAAAACACACACGTGTGGGTGGTGATGTTTAATTTTGTATGGTGAGTTCTCACCCGGTGTATTTCACTGGGGTAGCATCTAATAAACCCCTCTTCACAGAGGGGGTATTATTACCATTAGCTGAGAAAGAATGTTTCTGCGTAACTAAAAGAATTGGACCAAATATGTTTCTGCGTAACTAAATGCAAAAGAAAGAATGACACTCACTCAGAAATCTCTCCTGCTGTTAGCTAGATCACCCGCGAAATCCTTTGAATCATTTTCCAAGCTTTCAATATAAACACTGTAGGCAGGATTATATGCAACGGCCTTCTGCAAGTACTCCATTGACTCGTCTTTGCGCCCCACATTCAGTAAAGCACTACAAGGGACAAATTTGCTCGGTCATTACTGATAAGATAACACTAGTAACTTTTTTTCCACAGGTAAATGAGAATTCGAGAGTGATAACTTGCATATGTTCGATTTGCCAAATATATCCAATAAGGGTGAGATCAATTACATACCTTGAAAGAATAAGTATACCATCATAGTAGTGGGCCTTGCTCTTTGAATCTTGAGGCTCTTCTAGTTGACCTATTCTTTCCAGGTGCACCAGACCCTCCTCCATCTTCCCCTGCAGAGGATAAAACAGCAACTTAAAAGCGAATTCAAGTTATTCCGTGCCTAGTGGGGCAGAGTCTGGAGAAGCTTCAGCATATTGGAGCGATGTAGACGTTATTTCATCAAATTGATCAAAAAATCTTTTGGTAGGAATTAGCAACATATGATATTATTACCAATTTTTTTTCTGTACCCTGTTTTTTTTTTTGTGTGTTTGGTGCTCTATAGTTAGTACATAATGAGGAGTGAGGATTGAAGTCGACAATTACGAAGGGGTCAGATGGTACCTGCTGAACATTGGCAATACCCGCCCATTGCGATGAAAGAATCAAAAGATCAATTTCTTCAACTTCAGTAGGAGAGCCAGCCACAAGGAGCTGAATGGATGTTAGAGCAAAGGCCACCAGTCAGGGACGGTTATAGGAAAGTAAACCATGAAGCTTAAAATATAAAAATTAATTCAGACCTTTGAAATTGCACTTTCTAAGGAGTCGGTTGCCTCGGCAAATTGTTTGTTTTGTAGCAGCGTCTGCCCCATAATAAGTAAAGCTCTTACATGTTCAGGATCCTTTTCCAGAGCAAGTCTGCAGTTCATATTTCACAATATGCAACATAAATATAGAAGAAAAACCAATCATCTGAAATAATTAAGGTTTTTGGTTACCTTAGTAATCTAATTGCATGATCCTTACGGCCATCGGTTAAGATTTTGATTGCAAACTGTTGAAATGTGCTGACATAAATCAATAAAAAATTAATGTGTTTTAGAAGAGTGCGATACTGCAGAGTCACTCACAGAAACCAATTCCTCAGGTGATAGGCTTTGAGCGGAGATTTCTCCCTTCTTTGTCACTATAGTGAAATCGGCTAGGCCCGCCGTGCTGCCTGTTTCTTTCAAAGTTGGGGCGACTGCTAGAGCATTTTTCTTAGGAAGCCCAAAATACTCAAGAACATCTGGATTACTAAGCAATAACAGCTGCAAAAGTGAGAGAGGGAGAAAGGAGCAAAATCAATTAGAATTATATGCTTCGTAACAAACAAACAATTTACTCCAACATAATTGGATCTAAAGTCAATTATCACCGCTAAAAGTAAGAAGGATAATAATTTGACTGAACTACTGTTCTTGCTCATTCTCCTTATTTGCTTTTCTTTCCTTTCTCTATATTTTAGCTGTGATAATGGACTTCAGATCCAAGTATGAATGGAACAAATGGGTAATTTAGCTCTGCTAATTGAGACATCTAGTTGGGTAAGTATATTCATAAGTCAAGTGAAGGTAATAAGATGCGCAAAACTTTATTAATGTATACAAGCATCAAATTCTTTTCACTGCACTACTAACCTGTATCAGACTCAATGTACTATTTGTAAACCAATACACTAAGCTCCCCTGCATGATATGAAAAGCAAGAGTGAATTCAAAGAAATAAACAAGGACAAATGTAAACCAGTCAAGTACGATGTAGTGTAATAGGACAAGAATATAAGTAGTGAAATCCAATTCACAGTACAACGCTTTCTGAAAGAAATCAAACATCCCATGTATAAATAAGTTTCAAATATAGAAGCGATCTACCATCCTCTCACCACCACTACATAAAAAAAAATACAAAATATAAAGAATAAATGTTTAACAAGAATTCGCATGCATGCCCTGGGTGCAAGTGATGAACATACAGCAATACAAAATTTAGAATACTACATTCAGAAAGAGGTAATACATCCAATTTACCTGGGGAATATTCAATGCAGCAATCATAATAGGAAGTGTCAGCACTCGCAAATAAATCCTGTATATCTAAGAAGCCAAGAAAAGTACCATAGTCAGCACCATTTTCGAATATCTCCCAAATGAAAAGCATTAACAGTAACCTGTCAGATTTGTTTAATTAAATTTAGAGTTGAAGGTAAGGTTAATATCTTTCATAATCACATTGAAAATTATAACCTGTAAGATGAATGTCATGAAGGCCCCGACGGCTCAATAAGATGTGTTCAAAGGAAATAGAACAGAGAAGCACTTGAACAAATTCTACATACTCACCTTTACTAATAATCCTAAGGACCCTGGTAAATGTTGAAGTGATGATTTTTTAAAAGAGATCTGAAATTTAAAAAATAAGTGTTAGTATAATCATATTGAATATTATAACCAGGATTATAACCAAAAGCGATCAAGGAAGTGCTGTTTCGTTGAAGACACATCATCAAACCATTAGTGGACAATGCTTTTGAACATTGTCTCATTTACCACTTTTACGAAGGATAAGCACACTATTTACAACTACAATCAGCAATCAACATATCTAAGTGAGGGTGTAAGATATTCCTTAACCTGCACATTGGTAAAATGCAAGCCTGCAATAAGCAATGGGAGAATAGGCCCCAGCACACCATGTGGATACTCAGTCAAGTTCTGGAACCATAAAGTTCCTCCCTGTAATATTTTAAGATAAAGTTCACCATGTCATTCACCAGCATAGTAAGAGAAATAAAAAGAAAGAACGAATGGATCTTGAGGGCACAATCAAAATTCGATATAGAAATTTTAAAAATCAAAACGGCATAATAACACTATAACTTTATTCAACAAGTATATTTATCTGGTATAAAAGTTTCTTACAATATCAAAACCCGGGTGATGATCCAGTGACATTCTACGAACACTCATGAGCCACAAGAAAAAGCAAGGGACCTGAAGATTGATTATAAGACCGAGAAAGTAAGAAGATGAATTTAATTTAATAAATTAGCTAGAAATAGAAGCCATGGAGAAAAATTGTTTGCCTATAGTTAACAGAACACCTTAGCATTATAAAGAGGAATATGACCTGGACAGCAAATGACGAAAAGAACCAAAAGACTGAAGGGCACTCGGCAGCCTTCTTTTTCTTCAAGAAAAGGGAAAACTGGTCCCTATAACTTCTTCCTGACAGAGGTGGTGGAAATGGTGGAGGTACTATTAGGAATGGACAAGACAAAAGGAGTATATGTTAAATTGCAGAAAATAACTTACATCCATATTAGACTCTACATCACATACATCGGAGTAGTAATAGATAGTAAAACTAGAAAAAAGAAAATAAAAGAAAAAAACACAATGCTATTAACTATGACTCTTGCTTTCTTAAAAAAATATGCACATATAAGAAACTAATCCAAACTTCCCCATTTTCACCCAAGTATTTACACAAGTATTCCTCCGGTGCACACTAATCCACACTGTCTGACTCGATAATGGTCTATGGCAATAATAGTTGAAAGTCGACCGGTGAAGGATACATGGTCCATAATCTATATGTTAGGTATAAATCTCGCTCCGTTAAAAGGCTATACCAGAAGAATTCAAGTCAATCACTAGATGTCATTGTCCGGTAACTAATTCTTCAGTATAAGTTCTTCTCTGCACTCGGCACTCGAGAAGCGTAATCTGAGGGTGATACGAGGGTTGTTATAAATTGCCTTGAGGCACTGCTCACAGCATTTCTAATGCAGACCACCTGCCTATACGTCGTGTATTATAATTCTTTTCTTCAACTACACAATACTTACGTTCACATACTTTTTTATCAACTACATCTTGGGAAAATTCAGAGTCGGTTAATCAATATGAAAATCATGATTATCATAGTTTTGATATCTATGAAACAATTTCCTGTTATAGTTAATATCTCAGGAGGTGCGTATGCACCTAAACCTTGGGGAATATGCCCCCACTACCACACAGGTGTATTGATCCTCTCAGTTTTTAGGGTGAGGAAACAAAATATCAACCCAATTTGGTACAATGAAAACATAAAGTTAAAATCACTCATAGCATCATCTTTCTCCAATCTTTGTCATATAAAAAGGGAGCTAACATAAATCGAGCAGAAACTTTCTTGTGAATTTCAGCCTCAAATTCCATTTCATATGTAAATAATAAACTGTAAGCCTATTTCTTTCTCATTGTATATCTATTCCCTTTTGTTTCAAATTCCGAAACCAATAAATTATTTCATCAGAAAACGCTTAAATAAATGAACACTGACATTTAGGTAATAGCTCCCCTATGGTCTTCAATTTTTTAAGTTGTACAACGATTAGAGGAAATATGGTAAGCCGCATCGCCACTGTGGATGAAGCAATTATCACCCACCTACAGAAATTAATTTGATTGAGTTAGTTTCAAGTAGCTAGGATATCAGAAACACAACAGCTCACTCGATTAAATACAAAATTCTTCAGCAAGTTAAAGTAATTGCGCTACCTACCAAGGGAAGGCAGTAACATCGTGGTAAGAATCGAGCAACGATATGAGAGTTTTGACTGGAAGAAATCGCTCGTCCGGGTCAGGAAAACTGGGATCAGTGGAGAATCGTCGAGAAATTGAGAAGCCACCGCGAGGTGGGAGCGAGTGCAGCTTTGATGAGAATCGAGGATTGTAATTACGCAGCCCATTGTGGTGGCTGTGGTGGTGGATTGTGCTGTCGAATAAGGAATTTGAAGAAGATGGAGAGGAAGAGAAGTGGGAGTATAGATGGATGAGTGGCGGCGGCGGCAGCGGCGATGGCCGATGGCGGCGGAGTTTCGACAATAGCCGCATTGCCATTGTATTGGGCGTGCTGAAATTAAAAGGATTTCCGGTTTAAGCAAAATAGTCATTTTAATAAATACATTTAGAAAAAGGTTTTTATTTTTATATCTACTTTGAAATGTTATCATAATTACAATTACAATTACATGTTATTTCCAATTTAATTCAACCAAATTATAATTTCTCGTCCATCATATTTTCCCATGAAAAAGCATATCCGTCAAACACTTTGGTTTCGAGGCTTCGAATGATGCGTTGGTGGAAAGTGACATCGACTCCAATATGCTATTAAAATGTTGTCTACGCTCTTGATATATGTATAAATATATGAACATTTGTCAAAAACCTAAACCAATATTGTTTATTGTGCATCGAGTAATGCTTGGATAATATCCAAAGTAAGTACCGCGTAAGTAAATTAAAGGTCACACTAGCAAATGGATGAATAATTCCGTAGACTAATTTGTAATTACTTTGTAAAATTGTCAATCAAATGTCTCAATAATATACATGGTGGCTATAATGACGTTATTTTAGCAAAATATGGTTGATATATGAAGAAACTAGATTTAAAGGATGTAATTTTTATATTAGGCCCATCAACAATATTTTATATTAATTTAAATAATAAATTAAAGTAAATAAATAAATTCCAGGCGACAAATCTGAAATCCCTAACAAACCCTAGAATTACAAAAACGCCCGGTACATCTCTCTCCACCGATCTTCATCATCACCCCCAATTCTCCATCCAATCTCCACCGTTCATTTTCATTCCTGATCTCCGTCGTCCTCCACCGTCCCCTTTGCGATTCGCGTGTTATCCAACGAGCCTTACAGTTTTCTGCGCTCAAATTTATTCTCCCTCTCTTAATGGTGACATTTCCCCCCTAATTCCGTGCGTAATTAGTTGCTAATTAACCCTAGAACTCGAACAAGAACTCACTATTTTTCGTTATTACCTTTATTTATCTATTCATGTTTACATGATCAATTTCCAGGGTTTTTTTTTGGAATTTAACCTTGAACTGTTTATTGAACTAATCAAAATTTTAAATTTTAAATATACGAAATAAAGCACATGCTTGTTGGTGTAATCTGCATTTGAAGTGGAGCTCCGTTTACATGTTTATTTTTGTAGCTTTGAGATGGACAGAATGCATGGTAGCGATGCTGGGATTATGCATTACTTGCAAGATCAACATAATCTTGGGATCCATCATCATATGAGTAATGGGAATTCAATCGATGGAGACGAACACGAGGACAATAATAACATAGGCAACACCAGCGGCGGAATAAATGAATCCATGGATGAAGATGTTACAGCTGATATGGGGAATCAATTGGATAACCATGGAGCACTCATATCGCAAATTGGGGACATTGAGAATAGTAACCAGCTCACTCTCTCCTTCCAGGGTCAAGTTTACGTGTTCGACTCTGTCTCTGCCGAAAAGGTTCTTTCATTTATATATATATATATGGGAATTGAACTTCATATTACCACTGTCTAATTTTACCAATATGATCTATTTGTTTGAATTTGTGAGGAAATATGTACGTATCGCTCGAAAATATAGCAATTAGCAAGCAACTTTTTATTGAGTTCATGTGATTTCATTGCCAGTGGGATGTATGTGTTAAAACTTAAAACTAAACCGAATATACCTTTCTTTTTCTTAGTCATGCATGTATAGCTGAGAGCATTGCGAAGTGAATTGATTGGCGACGGAGTGGATAAGATAAAACTTATATTATTGTGATTGCGGAGGAGATCATTGTTTACAGAAGTTTAGGGGTTAGAGATTGGAAAAAAGATGTTATCAATACAACCTTTGCATTTTTAGTGTTTTTAAGTATTTAAAAATGTTGTGATGATCAAATAATGCTTTTAGTAGCATCATTTCTGATATATTTCTCCTGTACGAATAATAAACCTGCTCACGTCTAGGTATTTCATGACCTCAAATCTCTATGCAAGTAACTTTCGATTGATTATTGTTGTTCCTACTTTGGTAATAATTTGAATTATTTGTTATTGCTAGTCTATTTTTGTCTGAAGCTTATTATTGCTTTCCCCCCTCCACACGAACTATTAATTAAAATTGTTTGGATACTATTTAGGTTCAAGCTGTGCTTCTACTCTTGGGTGGCAAGGAAGCACCTACTAACCATCCTGCTGCTCCAGTATCTACCTCTAGTAACAAAGTACGATTTATCTGAATGAGATTAATATTTGACTAAACTTTTTTTGTGGGTTCAATGGCGCACTTGTTTACTGGAATTTTGTTAATAGGGCTTACCTAGTACCCCTCAAAAGTTAAACGTTCCTCAGAGAATGGCTTCACTACTTAGATTTCGTGAGAAGCGGAAAGAACGGAATTTTGACAAAAAAATACGCTATACTGTCCGTAAGGAAGTTGCTCTAAGGTTCTTTTTTTTTTTTTTTTGTATACCATATCGACTTTACAGTTGCGAGTACGGGCTGTTTTGATTGGCATATTTATATTTGTAACTTTTATAGGATGCAGAGGAAAAAAGGTCAATTTACATCCTCAAAGCCAACTCATGATGATTGTACATCAGGTGGGTCGAGTTGGGACTCAGGTCAGAACTGGGGAGCTGATGGCAGTGGGTCACAAGTTCAAGATATTTGGTGAGTTCACATTTGTTGCATATAGAGCTATGGTTTATGCTTCTCTTGCTAATAGTTGGATCTTATGATTTGAATGTGCATATAGAACATGCAAATGTTGTGCTAATTCTTGTTTTAAACAATGCACCAGCTGTCGGCACTGTGGTACAAGTGAGAAGTGTACCCCAATGATGCGCCGTGGGCCCGAAGGACCGAGGACCCTTTGTAATGCGTGTGGACTTATGTGGGCAAATAAGGTATTTTTGAGGATTGAGAATTGACATTGTTTTTATATCTACCATATCACAAATATAACACATGGTTACTATTTCTGATATATCTGAAGACGTTTGCTACTTCGTTTTTGTTATTTACTTGCTTCTGATAATCTGATTCTCATATGCCAATGCTATCACTAAAGGCATTTTCCCTCGTTTTCCAATCTTAGATATTTTCCAATAATTGTATCTATCATTGATGTAGACATGGTACATTAGACTGTTAGAATCCGTTGGTATTCTATGTTACTAGTGGTTCGACAAATGGTTGTTTCATAATGAAGTCCGGTTCATTATGATGTAGTCCTTAGTACAGTTCTTGATTCTTAGAGACGTGAAATTACCTAACTTGAGCTTGTACTTGTGCAACCTGTAAATAGATGTAACGAAATAGACTTGTAGAAGGTGAAAAGGGAGTCTTATCATTCCAAAGAAAACAATGTAATATAGTAATCAATTAAAATTAGATAATGCGGACTTAGTTCTAACTGCAACCTTTCAAGCTCACAGTTACTTGTTTAACATTTTAGGGAACTTTGAGGGATCTCTCAAAGGCAACAACCCCAGTAGGAACCAACCCTCTGCGTAACATAAGTGAGGAGGTATGCTTTCGATTATATTGATCCTCTTAATGATGGTGTTTACAATTATAAAAACAAATTCATACTGATATATTCGTTTTGCGTTATGTTTTACCCGTGTTATAGCGGAATGGGAGTTTTGAGGCGGAAGAAATGGTTCTGAGCGCTACTGGAAATGGCAATGATTCATCATGATCATTCATTCGTGTAGCTTTATGGTACATTGTTACTAATGGAAACGACTTGATGTAAACTAGACTCGCTTCAGCTATTCACGTGACAATGGAAGTGGCTTTGACATGCAATTTCTTTTTTTTACTGAGGGACTGCAGTTAAAATTATGTCGTGTTATTCGTCGTTAGCGGTGAAAGTAACATAATTATTTGATTTGCCCTATTTTCTGCTTCAGTGTTTTGACCAATTATGCACATACATCATCCTTGCTCGTTTGTTAGTATATTGGCTTCGTAGTAAGCAGGTTTACTTTGTATTTAAGTAATGTAACAAATTCTCAAATTACTTGAGGCCCTTCTCTCTCTCTCTCTCTCTCTCTCTCTCTCTCTCTCTCTCTCTATCTATATATATATATATATATATATATATATATATATATATATATATATAAATATATATATATATATATGTATGTGTGTGTGTGTGGGGGGGTGGGGGGGGGACTGAATATTTCTTCTTCAAGACTTTAGTGTAGACTGAGTCAAATAAGCTGAGGTCATGGAGATAGATGTTTCCGACACATGTCATGTCAGACACTCGATGACACTTGTTGCATAACTTATGGATCATTTTGCAATTTCTAAAAAATTAGAAACATATTTAGAATTTCATAATTTATAAGGAAATAAGCATTCTTTATATATTTCTTTCCTTTTGTACACGAGATATCAAATATCATAAATATGATCTTAATAAGTTAGTTAAAGGTTAATGCCAAACCCTACTTCTACTTGCTCTAACTTATAAGTTTTGTAATTGAAGGGTATGTTTGCAACACGCCCCCTAATTTTAATTAGTCGTTGATTCTATATTCGATTTGGTTTTAAAAACAAAGTAATTTTCCTTCCAAAACAAATAGTAAAAATAAAACATAAAAATCTTTTCCATTCATAGACGTTTACCTCACCATCCAATTAAGCTACTTGTCAATAAATTCCCTTTTTCTCCCAAGGAGAAAGGTATCAAGTGCAATAAAAAAATTCTATTATTTAAAATCCGCCCCTCTCAAATTTCCACATTTCACTATTTCACCCCTCTATTAGAGAGAGATTCAAGTCCGCGATGTCAAATTCTCGTAATCGGAAAAGCTTAGAGAGAGTCAGATCGCTCTGAGATCTTGTCGATCGGCTCATTGATTACGTTTCAATCTTGAGTTATTAACTGCTGCTAACTTTATTGGAAACGTATTTTTTTAATTTCTGGTTGAAAATGGCAAGGAGTAGGTCGTCGTTGAGCACGTGGAGGTATGTAAATCCAGCTTATTATCTGAAGAGACCCAAGCGTTTAGCTCTGCTCTTCATAGTTTTTGTTTTCGCCACCTTGCTTTTTTGGGATCGCCAGACTATATTCCGCGACCACGAGGTACTTGTGCTATTGTTTACGATTTTGTAATATTCTGCATCCATTTGAAACTGGATACGAAAAGATCAATTTTTTCGTTTAGACTTTTGATATGGATGGAAAATTATCTATGTATATTTGATAATTTTGTAATAGGCTTTTTTGGGCCCCTAGCTAGCTTCCACTGTCCTCCTTGGCCTCCTCTTGTTCTCAATTTAATGTTTGTGGTGGTGTTGACAATGGGTACTTGAAACGAATTTAGGCATTTTTGTTTTTGTAGTGAATGCATTGACGAAACTGAAAGCTTCCATTTTGGCATGGAAGTAGTTTCCTACGCTGATGTAGAGCATGTTAGATGAAAAGAATGTCGAGGCTTTTCATTTTCCATGTAATCAAGTTCACAATTGACTAATTCTCAAGAAGTTATCTGATAAAGCTGTTTGCATGCTGAATTTACATCGATTTTAATCTGGTTGGATCATATAAAAGGATGTCATTTCTTTTGTCACTCAGTTCTGATGGTATATAATACAAGTCAAAGGTATTTAATTTTTAATGCGAACCTCCAGTGAGACTGAAGGCCTGAGAATCAATATACTATCGGCAATGTGGTTATTGCTAAAAAAAAAAAGACCTTCATGGTGGCTGTTTGGTTTCAAGATAAATATCTATCTTTTCTGTGCTGTGTACCATACCGTTGCTACCTTTTCTTTATCCAAATGTCTTATGTAGTTATGATTGCATAAATAGATGCCAGTATTAGAAAGGAAAATAGATGTGTGGAGTTGCTTTCTACTATCTACCGCATTAATGTGTATTAAAGGTTATATGGAAACTTATATTCATGGATCTTTTTGGTAATATTTCAGTTCTTAGATCAAAGAATGAGTTACTAGTCATTGTTACTTACAAGTTATTCTGCTGTTATGCAGGAAGAGGTGGAAAAATTGAAAAATGAAGTCAGTCATTTGCAGAGTCTGGTAAAGTGCCAATTTAGATTTCACTTTTTGATTGAGATTATAAATTAATTATTACTAACTTTTTTACCAGATGTCTGTTTTTAGCTTTATATTTGTTCTGGATGCCTTGAATCTGCTTGTGTTCCCATTACGTATACATAATTCATTTATTCATATCTAGATCTTTTATCTATGGTTAACAAGAATAAGATCTAGTTCACCGCAGGACTGCTTTTTATGTAGGATTGTCTGTATTACTACGCAGATACCTGTATCCATTGGGTTGATTTTCTGGGATCCTCCTAGCATGGCATAGAAAGTTAGATACTATATTCTTAACATATGTGTGTATATATTGTTGTGACGAACTTCAACATTGGTTTTGTTTTCAGCCATGTCTTTCTTTTCCTAGGTAGCTTCAAACTTCTAGATACTTTTTCTTTCTTTCAGATTTAATAAGCATAGTTCTCAGAATGTGATTGGTTTTTTCAGCTTGAAGAAATAAAGAGTGGTCAAAGTGGTGCAGGGAAGGAAAATGTCAGTCACAAAGGCAATGCAAATAAAAAGTTAGATGTTTCGGATGACCCAATTGACATTCAACGGAGAGAGAAAGTTAAAGATGCTATGATCCACGCATGGAGTTCATATGAAAAATATGCTTGGGGCCATGATGAGCTCCAGGTATGATTTTTCTTTCTATTTACGTATTTCTTTAAATATATAAGATTGGACAAACATCTCTAAAGATCAGTTTTTCTTTTTATTTCAACCATTCCAGCATAGGGAAAACAACATAACTCAATCTTTAGGTTTCCTCTTTGCTTGCCTTTTCTTTTGTTTGATTTTCCAGTACCTTCTGATAGTGTTAGCTCAAAATGTTTTCAGTGGCTTATGTATGTTGTGCTATCATCCTGCCCTTCCATCTTTTAATAATTTTGAGAAAGGAAGAGCACTAAAAGTGGCCTTGAATACTTATTTTGATGGATAATAATAGAGATTTTTGGTTGCAGCCTCAAACAAAAAAGGGTGTTGATAGCTTCGGTGGTCTTGGAGCAACTTTAATTGATGCTCTTGACACGCTGTACATAATGGGATTGGATGAGCAGTTTCAAAGGGCTAGAGAGTAAGTTTAAATTACCACGCATGGGTTATTGCTGGATTTGTTTACTGTATACTGCCTTTTCTTCTCTCACAGTTTCTTTTCTTCTTTCTACGTTGGGGAATTAATTATATTATGCTGGAAACTACGAATTTAACCTGATTGGGAGTTTATGCTTGTATGGTCCACAAAATGTGGATCTTACATCTTCATTCAGTTGGCCCATGCTCTGTTTAGAGTTTGATATATAATTACTAGAACTTAGAAGCACCCCTCAAGTTCAGCATCCATAAACTAACCAAGATTAGATTTGCAACAGCCAAAAAAAATATAAAAGTCCAATATCATTTATGTTTCCTTAATTTGATTCAAAATTTTTAGCTTTATGCATTTCTCCTTGTAAGAGCTTGATTTGATTTGTCTTGGATGAAATATCAGTGTGTGTTTCTGTAATTGTTGTTTGATGCTCAATGAGTTGTTCATGGCAGGTGGGTTGCAGAGTCGTTGGATTTTAACAAGAACTATGATGCCAGCGTTTTTGAGACAACCATAAGGTTGCTTTATAAGGTTTAATATGTCTTTTGTATTCCTTTAGTTAATTTTCTGATCAGGATTATGTACAATAGATGATGCTAATATGACTATTTTTTCGGTGAGGAAGAAAAAAAGATCTTGAATGCTATACTTATAGTGCATGTCTGTTTGTGACTATGCAGAGTTGTTGGTGGACTTATTAGCACATATGATCTGTCCGGAGATAAAATTTTCCTTGAAAAGGCTAAAGATATTGCTGACAGGCTGTTGCCTGCGTGGGATACTCCTTCTGGCATACCATATAATATTATTAACTTGGCTCATGGGAATCCACATAATCCTGGGTGGACAGGGGTAAGTTGTCAATTCTAATATTTAGGGAAGTTAAAAACGTCTCTTAAATACATCGACCTTCCCTTAATTTGTCAGATTACATGTATTTATTAGTGGATCAAATATGTCTACGGTTCTTATATGTACTCCTAGAGCTGTAAATGAGCCGAGCTGGCTCATGAGCTGATGAACCGGCTCGACTGGAGCTCGAGTTTTCTCATGACCTCAAAGCTTGAGCCTAATTTTAGTTGTTCACAAGCTCTTGAACCGGCTCGTGATTTTTTTTTCTTATTCGTTATTATAAATTCATAATTGTGTAATACTCAAAAATCGAAAAATATAAATACATATCTATAATAAAAAATTGAGCTCGAGCTTCAAAGAAAAAGAGCTCGAGCTTACCAAACAATCGAAGCTCTATTTAAGCCTATTTATTACTGATTGTATTTTCTATTCAATTGAGAGCGATCTTGTATTCTTTTCCTATCTAGGGTGACAGCATTCTGGCAGATTCTGGCACGGAGCAGATGGAATTTATTGCTCTTTCCCAAAGAACAGGGGATTCCAAGTATCAGCTGAAGGTATCCTGTCTATATATACATTATACGTATATCTTTTCCCCTGACCTAAAGTCGCATTAATGGAACTTAAAACTATATCTGAAATATCAGAACTCCAATGACTTAAAATCAAAAAGTTGTTTCTACTTCCTTGTAAATTTATGAAACTTATCCTCCCTCGATGGATGTCATGATGTTTCAGGTGGAAAATGTCATTTTAGAGCTTAATAAAACCTTTCCTCCGGATGGTTTGCTTCCCATTTATATTAATCCACTCAGAGGAACAAGATCGTATTCAACCGTAACTTTTGGAGCCATGGGGGACAGGTCATTATCATTTTACATCTGTGCTATCTTATGATCTTCTATGCTACCATATACTATAAAAACTTCGATACCTGAATCAAATCTTATGTGTTGATTATAAGATCTTAAATATATAACTTAAGGCAACAAAATTGTGCAGCTTTTATGAATACCTACTCAAGGTCTGGATACAAGGAAACAAAACCGCTGCCGTGAAGCACTATAGGTAAGCATTTCGTATATTGCAGGTTATGTAAGCATGTGTAAGGTCTTTGGTTTTTCTATGTACTTCAAGTTCATTCTGTTATTCCTTTCCCAAACTTTCGAGCAAACAACTGTAACATGTATTCCCGACAGGGAAATGTGGGAGACATCAATGGGAGGTCTTGAAAGTTTGGTGCGGAGAAGTACACCATCTTCCTTTGCTTATCTCTGCGAGAGGATCGGAAGTTCTTTAACAGACAAGGTTGTTTATCTATGGCTGTGTGCAATATGAGCGCATCAATACTTTTACCATTTTAAACGTTTCTCTCATTTATTACAAATTTGCAGATGGATGAACTTGCATGTTTTGCTCCAGGAATGTTGGCTTTGGGGTCTAGTGGTTATGGACCCGCCGAAGCTAAGAAATTCTTATCCCTGGCTGAGGAGGTATGCTTTACCAAATTCTTCCTCGTTTATTTGATGCGACTCTGAGGTAGAGAAGCTATTTATTGCTTTGAGTGGGTAAATGGAACTCTTTTGTGCAGCTAGCTTGGACCTGCTATAACTTCTACCAGTCCACTCCAACAAAATTGGCTGGAGAAGTGAGTGTCTTTGCTTTACTGTTTTTTTTTTTGCACGTAATATATAAGTAATTAATTCAATTACTATCTCGTTTCACAATTTGTTCAGGATATGAGCGTTGGAACGTCATGGAACATATTGAGGCCAGAGACAGTCGAGTCACTCTTTTACCTCTGGCGTTTGACTGGAAACAAGACTTATCAAGAATGGGGATGGAACATCTTCCAAGCATTCGAGAAGAACTCCCGCATAGATTCAGGATATGTCGGATTAAAGGATGTAAGCATCTATTAACTATTTCTAATTCTATGATATAATGAAAAATAATAACATATTTATATTATTAATAGGTTAATACTGGTGTGAAAGATAACATGATGCAAAGCTTTTTCCTGGCGGAGACGCTGAAATATCTGTACCTGCTATTCTCACCTTCTTCGGTTATTTCACTCGACGAATGGGTTTTTAACACGGAAGCACACCCTATAAAAATCATGACAAGGCATGACCTGGCAGGTAAGTCGGTTGGAAAACATATTATTGAAACTCGATCACGAGCCAGAAAAGAAGGCCGTCTTCCTGACAACTAGCAAGCTTAGATGTATTTTTATCTCGATTTTTACCAAGTCAGAGGCTGTAGCGAACTAGAAGAATGAAGAGCTTGAAGAAATCGATGGAGCTATGAGAACGAGATAACTCCATCGCAGGCTCGTCGTATAAGTCATTATATTATATGTATTTCTGGGGAATTTTGTGTGCCTGTAATATGCATGAATGAGTTCCCCATTGCTTCAATATGTTTTCATTTGTAACATAGGTAACTATAGATATTCTTGATTTCATTTACCGTTTTGTAAGTTAGTGCACAAGTTTCTTTTATCAAGATTTTCGCATTTCGAGTTTATATATTCGAAATTTTGTTTACTTTTTTGTATTTTTATTTGTTATCTTTTTAGTGCTTTTTTTATGAATTAAATTAATCTTCATTAAATACCAACAAGACTGATTAGTATCTCCTTACATTAAAATGAAATTTGATCTCATTTATAATTTTCAAAAGTTGCAAAAAATCCAAAATATTGTGTAAATTTCTAATAAAAATTACAGTACAAGAACTTAATAATGGTGAAACTCTACTTAACCTAAAATCGTTTTTAGAGAGAGAGAGAGGGAGATCAACAGTGTGGAGGTGCAGACTGAAGAATATGCTTTACATGACAGCTAAAAATCCTTTCTCCACCACAACCCCTCCGTCACCCACCGCCGGAAAACCCCCAATCTCAAAACCCTAATAATCCGTTATTCTGAGGAAAATATAATCGTGCTCGCAATTAACTTTTCCGACGAAACAAAATTACGATATGTTGATATCATAGTACTGGCTAATTGTTGATTCACCATAGCTCGATTATTCTCTCAGCAGTAATGCGAACTTGTCGTCTTCTTTCTCGCCTCCGCCATGAACGATATAATTACTCCCAATTCAGCTGCTCCATTTCTCGAATCCATACCCCCTTCCCCTCACACGAGCCGGATAATCCCGATTTGCAGGATAATAAATTGAGTAATCATCCAAACATACTTCGGCATGACATTTCAGGTCATCGCCCGTTCCCTCAACGGCAGGGTTTGGCGGCATTTCGAAGCTTCTTCACGGCGAGCTCTTCATCGAGAGTTGTTCCTCTTTCTAACTTGATTTCACCTAGTTCTAGCTATCACCACCAGCTCCAATTCAGAAGAAGTGAGTTTAGCTTTTCGTTCCTGTGATTAATGTTGTGTGTGTTAGGTTTTACAATTTCATGGTGGTTTTTGCAGGTCTTATAACGAGAGCTAAAAAGATTGAGAAAATTGAAGTTGTGGATCATGGGTACATTTTTTTCTTTCTGCTTTTCTGTTTTTTGATTTTTCAGTCATCTCTGTTTGAAGAAATGCAGTGATAATATGCGAAGTCGGTCTTGAGATTTTATTCATATGCATAGCTAGTGAAGTATCTTATAAGCATTCATTTCGTTCCCCCAGTTACCAAGTGGCGTTGAAATAAACAAGCTAAAAATGTATATGTTTTGTCTACTGTTAATGTTTTCCATTGTGGACTTTAGCTGCTTAAAAAGACAGAAGAAGCTCCTGAGCCGTTTGCATTTCTTTTCTTATTTTAAATAGTTGTGTTCAATCATCTTGTACAATGCCTATTTTGGTTTGTTTTTTCATTGCTCCTGATATTGTTTCTTTAGCCAGCGAGCAGTCACAACAGCTTTGTGGTGCAACTTTCTTGTTTTTTCTCTCAAATTTGGGGTCTGGTTATCCACCTCAAGCCATGTAATGTTGGCTGAAACTGTGCATTCAGTTGCAGATTTCGCAAACCAGGTATTAACTTCTTTCATTGATTAATATTCTTAAGTTTTTGGAACTTTATTTATCAATTTATCAGTGAGTATGGTGAACTTGATTCATCCTTACCTTATAGGCTCTTCTTGCATATGGTTTAAGTAGCTCACGCCGTGCACCAGATCGTCTCCATCCGTAAGTCTTCTATTGATTTAATCAGTATTATTACAGGTGAAGAAATGTGATCATAGCCATAATATGGGTTATCAATTTCACAATTGTTTGTCAGACTAAAGTAGAGAATATGCATTTTTTAAGGATCATTCTAAAACCATGTAAAGTAATGTATACACTTTCAACACAATTATTGTGTTAAGTAGTAGCTTTTCGGACTTCATATGTGATGAACCTAAAATCCATGAAATGTAGATACATGTAATGATGAAGAGGCATTTGATGTAATAATCATGCTGAATCTTCCTTTCTATATTATCTCAGATATGGTTATTCCAAGGAAAGATTTGTCTGGTCTTTGATTTCTGCAGTTGGTATATTTTGTCTCGGTTCTGGTGCTACAATTGTTCACGGTGTTCAAAATTTGTGGACTTCTCAGGTAGCGCGATGTTAAAGTTCAATTTGAAACTTCTGAATGTTTCACTTTCAAATTTTCAAAACTGTATTCTTTCTTTTGGATGCTTTAATGATTGATATTATTTCTCTTCAGCCCCCTGAACATATAGAGTATGCTGCTCTAGTGATTGCTGGTTCGTTCGTTATTGAAGGTGAGTATCAGAGGATTTCGTTGAGACTGTCAGATTCAGAAGGTTTTCTAGTTATTTTTGCTATTTTCACAATTCTTTGTGATTAAATGTAAACTTGTTTCAGGTGCTTCACTTGTCGTTGCAATCCATGCTGTTAGAAAAGGTGCTGCTGCAGAAGGAATGACAGTGAGAGACTATATTTGGCGTGGTCATGACCCAACATCAGTTGCTGTCATGACAGAGGTGATAACTTCTGTATTCTGATTACAGATCCTTTGTCCAAGTACAAACCCTGGTTGTGTTAATTTATTTACATAATATTTGCTCATTGTGAAACTTCCCTACGATGAACTCCTGAATGATGCGTGTTTGCTAAAGAAACAGAAATTTGTCTAGGGAAGATTTTGGCATGCATGTAAACTGAATCAGCTAGATTGAGGAAAAAAAAGAAACCCAATTTCTGGTTTAATTTTATTTTCGTTAGACTACGTATAAAGCAACTTTCATACAGTTGGTTGCGAAATGTCGATAGCGTGGGCCCACAAAAGTTCTCCAGTAATCAGTACTCATGAGTTGGAAATCAGAAAGCTGTTTTTGAGTTCTTTATGTTTAGCAAATAGATTCATGGATAATATTTAAGGTTCCTTATGATTAGCTTAGATTTCATTGATGCTAAATGATATTAACATTATGTAGCTTGAGAGAATCTTCAAAGAAGCAGTTCCCTCAAGCTGTATGTTTGCACTGATATTTATTTCATTCTGTTGATGATGCAGGATGGTGCTGCTGTCACGGGCCTTGCGATTGCTGCTGCATCATTGGTGGCTGTGAACGCGACAGGAAATGCAATGTATGATCCTATTGGTTCAATTATCGTCGGAAACCTTTTGGGAATGGTAGGTGATGTGTCTACATTCTGTTGCTGGACTTGATAAAATCTGTTGTTATATTCTTCCAATAACTTCATGGTACTAGCTGCAAGATCTTGATTTTTAAAGAGACGAGGAGTCTTCAGTTTTCCACTCAAAAAGAAAGATTGCACCTGGAAAATTAAACCGTTTTATCAGGATATAAACAGTTTGCTACAAGGAAAACAAAGACATTCGTCTTATGAGTTTTCAAACTTTAGTAGAGTTTCTTGATTCAACAACTAAATCCGATGAATAATAAAAGAGATGCTGGGGTCAGTACTCGTGAGCAGAAAATATTATATATTTACTTGTGAGTAGAATGATATGGACCATTGTTTCTCATCTTATGCCTAATTGAATGACTCATATGATACAGGTCGCAATATTTCTGATTCAGAGGAATCGTCATGCTTTGATTGGTAGAGCAATTGATGATAAGGACATGGAAAGAGTTCTTCACTTCCTGAAAAATGACCCAGTACTGTCAAGTATTTCACTCTTTTGTTGTTGATTTATGACAAAAATGACAAAAGTATTCTAACACAATTGACATTTTTGGCTGTAGGTTGTGGATGCTGTGTATGATTGCAAAAGCGAAGTGATTGGACCAGGATTTTTCAGATTCAAGGCTGAAATAGGTGATCCCTTGATTCATATATAAATAAGTGTTGACATAACTTTTGACGTTGTTGACATGCTGCGACCTTTGTTTCCTGAAAATTTAAGATCCTCAAATCAATATCACACGAAGTATAATATTGTGTTGTAGATTTCAATGGTGTGGTATTGGTGCAAAACTATCTAAGCAGAACTGGACGTGAAGAGTGGGCTAAACAGGTGATTCCATTGTGATTATCATTAATTTCTCTGCATTTTGTTTTGCCTTGTGCCATCTTATAGGGGAAATTTAATTTTCCAATTCCTATTATTTTCCATGGTTTGCTATTTTTGTTGCTGCATGTATATTTCATTGAAAATATTCTACACCAGATTCTTCAGTTCTTCTACCTATTTGTCTGTTTTGAGTACAAATACTGTGGTATTCATATCTTACAGCAATTGATATGTTCTTGATATAAAACAGTTTCGGGAGGCTTCAGAGGACAAGGACGATTCCACCTTGATGAGGATCATGTCAAACTATGGTATGAGATGAATAAAAGCTATAACTCTTTCATAGTACACAGTACACATTGCAAGGAATTAAAAGTTTTGATGTTGTGGCAGGTGAGGAGGTGGTCACAGCTCTTGGAAGTGAAGTAGATCGGCTCGAAAAGGAGATCCAGGAAATAGTTCCTGGTATTCGGCATGTCGATATTGAAGCACACAACCCTATAGTCCCTACACCACCATAGTTATAACTATTACTGCTATTAATTCTATTATATTTCAAGAATAGAACACCAAGAATCCAGTTTTTCTTATTGCGATGGCCCACATAATGTGAATAATGAGACATTTCGTGTTAATAATGTGTGATTACAACATATGTGGGGTCCTGAAAAAAGAACAGCCTAAAGTCTTCCAAAAAAACAATATTCGGAAGTTTCCAGGAAACTTGTCAAATTTCAGTAGAATTTTCCAGGTCTCTTCAAGGCACCTTCCCAAAGTATTAGCAACCTAAAGTCTTCTATAAATACTACACACGAAACAATTCCTTCCATTACTTGCAAGAATAATATCAAAAACGAGAGATGGGTATATTCCATATAGTAAATCAGAGAGAGAAATTAATTAGTAGACAAGGATTGAAAGGACAAGAATGCCCTCGCTGCGGTGGACCCGTCCTCTCTTTGGATTACGACACACACTTGATCATCTTTTGTGTGCCATTTCCTCACAAGATTAAGCGCAAGTTTTGCTGTCTCATCTGCTCCACGCGCCTCACCTGCTCCACCCGCTAGACTTTCACCTTCCAATATATATTTATACACACTGTACGGTTTTGCTATCGAGGGTTCAAACGTAATTTTGCAATTCAATATTTGTATTGCAGTATTATTATTGTATTTCATCAAATCTATAATTGTAGGGTGACAATTCACCTCTTTCCGGTAAACAACATATTGTAGGTTAATACTACCAATGATTGCATTTAATTCTATATATCAGAACAGATTGAGCTCTTCTTTTTTCTATCAAATGTTCTAATTTCTAAAAAACACATCACAAATTAGAACACATAGTAGTAAATGGTTCATCAGAAGAATCAACACAACTAAATTATAGCAAATGCATAACTTAATCAACATGAATTAAGGGAAGATCATAGAACAAGTGTCTCGTCTAATATAAATCTTAATCAAAAAAAGATATTTCATCAGCATACTTGATATTGTCCCAGAAAGAAAAAAACCCAACTTCAACAAAAGCCAAAAAAACAATGCGGACAGAAAATTTCTCCAACTTGCAGTTTACAGGACCTCAAATTTCCAAAATACTAGTATAACAAAACTAGTTCATTCTTCTAATAAGCTCATTGATGAAATCTTCACGGTTTCCAGCATCTCCGCCTTCAACATAGTGGTTTCTCTTCTTCTTCAGACCACCCAATGGAGCCTTGAGTTGGAACGGCCAGAGGAAGTTGTTAGCTTCCTTAAAGTGGGGTCCAACAGTCAAGATCTCGTGAATAAGATCTTCAACGCAGATGATACTGTGCTTTCCAAGAGTCTGAAACAGAAATCAGATTTCAATAAAAATACTGAAAAAATGAAAATAATCATACGACAATCCCAGTAGCAGACAAACCTGTTCGACGATGGAATTGTCAGTCAAAGGAATTCTCTGCTTGTTAACCTTGCCAAATCCCCTCTTGTATATCAGTTCCCTCACACTCTTCAAGTTGGGGTAACTGAAACAAGTGCATTCAGTGCATCTATTCCGATGATAGAAGTTTAAGTTAACAAAAAAAAAGTAGGGGATTTAGAAGGTTTAGATGCATACCCGTATGTCACATATGGTTCAACCCTGTGCAACATATTCATGGTTGCCTTGTTAACTTTTAGGAACACACCGTTAAAAATCTGCATTCATGTCACAATAAAATGATATTAAATTAATTTCCGGAAAGAAACACGCAATTGGAGTACTAACTATATATAACATCAAATGAATGCCATATCAAAACCACAGTATGTAGACATACATGTTACCACTAATTTAGCAAGCCTAATGCACATACAATTCCAAACAAGATTATTAAAACATGACCAAAAAAAATGAATTAAGCGTATAGTGCAGTACTTATAACAAACCATTCATGGAGACACTACCATTTTTAACCAGTATCACAGAATTGATAGGCAATAGTAAAAAAATATTCTTCCAATTTCCATCAACAAAGGAAAAGACATTCAAAGAGTAATAGTGCTCATCCTGCCAGATAGGTGCCTCGAAGAACAATTATAATAACACACAATAATGTAAATCTTGACCTGTCGAAGACGCAATAGCTGCAGAATCTTCTTTGTTGTCGGGTGCATGGCATTTATACTGAAGAGTTACAAGTTACAAGAAATGAGTCAGAAAATAATAAAATATCAATCATATAATCTTTTCATATATGCCAGAAAACAGAAAAAAAAAAAAAAAAAAAAACATACCCACGGATACGAATGATGAATATCAGTTTAGCTTCAGGGTTGACATAAAACCCTCCTTTCAACCTTGCCTCACGCTTCAACTGAATCAGCTCCTTGTCCTAAAGTAGAAGCCGACAATTATATGGTAAGTAACGATTATATAATATCAAAACCAGCAATGACAGAAAATAAAGAAATCAAACAAACCTGCTCTGCGTACTCCTTAGCATATTGCTTAGCTCTGTTGAAAATCAGCTTCCTGTTTTCAGACTTCTTCTCCTTCACAGCAACAAGGGCCTGCTTCTTGGCCAAAGCCCATTCCTCATTTCTCTTCTGTTTCTTTAACACAGATTCCGGAACAATTGGTGCTTCCTTCTCAGCCATTACTGCAAGGAACATAACCAAAAATTGATTACTTTTTCTAAAAAATCGATATTTGATTAAAAATATAACAACCAAAATGCCACTGATATACAAGCATATCCATGAAGAAACTATATCTTCAAATACACATGTTTCAAAATATCGTTAAACTATCCTACCGACTTATTTCTTTCCTCTTCCCCTACCCGATTTATATAGCTTTAGGATTACCAGCAAGGAAGTGCAAGTGGCAAATAAAATACATTAAGATATAAAGCATAAAACTACATGAGTTGGACAGTGAAACAACCTTCTCAGCGTTTTCATTACAATAAACCAGGATCCGAACACAAATTAAATGGCCAGCATCAACAATCAAAACCCCATGAAATTAAAAATAGCTACATTAAAATTTAAATATATTAATAGATTAGTTCCAAATGCATGAACAGAGCTCCCATGGCCACTAACACCGAATTTCATAAATCTAACAATTTCATTTCGTTATAAAAAATAGATTACACATTACCAAAAAACAAATGACCAAATGAAGAACAGACATCCGTACATTGAAATTAAGCAAACATACACATACATGCGTAGATATATGAACACACGTATAGAATCTATGCTGAAAATGGGGAAATGGAAAAAATGAAATGAGCTTACGGTGTGGTTTGAAGAAGATCCGGCGGTGGTGGTGTGGTGGAAGAGTGAGAGTTTTGTTATTAGGTTATGGCCCTGCGGCTGCTATGAATCTGTTCTTCAAGAAAAACAACTAGGGTTTTTGTTAAATACATCCGACGGCTCTTATTCGGTATCAACTTTAAACTTTTCCATTATTGCTCTTTGGGAGCTGACAATTTTGAATTTTCAGATTGGCCCCTATTAATTTCAATAGATCCAACTTAAGTTTTTTTATCTCATATAAATTACATATTGTTATGTTCATTCATATTTTGGGATAATAATTTCATTACCTTATAATATAATACAAACAGTTATTTTATTATTTTAGATAAACGAAAGTTCTTCTAAAAATAAATTAAGCCCCACTAAATAATATAATCATTTCCTTAAAAAATATAATCGATCGTAAGGAAATACGTAATTAAGAGGATAGTTATAATTACTCCAACCGATTGGCCGTGTTTGCCTTTAAAATTATGGGAAATTCTAGTCCGACTATTGAGTGATTGGGCTTTACTGCAGGCCCAAAAAATTAGTATATCAGAAATTGGGCTTTACTACAGGCCCAATAAAATTAGTATAATGGTAATTTCACGTGCGTACGTGGACCGATCCAACTGCATGAACACCATTGCACAGTCAGCCATATTATTAATTAATTATGACGTCAAATAACCATGATTTAACTAAATTAGATAAATATTAATTAAGTAATTTCCCTATTCAAAGGTATTTGAGAAAAAAATGCAGTCAATTTAACTAACCAATTAATTACGTTGGCTGGCGGGAAATATATATACACATGGCCTGAATTGTCGGTTATATATGTTACATATGAGAGTTTGTTAGCGGCAAAGCGGAAGAATCGGATTCCAACAGATTTGGAACCACCGCAGAAAAAAGAAATAGTAATTCTCTCTCAATAAACGGAGCCCCACAATGTACACGACGACGAGCTTAATTAATTAGTCTTCTGCTGCATTTCTCCCCAAATGCTCTTTTGATTTGATTTCTTCCTCATTATCATCATCCTCATCAATAATTCAATTACTGTTTGTAGAAATTTAATCGTGTTGGAGTTCGGCCGATTTCGCCCCCTTTTTTTCTGACGGAGTGGTGGCTCCGTTGAAGAGGCGGTGCCATCTCTCTCCTCCCACGGCCACCGCCGATATGACTACCGGCAATGAAGCTGCAGCGCACCTAGATCTCGAGACCGGCGATTCCTCCGCCGGCGTTGATGGGGGTGGATGGGGCAGCGATCCTGATTTCTCCGATCCTTTCGACATTGCCAACACCAAAAACGCCTCCCATGAATCGCTCAAGCGCTGGAGGGTAAGATCAACATCTCGTTTGTTTTCATGGTCGTTGTTGGTGGTTCTTTTATGCATGGCCTCTGTTTTGGTTTCATGCACGTGACGTTTCGATTACCCGATCCCATAATAGCGCATCTTATTTTTCTGTTTTGAGGATAGATTAAATGGTTGAATGATTAGTGGTCGAATTTATCGTTTTTTATTTTATGGTTATGAAATTCTATGATTACATGCATGTGCACCTCTTTCTGATTGTGTAAGTCTTGGCCCTTTTGCAGCAAGCCGCCCTCGTGCTTAATGCTTCGCGACGTTTCCGTTACACGCTAGACCTGAAAAAAGACGAGGAACAAGAAAAGCGAAGACGGATGATCAGAGCACATGCTCAAGTCATAAGGGTAATATTAAAATTTAAAACACGTTAGTCTTGATTCCGTACTTTCATTCATTCGATTCTTGATATTCTGGTGTTGTTGGTTGTAGGCTGCGTTGCTCTTTAAATTGGCTGGACAGCGAGCAATAGGTATTTTCCGAGTGTTACTGCTTGTTAAAGTTACCTAATTAAGCTCGTTTTCCTAATTCTATCTCTTCTATAAACCTGATTCGATTTTCGTTAATTCAGTATTAGGCACGACAGTAGCTCCTCCATCCCCTAACGGTGATTATGAAATCGGACTCGAGCAACTTGCTTCGATGAACAGAGATCATAATATTACAGCGCTGCAACAATATGGAGGGGTAACACTTCCTTTTTCCCTTCACCATCTCTCTAGGAAGTCTGCTACTATATGCATAAATATTAATCTCGACCGTCATTTTATTCAGGTTAAAGGGTTAGCAGAAATGATAAAAACCGACGTCGAAACAGGGATATACGGAGACGAAAACGAGTTATCACGAAGAAAGAGTGCTTTCGGCTCAAACACGTATCCCGTGAAAAAGGGAAGGAGTTTCTTGGTAAGACTTGTCTAGAGTGTTATATTTGTTTGATCGTATGTTCTGACTTATACATTTCCACCACTTACTTATTCGACGTTTGTTTTTGCGCAGAGATTCCTATGGGAGGCTTGGCAGGATCTAACTCTCATTATTTTAATAATAGCTGCTGTGGCCTCTTTGGCTCTCGGAATAAAAACCGAGGTTGACTTGAAATACAACAATACCATATTATTAAAAGAATTTATATAATTTCCTTCATATATAATTAAGAATTGCTCGTGTTTTCCAGGGCCTGGAGGAAGGATGGTACGACGGAGGAAGCATCACCTTTGCTGTTCTTCTGGTTATTTTTGTTACAGGTTAGAAAAATCAGATTGGTTGTTTATAACCTTAGGAGAGAAGTAATATAATTTTCACTTTTTATCATTGCATCTGTTGTTCAGCAACTAGTGATTACCGGCAGTCCCTCCAGTTCCAAAATTTAAACGAAGAAAAACGGAACATCAAATTGGAGGTAATATTCCAGTCACAAACTTATTCAAGCTTTTATCTTCTTGTTATTGTTCTCTTTAGTGTACTCTCATGGACAAACATATGTACAGGTAATCAGAGGTGGCAGAAGAGACAAGGTCTCGATATACGAGATTGTGGTTGGAGATGTCATACCTCTCAAGATTGGTGATCAGGTGATAACCGATTCGATTTTACTCGATATACTTTCTTGGACCACACATCGTTGTCTAAAGGAGTCTCCTAATGTATTTTACACAGGTTCCTGCCGATGGAATCTTGATAAGCGGACATTCTCTTGCCATTGACGAATCCAGCATGACTGGAGAAAGCAAGATTGTGAGCTGCTTAGACTTTATTTTGAAGGTTTTATAATATTAGATTATTATATTTTTATTTATCACACATAATGCCATTATTGCAGGTCCACAAAGACCACAAATCTCCATTTTTGATGTCTGGTTGCAAAGTAGCAGATGGTGCCGGAACAATGATGGTAAGATATAAAATTTTCCCACCTCCAGTAAACGAATTTTCGACCACGCTTAGTTTCTGTTCCAATTCCAGATGTTGAATTGTTATAACAAGTTCAAATTTCTGTTTCAGGTAACTGGTGTCGGAATCAACACCGAATGGGGATTGTTGATGGCCAGTATTTCAGAAGATACCGGTGAAGAAACTCCTTTGCAGGTACTTATTGGATATAACGGTTCATCTTTTCATTGTTTACTTACTACACGAAAATAAATAAAACTAAGTATGGATCCTGTTGATACATTACAGGTGCGCCTGAATGGTGTTGCAACGTTTATAGGCATCGTTGGGCTCACCGTCGCTTTCTTCGTGCTGATTATTCTCTTAATCAGGTAATTTGGGCAGTGTTTCGTGTTTCGTGTTATCTTATTCTACGACCACTTTCTGAATATCAGTAACATTGACAAATTAATTACCTCAGATTTTTCACGGGGACGTCAAAAAATCCCGATGGATCTGTTCAGTTCGTCCATGGAGAGACCAGTGTTAGCGAAATAGTTGATGGGGTTATACATATCATAACTGCTGCTGTAAGTTTCTACATTTTAATACGTAATTGCGAATACATTAGATAACCTTTTTTTTTTCTTTATGTTCATTAACTGAAGTCCTTCGTTTAGGTCACGATTGTGGTGGTTGCAGTCCCGGAAGGGCTCCCGTTGGCTGTAACATTGACGTGAGTATCATAACATGTCCCTCGTGTACATCAATTGTTGCCGTTTTTTTCCTTTTTTGATTTCGACTTATCTTGAATTTATAACAGCCTAGCATACTCCATGAAAAAGATGATGGCTGACAAGGCCTTGGTATGTCGATTTTATTTTCATCTTTCCCGGAATCGTTAGTTTATTCAATTGCATTACAGCTTTATTATTAATATGACATTTTCCATAATTCCATGGTTTTATTAACTTAAAACCTGTTTTCAGGTGCGTCGACTTTCCGCCTGTGAAACTATGGGATCTGCAACAACCATCTGCAGTGACAAGACTGGAACATTGACACTGAATCAGGTTATTTTACTTTCTATTAAGACGAATGAAAACTATGTCCTTTTTTTCCGACTTCTGTGTAACTAACTTTCGCAAACTATGTACGACAGATGACTGTAGTTGAGGCTTATGTTGGGAAACAGAAGATGGATCCTCCTGAAGACGGTGCTCAGTTGCATGCAACAATTTCCTCTCTTCTAGACGAGGGACTTGCACAGAACACTTCCGGCAGTGTTTTTCTATCTAAGGTATTCTTTTCCTCAGTACGTTAGTGCTCGTGAGCATGGATTTTTCAAGTCTTTTCCTATATAAATGTCTGCACTTCGGAAGGAAGTGTGATTATTAACCGAGTTTTTATCTCTTGTTGTGTTTAGGAGGGTGCAATGGAGGTTTCAGGATCACCAACTGAAAAGGCTGTCCTTCAATGGGGTGTTAAGGTACTTTTAAGACGTACGATAGTATCTATATTTCCAACTTTTAATACAACTCAGGTGTTGACCATCTGTGAGAACCAATATCTATATTCATACGATAGTATCTATATTGCAGTTAGGAATGAAGTTCGACGTTGTAAAATCAGAATCCATAGTTCTCCATGTCTCTCCTTTCAATTCTACCAAGAAGCGAGGGGGTGTTGCAGTAAGAGGAAAGGTAACAACTCATTTATTCGATGCTTTTTTATTATTATGTTTTTTGTAATTTACGGATATTTACCAATTCAAGACATCGTTTTACAAGAATGATTCTCAGCAGCATACATAGTTTGAGAAACCTTATTCTATTTCACTTGGCAGACGGGATCTCAAGTGCATATACATTGGAAAGGAGCAGCTGAAATAATTTTAGCCTCATGCTCACAATACGTTGATGTGAATGGTTCTCTGCAGTCCATTGAGGAGGAGAAGGTTCGTACTTCCTAAACTGTAACAGATCACTGTGACCCAAACTGAAATTCGATACGAGAAAAACTAACACGAGCCGAAATAAATAAATTTATGTTGTTTTGGAAATTTCTGATGACATTCATTATTGTTATGCAATTCTTATTACCAGGAACTTCTGAAGGATGCTATTAACGATATGGCCTCAAAGAGCTTGAGGTGTGTTGCCATTGCTTACAGAACATGTGAAATCGACACGGTTCCAACTGACGAAGAACAGCTATCCCAGTGGACTCTGCCAGACGAGGATCTTGTTTTGCTTGCTATTGTCGGTATAAAGGTAGTAAACTTGATGGCTATTAATTGAATTTCATTTTTTTTCAATTTCCGCTGAACACATAGCTATTACATTTCGGCTTGCTTTTTGTCTTCCTTCGATTGATGGTGTTGCATGTGTCGTACAGGATCCTTGTCGTCCAGGTGTACAAGATGCAGTGAAACTGTGCCAGCATGCTGGTGTTAAGGTGCGAATGGTAACTGGAGATAACATTCAGACAGCCAAAGCAATTGCACTGGAGTGTGGCATCCTTGCTCCGGACGCAGACACAAGTGAACCCTATGTCATAGAAGGGAAGACATTCCGCGAGATGACTGAGAAAGAGAGAGAACAAATTGCAAGCAAGATCTCGGTATGTCTTAACAATAAAATCCCTTTTCTCGAACATTTCACAACAAGCTGTGTATTATCATCATTCATAACAACTTATAAACAATGTTGTGGCGGTTTACAGGTTATGGCAAGGTCTTCTCCAACAGATAAGCTATTGCTCGTCCAAACATTGCGTAAACAAGGGGAAGTTGTTGCTGTAACTGGAGACGGAACCAATGATGCTCCTGCACTGCACGAGGTTTGATCAATACATATTCTTTTCACCTGCTTGGTTACTGTAATTCATATACACCAACTGCACATTTTTCTCGTATGTATTTGTAGGCTGATATAGGACTTTCCATGGGGATACAAGGAACTGAAGTTGCAAAAGAAAGCTCAGATATCATTATCTTGGACGACAATTTTGCTTCAGTTGTGAAGGTTAGTGTTAACGGAATTTGTCTTAGCTGAAGGGTATTCTCTTAATTCCCCGTTTTCCGTTTCAAATACGTCTCTGGTGATTTCCCCTTTTGTAACACGTTTCCGATTAATCCTTGTAGGTTGTTCGATGGGGACGCTCCGTATATGCAAATATTCAAAAATTTATCCAGTTCCAGCTCACTGTCAATGTTGCAGCTCTTACAATTAACGTTGTTGCTGCAGTTTCCTCGGGTGATGTTCCTTTAAATACCGTGCAGGTACAATCTTTCTTACTCTCTGTACTATAGAATTATGTAGTATTATGCAAATTACCATATTAAGTATTTAAAGAATATAATTTTACTTTGAACATTTTAAATTATGCAGCTTCTCTGGGTTAATCTCATCATGGATACTCTGGGAGCATTAGCACTGGCTACTGAACCTCCAACCGATCATCTTATGGATAGAACCCCAGTTGGTCGCAGGTTAGCATCTGCAACCACGTTTAGTATGCAGATTTTAGTTCGTAATTAACTGTTGTGTGCGCATTTGTGTTTAGTCAAACGAGGTTATTAGCAGTAATATTACAAACTGTGCGTCAATTTTAAGTATATTCAACCATTTAACTGTTCTTAAATTTTTCAGGGAGCCGCTTGTAACGAATATAATGTGGAGGAACTTGATCATACAAGTATGTTAACGTTTTATCTAATCGAACTAGCTGTTTATTTATATAATTTTTGTAACGAACTCTAGATCATCTATCGTTCTACTTTTTACATGGCAGGCCGTATATCAAATTTCAGTCCTCCTTGTTCTCAACTTCAGTGGCATAAAGATTCTCAATTTGACCAACGCCGGGGAAGAACATGCCAACATGGTGAAGAATACCGTGATATTCAACACATTTGTTCTCTGTCAAGTAAGTACGATAATCTAATTACGATGAATGATGCAGAGAATTACCAGAATATTAATCAAATTCATTTCTCAAATTTACAGATTTTTAATGAGGTCAATGCTCGAAAACCAGAAGAACTCAACGTGTTTACCGGTGTGACCAAAAACCCCCTCTTCACCGGGATAGTGGGATCTACATTTATACTTCAGGTGATATCTTGTGTCTTTCTATGCTTTGTAAATCGCACCTCAAGATTTCTTCGTATTTATGGTCACTAACATGCTCCGTGTTTTACTAGATAATCATCATCAATTTCCTTGGAAAGTTCACCTCAACCGTTAGGCTTGATTTCCAATTATGGGTTGTTTGCCTTGCTATAAGCATTGTCAGGTTCGTATATTTTCTCCGATTCTTGGTATCTAAAGTAGTAGAAAACCCTGTGCTGATTTCTTGTTTCTTACAGCTGGCCTCTTGCTATTGCTGGTAAGTTCATCCCGGTTCCAAAAACGCCCCTAGCGAAGGTCTTCATAAGGCCATACCAGAGCTGCATTGCTGCCCGAAATGGAAGTAACTCTACCTAAAAATCATCGTATTTTTCCATTCATGAAGATGCCTCTCATCCAATTTCCTGGAAAGATCAGCAGATAGTGAAAAAAAAACAAAAGTGATTTTTGATACTACGTATGTTCCGCAAGTGTACTACTTAAGTACTTTGTATTGACTGATCAAATTCTATTAATTACTCAAAACTATTCTATATTATTGTAGATAGTTCAATTGTTTGTACACAGTATGTTTTAGCAATAGGAGGTATTAAGGAGTTCTACAAACACACATCTCCGAAATTCATATTCTTTACACTCGAGTCTTTCATTTCCGAAAATTTGTATATTCTATAAATGCTAGTAGTAATAGGAACTGGATATAGTACAATGTTTCGTATACCCAAACATGGATGACGTTTAGTTACAACGAACATCATCGACAAACACAATGTTTTACAACACAACCAAATACCTTCAACTGTTACATTATAAGAAGTACACAGCCTACCAAAAACCCCTTTAGGCAAATCACAAAGAGTTGTATCTTCTGCTTAAAATCGAAAACAATACATTTCCAAACAAACCTTTTCCCCCAGTTTATAAATACAACATTTAAATGAATTTGATATTGGGAGAATCGATCGCCCGTTTCCTTGAATTAGCAAAAACATGAGTACGCAAAGTGGTTCTTTTTTGAAACATAATGTGACAAGAATTCTTCAGAAGCCGCAGAAGAAGTAGGGATATTTGCAGGCACAAGTATCTGAGTCTGCCCGGAAGCTATTCTCCTTCCAGCAACATTTGCGTAAAACAGTCCCGATATAGCTGGAACAAATACATCACTCTCGGAACAAATGTAGTAGTCAATTACCTTCTGAAATTCGGAAGACTCAGAGTCTAGAAACTTGTCTTTTTTCTCCATGGGCATTAGAAATTCCTGCAACAGTTTAAATTAAAATAAGAAAGGTAACAGCAAAACCATTGAATATCAAATATGAAAAAAGTTGATCTCAAAGTCGAAAAAAAAAAGAAAGCTGGAAATTCTACCTTAGTATATGTTCTTGGGAAGAAGTCCTTCAGAGCATCGAGGCTGCTATGCCATTTCGTTTGAGTCACATACACAGTTGTATCCTTTCCAAAGCCAATCTTCTTCAAGAAGATAGCTACCTCTTGCGGACTATAACAACTTTTGGATCCAGAGCCGCTGATTTTGAGACAGCTCTTTTTCTCCAAAATGTCAACCCTCAAGTCAACAGCCACAAACTGTCCGTTTGACTTTTTACTGACTGTTCTTAGGCGGTCAATCATGGAGTCAACCACTTCACGAACTTCTGATTGGGGCTCAAGAGTTCCAAACATGGCCAAACATGCAGTAGAGTCTGTTTTGGTCCTCTCTTTGTTCTTTTTCATGTTCACTGATGGGAAGTAAGTAACTAGCCTTATGTTTCCTTTGGTTCTGAAAACCGTTTCTATGTTTTCTGCTATATATTCTTCAGTAACCCGATTAGGGATTTTCACTACTGCAAGATTTTTAGCTGATATCTTAGGCTTCGATTTAACAACTTTGACCACACCATCTAGGCTTGCGATGAATTTTTCCACATCATAGACATCTTGAAAGTTCCTGAAAGTTACAGATGAAGTACAACATTAATAATCTCTTACGAGCATGTTATATGAACATATATGAGATTATACGGTCCATTTATTAAAGCCAAGATTGCCACCCTAGGCGGAACAATTTTAATGAAATTAAAAGTGCTTCTTTTCAGCCATAAATGAACAGCTCCCTGCTGTAAGTTAGCTAAAGGGGAGATGACGAATAAATAAAGTGTATGGCATTGATTAGAGCTAAAAGCCACATCAAACCTTTTGTCACCGGGTTCACTTCCTCTGATTTCTGGGATTACAAGTGTTGCCCGTAGATATCTAGCAACTACTACTGCATCGGAAATCTGTGAATAACAACGAATTATCAAATATTTGAGACAAAAAGTTCAGCACATTGCCAGAAAAGTAAAAAAGCACTAGATGCTTGAGATTTGCTTCATTAATGAAGCGTGTCGCAATACGGATATAAATATTTAAACCGACTCCCAAGAATTACGACTTCCGAACCACCATCAACCAATTATAGTTATTCACTACCAGTCATTTATTGACTTTAAGTAAAAAAATGCTAGTCAAATAAAATAAATAAAAAATGCCAACAAACTCGAGCATTTTCTGTTAGTACCAAAACAAATGGTGGTTGATGTAAATGAAGCTACCTGAGAGACATGGTATTCTGGGCCGTTAGTTAACGAGAAGGTGACGTACCCTTGCGAGTCAATTGCCTCCTCTGTCAACAAAACATCAAGTGAGACACGTGCACGAGATCAATCCAAAGTGAAAATCGCAAACAGATCGTAATACACAATTATGCTGACAATTTCATAAATGCATTATTACACTCACCCAAGATTGGCTTTTGCCAACATTGCTTCAAGCTCAAGCCATCTTCTTTCCAAGGGCCATCAGCCCCTTTAGTAACGCTAGCAAGGCCATGGTCCGAAGCTTTATTCGTATTATGAACAGCCGGCTTTTAAAGAGGAAAATCAGCACAAGAAAACAAACATTTCAGTCAGTTGACAATCAAAAAAAACAAAAGAAAAAAAAAAGCGACAATGAATCTACCATAGTATAGTTCTATCAATTAACACGCAGCAAATGAAATTAAAAGATACACGTGATTGCTCACGTCATTCTCTTAAATGTCGAACCACAACAGAAAAGCACAGTCTTGATGATCTCACAATCCCTAGCACAAAATGCTAAAATTGAAGAAGTTGCTGCTGTAATTATCCAAAGATACATCTCCAACAGATTCAGATCAAATAAATGCTCATACGTCATCAGATGCGCAAACTAAAAGACAAATCAATCAATGCAATAAACCAAATCTAATCCATTCCACACACAAAATGATTTTTTACAACCAAAATGAAGCAAAAAGTTTAAGATTAACCAGTCTCACAATTAATCGAAGTGTAAAACACCAGACGAAAAGTAGATGTTGACAAAACATACATGAGCAGAATCGAAGTGGTCGCGCTTAATCATGTTGCCAAGCATTACAAACATCGTCATCGTCAACACCCCAGCCAGTACTTGTCTCGGATCCACAGCCATTGATTCAGATCTCTCAGTCACTTTCCTCAAACACACACACACACACACTCTCTCTCTCTCTCTATATATATATATATAAATGTATCTGTAGATTTAGAGAGAGAAAGTGAGAGTGAGCAGTAATAAGTGTGTGCTCTGCTGTGTTTTATGGTTGGCGCTTATGAGTTTTTTTCTTCCTATTTTTAGGTTTTATATATGAAAATGTAGAGAATAATTAGAATAATGAGCACGCTTTTGATTGATTAATCATGATTATCGATACACGCAAACACACACAATCACACTTTCACTGCGTGTATTTTAGGATCACCACCGACAGTTTTCCATTGGCCTCCTAAATTTCAGTAGCTACTTCTTCTTTTTCTCTTTTTGTCTGTGTTGGATCGCGGATAATGCCAGAGTGGTTTTCGTGTTGCCACACCAAATCCCCTTCTACTGCCCAATTTACCCTCAATGAAGTCAAATCTTGAGTTGACTCGGATAAATTATTTTAAGACAAGTAGACGTAAATGGAGGCGTAAATGAAGCATTGCCACTTGGTTGATTTGTCAACTAATCCATTTTAGTCCTGCCTAATTTCTTTTAAGTATTGCGGAAATCTACTCTTTTCTAGGGATGGTAAAGCTCTATTCTATGTTACGTCGGTGTAACATAAAAATAAACGGTGATTAATGAGTTGAGTATATTCTTGAACTCGATGAAAACTCGAACTCGAGCTCGGTTCCGATTATAGTTGTTCGATAGCTTCTTATTTATTTATTTATTTTATTTAAATGATAAAAATATATTTTTATAATTGTTTTTATTTTTATAGGCAAATAAATAATTTATACTGAGAAAATAAAGTAATATTAATATTCATGGATTTGAAGAAATAATACTAACATGTTACATGCCATATCCTCTAATTCTATTATCATTATTTTTTGAAATAATTTACCAATAACATGAAACACAGACAAATCACCGAAACAACGTCTAATTTGAAACGGAGAGAACATTCTATTTCCATGCGTCGAATCAAATTTCAAATCTTCAACTAACACCGATAGAGATTAATGAACACAATTAGCTAACATATCTTAATCACCTAATTAGTTTCGATAACACAATGAAACAAGACAAATTGAAGACATACGTATACAAACATTAATATCAAAATTAAAAAGTTATACAAATAATTCCTATATACTCGTTTCGAATAATATTGTACATATACCATGAACTTGTAACGATTGGTTTCGTTTGTAAACAAAACTCTGTCGAAAGTTCGCTACAACAACTCAAAACGGGTACTCTCCATAATTAACAATATTCGCGAAATTTTTAGGGTAAAGAGGAATAATCTTTCACCATCAAGATCTCACTACAAAGCTTCTTAGGTACTTGTTCCAATGCTTTACCTTCTTGCCATGCTTGCCCCACAACCACTCCTGGACCCACGTGGCGAATATATATATAAACTTGATCATCCAACGGCCACGGATGTTTTGCTGAAATAAAGGATCCGATGGTCAATTATCATCGATAATATACGAGAGATTAATCGTGCAACCATTTTTTTCTGCAAGAATATATAGTTTTCCTATGCAGTGTCGTATTATGAAAATAAGGTTAAAAGATGGTTCACCTGGTTTAGGAAATTCTTGTGGATATTCGGGAAGGTTAAGAAGTCCATCTCCAAATTCATAAGCTAAATCACAAGGCTCCTCTGTCGATAATACTTCGTTGACCTGTCTGACACTAAAGTACAATGGGCTAGATGATTTGATGATTCTTGATAAAGGGTTTCCACCTGTGTCACAATCTTATTAGACCGAGTTTTTCCTGGTTCTATTAGCAAATCGAATGAGAAGGTTTAAATTGTAGTGTCAGAAAAAGAAAACAATACGTAGGAAAATAAGTTCGATTAGCAGCAACAAGTAACCAAATATATGCCAAAATCTGACATAATGAATGTAGTCATATATAAACCAACATACCAATAAGTCGTCCATAGGTTTTCCCATCTGTGCAGCCGAATATTACCTAAAAGGGAAGCAATAAGTAACTCCATATTCAGCAGATATTCAATTTAAACAGTAACATGAACAGAAATTGATCATAGATTGAAGAAATTTTAGGAACTCCAACAGAAGCAGGGACATAACCTTCTGGCAGTTATTTATCCAAGAAACTTGAAGCGGGGCTGCATACACATGTACAGTTTGTAAGTGCCATAATATTTATCGAAAAAATATATTTAGATTATAATATTTCTCGAAAAAATATATTTAAATCACCTCCACTTGTTCGAAATCTCCATAACTCAAGTTTACCAGCACAATCTACACCAGATAGAAAGGCAGATGCACTTTTCTTTGCTAATTTTGGATCCTCATATCGGCTTCCAGCTACCTCCCAAGCTCTTGATACAAGTCTAGCAAATTCCAGAGAAATAAAATGGTGAAATTTGCATGATAATGAAGCAAAATTCCTAAATTAAACACCAAAAAGTAGTAATACTGGTAAATTTTGAAAAACAAGTTGGACAGATCATCGCTTGAAATAGGATAATTACCATTCACCTATCTTAACACAATAATCCCTGAACTGATCCATTTTTTTGTTTTCCAATTACGAGCAAAGATTGGAACCAAACTTACGAACCTGGGGTTTAGCAGCGAGAGCAGGTTATATCGTCTTTCCTCCGGAATGTCATCAATTTTTTTCCTGATTACATGAACATAATATAAGAACCTCGAAAAAACGCTCCAACTAGCAAAGTTTCCTTAACTATATTTCATTCATCTAAAACCTCAATAAACACTCCCATGAACACAATATTTCATTCTCAAAATAACCAGTGTGAATACTTGAAGAAAAATCAACTTATAAACTACACGAACCAAAGATAAGAAGCGGGATTGTATGAAGAAGGGTCCAACGGAATGAGCTCCTTCGGAGGATCAAGAAACGTCACCACGTCTTGCTCCTCTAAGTAATACTTCTGAGAAGCTTCGTATGGCTCCACGTCCCATTCCTTCGCCGCTTTGGCATTTGATCGAACACTTAACCTGCAATGTTTTTTCACCACTATTGTTGTACTTATCGGCTTCCAGTTATGTATACGGCCGTATTGATGCCTGCAAATCGGAGGAATGGAAAAATAACAGGAATGCGGCGGCGACGGATGGCGCAGCCCAATCACTCCGCCGTGGCAGGTGGTGGCGGTTGCACTTTGCTGCATTCTGTTGTCAATGAACTGGACTTCTGTTTCAGTACATCTCGACAAAATGTTTGATTCTGTTGTTGGGCTTCGGCCCTTTTCTTGTGTTTAATTGAATACAGCCCATTAGCACTAATATGGGCTGCCGAAGGTTTTAGCTAGGAGCCCAATACTATATATTAACTCAGTTAACCGACTTTCTCTCTCTTTAAACCTCAGCACCTTCGCTGCTAGGTTTTGAAAATTTAGCCCTATTCTCTCCACTGAAAACCTGAAATCCTTCACTTAATCAACCATGGTATGTCTCTGCCGCTGAATTGCATATTTCTTTCACCAGAATAGTTCGTTAAATTTCCGATTTTTCTGAATTTCATGTGATTTTTATTTAATTACAGCCGCAAGGAGATTACATAGAGCTGCACAGGAAGAGGAATGGCTACCGCCATGACCACTTCGAGCGCAAACGCAAGAAGGAGGCGCGTGAAGTTCACAAGCGCTCTAAAGTTGCGCAGAATGTCAGTTTTTTTTTTGCTTTTTGTTTTTAATTTTGTGTTATTTTTTGTACTTAGAGAGAGTGTGTTGAATGATGGTTGTTTATGTGTATGTGCAGTCCTTGGGTATCAAGGGTAAGATGTTCGCGAAGAAGAGATATGCTGAGAAGGCTCTAATGAAGAGAACGTAAGCTCTTTTTGCTTTCGAATTTATCTTTTAGCATGTATATATTTTTTATTGAGGTTTTTTTGTGGTGAAATGATAAAAATGTAGAAATAATCCAATATATTCTGATGGTTCTGTTTCGGAGTATGTGTTCGATGTTGGTTCGTTGTCTAGAGCTGTTTACGAGTTGGGATTTTTTTATAACACTGGTGGAAACTCCTAAATCATTTCAAGCTTGATATACTAGTAAAATTGTGACAGTAATAACTTCTTAATTGGAGTTATATCAGTTTCTAGCGTGTAATTCTGGCTGAGTAGTTTATCTTTTGTAGTTTGTGCCTCCTCTTATCCTCTGTGCCAATAGCTGTTTGTTGTTTCTTGAATTGTAATGTTTTCTTCGTGATGCAATGGAACCTAGTTGAATGAGGTGATAGTAGAACTCGATTGAGTTTGAAATTATTAATAAAAAGTATCACTGGTTCTATGTCTTAACTTTCAGTTAATGTTGACAGATTGTCCATGCATGAGGAGTCGTCAACCCGGCGCAAGGTTGATGATGAAGTCCATGATGGAGCTCTTCCTGCTTATCTTCTTGATCGTGACGAGACAACAAGAGCAAAGGTAGTCTTATTCCTAGGTTTCATTTATTTCTTATCTTCTTTCGTGAAACATAGTCCCTTGTGTGGAAACAGATCAATTTTGAAATGCTTATGAAATTAACCTCATTCTCATTCTCTATGCAGGTGCTTAGCAATACTATCAAACAAAAGAGAAAAGAAAAGGCAGGCAAATGGGAGGTTCCCCTACCAAAGGTAATTCATGCAGCTAATCCCTTGCCTTTGCACTTTGTTTCTCTTAGGCAGATTAGCTCTTACTATGAAACTCGGCATAATAATATCATTACTGATTGCATTATACAGAATTTGTTTATTATAGGTTGCAACGTTGGAATATATTGGGTACACTTATTTGTGCTTCAATATTAGAGACTTGATTGGTCTTCTTGTCTTAAGTTGACAGATTTATGTGTAGTCTAATAGCCTTATTTAGCAGGTTTTATTCAGAAGAGTATATCAGTGTCATAATTTCTAGCTTAGATTCTGGTCGTCTCTTGATTTTGGGTAAGTAACAAGGACCACGAAGGTCTCTAATACACCTAGATGGAGTTGTATGTGTAATTTTTTTAATGAAAATAATTCCATTTAATAGGAAACTTATCTTCATATTTTCTATTGTAGGACTATTAGACTTTTCTTGTACAACTTTTGTGTGTGTTAATTTTCCTTCAGAAACTTTGTATAACCAGTTTTTGAAGGAAGAGTTCCGCATATCTGTGGGATACATTTAAAAGATACCCCCTCCTATTTCCCGACCAACAAAAAAATTTGGTGGGTGGACAGTGGAATGATTATTAAATTGCCATTATGATGGACAAAAGAAGATAAATAAATTAATTAGGATAAACGGAACCATTGTGGGTTATATCCTAGTTTTTTAATGGACACATGGCTGTATTCACCAATACACTGACATGTACTACTGTCAAACTAGTTTGAATGAGCAGTGTTTCTAACTAGAACCGTTTGTTGGCTTTTATAGGTGAGACCTGTTGCTGAAGATGAGATGTTTAGGGTGATCAGATCTGGCAAAAGGAAAAGTAAGTATTTGTTTGTTCTGTGATGCGTGATTTCAATCCAAGAACATTTGTTTGTTGAAACATTTTCTGTATTGAAGTCATGTGCTCATATTAATCTGTGTTTTTGGTTGCACAGCCAAACAGTGGAAGAGGATGATTACTAAGGCCACGTTCGTAGGACCAAGTTTCACAAGGAAGCCTCCGAAATACGAGCGTTTCATCCGACCAAGTGGTTTGCGTTTTACAAAAGCGCACGTGACTCACCCTGAACTTAAATGTACTTTCAATTTAGAGATCATTGGTGTAAAGAAAAACCCAAATGGCCCCATGTATACATCTCTTGGTGTTATTACCAAGGGTTGCATAATTGAGGTAACCTTCTATTTTAACTCGAATTAACGTCTGCTTTATTTATTTCACGTGGTTATATCATCTGAATACGCCTTTCTTGTGCATTTTAGGTCAACGTTAGTGAGCTTGGTTTGGTCACCCCTGCTGGAAAAGTTGTTTGGGGTAAGCCTCAATCCGTCTGAAGATTTACTCGTGACTTTTTTTAATCCTCGATTTTTTTTCTTAATTGTTTGATGAATGGTAAATGCAGGCAAGTATGCACAAGTTACAAATAATCCTGAAAACGATGGCTGTATCAACGCAGTTTTGCTCGTCTAAATGTACTGACTCTACTAGTTCGAGTTTTGATCACTTTTGTGGGCACTACCTCACCAAAGTGTTATCTCTTGTGTTTGAAACGAGACTCTGATGTTTAAGCTTTGTGAGGATGTTATTAATTATGAGAAATTCTGTTCATTTATCTTCTAAAGTTATTAATTACTTGTTTTTTTTTTAACTCTACCTGCAAATAAATGATTAATCAACCCTATCCATCCATTTTTAAACAAATCATGTTTGAATTAATTTGGAACTTATATTTTTAAATTGCAACCTAACTGAGCTCGAACGAGCATTAGTCGAGACAATCGTAAATCGAACTCCTATAGCCTGAATTTATATATTTTTCGATTGAAAATTTATCTTCAAGTTTGATTTGATTTTGCTTCTTATATATAAACAACTATTTATAAATATTAATTTTCTTATTTTGCAGAATATTAGAATAATAAGGCCGTGTAATTATTAAAATTAGAAAAAAAGGCTGCCAAACAAGGCCCAGATATCGGCCCAGAGATGAAAGCCCAAAAAAGCTAAGATATATAAAGAAAGCCCTGACGAACACACGTACAAAACACACACTCTGAGGTGAGAAAGAGGAAGGTAGTGAGAGAAAGGAAGAAGAAATGGCGTCGAGCGCTGCTGTTCCGTTCTGGAGATCTGCGGGTATGACTTACATAACATACTCTAACCTCTGCGCCAATTTGGTGAGGCAGTGTTTGAAGGAGCCCTACAAAACCGAATCTTTGACCCGCGAGAAGGTCCACTTCTCCGCTTCTCAATGGGTCGACGGCAAACCCGAGAAACCAAGTACCTTTCCTCTTCTCTTCTCTTTCCTTTTTTTTTTTTATTTATTTATCGAGATCTGTATATTTTTGTTTTCATTTTCGGATTATTTTGTGCGCATACACATTTTATGTTGTTTGATCCATTTTGCTGCGCGATTTTTTTTAGGTTGAGTTTTTTTCTTCATGAGATTGATTTGCGTACTCGGATGAATTGATTGATGCGAATACATGTACCGTGCTTCTGCGATTGCAAAATTGCGGAATGTGTGATTATGAGGTGTTTGGTTGTTTGGATTGGGATTTTTCGAATCATAAATTAGTACTTGAATTTATATTTGAAGGAGCTTGAAGCTCCATTATAAAGTGGAATTGAGATAATTAGCTGGTATTAGCGTCACTAATTTTATGATTCTTTTTTGAAAATAAAGCTATTTTGATCATTTTTAACTGATTGTCTCTTTGCTGTTGGATTTGGGGGACTGCTTTGTTCTGGGTGTCTCTCGATTTGTTCTTCTTCTGTGTTTTGATTCTGTGTAGGGGGTTCTCTGAATTAAATTGATGTATGTTATGGATCATATGAGTCCATTATGTGAAGATATTTGACAAGGCTTAGTTGCTTGATCTGCTTTCTGCATGCTTTCGTGCATTATTTTTTGTTAAAAGTTACAATAGGCTGATGATGGTTTGGTTATGTGGCTACTTGTTAGAAATTCTAAATCGAGCTTTTGAGTCTTGCGCTGTGCTTTAGAAATTTGATGGCACACATCTTATCCTGATGGCTTAAAACAAAGTTGGATGTCGTTCGGAATTGTCTCTGGTTTAATTAGAGAATATTATATCATGAATTTAACAAGAGAACATAATTTCCAGATCCTCTATTGACCAAAGTTTTTACAGCACTGTGCTACAACACAATTTGGTGGTATATCGAAAAACCACAGTTTGATAGCCTTGTGAATTATCTCGGGTTTCATTAGAAAATTTTGTATCATGGATTTAACAAGAGAAAGTCATTTCCACTTCTTCATCGGTTCACACTTTTTGAAGCACTGTGCTATAAAATATATTTATGTATGCTACACCTACAATGATGACATTCTATGGAAGCATGTGGCACATTATGCTTGAGAATTGGAATTAACCACTTCTAGGTATAGCTTATAGTGTGGTGAACTAAGTTTTCGATAACATAATTCATTTGTTTTATGACTGCTAGATTGAGATTTTTGATTTGCTCACTGTGTGGGTCCAGGGTTGGAGTAATTTTCTGTCCATCAATCCTTCGTGTGCTAGCTTATTGTTTATTATTTCTGTCGATCGACTCTTCATTTAATCTATATTGATAGAATTCATCTTTTTATTGTATATTTTGACAAATTGATTCCAGCCTTATTCTGATGGAACTTTTTAATTTCTTTGATTTTTCAGCCACCCGCTCGGATTCTCCTGAATGAGGCTGGACATTTTGGTGTTCATTAAATTCTATTCCATGCTTCAACAAGCTGGTGATCTTTTCTTTATTTTTGTTTTGCTTCTTCAAGATGTTTGGGTTTGTAATTCCCTGGATCCAATTTACTTGCTGATAATAATGTGAATTTTTTGACTTAGATTATCTGTTATATTGGAAAATCATTTGGTGATCTAAAATAAGTATTTTGGATGAATATTTCATTGTTATTTATTGAGCTTTTGCTTAAAGAATTGGTGCATTTTCTACATTGCTGGCAAGATAAGCAATCCAACTGGAAGAAGTTGGGCAGATAGATTAGCTCATCTGCTTCCAATTATTGGATACACACAGTGACAGGAATCTTTGCTTAAACTTTGAGAAATATCGAAGATAACTCATTCTGAAAAATCTCCGTATTTTCTTTTAATCCACAAGGACATGTATCAGCTAATATATATTTTGTTTGATTCGATGGAGAAAGAGAATCGAAAACGAATCTATAATCTTGATCTTAAAATTGGTTGTTCCTATTTATCTTTCCATCCACATAATCCATTGTTTTAGTAACATTTCAAATCAATCTTGAAAAAAGGGAGATTTTGTTACACATTAGTAACAGTTAGGTGCTACACATGGTGAATTATATCGATTAGTTTTAATGTTGATCTACACACTACCACGTACATACATGTATGGAAACACGTGCATAGTGGATATTCATCAAACGCATTACACGCGTACGATGAAATTTTACACATTTTGCCGATTGCAGTCAAAAACTAATATTTGATCATGATGCATTATAGAGATTAAGTCGCAAAAGTTGGCCATCAATTTTCTTTATCTTGTCTTAATAACCAAGATATCCAAACTTTGACGCAGCTAAATTGCCTTTTCCAATCACAAATTCCTTAAATCATAAATTATAATGCAACCTTAGTCTCCACAATTTGGAATAGATATTTATTTATATTTTAAAAATATAATGTATAATTAATTAATTACGATTTATACTACACCATTAATGATGCCAACTCTAGACAATATAACACATGACATTGATTTTTTTAAAGAAAGGGTATTACTTGTTTAATTAATATATAATTATAATAAATATGTAAAAGGAAAGAAAATTTGGAGTTATTCATTTTTTGACAGCCCAACACCCAAACATTCCGCCAACCAAAACCAACTCAACAAAACCCCGATTTTCTTCTTTCCCTTCAATGGCGAATTCGATCCCCGCCGTCCAATCCCCAAATTCGAAGATTATGTGATTGAGAATTAGCCTAAGTCCACGCCGGAGAAACAGCTATCGGATCTGAAACGCTGAATTGCAGCTAATCCGTTTTTGCTTAACTTAGTTAACCAATTGCTATTTGCGCATAGTCAAAGCTAATTCGTTTTGGTTATGGCTTCGACGAAATCGTCTCGGTCAAGAGCAGCACAGTCCGGAGCTTCAGCAAAGGGGAATGTCAAAGATGGAGGTGCGAAGTTTGAGGAAAATCTCAACGTTTTCAAGTCCGATAACTTCGATGCCGATGCTTTTGTGCAGTCCAAGTGCCAGTCCCTCAGTGAAAAGGTTCTTTCTGACCCAATCTTTAATCCTTTATTTTGGTTGCATATTTGCGTGATTTTAGATATTTATTCCTCGTTTGATTTCACAAAAAAAAAAAAAAAACATCTATTGCGACTTGATTTGAAATCCTTGGTCAACGATTGAGGAATATGTTTCTGATTTACTAATTTTTTTTTGGCTTTAATTGGTTGATGATTTGGATTTCTACCAACACAATTGATAATAACTTGTTGAAGTTCCTTAATAAGGATTAGATTATGAGTCCTCTTATTGGTTAAAATTGTAAATGCAGTTACTGGATTATTACTTGTTTAAGTTCCTTGAGCAGAGATTGGCTTTAGTTTGTTGATCTCACATGAAACAAAACCTCATTTGTGTTTCCGAAGAGGAATATGAATATTTTTATGCTAACGTGAAAATGGAAATGCCTGTTTTTTCCTCAGCGAACGACTTCCAACTGTTAAGAGTGGTTACTCGTTCTGTTTTTATGTTAATATAAAAATGCAAAGAAAAAAGAGCTATTATGGCGGGCAATGAGGTTATATTTAAACAAAATGACCTAGTTTTGGTTAAAGAAAAAAAAAAAAAGATTTGAAGGAAGCTATTAATAACCACCAAGAAACTTCTTGCTATTTATAGTTCCTTTACCCGCTATAACCGCTTCATTGTGCCAGGATAGTCCATATCTCATTGACCTGTTGTGAGAATTAGCCAAATCAGACTCCCTTATTTCATCTCAAGAAGACTATGGCATATTCCATGGATAAAACACTGTCACCTTTTCTTCCAACAATTTGGACTTGGGGGGAGGGATCGGGGGTTGTAAGGCCATGTTATAAGACCATTAAAATAATAAAAAAAACAATGTAGTCTCGACATTTATCTGATTTGAACTTTATGTCTTCAGCTCAGCGTGGATCTTATGGGATCTTTATGCAGCAAATAACATCTGAGCATGTTTTGCAGGAAATAAGACAGTTATGCTCATACCTTGTGGATCTGAAGAGAGCTTCTGCTGAAGAAATGCGCAGAAGTGTGTATGCAAATTATACTGCTTTTATTCGGTGAGTTTATTGGTACTATGTCTGGTCAAGATAACGAGCTCCCTTCTGACTTGTATTCCATATACCTATGCAAATGACATTGTAGACATTTAAAGTGGAATTAACTAAGCCATATAGCACTTGAAATTTCTTCATAGTGTACAAAAATAGACTAGTAAGTGGTAAAAGCCATTGATGTATGCTCGTTGACATCTAACAGCAGCCAAGCCCCATGTTCCTAAATCGGAAAAACAAAAAATGAACATTGAATATCAATTCCTTCCTTTATTAGAAGTTTTTACTGATTGGAACAGTTCCCTGTTCTCATAGTATAGACAAAAGTAGATATGCTCTGTGGACAGTCAATTGCAGCAAGCCTCTATTTCCCTGCACTGGAAAAAAAATAAAATTAAAATATCATATCTTCTGTGTTAGAAGTATCTGCTGATTGGAAGAATTCCATGCTCTCATATATTTCCGTTACATCCTCTGCATGTTTTACTCGAATGTGGATTTACTCGATTAATCCCTTTTGCATTTCTCAGTATATTAAAATCTAATAGTTATAGTTTAAAATTTTTGACGAACTTTGCAGTACTTCTAAAGAGATATCAGATTTAGAGGGAGAACTTTCATCCATGAGAAACCTGCTATCCACACAGGCAACCCTGGTTCACAGTTTAGCTGAGGGGGTTCATATTGACTCTTTATCTGACACTGCTCCTGACAGTTCTGCTAAGACTGGTTTATCTAACAATGAAGTAGGAGAACCTTCTGATGTGGAGAAATGGTCCACAGAGCTTCCTGATTTCATTGATGTATTACTAGCTGAAAGGAGAATCGATGAAGCTCTGGACAGGCTTGATGAAGGAGACAACGTTGTGGCTGAAGCAAAAGCGAAGAATACATTGACACCTGTCATGCTTCTTTCACTTCAGACAGCTATAATCGAGCGCAGACAAAGGTTAGCTGATCAGCTTGCCGAAGCAGCATGTCAACCTTCCACACGGGGTGCTGAGCTTCGTGCAGCAATTTCAGCTCTAAAAAAGCTCGGTGATGGTCCTCGTGCTCACAGTTTACTTCTTAATGCACATTTTCAGAGGTATCAGTACAACATGCAAAGCCTCCGTCCATCTAGTACCTCTTATGGAGGAGCGTATACAGCAGCACTTTCACAGCTTGTATTCTCTGCCATTGCTCAAGCAACAAGTGATTCCTTGGCCATTTTTGGCCAGGAAACAGCTTACACATCTGAGCTTGTGATGTGGGCAACAAAGCAGACAGAGGCATTTGCACTTTTAGTCAAAAGACACGCATTAGCTTCATCTGCGGCTGCTGGGGGTTTGAGATCTGCTGCAGAATGTGTTCAGATAGCTTTAGGGCACTGTTCATTACTGGAAGCTCGTGGTCTTGCTCTTTGTCCTGTAGTTCTGAGGCTGTTCAGGCCTAGTGTTGAGCAAGCTCTTGATGCTAATTTGAAGAGGATTGAAGAGAGTACAGCTGCTTTAGCTGCTGCTGATAATTGGGAGCTCACATATCCTCCGGCCTCTGTGCGCCTAGCTGGAAGGACCGGTGCAGCTACTGGTGGTGGTTCGATGGCAAATCAGCCCAAGCTTTCGAGTAGTGCTCACCGTTTCAATTCAATGGTCCAGGTAAAAATATATTCCATCTCAAGTGCAGATGTGATACTAATATGATGAATATAATCTCTCCAACAGATGTCATATTAAATTTGCTTAGCATGCTCGAATAGATAAGAATTAAGATTATCAAAAGCTGTTAGTTTTCCCCCAAGAAATGCATTTTCTCATGAACACATTATACTGTTTTCTGTTATACTAACTTTTGACCGTATGATTTACGAGGAGGCATCAATAGTAGAACACAAATGAAGAGATCTCTGGTAGAGTTGAAATATGCGGTTTTCATATTAAATTATCCAACAGAAATTGGATTAATATCGAATGGTCGACAACTTTGGAGAAATTTTCGAAAACCAAAAATCTAATATTTGAGATTTTGTGCGTCTCAATCATTACTAAAAAAATTGAAGTTTAGCCTACTATCATTATATTCAATCCACCAAGATCTTGTATTTGGCTCTGGTTGATTATGGAGTTGACAAACTTAGTCATATTTGCCAGTCAGGGTTCTATGATGGCATTTGTTTTTATAACCATTCCTTTTATCCATCTATGGTTTTAAAATCGTCTTTTGCAAGGATGTTTGGAAATTGTTTCTGGTATCTGAATTTTGCAGTGTAAATCTTGAAGCTGATTATCCCATGCTGTTCTAATTGCCTGTGCAGGAATTTTTTGAAGATGTAGGACCCCTCTTAAGTATGCAGTTGGGAAGTAGAACACTCGATGGTTTGTTCCAGGTTTTCAATTCCTACGTTAATATGCTCATAAAAGCATTACCCAGCGCCATGGAGGAAGAGGCGGATTTTGAAGGTTCAGGAAATAAAATTGTTCGATTGGCTGAAACTGAAGCCCAACAAATTGCATTGCTTGCTAATGCATCCTTACTCTCCGATGAGCTGTTGCCACGTGCAGCAATGAAGCTCTCCCCATCGAGTCAGGCTAGTTACAAGGATGATTCCCGTAGAAGGCCAATGGACCGCCAAAACCGTAATCCTGAGCAAAGGGAATGGAAGAGGCGCCTTGTGAATTCTGTTGATAGATTAAAAGACAGTTTTTGCCGCCAACATGCTCTAGACCTTATATTTACTGAAGAAGGTGATAGTTATCTTACTGCAGAAACGTACATACACATGGATGGTAGGAATATGGATGAAATAGACTGGTTCCCTTCTCCCATATTCCAGGTACTTTTCATCTTTCAAGTTAATCAATTATCTTTCACATCTCAATAAACTGCTGCATAACTTTTATGTTAATTTTATTTCACTGCAACTCTCTTTTTCTAACTCAGACCAACCATCAATGAATCGACTTTCTTTATATATATATTTATATGTCACTTCATGTTCTTTTTTGGGTACTTGCAGGAACTCTATGCAAAACTGAATAGGATGGCCGGCTTTGCAGTGGACATGTTTGTAGGGCGCGAAAGATTTGCGACATTATTATTAATGAGACTCACAGAAACCGTCATTTTATGGCTTTCAGAAGACCAAACATTCTGGGAAGATATCGAGGAAGGACCTAAGCCATTAGGTCCTATTGGTCTGCAACAGGTTTAGCCAAACCTGATTTTCACATTGTGTAATTATCTCTTCGTTTCTTATGTCATTATCTAAACCATCTACATATGCTCAATTGGTTGCAGTTCTATTTGGATATGAAATTTGTCATGTGCTTCGCTTCACAAGGCCGCTACTTGTCTAGAAACTTGCACCGCACGGTTAACGATATTATATCCAAAGCAATGGCTGTATTTTCAGCTTCAGGCTTGGACCCAAATAGGTAAGCAATTCTGTTACTGCGCTTTTGTGCGCTTTTATTGTCTTCGACTCTTCGTAGACTTGATTTAAGGTTTTATAATTATTAAAAAAATGTCGGATCAGTATTAAGTCGACTGGCATCGGTATTTGCAGTGTACTTCCAGAAGATGATTGGTTCAATGAAATATGTCAAGACGCAATAGAGAGGCTGAGTGGAAAACCAAAGATGACTAATGGGGAGCGGGACCCCAACAGTCCAACTGCCTCTGTTTCAGCACAATCGATTTCATCCAATAGATCTCACGGAAGTTCTTGATGCGTAATTGTCGCAAAAAATATTGTAAATTAGGCTGAATACGTGGTTTCTATTGGAATACCTGCCGCACGTATTCAGAATAAGCTTCATATGTATTGATTTCGATTTTCCCATTTTTTTAATTTCTTTTTCTTTATCCTCAAATGTAGTAGATTTGTTGTTCTTGTATCATTGATTTCTTGGAAGGCTAGTAATTCTTTATGTTCCCTAGTTGGGGGAGCATTTTGAGTGTGTATATGTTGATAACAAATGGTTTAGTACAGAATCTAAATTTGCCCTATTCTTTTGTGTTGTATGTACAACAACCTATTTGTTTGGTGAAGCAGACCCCCCACCCCCACCCCCACCCCCACCCCCCAATGAGATGCTTTCTTAAAATTAATTTTTTCCATACAGATAAACAATTATATATAAATAATTTGAACTGAAATAACGAACTTGGTAATTAATATCAACAAATAAATGTTCCTGTACATTTTTGAGTTAGCCCCCTATGATTTCATGCAATGGAGTTCCTGGTTCTGTAGTTGAGAAACCTTCATCCATTCCTTCATTGTGGTCACATGAAACACTAATTGCTGGACTTTGTGCTGCGAACTCCATCCCTACATCATTTCTCGATTCCTTGAATTTTGTCACGTTTTTCTTCTGACAGAAAGCTCTACCGAGTCCAATAAGCTTCTCCTTGATCGAAGCACCGGATGATAGTATAACCTGATTCTCGTACAAGAAAATCGACAAGAATATAGTAAGAGCTGTTGTCGACGACAAACCCGCAATCAAGAATAGACCCTTGAAACTATCTGTTGTTAGCCTCTCAGATGTGATCACAGTTCTATCGCCACCTGGACACCCTTCTTCTTCCCCGAACCATTTTCTCGAAATCTTCACCATTTTCTCATCTTCTTTCAGATTCAATATTTCTCTCGATACATCTGGCACTAATGGTGACCCCTTCGGAAATGCCTGAAATACAAAAACAAAATTAGTCGAGTTTTTGCTCTTTCAGAAATCTGAAATTCAAAAAAAACTAACGGACTTACGAATCCAAAGCCGGAAGTTTTATAGGTGGGACCAATCATCGTATACTTGTGACAATACTTGGAAAGGAAGAGCCTAATGTAAGGTAGTTCATCAACAATTGCAGCTACTCCTTCATTTCTGCTACCTTTGGAAAGCGCTTCGTCGTACTCCTCAAAAGTACTATAAGTTCTGAATTTCGAACTGTCGAATTGCATGTTTTTCAAGAATCCAGCAACGAAAGATCCATCTTGGCAGCCGACGTATTCCCTGTTCTTTACAAGGTCGTAAAAGTCGGTGATTGTTGGCTGAAGCTGCTGTACGGTCAACATGGACGTCAAATTCGCAGTGTAACTCGATGTAAGAACAAGCACCACAAACACCCACACAATCACCACAAATCTTGTCAAGTTACTAATCACTTTCTCCCCTGCCAAATATAAACAACAAACATACGATATTACTAATGATGTCTTACTAAAGACAAAAAAAAAAAACAATCGAAAGTTGTTTTGGAGGAATACACTTACTGTGTGAAAAGACAAGTGTGGAGAATGAGTACCAGAAAATCATTCCAACTTGCCTCATTGGTGGGCCCTGGAATGCTTTATTAATCCGATGCTCGAGTACCCAAATCACAAATCCAGTAAATACGAAAAAACCTCCGATCGTAAGCCAAAGCCCCATCGTTAAAGGCTTCATAAACACCCAAGCATTTGTCCTCTCGTTATCTTTAATCGGCACAACTGCCACCACACCAGATTCCGTGTATGGAAACGTGAAGTCGACGAATCTTGATCTGTTCGCCACTATTGTCACATCTCCCACCACCGCATCGTATTTCTGCCAATATTAAAAAAAATGAAATTAAATATAATGCATATACATACATAGATAGTACAATATAGCTTGTGAGAAATTTATTATTACCTCAAGAAATATCTGATGGACAAGTTCATTATAATCTCCAGCACTTTCTCCATCAGCTTCTTCGAACGGTACATAATCGAACGGTACAGCATAAGGCAATGAACCCATAACTTGTTCGAAAACATCAATACAAAAACCGGTGGCTATAACAGCATTCGTTTCTTTATCCCTTTCGACTTTAATAAACTCGCTAAATCCACCCTTTACAGGTACTCCAACCCTTAATTTCTTCCCACTTGTAGGCATCTCCCATCCTTTAGGCACATTGATCGTATTTCCAGGCCATATAATCGGACCAAGATCTTCCTTTTTCGTCGAGTAAGCATCCTTAATTACATCATTACCCTTCATTAGCTTCTTAGTGAAACCAGATTTCTCTGTCCAAAATCCAACTCTGTAGTCACCTTTACCAATCACATTCACTATCTCGAATGCCGACGGTAGTAACTGACCATCGGAAATATGAAAATCGCCACTCAACCCTTTAAATCTGTAGTTTCTGATCAACGGAGCAAGTAACGGCCCAACATTCGAAGTTTCAATAGCATCGAAATCGGTTAAATTCCCTCTTCTCGTCGGTTTCTTGAATTTCGGATAAGAAACACCAACTTGTTCAATCACATCCGCTAAAGCGGTTACACTGTCATAAGCCCACAAACCGAAAACATTAAGCTTCGTCTTTTCCATACCAGGATTCTCCTTATGAAACCTTTTACTCCATCTCGTAGTAAAATTATCGAGTTCCTCGGTTCTCGGAGTGTAGGCCTTCACCCCCACCGCCCCCTGCATTGCTTCAATAGTTTCCGAATCAACAGAATCCAACAAACTCGTTAACACATCAACAATTATCCAAGCGTACCCTTCACTCATCATACCAGCCATTTTCGCCATTTTAAAGAACCGAGACGCAAGAATAGGAAGCATATGAACCACAAACACCCTTGTCTGCATAGTCTTCAGCTTATACAGCTCTCGAAGAATCTGATCGTTTGTTGCGGAAGGAGATACCACACTTTGGTACGTGACTAAAACGTTGTTCTCCAACAGCCCCTCGGTTAAAAAGGGGACTAATCCACTTCCGTAATTCGTGTCCTCGTAGATAAAAACCACTTGTCTCCATCCGCAAGCTTTTACGATTGCTGCAATTGCTTTCGCCTGAGAAGAAGAACACCATGCAGATCGGATGAAGTAGGGCGATTCTTTAGTCGAAAGTGCAGGACTTGTTGCTTGTGATATTATCGGAACTCGCATTTTGTCACCGATTTCAATGACAAAGTCTGCTTGGATTGATTTCTGAGGACCGAGTATTGCCATTACTTGGTGATTTTTCAGCAGATCTATAGCTGCAAATTAATTAATGCGAGTTCTTATTAAACAAAAAAAAAAAGAGTCGAATTTAGGGAGGACGAAAAGATTAATTAATTATTACCGGAAGAAGCTGCACCAATGACATCACTTTTGGAATCTCGAAACTGAGGCACGATTACAGCGCGGTGGCTGCTGCGGTTATTATAGAAATCTTCGATAGCCATGGAAATGCAAGTCATGCTTATCTTCCCCACAGATGTTTCGAAATCGAGAATGATGCCTACATCAGCTTTTACAGCGGTGGCATTAATCAAACCGCTCGACGGAGCAACGAAAAAGCTCGTAAAGAGAAGCAACGACAACCAAACGAACACGATTGGATTCTGCATTGGACAAGTAAGTAAATAGACACATGCAAAGTTCAAAAACTAGGAGTAGTTGTTAATTATATACTTGTAAGTAACATACAATAAAGAAATGGTGCTGTCTGCAGAAAAATCGGAGGCAGACAACAAAAGTATCGAAATTCCATTTTTACGCGTAAAAGAAGGGAATAATATCAATAGGGTGGACTTTGTCAAAGGTAAGGAAGGTTTGTCCCAAGTCCTGTATATAAGTATGAAAATCAAATGTGCAGTAAATTTAACTTGTTGCATGGGATATTTATTAATTTGCTGATCACTTGACCACTGACCACTGACCACTTCTTCTTATACAAATGTGTGGTGTGCTACTTACCTTCTCTCTACTTCACTCTTATTATTCTTATTATATATATATATAGATAGATACATTATATATATTCAGTACTCCAGTCTTGAGTCTACGTTTTTGTATTCCAACTCGATTGACTGAAACCAAAAGTCATTGCATCACATTGTCTTGATTCCCTCTTAATTACTTTATTCATATATAACAAAGTTTCTCTTTTTAATGTTATTAATTTTTATACATAATATTTCAATAGTGTACAAATTGTGTTGCATATATAGTTGATTATTCTATTTTGATTGTTATAATTGCTACACAAAAAAACAAAAACAAAAAAAAAAGAATAAAATAAAAAATAAAATAAGAAGGGGTATTGATCTGATGCGGTAGGGTGCACGTATTACGCTAGGGCCTTGAGCCCATTGGATTGGGCTTTTAATTCCTCTTTAATTTAATTTAATTTAATTTAATTTTGGGCTTTCATATAACTAACTACATACCCAACTCCACTTCTGCAAATCGTTCAGCCATGACCACGCCCTTCGATCGTGGTGGTGGCGCTGACGGTGGTGGTGGTTCATTCGACGGAAACAGGCCACACTGGGGGAACGCGGAGCGCCGCGGCGGTGGTTTGGAGGGCGGAGGGACGGCGCCGCCTCCGTTGTGCAGTGCCTGAAGGTTTTGAAGTTTCCGGCGGCGGCGGTAAGTTTCTGGTCTTGCTTGTTCTTTTTTCTAATTGTTTAAAATATAATTTGGAGAAGAAAGCCTTGTTAGCACGTTCGAAAATGTTCGCAGTTATATCTAAATCTTCTATTAAAAATGGTTGATTGAATGAGTGATGGAAGTTGTATTTATATTTATATGTCCACCAAAGAATAAGATATGTATCATCAGAATTCAGATTGGAACTGTAACAATTCATGAAACTTTCTCACATCTAATAATGCAGGTGTTACTTGTGCCTTATATATATACATATGGATTGCCTATCCAGAAATGTGGATCATATTTCCAAAGCTGAAAAATGCATTTCTTCACAATTTTCTCTCTCAAAATATTACTTAGTCTATTAATCCTTCCATTGTGCAATGCACAACGAAACACTACTTTTCAAGTTGGTGTCATTCTTGATGCCAATTCACTACTCGCCCCCATAGCCACGACCAGCTTGTCTTTAGCTCTTTCCGATTTTTATTCATTTAACTCGAACTATTCAACGAGACTTGTGCTTTATACAAGGGATGGAAGAGGACGAGTCACCGATGCTGCAGCTAGTGGTATTTTATCATCCTTCTCGTTTTCCTCTGTGTCATCTAACTACTGGCATTAAGCTAATCCAAGCAATATTTGTATGCCTCTTTGTTGATCAAATCACTATTGCTACAAAATATTTATAAAGGTTGTTATTATAGCAATCAAATTCATATAATTTAACTGTTTCAATCACCTCGTATGAATGCAGCTCTCAATTTGTTGAAGGATGTCCAAGTTGACGCCATAATTGGTCCTCAAAAATCTTCGCAAGCAGAGTTTATGATTGGTCTTGGAGATGCGGCAAAAGTGCCGATCATTTCTTTCTCTGCAACAAGTCCTTCTCTCCGTCCTCAAACTCAGTATTTTGTTCAAACAGCCATAAACGATGCTGCTCAAGTTGATGCTGTTGCCGCCATAGTGAAGTACTTCCGATGGTATCAAATTGCTTACATATATGAAGATACGGATTATGGTAATGGCATTATACCTTATCTTTCTAATGCATTTCAAGAAATAAACGTTCGAGTTTCGTACAGAAGCGTTATCCCAGTCTCAGCGAGTGACGATCTCATCCTTCAAGAGATGTACAAGATGAAAACTATGCAAACAAGGGTGTTTGTGGTACATGCTCCGAGCTCTCTTGCTTCTAGAATCTTCCTCAAAGCAAAGGAAGCTGAAATGATGAGTGAAGGCTACGCGTGGATCGTGACCACCGGGATGATGGATTTATTCTATTCATTGGATTCAAATGTCGTACAGTCCATGCAAGGAGTTCTTGGTGTGAAACCTCTCATTCCAATATCGAGTAGACTCATATCTACCTCTATAAGGTGGAGGAAGAAGTTTGCAGATGATAATCCAGGAATTACTCCACCAGCAAATATCAACCTTTTTGGGCTTTGGGCATATGATACTTTGTGGGCATTGGCTATGGCTGCTGAGAAAACAGGATTCAGGGAGCAGCCAAGTTCTTTACGGAACACAAGTTCTCTTAACTCTACAAACATGTTTATTACTGAAACATCATTAACAGGTCCGAAACTTCTTGCAGCAATGTTGGAAACTAAATTCGAAGGTCTGGCTGGGGATTTCCATTTGGTTAACGGACAACTACAACCATCATCTTTTCAAATATTGAATGTAAATGGAAAGGACCTGACACAAGTTGGAATGTGGACATCATTGTTGCAAACTTCATCAAGTCGAACGAACACGAGCAAGACGGGTTTTTCAGGTGAAAAATTGGAGAAAATCATATGGCCCGGAGAATCCACGAATGTACCAAAGGGATGGGAGGTTGCAGTAAGTGGTAAGAAGCTTAAAGTTGGTGTTCCATCAGAAGCTGGTTTTCCGGAATTCGTAAAAGTAGAAAGGGATCCTCAAACAAACAACACCAAAATCAGTGGATTGTTCATAGATTTGTTCGATGCCGTCATGGCAGAACTACCTTACTCAGTCCGATATGAATACGCCCCGTTTCAAAGATCTGATGGCTCAAGTGCTGGGAGCTACGACGATTTATCATACCAAGTCTCTATTGGGGTAAATACTAATAACTTGAATTTATATTTGTAATAGATTAACTTTATTGATGTTTTCTTTGTCCGTGCGAGTTTTTAGAACTACGATGTTGCTGTTGGAGACATAACGATTACTACCACGAGATCAGAATATGTAGTATTCACTCTTCCGGTAGGAGATGCTGGGATTACGAGGACACAGAAAATTCAATACGATGACAATCCAAACGATAAATGGTTTTTCTTAAAGCCCCTCAAAATGGAACTATGGTTAACTGTCTTAGGCCTCTTCGTTTTCACCGGAGTTTCTCTCTGGATTCTTGAGCATAGGTTTAACAAAGCTTTCAGAGGTTCGCCTTCGGACTATCTCGGCTTATTCTTCTACATTCCCTTCATGTCAATAGTATTCGCTCACAGTGAGTTATCTTTTTTCTTCCATCCTTGATAATATCTATGTGTTATCTGTTTTTCCTTGTTTGTACCTATCATTTACATAAATGTGTTTTGTAGGGGAGAAAATAGTGACAAATTTAGCTCGAGTAGTAGTAGTGGTTTGGATATTCGTCATGCTTGTATTGACCTCAACGTACACAGCAAGTCTTTCTGCAAGGTTAACGACGTTTAAGCTTCAACAAGGCGATACAGATGTAAATAGGCTTATTAGAAATGGAGATTATGTGGGGTGCAGAGAAGGCACTTATCTTGCGGAGTTCTTGAAAAGGCTCGGATTCCACGAATCGAAAATCAGGATATATAAACATCCAGAAGAATTTGATGATGCATTGTCAAAAGGAAGTGAAAAAGGCGGTGTAACTGCACTATTTTCAGGGTCTCCTTACGCAGATGTCTTCTTATCCAAGTACTGTAGCAAGTACATGAAAGTGGGATCGCCTTATCTTACGGAGGGCATTGCCTTTGGTTTCCCAAAGGGGTCGCCATTAGTTGGGGATGTGTCGACTGCAATCACTAAACTGACGGATAATCATAAGATATCGGAAATAAGGGCACATTGGATACAACAGTCTGGATGTAATAAAGATGATCCGTCTAACGTGGGGTGGACAAATATAGGTCTGAAAAGTTTCAAAGTCCTGTTTGCAGTAACAGGGTCTGTCACATCAATATGCGTTCTGGCATTCATAGTGTCGTTTCTGTACCAGCACAGAGGCCGCGTAATAGAAATCTGGAACACAGACAACAACTCAGCTTGGCTCAAAGTCCGTGCAATTTTCAAGCTTTTTGATGGAAGAGACCCTCGGTATTTTCCGCAAGATCAAGAAATGGCCCAGTTCCCGTTGTTAGAAAATTTTTGAGAGTTGAGACAAGAGTTTCACCCTTTGTTTTTAACAAGCCTTGGGCAAATTCGAAAATTCGAAAATTGTGTTATACTTTATTTATTTATTTATTAATATAAGAAGTTATATGTATATTTGATGTGATAAAAAGTTTGAACTGCAGGTCACAGTAAATGTTGGCTTAATCTTATATATACCTTTCATGTCGATAGTATTCGCTCACAGTGAGTCATCTTAATCTTTCCCCTTCATGCTATAATAATAACTAAACTTATATAAAAATGTCTTGTTTAATTAATTTATACTTGTATCATTTACATTAAATGTGTTTTGTAGGGGAGAAAATAGTGTCGAATTTAGCTCGGGTGGTTGTAGTGGTGTGGATATTCGTGGTTTTAGTATTGACCTCAACTTACACAGCGAGTCTTTCGGCAAGATTAACGATATTAAAGCTCCAACAAGGCGATACAGATGTCAATACCCTCATCAGAAATGGAGACTATGTGGGGTGCCGTGAAGGCACTTTCCTTGCTGGATTCTTGAAAATTGTTGGATTCGATGAATCCAAGATCAGGATTTACAAAGGTGCAAAGGAACTTGAAGTTTCATTGTCTAAAGGAAGCGACAAAGGCGGCATAACTGCAATGTTTTCTGGCTCTCCATACGCGGATGTCTTCTTATCCAAGTACTGTAATAAGTACAGGAAAGTAGGGTCGCCTTATCTCACAGAGGGCATTGCCTTTGGTTTTTGAAAGGGGTCACCGTTAGTTGGTGATGTGTCGAGTGCGATAACTATACTTACAGACAGTCATAAAATAGCGGAAATAAGGGCACATTGGATAAGATCTGGATGTAATGAAGATGATCCGTCAAAGGTTGGGTCGAATACAAATATAGGCTTGAGAAGTTTCAATATCCTGTTTGCAGTAACAGCCAACAGGGTTGGTCACGTGGACTTGCGTTGTGCTATTTCTAGTGTCCTTTTTCTACAATAACTGGGATCAAGTAAAGCGGATCTACAACGAACCGGGCACCATTTGGTCCAAAGTCAAAAAAAATTGCGAGCTTTTTGATACAGAAGACACCACATATATCCGTCCGGATGCTGTCGACGAAGATTGATTTAAATTTTTTAAGTAGAAATGATGAACTTGTTATCATCCCATTTTAAAATCGAGCAAGAAATGTTATTAATGTAGGAGTTAATTTATATTTCCATGTGGTTGCGATTATTATAGAAATCTTCGATTGCCATAGAAATGCAAGTCATGCTTATCTTTCCCACAGTTGTTTCGAAATCAAGAATGATTCCTACATCAGCTTTTACAGCGGTGGCATTAAGTCGACCGTTCAACGGAGCAACGAAAAAGCTCGTAAAGATAACGAAAAGAACCCAAGATTGGATTCTGCATTGGACATTATTTAGTCCAACACCATGCAAAGTTCAAAAACTAGGAGTAGAGTTATATGTTCATAACAAAGAAATGCTGTCTGCAGAAAAAAATGGAGGGAGATTAAAAAAATCAAAGATTCCATTTTGACGCGTAAAAGAAGGCAATAATTTCAAAAGGGTGGACTTTGTCAAATAGAGGTTCGTCCTAATTAACTCCTAAGTATGAATCAAATGTCAAATGTGTAATTAATTTAACATGTTGCATGGGATATTAATTTGCTAATCACTGACCACTTCTTAAACAAATGTGTGGTGTACTAAATTCTCTGTACTTGATATATTCTTATTATTCTTTATTATATATATATATATATATATATACACACACACACATTATATCCAGTCCAGTCTACGTTTTATTTTCTTACAACTTGATTGACTGAAGCCAAAGGCCATTGCTCTTAGGACAAGTACAGCTCAATCACATTATCTTATTCCTATAAACCTTATTCATATCTACTGACAATATTTTTTAAATTTTTTTTAAATTGCAGTACAGAAAATAGACTTAATATTAAATTTGTTTTGTAAAGTCGTGTTTTGGGATAATAAAAACTGATATTTATTTGTGTTGTGGGTAGGGTCCGCAGTTGAGCCGGGCATAACCGAAGTCCATTATATTCGAGTGGAGCTTAATTTTTAAAATAATTATGATTTAATTCTCAATTGGGCTTAATTTAACTAATAAATTCCGAGAAAAAAAAAAAGGAAAAAAAGAATTATTGAATGCGAGCAAGTAATTGACTATAAAAGCCATTTGTAGGTAACAGATTGAAGATAATATATACAGATTACAGATTAGAGTTTACCTCCTTTGTCAATTATTTTCTTATTATATGCCTGTTAGACTCAGTCCCACGTCTCTAAATAAATAAATAATCAATATTTTATCATATATTCGGTGGAGGATAAACCTTATTTTCTCCACGTACAAAAACAAAACATAAAAATTCATTGGAATTTGGAAGAGCCGTTTAAGATTGCTCATTTGTTTGAAACTTTCAACGCAAATGACATTTATTTTAAGGAAACCAAATATTATTATTTTATATATAGGTACATTGCAATACCTCTCCTCTAAGTTAGATCATATTATATGTATATGGTATTTAATTCATGGACTAAATTTTCATTAAAATAATTGGGAATTAAGGACATCACAAGTAATGGTGCATATATATATGTTCGAGCTGCTTCTACAATATTCTATTATCAACACTAGCTAGTTGATGGTATATTATTTTAAGCCAACAACTTAAATTCGTATATTTTTTCAAACCCAAGAAATTGCACATGTAATTCATTCCTAATTTACCATTAATCACAACTAGATATGTTATAATCAGAGTGGATCGGACGACTTTTCACAATTCAAGATTTGCTGATGGAAACTTCTCTCCCTCCCTCTCTCTAGCTATATATATATATATATAATGCCTGGATTATATGATGAGCAGACAAACTGGATTAATTTGCCAAAAATGGAACTAAATATCTTCACAAATTTCTCTCTCAAAATATTACTTAGTCTACTATTCCTTCCATTTTGCATTGCACAACGAAATACCACCTTTCAAGTCGGTGTCGTTCTTGATGCCGATTCGCTAGTCGCTCGAATAGGCATGACTAGTTTGTCGTTAGCTCTCTCCGACTTTTATTCTTTCAATTCAAATTTTTCGACACGTCTCGTGCTTCATACACGGGATTCTAAAGGACGAGTCACCGATGCTGCAGCTAGTGGTATGTAATTCAATATATACATACCATTTTGCTGCAATTTTTTCTAATACTGTATCAATTTAATAACATAAATTGTTTTCCTATATATATATTTGCAGCTCTAAATTTGTTAAAGGAAGTACAAGTCGATGCGATTATCGGTCCACAAAGATCCTCACAAGCAGAGTTTGTGATTGGTCTCGGAGACACTGCAAAAGTGCCGATCATTTCTTTCTCGGCAACAAGTCCTTCTCTCCGTCCACAAACTCCGTATTTCGTTCAAACAGCGCTAAACGATGCTGCTCAAGTTGATGCTGTGGCCGCCATAGTTAAGTACTTTCGATGGAATCAAATCGTTCTCGTATACGAAGATTCAGAGTTCGGTAACGGCATTACTCCTTACCTATCAAATGCATTTCAACAAATAAACGCTCGGATTTCGTACAGAAGCATTATACCTACCTCTGCAAGTGATGATTTCATCCTTCAAGAGATGTACAAGATGAAAACCATGCAGACAAGGGTGTTTGTGCTGCACCTTTCGAGCCCTCTTGCTTCTAGAATCTTCCTCAAAGCAAAGGAGGCTGAAATGATGAGTGAAGGCTACGTTTGGATCGTAACCAGCGGGCTCATGGATTTGTTCTATTCGTTGAACTCGAGTGTTGTAGAGTCCATGCAAGGAGTTCTCGGTGTGAAGCCGCTCGTTCCGAGATCGAGTAAACTAATCTCCACCACAGTAAGATGGAAGAAGAAGTTTGCAGACGATAATCCGGAAACTACTCCACAAACAGAGATGAATCTTTACGGTCTTTGGGCGTACGATACATTGTGGGCGTTGGCTATGGCTGCCGAGAAAACCGTATTCAAGGAGCCGACTTCTTTGCCAAACACAACTTCTCTCAACTCTACAGACATGTTCGTTACAGGAACATCACAAACAGGTCCGAAACTTCTTGCAGCAATGCTGGAAACTAAATTCGAAGGTCTCGCTGGGAATTTCAATTTGGTCAACGGTCAACTAGACCAGTCGTCTTTCCAAATATTGAACGTAAACGGAACGGGGCTGCGAGAAGTTGGAACATGGACTCCGTTATTGCAAAGTTTAAGTCAAAGGAATGCCAGCATGACCGGTTTTTCAGGTGAACATTTGGACAGTATCATATGGCCCGGAGAATCGAGGAACGTACCGAAAGGATGGGAAGTTCCGGTAAGTGGTAAAAAGCTTAGAGTTGGAGTTCCACTAGAATCTGGCTTTCCGGAATTTGTAAAAGTCGAAAAGGACCCTCAAACAAACAGTACCAAAATAAGTGGATTGTACATTGATTTATTCGACTCGATCATAGCAGCACTACCTTACGCAGTACGGTACGAGTACGTTCCGTTTGAAAAATCCGACGGCTCGAGCGCTGGAAGCTACGACGATCTGTCGTACCAAGTTTCTATCGGGGTAAGTAATTCACATTCAATTTTTATTTCTAATAAATTCACTTCATTGATGTTTTTTTTTTAAATATTTTTCAGAATTACGACGTTGCTGTTGGAGACATAACCATAACCGCCACGAGATCGCAATACGTCGTGTTCACACTTCCAGTAGAAGAAGGTGGCGTTACACGAACACAAAAAATTCAATACGACGACAACCCGAACGACAAATGGTTTTTCTTGAAGCCCCTCAAAATGGAACTATGGTTAACTATCTTAGCCCTCTTCGTTTTCACCGGAGTATCTCTATGGATTCTCGAGCATAAGTTCAACAAAGCCTTCCGAGGCCGGCCTTCCGGATATCTCGGTTTAATCTTCTACATACCATTCATGTCATTAGTCTTCGCCCACAGTAAGTAATATCAAATATCTCCTTTTCCATTCGGACACACACGAATTCGTCGATTGTTGTTTACTTACGTAAACGCGTTTTAATTTGCAGGGGAGAAAATAGTGACGAATCTAGCTCGAGTGGTTGTGGTAGTGTGGATATTCGTCGTGTTAGTACTAACCTCAACGTACACAGCGAGTCTTTCGGCAAGATTAACGACGTTTAAGCTACAACAAGGCGATACAGATGTGAATACGCTTATTAGAAACGGAGATTACGTGGGATGCAGAGAAGGCACTTTCCTTGCCGAATTCTTACGAAGGCTCGGATTCCACGAATCGAAAATCAGGATATATAAACATCCGGAAGAATTCGATGATGCATTGTCCAAAGGAAGTGAAAACGGAGGCGTAACGGCTATATTTTCGAGCACTCCTTACGCGGATCTCTTCTTATCAAAGTACTGCAGCAAGTACATGAAATTCGGGTCACCTTATCTTACAGCTGGCTTCGCCTTCGTAAGTATATATATCATGTCATTTTTTTGTGTTTCTTTTCATGAAATTCTGTTATATAACTGAATGAATAAACAATTGGCAGGGGTTTCCGAAGGGGTCACCGTTAGTTGGTGACGTGTCGAGTGCGATAACTAAACTGACAGACAGCCATAAAATAGCGGAAATAAAGGCGCATTGGATAAGGAAGTCTGGTTGTAATGAAGACGATGATCCTTCTAAAGTTGGGTGGACGAATATTGGGTTGAAAAGTTTTAAAGTATTGTTTGTCGTAACAGGATCTGTGACAGGGGCGGCTGTTTTGTTATTCTTGGCTTCGTTTCTGTACCAGCATAGAGTTCGTGTAAGAGAGATATACGATTCAGACAATACGTTTTGGTTAAAAATGCGTGCTTTTGGCAATCTTTTTGATGAAAAAGATCCCGATTTTTTTCCAGAAAGTGCGATTGAGATGGGGTTGTTGCCGGGGCATAGTAACAGGCAGGTGATGCTTGATAATATGCAGGTGGTGCATAATAACAAGCGCGTGATGGTACGAGCATTTTCGATAAATTAGAAGTTGAAGTGAAGAGACAATAACAAAGCTGCATAGACAAAATTCATGTACAAATGTGTCGCGTTTAGCTTTCTTACAACCTGTTGTTTCGTGCGGAAAGATTAACTGAAATCAAAGGTCTTTCGTTTAGGACAAGTGCAGCACACTGCTTTGATTTATGTATATCTTTCTTCATATGTAAATAAATAAATAAATAAAAACATATTTTTATTGGTTTTTTCGGATACTGAAATTAATAGTAATATCATAACAAGACAACGTCTTTCGCCAAAGTTTGTAAACAAATTTAACACACACATATCAAATGCAGAAAGTCTGGTAAGAAAAAAAAAGAAAAGATAACTACTCCGGTCTGATGTTTTGTTGATTAAAAAGCATGCAAATTGCTTCGACTTTGGACCAAATATCGGGGTGCGTTTCGTTGTAGATCCTCTTCACTTCATCTCTGTTTTTGCATAGAAACGACACTAAAAACAGCAGAACGCATGCCCCGGTGACAGCCCCCGTTACTCCGAACAAGATTTTAAAACTCTTCAACCCGATATCCGTCCAACCGAACTGAGACGGATCGTTTTCAGTACATCCAGATTGTCTTATCCAACGTTTCTTTATTTCCGATATCCTCTGATTATCCGTCAGTTCAGTAATAGCACTAGACACATCGCCAACCAACGGCGACCCTTTCGGGAAACCAAAGGCAATCCCTTCCGTAAGATAAGGTGACCCCACTTTCATGTACTTAACACAGTACTTGGACAAGAAAAGATCCGCGTAAGGCGTCCGAGAAAACATTGCCCTTATACCACCCTTTTCGCTTCCTTTAGACAACGCACTCTCGAATTCTTCCGGAAGTTTGTAAGTCCTGATCCTCGATTCGTGGAACCCTAGCCTTTTCAAAAACTCCACAAGGAAAGTGCCCTCACGGCACCCCACGTAATCTCCGTTTCTGATGAGTATGTTTATATCTGCATCGCCTTGTTGGAGCTTGAATACTGTTAATCTCGCCGCTAGACTTGCTGTATAAGTCGAGTGCAACACCAGCACCACTAGCATCCACACTACTACCACCACTCGAGCTAAATTCGTCGCGATATCCTCACCTGCCAATTAATTAAAACACCACATTATTCACTATCAATTACATATGCAACTAACCATGATTTATATTATTAATTACTGAAACTAACAACAGTTGATATAAAAAAACAATTACTATAAGTTACTCACTGTGGGAGAATACTATTGACATGAAAGCGATTTTAAACTTGCGCTCGAGAATCGAGATAGCCAATGTTGTGAAAATGACGAGGGCTAAGATAGTTAACCATAGTTTCCAATTGAGGGGCTTCAAGAAAAACCATTTATCGTTTGGGTCGCTATCATATTGAATTTTCTGTATCCTTGTCACCCCACCGTCTTCTATCGGAAGTGTGAACACGACGTATCGTGATCTCGTTGCTGTGATCGTTATGTCTCCAACAGAAGCATCGTAGTTCTGAAAACTCAACACATTAATTAAGTGTCTATTTATTACAAAACTATACATACATAAATACACATATATATGTACTTACCCCAGTAGAAACTTGGTATGATAAATCATCGTAGCTCCCAGCAAACGGGACGTATTCGTATCGAACTGCATAAGGTAGCTCTGCCATGATTGCATCGAACAAATCTATGTACAAACCACTTATTTTTGTGCTATTTGTTTTTGGATCCCTTTCCACTTTGACAAACTCCGGAAAACCGGCAGCAGACGGAACTCCAACTCTAAGCTTTTTACCACTTAACGGAACCTCCCAACCCTTCGGTACATTCCTCGACTCTCCAGGCCATATAATATTCTCCAATTTCTCACCTGTAAAACCCGTTGCATTCCCGTACACTTGACTTGAACTTTGAACAAACGGTGTCCATATTCCAACTTGTCTCAGCCCCTTTCCATTTACATTCAAGATCTCGAAAGACGACGGCTTTAGTTGACCGTTATCCAGTTGGAAGTTTCCGGCGAGCCCTTCGAATTTAGTATCCAACATTGCAGCAAGAAGCTTCGGACCTGTTTGTGAAATTCCAGTACTAAACACGTCTGTCGAGTTTGGCGAAGAACTCGGCTCCTTAAATCCCGTTTTCTCAGCAGCCATAGCCAACGCCCACAATGTATCGTATGCCCAAACCCCGTAAAGGTTTATCTCTTCTTGTGGAGTGATTCCTGGATTATCATCTGCAAACTTCTTCCTCCACCTTACGGTGGTGGAATTGAGTTTACTCGATCGTGGAACGAGCGGTTTCACACCAACAACTCCTTGCATGGACTCTACAACACTTGAGTTCAACGAATAAAATAAATCCATGATTCCGCTTGTCACTATCCACGCATAGCCGTCGCTCGTCATTTCTGCTTCCTTTGCTTTGAGGAAGATTCTAGAAGCAAGGACGCTCGACGTATGAACAACAAACACCCTCGTCTGCATAGTTTTCATCTTGTACATCTCTTGAAGGATGAAATCGTCACTTGCCGAGACAGGGATAATGCTTCGGTACGAAACACGAGCGTTTACTTGTTGAAATGCATTAGCCAAATAAGGAGTAATGCCATTACCAAACTCCGAATCTTCGTACACGAGAACAATTTGATACCAACGAAAGTACTTAACTACGGCAGCAACAGCATCAACTTGAGCAGCATCGTTTAGGGCGGTTTGAAGGAAATACGGAGTTTGAGGATGCAGAGAAGCACTCGTTGCGGAGAAAGAAATAATCGGCACGTTCGCTGCGTCTCCGAGGCCAATCACGAAGGTTGCTTGTGATGATCTTTGAGGACCGATTATCGCATCAACTTGCACATCCTTCAACAAACTTAGAGCTGCAGCATGCATCCACAACAACAACAAATATTAAATTTGATCAATTATGAATAATTCCTAAAACGACTACGTACGTAAAAACGGAAAGATGCAGTTACCGGTCGATGCAGCGTCGGTGACTCGCCCTTTTGAATCCCTTGTGTGAAGCACAAGCCTTGTCGAGTAGTTTAAATTGGACGAATAAAAATCGGAGAGGCACAATGTGAGGCTCGTCATGCCTATGCGAGCGACGAGCGAATCGGCATCGAGAATTACGCCGACTTGAAATGTCGTATTTCGTTGTGCATTACACGATGGGAGGATTAGTAGACTTGTCAGTAGTGAGAGAGAGATGAAGAAATAATAATGCATTTTCGTCATGTTACAGAGTTTTGATCTACTTCCTTAAGTGTTAGGCAATCATGTATATATACTGAATTTAACTGATGATCGATGGAGGAAGTTTCTGTTAAAAGTCGTCCACTAAGGATGTATGTTTTGTATAAATACAATATTTAAAATGGCTCTTCAATTATAAATGAGCCAACATATTGTATATACATAAAAAGGCTAATTATTCTCCAACATATATACATTATTTGTGTAAACTCTAAACATGTAACTAATTAGTACAATTTTGTCTTAGGGGAATTAGATTTGGTCACAGGGATTTTCCGATGCAATATGTCTCCAACGTGGAAGTTGCGTTGAAATTGTTAATTAAGGTTGATTAAAAAAAATTATTTATTAAAATAAAAACTCAATTACACCGAGTAGGGGCTAGCTAGTTCAAATTTAGACTTATTCTATTGTGTAACCCCCAATTAATCCATGTTACCAAAATAATATATATCATAATCTCCAATATTATATTTTCATTTTGGTAATGGTGATCAACTACGTACGCGGTACAAATTAGTCAAATAATATTTATTTATTTATTATTATTATTAGGGAAGAATAAAATGCTATGAGCTTCTTACTGATTGGATATCCATTTAAGATTGATCGTTGAAATTATTTAGTGCCCAAACACATTTTCTAGAAATCATGGGAACTCTAGAATAATATAATGCATGGTCGTACAATATTTCTTACTGAAAACTACATTTATTTATTATTTAATAAACAATTCAAGATTTTGCTGTTGAAATTTTCCCACATCAAGTATATATATATTTATGCTTAATTGGTACATAGTTGGACCAAATTGGCAAAACTGAAAATGCGTTTGTTCACAGTTTTCTCTTTGATCTCACTAATTAGCTTATTATTCATTTCATCAAGCAATGCACAGACAAATAATACCACCTTTCAAGTTGGTGTCATTCTTGATGCCGATTCGCTAATCGGACGAATAGGCAATACCAGCTTGTCGTTTGCTCTCTCCGATTTTTATTCAATAAACTCAAACTATTCCACAAGAATCGTGCTTCATACACGGGATTCTAAAGGACGAGTCACCGATGCTGCAGCTAGTGGTATGTTGTATATGTAATTAATACTTTAATTGCCTTTTTGCTGCAACTGTTTTTTTTTTTTTTTTTTTTTTTTTTTTTTTTTTTTTTATCTTGATGTAATATAATGCATCAAGTCGATCGGTCATCAACTCGAATGATCGATTGTATTATTGATTTGCATGCAGCTCTAAATTTGTTGAAGGAAGTACAAGTTGATGCAATAATCGGTCCTCAAAGATCTACTCAAGCAGAGTTTGTGATCGGTCTTGGAGACACAGCAAAAGTCCCGATTATTTCTTTCTCGGCAACGAGTCCTTCTCTCCGACCACAAACTCCTTATTTTCTTCAAACGGCTCTTAGTGATGCTGATCAAGTTGATGCTGTGGCCGCAATCGTTAAGTACTTTCGATGGAATCAAGTTGTTCTCGTGTTCGAAGATTCTGATTATGGTTATGGCATTTCTCCTTATTTAGCTAATGCATTTCGACAAGTGAACACCCGAGTTTCGTACAGAAGCGTTATTCCTATCTCGGCAAGTGACGATTTCATCCTTCAAGAGCTGTACAAGATGAAAACTATGCAGACACGGGTGTTTGTGGTTCACCTTTCGAGCGGTCTTGCTTCTAGAATCTTCCTCAAAGCAAAGGAAGCAGAAATGATGAGTGAAGGCTATGTGTGGATCGTGACAAGTGGGCTTATGGATTTGTTCTATTCGTTGGATTCAAAAGTTGTAGAGTCCATGCAAGGAGTTCTTGGTGTGAAACCACTCGTTCCGCGATCGAGCAAACTCGATTCCACCACTATAAGGTGGAGGCAGAAGTTTGCAGATGACAATCCTGGAATTACTCCACAAACAGAAATGAGTCTCTATGGGCTTTGGGCATATGATACTTTGTGGGCGTTGGCTATGGCTGCCGAGAGAACCAGATTCAAGGAGCCGAGTTCGTTGCCAAACGCAACTTCTCTTAACTCTACGGATATGTTCATTACCGAAATATCACAAACAGGTCCTCAACTTCTTGCAGCAATGTTGGAAACCGAATTCCAAGGACTTGCTGGGAATTTCAAATTAGTCAACGGGCAACTAGAGTCGTCGTCTTTCCAAATATTGAACGTTAACGAAAAAGGGCTGAGAGAAGTTGGAGTATGGACTCCATTATTGCAAAGTTCAAGTCAAACGAATGCGAACATGACGGGTTTTGTAGGTGAGAAATTGGAGAATGTTATATGGCCAGGGGAATCGACGAATGTACCAAAGGGGTGGGAGGTTCCGGTAAGTGGTAAGAAGCTTAAAGTTGGTGTTCCGGTAGAAATTGGTTTTTCGGAATACGTAAAGGTAGAAAGGGATCCGCGAACAAATGGTACCAAAATTAGTGGATACTACATAGACTTATTCGATTCTGTCATGGATGCACTACCTTATTCCATCCGATACGAGTACGTCCCGTTTCAAAGATCCGATGGGAGCTACGATGACTTGGCCTACCAAGTTTTTAATGGGGTAAATATTGAAATAAATAATACAAAGATCGAATTTCTTTTTTTTTTTTTTGTTTTGTATTGTTTTATTTGTATACATCTCTGCTTTTGAGTTTATAGAACTATGATGCTGCTGTTGGAGACATAACAATCACAGGGACGAGATCAGAATACGTAGACTTCACTCTACAAATCGAAGAAGGGGGAGTTTCGAGGACACAGAAAATCGAGTACGAAAATCCAAACGATGAATGGTTTTTCTTGAAACCACTCACATTAGAACTATGGTTAACTGCCTTAGCCATGTTCATTTTAACCGGAGCAGCGCTATGGCTTCTCGAACATAGGCATAACGAAGATTTCAGAGGTCCTTTTCCAAATAATTTCGGCTTGATCTTTTACGTTCCCTTCATGTCGTTAGTATTCGCCTACAGTGAGTAATCTCATCTCTCTTCCTCTCTATATTCAAACACCATTTCCTTAATTAATCTTGTTTTTTTTTTTTTTTTTTTTTCGCAAGGGGAGAAAATAGTGACGAATTTTGCTCGACTGGTTGTAGTGGTGTGGATATTCGTGGTTTTAGTATTGAACTCAACTTACACGGCAAGTCTTTCAGCAAGATTAACAGCAATCAAGCTTCTAAAAGTCGACACGGGCGTAAAAACGCTAATAAGAAACGGGGACTACGTGGGGTGCAGAGAAGGCACCTACATTATCGAGTTCTTGAAAAGGCTTGGATTCGACGAATCCAAGATCAGGACATACAAACTTCCGGAAGACTTCGATACTGCCTTATCCAAAGGAAGTAAAAACGGAGGCATAACTGCGTTCTTTTCTCGCACTCCTTACATGGAACTCTTCCTAACCAAGTACTGCAACAAGTACATGAAAGTCGGCTCCCCGTATTATACCGAGGGCTTTGCGTTTGCATTTCCCAAGGGTTCACCGTTAGTTGCTGACGTGTCGCGTGCAATCATCAAGCAGACGGATAATCACAAGATTTCGGAAATAAAGGACCGTTGGATCAAACAATCCGCATGTAATGAAGACGACATATCTAACGGCTCTTCGACAAATATCGGATTGAAAAGTTTCAAAATCCTGTTTGGAATAACAGGTGGGATTACAGGTATTTGCCTTGTGCTGTACATGGTGTCCTTTTTCAGTAGTAACAAAGTTGTAGTGAAGAGTATCTACAATAACTCTAGAACCACAACTTGGTCCAAAATTCGCAAAATTTGCAAGATTTTCGATGAAAAGGACCCGAAATCTTTTCCGAATAGAGATGCACGTCGAACATATTCAATCTAGCCGGTCGATCTTATTCACTCATATTTGATTTATGTTCATTGGAAATTTTAGTTACTTTTAATTATCACATCTATATTGTTATTTAAATAAATCTTCATTTTTATGTAACTTACAAATAAAACAACATCATCTTGCAGCTGTTGTGTCTATTTACATATCCCCTGAATTTGAATCTTTCAAACACATCACTACAAAGTGATGGTCTATTTTTTCTTGTAAATTATGAACAGTCAAGCTTTAGTTCTTTCTCCAATCCGAATTCCAGCAAGAACGTTAATACCACTCCATTCGACCAGCCAAATCCCGTCTGCCAAAGAAACGAAATAAATTCAAAAGTCGAAAGAAATCATGGTCCTTCAATTCCATTTAATCGAGCTCGAGCTATAAGCTCCGGGACATAATTATCATCTCTGACAGGTTCGATTCCCTCAGCCAATAATCGAGCGACTGCCCTGTTTCTGCATTCCAGAAAAATAGTATTTATGGCCTTTTTCTGGCCTTATAAGAAGCTTCAAGAAACTTCTCAGCTGTTTTACAATCTCCGATTGCATTTGCCAAAGAGTTTAAGATTAATCGTTGAAATTATTTAGTGTCTAAAGTCTAAACACACATTTTCTGGAAAAAATCATGGGAACTCTAGAATAATATATATAATGGTCGTACTAGATTTTTTTACAGAAATACGGTTCGGTTAAAAGTGTGTGCGTTTGGCAATCTTTTCGACGAAAAATAAGGTCCAGATCGATTTTTTTCCCGGATAGTGCGGTTGAGATGGGGTTGTTGCCGGGGCATAGTACGTAGCAGGCGGGTGATGCTTGATAATATAAATGCAGGTGGTGCATAATAACAGGCGCGTGATGGTGCAGGCATTTTCCATTAATTAGAAGACTTCCCTAACGCTTTAGTCTATGCAACGTCGAAGCACGTCGTAGTGTGGTGGTGGCATAGCATCATCAATATCAATATATATACATCAGTAGCAGCCAAATGTTTGTTTTTTTAATCTCCAAATAATAACCAAGTATATAATATTTAATAAATAGGGAAGAATAATGCATGGGAAGAGCCGTTTAAGATTGCTCATTACATATTAATGACCTGCTTAATCTCTAAATTAACCCCGACGACTTAAAATTCTCTCACCTCTGAAAATTCATCCCAACTAAAAAATTCAATCTGGACTCAAGAAATAAAATTTAGGTTGTCTTAACAAGACAAAAACTAATTACATCAAACAATATCCCTAGTTCATGTACAAATTTCAAACTCATACAAAGTGCATACTCGTAATTTATACCCAACTCCATGGGTATAATTTACCTTTATTAATTAATCTTATAGAATGGTTGTCAAAATGATGGAATTAAGAACATATAAGACACGTTGTAATCATATATAGTGGACTAATTTTAACAATTGATCAAGATTCTTCTCATGAAACTTTCTTACATGCATGTGGCTTTTATGTATATATATATGTATGTATATACATATACTTTGGATTATCTAAGCAGAGCAGAAAAGTGGATCACATATATTGCCAAAGATGGGAATGCAATATTATTTCTTCACAGTTTTCTCTCAGCTCTCACTACTTAGTATATTATTATTCGTCCCATTTTGCAGTGCACAGCAAAATACAACCTTTCAAGTTGGTGTCATTCTCGATGCCGATTCATTGGTCGCCCGTACGGGTATGACCAGCTTGTCGTTAGCCCTCTCAGATTTTTATTCAACTAATTCTAATTATTCGACAAGACTCGTGCTTCACACAAGGGATGGAAGAGGACGAATCACCGATGCTGCGTCTAGTGGTATGCATGTTCTCCTTCCGGTTATGTATTAACTTTTCATCGTCTGTCGTCTTTGTCGTCGTAAAAATTTTATTAGATGCCATAATTTATTCTTGATCAAACCATTGCTGAATCTTGATCAACTGATCACATGATGGGTATAATGCATGCAGCTCTCAATTTGTTGAAGGATGTACAAGTTGACGCAATCATCGGTCCTCAAAAATCTTCACAAGCAGAGTTTGTGATTGGTCTTGGAGATGCAGCCAAAGTGCCGATCATTTCTTTCTCCGCAACGAGTCCTTCTCTCGGTTCGCAAACTGAATATTTCGTTCAAACAGCCCTAACTGATGCTGCCCAAGTTGATGCGGTTGCTGCCATAGTTAAGTACTTTCGATGGTATCAAATTGTTCTCGTATACGAAGACTCGGATTATGGTAATGGCATTACTCCCTTATTTGGCTAATGCGTTTCAACAAGTGAACGCTCGTGTTTCGTACAGAAGCGTTATACCTACCTCTGCAACTAACGACTTCATGCTTCAAGAGCTGTACAAGATGAAAACTATGCAGACAAGGGTGTTTGTGCTTCATACTACAAGCTCCCTTGCTTCTAGAATCTTCCTGAAAGCAAAGGAAGCAGAAATGATGAGTGAAGGCTATGTTTGGATTGTAACCACCGGGATCATGGAGTTGTTTTATTCATTGGATTCGAAAGTCGTAGAGTCCATGCAAGGAGTTGTCGGCGTGAAACCGCTCGTCACAAGATCGAGTAAACTGAATTTCACGACTATAAGATGGAAGAAGAAGTTTGCAGATGATTATCCTGGAATTACTCCACAAGAAGAGATGAATCTTTACGGGCTTTGGGCTTATGATACTTTATGGGCATTGGCTATGGCTGCTGAGAAAACCGGATTTAAGGAGCCGACTTCTTTGCCAAACAAAACCGCTCTCAACTCTACTGACATTTTTATTACAGGAACATCACAAACAGGTCCAAAACTTCTTGCAGCAATGTTGGATACTAAGTTCGAAGGGCTCGCTGGGAATTTCCATTTGGTTAACGAGCAACTAGAGCCTTCGTCGTTCGAAATCTTGAATGTAAATGGAAAGGGGCTGAGACAAGTTGGAATATGGACACCGTTTGTTCAAAGTTCAAGTCAAGTGTACGGGAATTCAATGGGTTTTACAGGTGAGAAATTGGAGAATATTATATGGCCTGGAGAGTCGAGGAATGTACCGAAAGGATGGGAAGTTCCGGTAAGTGGTAAAAAGCTTAGAGTTGGAGTTCCACTAGAATCTGGCTTTTCGGAATTTGTAAAAGTCGAAAAGGACACTCAAACAAATAGTACCAAAATAAGTGGATTGTACATTGATTTATTCGATTCGATCATGGCAGCACTACCTTACGCAGTACGGTACGAGTTTGTTCCGTTTGAAAAATCCGACAGCTCGAGCGCTGGAAGCTAAGACGATCTGTCTTACCAAGTCTCTATCGGGGTAAGCAACAATAACTTACTTGAACTTTATATTCGTAATAATAAATGATGCACTTCATTACATTGATGTTTACTCATGTTTCTCGGAATATTAGAACTACGATGTTGCTGTTGGAGACATAACTATCACAGCCACGAGATCAGAATATGTTGTGTTCACACTTCCGATAGAAGAAGGTGGAGTTACACGGACACAGAAAATTCAATACGACGACAATCGGAACGACAAATGGTTTTTCTTGAAGCCCCTCAAAATGGAACTATGGTTAACTATCTTAGCACTCTTCATTTTCACCGGAGTATCTCTCTGGATTCTCGAGCATAAGTTTAACAAAGCCTTCAGAGGTCGGCCTTCTGGATATCTCGGTTTAATCTTCTACATACCATTCATGTCATTAGTCTTCGCCCACAGTAAGTAATATTAATCTTTTGTATTTACCATTCAACCACACACGAATACGTCAATTGTTGTTTACTTACACATAAATGATATTTTACAGGGGAGAAAATAGTGACGAATTTAGCTCGAGTGGTTGTAGTTGTGTGGATATTCGTTGTTTTAGTACTAACCTCAACGTGCACAGCGAGTCTTTCGGCAAGATTAACGACGTTTAAGCTACAGCAAGGAGATACAGATGTGAATACGCTTATTAGAAATGGAGACTACGTGGGGTGCAGAGAAGGCACTTTTCGCACTTTTCTTGTAGAGTTCTTGACAAGGCTCGGATTCCACGAATCGAAAATCAGGATATATAAACATGCAGAGGAATTTGCCAATGCATTGTCAAAAAGAAGCGCTAACGGGGGCGTAACTGCCATTTTTTCGAGCACTCCTTATGCGGACCTCTTTTTATCAAAGTACTATAGCAATTACACGAAATTCGGGTCACCTTATCTTACAGAGGGGTTTGCCTTTGGTTTCCCAAAGGGGTCACCGTTAGTTGGTGACGTGTCGAGTGCGATCACTAAACTGACAGACAGTCATAAAATAGCAGAAATAAAGGCGCATTGGATAAGGCAATCCGGGTGTAATGAAGACGATGATCCTTCTAAAGTTGGGTGGACAAATATAGGTTTGAGAAGTTTCAAAGTACTGTTTGCAGTGACAGGGGCTGTCACAGGGACAACTGTCGTGCTATTCTTAGTTTCGTTTCTGTACCAGAACAGAGTTCGTGTACGAAATATCTACAATTCCGACAACACGGTTGGGTTTAAAGTCCATGCATTTGGCAGGCTTTTTGATGAAAGAGACCGTGCGTATTTGCCGGAAGATGATGATGCAGTTGAAATCGGGGTGTTTCCGATGCATAATATTAACAGGCAGGTGATGCTTAATAACATGCGGTTGGTTCTTAATAACGGACGGGTGATGATAAGAGCAAATTCCTTTAATTGAATCTTGCAAGAGGAAGAAGAAGAAGATGTCTTGCTTCTTATTATTTTTATTTCCAGCGTTTCTAAACACGTTTTGTATTTTCAGAACTTTTCCGATTAATAAGGAGCATCTTTTCTTAGGATTTTTGTGTATAAGTCTTGGATCCATTCATCAGTTATAACAAACCAAATTGGTCACACACACACACACACACACACACACACACACACACACACACACACACACACACACACACACACACACACACACACACACACACACACACACACACACACACACACACACACACACTGTGAATATGTTTACAAGCTAGCTACATTGAATTTAACCGACGCAGCGGTGCGTTTTTCCTTACCACTTGAACTGCATCTTCGCCACGACGTGGAAAAGATTTGGCGTCTGTTTCATAAAAAAACTTGCAAACTGCGCGGAATTTGGACCAAGTCATTTCCTTATCAGGTCGAATATATTTGGGGTCTGGACTCCCAAAAAATGTGCATATTGCTCCGATTTTTGACCAAACCGTCTTTTTGGGTTCGTCGTTCCAAATTTTCTTCACTTTAGCTTTGTTACTGTAAAAAAAGCTCCCCATGTAGTAAACGAGGCAAAACCCTGTGACGATCCCCGTCGCCGAAAACAGGATCGTGAAACTTCTCAACCCTATATTTGCCGACGAACTATTAGGCAAGTCGTCTTCGCTACACGCAGATTGTTTGATCCAACGTTCCTTTATTTCCGCAATCTTGTGATTGTCCGTCAGTTTGATGATTGCACGTGACACGTCAGCGACCAACGGTGACCCCTTTGGAAACGCAAAGGCAAATCCCTCGGTGTAATACGGGGTGCCAACTTTCATGTACTTGTTGCAGTACCTGGTTAAGAAGAGTTCCATGTAAGGGGTGCGAGCGAAGAACGCAGTTATGCCTCCGTTTCCACTTCCTTTGGACAGGGCAATGTCGAAATCTTCCGGAAGTTTGTATGTCCTGATCTTGGATTCGTCGAATCCAAGCCTTTTCAAGAACTCGATAATGTAGGTGCCTTCTCTGCACCCCACATAATCCCCGTTTCTGATGAGCGTTGTTACATCCGTGTCGACTTTTAGAAGCTTGATTGCTGTCAATCTTGCCGAAAGACTTGCTGTGTAAGTTGAGTTCAATATCAGCACCACGAATATCCACACCACTATAACCACTCTAGCTAAATTCGTCACTATTTTTTCCCCTTCAAAAACCCAAAAAAAAAAAAAAAAAAAAAAAGAGAAACAGTTAGGAATACAAATAATTAATGAAAATGGTGTCCGAATATATACAGAGGAAGAGAGACGATTACTCACTGTAGGCGAATACTAATGACGTGAACGGAACGTAAAAGATCAAGCCGGCATGGTGGGAACCTCTGAAATCTTCGTTATGTCTATGTTCGAGAATCCAGAGAGCTACTCCAGTTAAAATCAACATGGCTAAGGCAGTTAACCATAGGTCAAGTTTTAGTGGTTTAAAGAAAAACAATAGGTCGTTTGGATTCTCGTACTCGATTCTCTGCGTCCTCGTAACTCCACCTTCTTCAATTTGAAGAGTGAAGTCAACGTATTGCGATCTCGTGCCTGTGATTGTTATGTCCCCAACAGCAGCATCATATTCCTAGTTAAGAAAGTACAAACACATAAAAGAAACAATATATAGTGATTATTAGATAGAAATAAACGAACACAAAAGATTCAATCTTGTTTTTTTTTTTTTTTACCCCATTGAACACTTGGTAGGTTAAGTCATCGTAGCTCCCGGCAATTGATCCGTCGGATTTTTCAAACGGAGCATACTCGTATCGGACAGAATAAGGTAGTGCCGCCATAACAGAATCGAACAAATCTATGTAATATCCAGTGATTGTGGTAGCATTTGTTTGAGGATCCCTTTGTACATTTACGTATTCTGCAAAACCAATGTCTACAGGAACTCCGACTCTAAGCTTCTTACCACTTACCGGAACCTCCCAACCCTTTGGTACATTCCTCGATCCTCCGGGCCATATAATATTCTCCAATTTCTCACCTACAAAACCCGTCAGGTTCGTGTTCCTTTGACTTGAAATTTGCAATAACGGTTTCCATATTCCAACTTCTTTCAGCGAATTTCCGTTTACATTCAACATATGGAAAGATGACGACTCTAATTGCCCGTTAACCAAATTGAAATTCCCAGCGAGACCTTCGAATTTAGTTTCCAACATTGCTGCAAGAAGTTTCGAACCTGTTTGCGATGTTCCTGTAATAAACATATCCGTAGAGTTGAGAGAAGTTGTGTTTGGCAAAGAAGTCGGCTCCTTAAATCCGGTTTTCTCAGCAGCCATAGCCAATGCCCACAGTGTATCATAAGCCCATAACCCATAAAGGTTGATATCTTCTTGTGGAGTGATTCCTGGATTATCATCTGCAAACTTCTTCTTCCACCTTATAGTCGTGGAATTGAGTTTACTCGATCTTGGAACGAGAGGTTTTACGCCGACAACTCCTTGCATGGACTCAACGACTTTCGAATCCAACGAATAGAACAAATCCATGAGCCCGCTGGTCACGATCCACACGTAGCCTTCACTCACCATTTCCGCTTCCTTTGCTTTCAGGAAGATTCTAGAAGCAACCGGTCTTGAAGCATGCACCACAAACACCCTTGTCTGCATGGTTTTCATCTTGTACATCTCTTGAAGGATGAAATCATCACTTGCCGAAACAGGAATAACGCTTCTGTACGAAACTCGAGCGTTTACTTGTTGAAATGCATTTGACAAGTAAGGTATAATGCCATTGCCATAATCCGAATCTTCGTACACGAAAACAACTTGATACCAACGAAAGTACTTAACTATGGCAGCGACAGCATTAACTTGAGCAGCATCGTTTATGGCTGTTTGGACGAAATATGGAGTTTGTGGGCGGAGAGAAGGACTTGTTGCTGTGAAAGAAATGACCGGCACTTTTGCCGCACCTCCAAGACCAATCACAAAGTTTGCTTGCGCAGATGTTTGAGGACCGATTATCGCATCAACTTGCACATCATTCAACAAATTGAGCGCTGCATCCATACAATAGAAATAGAATCATACGAGTTCATCACATGATTCAAATATTACACGTCAAATATTATAGCAAAAGGTAAGAATAAGATACCGCTAGCTGCAGCACCAGTGACTAGTCCTCTGGAATCCCTTGAATGAAGCACAAGTCTTGTTGAATAATTTAAATTAAATGAATAAAAATCGGAAAGAGCTAAAGACAAGCTGGTCATTCCTATGCGGCCGACCAATGAATCGGCATCAAGAATGACACCGACTTGAAATGTAGTGTTTCGTTGTGCACTGCACAACGAGAGGAAGACACTAATTAATAGTGAGAAAACTGTGAAGAAATTCATTTTATTCTTGCGAATTTTGTTCGACATCTCTGCTTCGGGAATCCAGGATATATATACACGTAAATAAATGCCACATTACTATAAGGTACTATCTGAGAAAGTTTCATCAGGAGTCAACCATTGTTAAAAGTCAAACTCCAATATAATAAGATTAGGATAATGAATATGATGAACATTACCTTCTATTCCAAGAAAGAGGAGTCCAGAATAACTCCAGGTTGACTAGTATTTATTAATTCAATGCTCTCGATGAACTCATCAATGGTTTTTCAGCACTTGGTTAGGACACTAACTAATGTCAATGACCAATGAAAAATGGCCCTTCCAGAAAAAAAAAAAAAAATTTGTTCTATTATAACTCCTTATATTTTAACATTTCTTATTTATAATAACTAATTTTTTTTTTAATTGTCTTCATGCTCAGTCTATCATAATAAATGCTATAATTTTAATAGAACTCCAAAATTTTGCAATATATATGTTCGAAGATCGAATTATGGTAAGTTTCATGTAATTTTCGTGCACGGTTTTATAAATATTAACTGTTGAAATTTGTAAATGTTTCTTTTAAAAACTTACCCTTCATATAACGATTTCATTATAACATATTACATTAAATACTAAAAAAGTTGACACAAATCAGCATTATGTCTATTTAGTACTGAGAATGAATTTATACATGTGAAACATATATATATATATATATATATATATATATATATATATATATATATATATATATATATCACTACAATGTGATTATGTATTTTGCAGGTTCAAATTGAGCCACACAGAATCAGCTGCTATATATATTATATAGCTATAAAACAACATTAATACTAACTTCGCAGTCAAGCTTTAGTTCTTTCTCCCATCCGAATTCCTCCAAGAATGCTAATACCACTCCATTCGACCAACCAAATCCCGTCTGCCCACGAAACGAAATAAATTCGTAAGTCGGAAGTTAGTTATTGACTTACTTGGGGTAACATGGAAAAAGTAGTTATTGACTTACTTGGGGTATATATTCACCGCCTCCGCCATAGGCTCCACATTTTTGGACATCGTATTTTTCGTGCATAGCTCCCGTTTTCTTATAGGCAACATAATTTGTCCTGATCCACTTCACAGCAATATCCTCTGCAAGGCATCTTGCTTGTTCTGATCCAGATCTTACGAGTCCTTCAACAATCATGTGTTGTAGTGGGGCCCACCCATTAGGAAAATCCCTGCAAGAATTGAACTCTCGATTATAATAAACCGAAAATTTTCATGTTGACCATGTCTTAATGTTCTCCTTGTATCCCCATTCGTTAGTTACGAATTGAATTATTACCATTGTTGTCCTGAGTTAGTCAAAGAAGTTGCAATCCCAGCCTGGCAAACAAGACCTGAATTTTCGAGACTTTTGACAACTTCATCCACCTTTTTCACATCTGTCGTTATATGCAAAACATACTTTATTATGTGATTAAAAAAAATTCATAAAACCAAACAATGACTTTATATTATAGTTCCAAACGGAAGTCGAAAAAAGTAGGCAATGAGAAACACGAATAAGAGATTGAACCCGTAAAAACCTGAATTAAACGAATTGATCCACAAGGGAATGAAGTTTGAGGCAAACGATTTCTTATTCTGGCTTGAAGCATCCCATTTGTAAACATCCTGAAACAAAACAAAAAACAAATATCAACAATTGGGAAAACCGAAAAGCTAGATTCTATCGAGGTACAAATATCATCATAACCTCCGACAAATTGGATTCCCTCAGCCAATAATCGAGCCACTGTGATGTTTCTGCATTCCAAAAAATAGTATTTATGGCCGTTTTTCTGGCCTTGGAAGCTTCAAAAAATTTATCAGCTGTGTCAGAATCTCCGATTGCATTTGCCAAGGAGGTTATGTCAAGTTCCATCTGGACAAAAATCATAATATCACACACATTATATGCGGCTTAAATAACAAATTATCGGCCAATACAAATGACAAGTTTGTAGATCATACCTTCAGAATAAATGCATTCAAGTCCACAGGTATAACTGATGTTGTAGCTAATGTTGTTAAATCAGATTCATTTCTAGAACGCAATAATTAAAAAAAAAATTAAAAAAAAAATCAGTAATATTACAGAGAAAAAAAAAAATTAATAATGAATAGGGATTTTTAGATCAAGTTACCTCATCCATCTGGTACTGAAATCCCATCCAGATTCAGCAGCAGATGCCAGTTCACGATATAGTTGGGTTTCCGCACATTTATTCGACAGTTTCGAAGCTGTTTCCATGTCCTGCAAGGCCAAATTTTGTTTTGAAGAATTTAAAAATAAATAAAAAATCCTCAACAACTTTCTGAAGAATGGTTAGATAGTTTAGTACAGTAGTCGAAGATTCTGGCCTTGGCTGATTCCACATGGCGTAATATCGACTTAAACTGTGATTTACACCTTCACCATCTTGAATTATCACCTTGTGCTTTCCTTCAAGAATTAAACCATTGAACAAAATGGATAAATAAATTTCACCTTTTTACACACACACACAGACACGCAGTTCCATCAATAGAGGGAATCAAAATTTACCCGAATTCCAGAATTTATGCTCCTTCAGCAGTGCAGGAAGTGAAATTACGACCAAGTCCTTGTCACCTGTCTCATTGTATATATCTATAACCATTGAGCTCAAAAGAGGAGGCTGGCTGCAAATGTTGCAAGAACTTTAGCGTTTCAACTTCAACAAGACAAAACGAAGTCGAAAACGTAACTACACGAAAATTTCAAGCGCAATTAAATAAAAAGAAAAAAATCAGTTACTTCCACTCTCGAATTACATAATCGAACAAAGTTGAGACAGCAGTTACCTCCTATTAGTGTAGTACGCCCTTGCACCGTTGAGAACATAACCGAACTCATCTATAAGAGAAATGAGATTATACACAATCCCTTTTGCCGTCTCGTACATTTTACTCGCTAACAACCCCCTGCATCAGAATCATTTCTCTTAATCAACCAAAAACGGATTTACAGAAATAATTATTTAAAAAAAAAAAAAAAAAAAAAAAGATTCCCTTAAAGAGGTTCCTTTACATCATGGCAATAGGTACACAATCAATAATTTCAAAATTAAAGCATAAATCTAAAACAAACAAACTAGAAAACTAGTATAGAAATTGACTAATATCTACACCAATTATTAGATGCATAGTCACGGAACACCAACCCTCGCCACTTGGCCCTTGTTTAACAGTTTTACATGTGATGCAAAATTGACCATAATGCACCTCCATTACCACAAATTTGATGACACTCAACCAACAACAAAAAAGGGGACTTCCAAAAAATTAAAGATTAAATAAACAGAAGCAAACAGTTATACAATTCATGAGTTCATCATCAGCACCAAATCAGACAATAAAAATAATCATCAGCAGGACTCAAAGAAACCAATGTAGTTTTCGTTCGACAAGCTATGAAACCCGAGACCGAGTCAAGTTCGATTAGAAAAATATCATAAAATATGGAGCTAAATTTCGTGTTGGGCTCGATTAAATCTCAAAATTTTAATTCAATCAAGAAAGGGGAAAATATAAAAAGTACAAAATAAGAACACAATTAAGCATGAGATAAAGAAAAAAACCTGATCACCCAATAAGAATCCCAATAATAAACCTCCCTGAACCTCGAACCGGGTATCATAACCGGGTTCTTCAAAGGCAGCAACGTGTGGAAATCGGGCTGCTCCATGACCCGACCCGAAACCTTCCTACTCAAATTCTTCCAAAGCCTATGCACCTCCAAAGCCCAATCCCTCACTTCGGGCCTCTTCACCTTAGGCAGAAAGTATTCGGGCTCCGCCACAAAGTCAACCGGGTGCACATACACCAAATCCACCTCCGCACCACCCAAATACTTCTCCACAAAACCACTCAATTCATCAATCGAGACCGAGCCATTCTCGTTTCTCTTAATTTTATCGAAGGCTTCGATTGTGGTGGAGAGGTTTTGATTCAGTGAAAGGTCGACGTACAATTTTGGATCAAAGCCCTTCGGCCCGTAAGCCCGTAACGCCGTCTCTTGGACCCGTTCCAGAAAGGTGACGAGAGGGGTGGTGGGGACCACAGGGCCCGAATCTTTCGGGGTGCAACCGTTTACTGTGAAAATGGGTTTATTGCACATCATTAAAAGCGCTGTGAGTGAGTAGATGATCAGATTGGTGGTGATCGGATTCAATGACGGAAATCTGTCCATTTCCCGGCGACGGCTACGGACGGGTTTTTTTCGATAGCAGACATGTTTTTGTCCGTGTGTGTGTGTGTGTATATATATATATATATGTGTGTGTTTGTCACTGTGTGTAAGTGTAACGTATAGCGGTGTGTGGATGAAATGGTGCCGGCAGAAAGAAGACGAAGACGGAGGCTGGCCTGCTGGAATTTAACGTTGTTTTAGTCAAATTCTTATTTTCTATTTCCCACTATGTTTATTGTTTTTTGTATTTATTCAATTTGAGTGAAACGGCGACGTACTGATTTCAATCGTTACCGAGTACCGAGTCAGTTGAGTTACTTATTGGGCCTCCGAGTGCAGTCGAGTCATTGAGCCCATTTGTCTGGGCCGTTCACTATTTGATTCAATGCTCTATTGGGCTCTATATAACTGGATTTTTATCATTTTTATTTTTTAATTGGTGTGTTCATCTCTTTTATTTAGACGTAATAATGAAATTGGCGGCAGATTTCGATTTTGGAGACCTAAATTCTATGGTACCTCAATCAATTGGATGTCAAATTGGGGGCAGATTTCTGGTTTTGTTAGACGTAAAATAATCACCGTAATCGAACAGGATTTCTCGTCTGAGGTTGAATTCGGATTAGCATTAGGGTATGGATTGGGGGCAGAGATCATGGCGGAGCAGCAGCTGTTTTCTGGAGTTCAGCGGCGGAGACGGTGGCAACTGTGGTGGCTGAGGAGGTAATGAACTAACTTCACCCTAAATTAATTGCACACACTCTAAAATTAACAGAGTTGGAACTTTTCTCGGAAGAAAATGCTGAGAAATTGTCGTAATACACATGCAAGCATCTATCTTTATTTAATTGCCTACCAAAGTCTTCAGATATATATTATAATCTGAGTGGGGTTTTAACAATTCAAGATAATTAAGCTAATGAAACTTTCTCAGTTCAACTTATAAGTTACTTGTGGCCTACATATACATGTATAATACACTAGATTGCGTAACAAAAAAATTGCAGATCAGAATTTGGCAAACATGAAAATGAATTTCTTCACAGTTTTCTCTGTCTCACTACTCAGTCTATTTCTCTCATTGTGCAACGCACAGCAAAATACTACCTTTCAAGTTGGTGTTATTCTTGATGCAAATTCCACAAATGGACGCATAGGCAACACCAGCTTGTCTTTAGCGCTCTCCGATTTTTATTCAGTTAATTCAAATTCTTCGACACGAATTGTGCTTCATCCAAGGGATTCAAGAGGACTAGTCACCGATGCTGCAGCTAGTGGTATGTAATACTTCCCTTTTGCTGCATTTTTGTCCTTCAATATTAGTACTGTTTTGATAAATTTTCTTGAAAAAGAATATATACTTCAGTTTACTTTTTGGCCAAAATGAAAATTTTGAAGGTTTGGGTAATTTGCGTATTTATGTTTGTGTGTGTAATAACGTACTAAGTGATCAACTTTCATGATAATACTCGTTGCAATCGCATTCATGGATATATACATGTGCAGCTCTCGATTTGTTGAAGGATGTACAAGTTGATGCCATAATTGGTCCTCAAAAATCAGCACAAGCAAACTTTGTGATTGGTCTTGGAGATGCAGCCAAAGTGCCAGTCATTTCTTTCAAAGCAACAAGTCCTTCTCTCCGTCCTCAGACTCCGTATTTTATTCAAACGGCAATTAGTGATGCTGCTCAAGTTGATGCTGTTGCCGCCATAGTTAAGTATTTTGGATGGTATCAAGTTATTCTGATATATGAAGATTCAGATTATGGTAATGGCATTATACCTTACCTTTCTAATGCATTTCAACAAGTAAACGCTCGAGTTTCATACAGAAGTGTTATCCCATTAATCTTGGAAAATAATTCCATCCTTGATCAAGAGCTAGACAAGATGAAAAATATGCAGACAAGGGTGTTTGTGGTGCATACTACAACCCTTCTTGCTTCTCAAATCTTCCTCAAAGCAAAGGAAGCGGGAATGATGGGTGAAGGCTATGTCTGGATAGTGACCACCAGTATCATGAATTTGTTTTATTCGCTGAATTCAAGTGTTCAAGAGTCTATGCAAGGAGTTCTTGGTGTGAAGCCTCAGGTTCCAGAATCAAGTAAATTCAGTTCCACCACTCTAAGGTTGAAGAAGAAGTTTGCAGATGACTATCCAAATAATACTGATCCATCACCAGAGATGAATCTTTATGGCCTTTGGGCTTATGATACTTTGTGGGCATTGGCTATGGCTGCCGAAAAAACTGGATTCAGGGAGCAGCCGAATTCTTTGCAGAACATGAGTTCTCTTAACTCAACCAACATATTTACTACTGGAACATCACAAACAGGTCCGAAACTTCTAAGAGCAGTGCTGGATACCAACTTTACAGGACTTGCTGGGAATTTCAATTTGGTTAATGGGCAATTAAATTCATCATCTTTTCAAATATTGAATATAGACGGACAGGAGCTGAGACTAGTTGGGACATGGACACCGTTATTGCAAAGTTCAAGTCAAAGGAATGGGAATAAGACGGGGTTTTTCGGTGATAAATTGGACATAATTACATGGCCTGGAAACTCAAGGAATGTACCAAAGGGATGGGAGGTCTCACCAAGTGGTAAAAAGCTTAAAGTTGGAGTTCCAGCTGTAGCTGGTTTTCCAGAGTTTGTAAATACAACTAACGCTGCCAACATCACTGGATTGTACATAGAGTTGTTTGAATCTGTCATGGCAGCACTACCGTACACAGTCCAATACGGATATGAACTGTTTGAAATATCAAATGCCTCAAGTGCGGGGAGCTACGATAGTTTCTCCTACCAAGTTTTTCATGGGGTAAAATAATAATACTAAAATAATAGATAACTTGAATGCGTAATTATATTCGTGTTTGACACTTTATTGATGTTTTTGACTTTATAGAAGTATGATGCTGTTGTTGGAGACATAACTATCACAGCCAAGAGATCGGAATATCTCGACTTCACTCTTCCAATTGACCAAGGTGGGATTACCATGATACAAAAAATTCGACATGATGGCAAACCCCATGATGAAAGTTTCTTCGTTAAGCCCCTCAGAAAACAACTATGGTTAACGGCCATAGCCCTGTTCATTTTTACTGGAATAGCTCTATGGATTCTTGAACATAGGTTTAACAAAGATTTCAGAGGTCCTCCTTCAGAACACCTCGGCCTCATCTTTTACATCCCCTTCATGTCATTAGTATATTCCAACAGTGAGTAATCTTTCTTCCTCCGTTCAGACACATTCATCATTAATCCGTGTGTACTAGCTGTTAACTGAACATACATTTATGTGTTTGTTGTTGACTTATAATCATTCACACATATACTTGTTGTAGGGGAAAGAATTGTGAGCAATTTAGCCCGACTGGTTTTAGTTGTGTGGGTATTTGTTGTCCTGATATTGAACTCCACTTACACTGCAAGTCTTTCGGCAAGATTCACAATTGACAAGCTCAGTCAGAACGCTGATATAGATGTAAACGTGCTTATTAGCAACGGAGACGATGTTGGATGCCGTGAAGGCTCTTTTGTCGTTGATTTCTTGAAAGGGCTGGGATTCCACGAATCCAATATCAGGGAATATAAAAGTGGGGAGGATTTTCATAATGCCTTGTCTAAAGATGAGATAAAGGTGATGTTTACTCGCACTCCTTACGCCAATCTCTTCTTGTCCAAGTACTGTAAAAACAAGACGTACATGAGAGTTGGCTCACCTTATATTACCGAGGGCGTTGCCTTTGTAAGTATTAATTTCTCTCAACGTGTTTATAGTTAATTATTTATACTCGTAATAATAATAGTAATCATTAATTATTTTCGAAAATTGACAGGTATTCCCCAAGGGGTCACCACTAGTTGCCGATGTCTCTCGCACAATCATCAAACTGACAGACATTCACAATATTTCAAAAATATATGAGCATTGGATAAATTCGACATGTAAAGAATATAATCCCTCTAAAGACTCGTGGACAAGTGTCAAATTGAAATCCTTCAAACTCCTGTTTGCAATAACAGGTGGAATCACAGGGACTTGCCTTGTGGTATTTCTAGTGTCCTATCTCTACAATAACAGAGATTTTGTTCGGAGGATCTCAAACTCCGGCACCACAACTTGGTCAAAATTACGCGCAATTTTCAAGCATTTCGATCAAAGAGACCCCAAATCTTTTCGGTCTAAACAAGAAGTCGAAAACGCACCACCAAACCTAAATGTACGTTCTAACGCAGATCAAGAAACGCCAAGTGAAAATGCAGCTTCTCATCCATCAAATTCAGTTCAGCCTGAAAGCATCAGAGTGGTGTAGTTTGTTTTTACATGATGCTTTTTCGCTTTTCTTCTTCTTTGGTTCAAGATTGTCTTTGCATTACTGTATTGTTACATTCGAAGTCACTTCCGTTTGTGAAATTAAGATTACCGTGAGGTATGTATGTCGTCGTTTAACTTATATATTCTATAATTTGTTGTTTCTTTTCTTCTCTTACACATTACTATTTCTCTATTTGTAATTTTCTTGGAAAAAATCGCCATTGTCAACTGCAGGGGATTCATTAATTTCCATGCACTTTCCTTTGCTTCAATATTATTTTAGCAAATCTGCCAATTGCTTTAAGTTACTAATTTATGATGCTTCTTTAATGCGTTATTACTTATTATTATACAGTCTAAATTGTCTACTCTTTGAATACTGACTTTCTGTTATTCACAAAAAAAAAAAGATTGACTTTCTATTTTTTTATTTATTACTTTTTTGCAAAATCATTTTCCCTAGTTCGTTGGAACAGTCAATGATATGATTAGCTGTCCAGTCACATTATGGCATATTCTTCTACACCAGTAGTAATGATTAATATATGAATATATAATATCACTTTCAAACGTTAAACAATTGTTCAGATTTATCAACACTTTGACATCTTCTGTCAAGATTTATCAACACTGATGTAAAATCAAGACAGTAAAATCAGACCAAACTATTCGATATCAATCGTAAAAAGCTCGTTCGGATCGAGATTGAGCTAGATTCGTATATCTAAATCATATTTTATATTACTACATGTATAATAATTTCTGGAAACTATTTTGCATAATGACTAAATCTCCAAGAATTGCAAAGTGGAAAGCGACTTTACGATACTCATTTTTTACGATGGGGATTTTTTTTGTATGAGCTTTTCACTCATCAGAAGAGCCACTTTAGATTGCTCGTTGACATTAATTAGTCTTCCAAAAAAGAAGATTTTTTTTTTGTTTTTTGAATTCATCAAACATTATCTGGAATTGGAGTAGTCAAGCTCAAGTTATCCATGATTATTTTCCTTATTTTTTAAGAAAACTCGAGCCCCGACACTGGACACACTCAACTCTTGTTTCGTCTTGAGATGAAAGAAAATGCTTGTGTTTAGTACTTTATTCCGAGTGGACTTTTAACAATTCAAGATTATGCTACGATCGGTGAAACTTTCCGAGTTCAACTCAGTTACTTGTGTGGCTTAATTTGTAATCAGAAAATTGCAGATCAGAATTTACCAGATATGAAAATGCATTTCTTTGCAGCTTTCTCTCTCTCGCTACTAATTAGTTTTTTTCTCTCACCGTGCAATGCACAGACAAATAATACAACCTTTCGAGTTGGTGTCATTCTTGATGCCGATTCACTAGTCGGCCGAATAGGCAATACCAGCTTGTCTCAAGCACTCTCCGATTTTTATTCAACTCACTCAAATTATTCGACAAGAATTGTGCTTAATGTAACTGATTCAAGAGGACAAGTCACCGATGCTGCAGATAGAGGTATATATATATAATCCTTCCCTTTTTGCTACATATTTTTTGCTTTGTTTCAACTGTTGCCATTAAATAATCCAATGTAAGGACTAGTTTATATGTCTTGTTACCTTTCCAACTCGATATTTGCGGTCGTTAACGATTTAAATGCTAATGTTTTTTGGTTGCCACTCACCCCTAATCATATTTGATCGAATCATTCTCTAGCTATAAACTTTTCTTTTGGTTCGAATAAACCTGGAAAACGTTACTTGAAGTTTATCTCATGTATCGTAATTCGCGGTTTACTTGGTGCATGCAGCTCTATATTTGTTGAAGGATGTAAAAGTCAATGCAATAATCGGTCCTCAAGAAACTGCACAAGCAAACTTTGTAATCGGTCTTGGAGATGCAGCAAAAGTGCCGATCGTTTCTTTTTCCGCAACGAGTCCGTCTCTCCATTACCAAACTCCATTTTTCCTTCAAACAGCCATCGACGACGCTGATCAAGTCGATGCTGTTGCCGCCATAGTTAAGTACTTCAAATGGTCTCAAGTTGTTCTCGTTTACGAAGACTCAGATTACGGCATTAGCCTTACTCCGTACCTTTCGAATGCATTCCAACAAGTGAACGCTCGAGTTTCATACAGAAGCACTATCCCTATCTCGGCAACTAACGATTTCATCCTTCAAGAGCTGTACAAGATGAAAACTATGCAGACACGGGTTTTTGTGGTGCATACTACGAGCGGTCTTGCTTCTAGAATCTTCTTGAAAGCAAAGGAAGCAGAAATGATGAGCGAAGGCTATGTGTGGATCGTAACCAGCGGTATCGTGAATTTGTTTTATTCATTGGATTCAAAAGTTGTAGAGTCTATGCAGGGAGTTCTCGGTGTAAAACCCCTCGTTCCAATATCGACTAAACTCGGAGAAACGAGCCTTTACGGGCTGTGGGCATATGATACTTTGTGGGCATTGGCTTTGGCTGCCGAGAAAGTTGGATTTACGAAGCAGCCGAGTTCTTCCCCAAACACAACCACACTGTTTATTAACGAAACATCATTAACAGGTCCGAAACTCCGTGCAGCAATGTTGGAAACTGAATTCGAAGGACTTGCCGGGAAATTCAAATTGGTCGACAGTAAACTAAAGTCGTCTTCTTTCCAGATACTAAGTATAAACATAGAGGGGCTGAGAGAAGTTGGAATATGGACTCCGTTAAGTGAAACGAACGCAAACATGACGGGTTTTTCGGGTGAGAAGTTGGAGAATATTGTATGGCCCGGAGAATCGAGGAATGTACCAAAGGGATGGGAGGTTCCGGTGAGTGGTAAGAAGCTTCGGGTTGGGGTTCCAGCTGTCGGTGGTTTCCCGCAATTCGTGAAAGTCAATACCGATTCTAAAACAAACGCTACCAAAATTACTGGATTGTACATTGATTTATTCGATGCCGTCATGGCTGCACTACCATATGCCGTCCGATACGAGTACTTCCCGTTTAAAAGTTCAGACGGCTCACATGCCGCGAGTTATGATGATTACTTAAACGAAGTTTACAACGGGGTAAATGTGACACCAAAACTTTGATTAGCTTATAAATTTTGAATATTCATGTTATTGACAATCTTCATTTATAGAACTTTGATGCTGCTGTTGGAGATATCACGATAACATCCAAAAGATCGGAACTTATCGATTTCACTCTTCCAATCGAAGAAGGTGGTGTTAACATCATACAAAAAATGGATTACGATGTCGATCCCAACGACAAATGGTTTTTTTGGAGGCCTCTTAAATGGGAACTATGGTTAACTACCGTAGCCCTGTTAATTTTAACCGGAGTTGCTATTTGGATTCTCGAGCATAGGTATAACATCGCTTTCAGAGCCCCCCCGTCGGAGCATCTCGGCTTGATCCTTTACATCCCGTTCATGTCAATTGTATATGCAAACAGTGAGTAATAATAATATTTCCTCCATTTTTAATTTTTTTTTTTGAGCATTAACGAGACACATGCATCGTTCTTGTTGACGTATCGCAGGGGAAAGAATAGTGAGCAATTTAGCTCGATTGGTTGTGGTGGTGTGGATATTCGTCGTGCTGATACTGAACTCAACTTACACGGCAAGTCTTTCAGCAGGATTAACAACATTGGAGCCTCAAAAAATCTATAAGGATTTGAGTACACTTGTTAGTAACAACCACAGTGTTGGATGCCGCGAAGGCTCGTTCATTATCGAGTTCTTGAAAGGGCTGAATTTCACGGACAAAAACATCAAACTTTATAAAACTCCGGAGGATTTTCATAATGCCTTGTCTAAAGGTGAGATAAAGGCGATGTTTACGCGCACTACTTATACCGATCTCTTCTTATCCAAGTACTGTAACAAGTACATGACAGTTGGCACACCAAATATTACCAAGGGAGTTGCATTTGTGAGTACTATATATATAATCTCTACCAACCTACCTACTTGTCATAATAATTATTATTATTAATTCTTTAAAAAAAAATGACAGGTATTTCCTAGGGGGTCACCGTTAGTTGCTGACGTGTCACGTGCGATAATCAAACTGACAGATAATCAAAGAATATTGGAAATAAGGGGACACTGGATAAGAGATCAATCGGCATGCAACGGAGACGATTCGACTAAGGATACGTCGTTACGAATAAGCTTGAAGAGTTTCGAAATTCTGTTTGGTATAACTGCGGGAATCACGGGGACTTGTGTTTCGGTGTTTCTAGTCGCGTATATGTACACAAACAGAGATTTCATTCGGAGGGTCGTGTCCAACTCTGGCCCAACAACTTGGTCCAAATTACGCGCGCTTTTCCGGCATTTCGATCAAATAGACCCCCGATCTTCTCTGTCTAAAAAAGGCGGCAACAACGCCGGAAATGCGTCTCCCGATTTTAATGCATATCGATGTTACAACGGCGATCGAGAAACGGCGAGTGAGAGTGGATCTTTTAGTCCACGTTCGGACCACGCAATGTTAGATGCGGATCATCATCCAAGTTATAGTCCAGCTTGAAATTAAAAAAATAATAATAAAATAAAATTCAGAAGTGTGTAAAAATATAGTCATTTTTGTTTGTCTCTTTGAGCAATTGGTTTGAGAACATATTGTCAATGCGTGTATGTGTATATAACGTATATGCTGTAGTGTATGTTTACCGGTTTTTTGTCCTTGTTTTTTTTTGAAGAAAACGACGACGTATTGATTTTAGTGAGTACCGAGTCAATTGAGTTACTTATTGGGCTACAGATGCCTCCGAGTTCGAGTCCATGAGCCCATTTGTCTGGGCTGTTTTGGTATACGGGATATCCCGTTAATATTATTTGTTTTTATTTTTTATTTATCTATTTAATTAATAGTTTTTTTTTTTTTTTTTTAAATTGGTGTTCATAGGGGTGGTAAACGAGCCGAGCCGGCTCGTGAGCTCGACGAACCGGCTCGTAAAAAGCTCGAACTCGGACTCGAGGTTTTCGTGAGCTCGCCGAGCCGGCTCGTGAGCCGGATTTATTAATATTTTTTTATTTTTTTTATTTTTTTTATTTTTTATATGTTATTTTTATTTAAAAATGTATAATAATATAAAATATTATAGAAATAAATACATATATTAAAAAAATATATAATCACAATTTTGTGTTTATTTTGTAATTTTTTAAAATATTTTTTAATAATAAAATAATAATAAAATAATATTTAAAAAAAGAAAAAAAAAAAAAAAAAAAAAGGATTGGGCTCGAGCTCGAGCTCGTCGAGTTCTTCTTAATAATTGGGGGCAGATTTCAGAGTTTGATGACCTAAATTCTATGGATACCTCAATCAGTTGGATGTCAAATTGGGGGGCCAGATTTCTAGTTTTGTTAGACGTAAAATAATCACCGTAACCGAACAGGATTTCTCGTCGGAGATTAAGTTCCTGTTCGCATTTGGGGATGGATTGGGGGGAGAGGCCATGGCGGAGCGGCAGCTGTTTGCTTGAGGTCAGCCACGGAGATGGTGGCAACGGCGGTGGCTGAGGAGGTAATGAACTAACTTCACCCTAAATTAATTGCAGCAGAGTTGGAACTTTTCTCGAAAGAAAATGCTCAGAAATTGTCATAATCCTGCTGAGTTACAGAATATGTGATGCAAACATCTCTCTTTATTTAATTGCCTACCAAAGTCTTCATATATTTTTATAATCTGAGTGGACTTTTAACAATTCAAGATAATTAAGCTCATGAAACTTTCTCAGTTCAACTTATAAGTTACCTGTCGCTTTTATATATATATATATGTATATGTATAATACACTAGATTGCGTAATAACAAGATTGCTGATCAGAATTTGGCAAACATGAAAATGAATTTCTTGACAGTTTTCTCTGTCTCACTACTCAGTCTATTTCTCTCATTGTGCAATGCACAGCAAAATACTACCTTTCAAGTTGGTGTGATTCTTGATGCAAATTCCACAAATGGACGCATAGGCAACACCAGCTTGTTATTAGCTCTCTCCGATTTGTATTCAATTAATTCAAATTATTCGACACGAATTGTGCTTCATCCAAGGGATTCAGGACCTCAAATCACCTATGCTGCAGCTAGTGGTATCTAATCCTTCCCTTCTGCTCCATTTTTTTGTTCTGTTTTTGTATTGACTTATTAAAAGCTATAGATGCTAATCTTATTGTCTCCCCTAGTTGACCAAACCATTTTTTGTCGAAAAATACTCGCTTGTTTTATGTTTGTGTGACAGTGCATATAATGCAATAAGTGATTGGTTCTCACGTGATTATCTATCTCCCATGGACATATGCAGCGCTCGATTTGTTGAAGGATGTGCAAGTCGATGCCATTATTGGTCCTCAATCTTCTACACACGCAAACTTTGTGTCTGGTCTTGGAAATGCAGCACATGTGCCCGTCATTTCTTTCACGGCAACCAGCCCTTCTCTCGGTCAACCTCCCTATTTTTTTCAAGCAGCCATAAATGATGCTGCTCAAGTTGATGCTATTGCCGCCATAGTTAAGTACTTTCACTGGAATCAAATTATTTTCGTATACGAAGATTCAGATTATGGCAACGGCATTATACCTTACCTTTCTAATGCTTTTCAACAAGTAAATGCTCGAGTTTCGTACAGAAGTGTCATCCCTATCTCGGCAAATGATGACTTCATCATTGAAGAGCTAAAAAATATGAGAAATATGCAGACTAGGGTGTTTGTGGTGCACACTACAACCCCTCTTGCTTCTAGAATCTTCCTCAAAGCAAAGGAAGCGGAAATGATGAGTGACGGCTACGTGTGGATCGTAACCAGCGGTATCATGAATTTGTTTTATTCACTGGACAACCCACTCATTGTAAAGTCTATGCAAGGAGTTCTTGGTGTAAAACCCCTCGTTCCAAGTTTGCCTACACTCAATTCTACAACTATAAGGTGGAAGAAAAAGTTTGCAGAGATTAATCCAGGAATTACTGTACCACAAGAGATCAACCTTTATGGGTTGTGGGCATACGATACCTTAAGCGCATTGGCTCAAGCTGCTGAGAAAGTTGGATTTAGGGAGCCAAGTTATTTGCAGAACACAAGTGCTCTTAACTCTACCGACATATTTATTACTGGAACATCACGAAGAGGTCCGATTCTTCGAGCAGCAATGTTGGAAACCGAATTCGAAGGACTCTCTGGGAATTTCAGATTGGTTAATGGGAAATTAGAGCCATCATCTTTTGAAATATTGAATGTAAATGGCATGGGGCTGACAAAAGTTGGAATTTGGAAACCAATATTGGAAAGTTCAAGTCGAAGGAACGCAAACACGACAGGTTTTATAGGTGATAAATTGGGGAATATTACATGGCCTGGAGGATCAAGCAATATACCAAAGGGATGGGAGGTTCCATTACGTGGTAAAAAGCTTAAAGTCGGAGTTCCATCAAAAGCTGGTTTTCCAGAATTTGTGAATACAAAGGATGCCACCAACATTACTGGATTATACATAGATTTGTTCAAGTATGTCACGGCAGAACTACCTTATGTCATTGAGTATGAATTTATCCCGTTTGAAATGAATAATGGCTCAGGTCGGAGCTACACTAATTTATCATACCAAGTATTTAATGGGGTAAAATAATTCATACCAAGATTGATTATCTTTTATTTGATAACTTGAATTTGCATTTTTCTTTTTATTTTTTTCCTGCTTGGCATGCCTTTTATTCATGTTCTTGACTTTACAGAACTTCGATTCTGCTGTTGGAGACATAACGATTACAGCAGACCGATCGGAATACGTTGACTTCACTCTTCCGATTGAACAAGGTGGTATTACCATGACACAAAAAAATGGTCAGAATGATTTTTTTTTTTTCGTGAAGCCCCTCGAACTTAAGCTATGGTTAACTGCCATAGCATTGTTCATTTTCACTGGACTGGCTCTGTGGATTCTCGAGCATAGGTTAAACTCAGATTTCAGAGGTCCCGTATCAGAACATATTGGTCTGATCTTTTACGTGCCCTTCATGTCATTAGTATTTTCCAACAGTGAGTAATTCTTATGTTCTAAATTTCTAATAACTAAACATACATTGGCTGTGTTTGTTGTTCACTTATAATAGATCATTTTTATATATATACTTGTTGTAGGGGAAAAGATAGTGAGCAATTTAGGTCGGCTGGTGTTAGTCGTGTGGGTGTTTGTTGTCCTGATATTGACCGCGTTTTACACAGCAAGTCTTTCGGCAAAATTTACAATTATCAAGCTTGATCATAATACCGATTCAGAAGTAAGTAAGCTTATTAGAAACAAAGAATATGTTGCATGTCGCAGTGGCTCTTTCGTTTGTGATTTCGTGAAAAGTCTGGGATTCAACGGATCCATGATCAAGAGTTATGAAACTGCTGATGAATTTCATGCTGCCTTCTCTAATGGTAGCATAACGGCTATGTTTACTCGTACTCCTTACAGCAATCTCTTCTTATCCACGTACTGTAACAAGTACGTGCAAGTTGGCTCAGCCTATCACACTGAGGGATTCGCCTTTGTAAGCGTTATTAATTTCTTGATTCAACATACATTCTGTCTTTCTGTATTTATACTTGTAACAATAATAAACAAATTGACAGGTATTCCCAAAGGGCTCGCCATTAGTTGCTGATGTGTCTCGTGCAATTATTAAACTGACTAATAATCACAATGTTTCGACAACAACAAAAAGGTGGATACCAGAGACGTGTTCGAAATATGATTCCTCCACGGAACCATGGAAAAACATCGAACTGAAAAAATTCAAATTCCTGTTTGGAATAACAGCGGGGATAACAGGGACCTGCCTTGTGGTTTTCCTAGCCACGTATTTGTACGAGAACAGAGATTTTGTTCAAAGGGTGTCTAGCTCCAACGCCACAGCTTGGTCCAAACTACGCTCGATTTCCATGCATTTCGATCGAAGAGACCCCAGATCTTTTCGGGGAAGTGGTGAATTTAATGCTTCGCCAAATCGAAACGTGCATCACCGTTGTTGTACTTGTAGCGCAGAAGGAACGCCCTTACGTGAAATGTAAGGGTGGTGTAGTTTGTTTCTGCTTGTGTGTTTGTTTTCTTTTCTTGACACGCGTACGACTTTGCTTGCTTTTTTTCTTTTGTTCAAGATTGTTAATTTCACTCCTGATTTTTTTTAGCTTTCGCCTATCGATGTCCTTGAAATTATTAATTACCGAGTAATTACCTATTGTTTCGACTGTTAACTCTATAAGAGATGTGTAACTATAACATAAATCTAAATATGATTCGACGATTCGTTGTCTAGTCTTCTTATCACGTAGTGTTCTACGTTACCAAATCAAACACATTATTTATAGTGTTATTCAAAACATTCTAAACAGTTGTGGAGTGGGTCATCAAGAACATACGTGGGAGTTCGTGCCAATCAATTTCGCTATCAAGAACCGAGTAATTTTACTTGACACATCGATAGCAACGGGGAGCATATTTTTCAAAACTCGACATCTTCTCTCGCAGTTTTTAATTTATTATTATCGGAGAATAATGAAATGTGGCTCCTCAATCATTACAAGAGCCATGTTAGATTTGCTGTTGACATTAATTAGTCTGGAAAACCTGGTTCTCAGACATCATTTTGAATTCATCAACATCATGGAATTAAAGAACAGTCAACCTCGAATATTTGCCAATAAATTAAAATTAAAAAAATAATAGAAAATGCTCAGAAACTGTCCTAATGCTATGGAGTTACAGAAGTAGTGATGCAGTATGTATCTATATTATTATTTAAATGTCTACCAAATATTAGGATATATGTTTTAATCTGAGTAGACTTCTAACAATTCAAGATAAAACTATGCCAATGAAACCTTCTCATTTATTTTTTATTTTTATATTTAATGAAACTTAATCAATTCAACTTAGTTTGCTTATTGCTTATATACGTGCATATACAGTACTGGATTGCCTGATCAGAAAACTATATCGAAACTGCCAAACACGAATATGCGTTTCTTCATCTCTCTCTCACTACTCGGTCTATTTCTGTCCTTGTGCAATGCACAACCAGATACTACCTTTCGAGTTGGTGTGATTCTTGATTCCGATTCCGCAACGGCACACATAGGCTATACCAGCTTGTCACTAGCTCTCTCCGATTTTTATTCAATTCATGCAAATTATTCGACAAGGATTGTGCTTTACCCAAGGGATTCTAAAGGGCTAGTCACCGGTGCAGCAAATAGTGGTATCAAATACTTCCCTTTTGCTACATACACATATATATTCACATACTTGCCTTTTGAGTTCAAATGCTAATTTTCTTTCGTCGACATCACACCGTTCTAATTTCGATCTATCGAATTTTCTAAACTTGCTTTACATATATAGTTAAGAAAGTAACCATAAGTCTGCGCGGATTGATCTCATATATGTTTTTTTTGTGTCCGCGTGTGTAAATGCAATAAGAGATTAATCAACTCACATGATTCTATACGATGGATGTATGCAGCACTCAATTTGTTGAAGGATGTGCAAGTTGATGCGATAATCGGTCCTCAAACATCTGCACAAGCAAACTTTGTAATCGGTCTTGGAGACGCAGCACATGTGTCGATCATTTCTTTCTCTGTGACAACTCCTTCTTTCTATCCTAAAGGCTCGTATTTCATTCAGACAGCCATAAACGATGCTGCTCAAGTTGATGCTATTGCAGCCATAGTTAAGTACTTTAAATGGTCTCAAGTAGTTCTCATATATGAAGATTCAGATTACGGTATTGGCATTACTCCTTACTTGGCCAACGGATTTCAACAAGTAAACGCTCGTGTTTCGTACAGAAGCATTATCGCCACATCAGCAACCGATGATTACATCCTCCTAGAGCTGTACAAGATGAAAACCATGCAGACAAGGGTGTTTGTGGTTCATACTTCGAGCCCTCTTGCTTCTAGAATCTTCTTGAAAGCAAAGGAAGCAGAAATGATTAGTGAAGGCTACGTGTGGATCGTAACCACGGGGATCTTGGAGTTCTTTAATCCAAACGATTCAAATGGTGTAGAGTTGATGCAGGGAGTTCTTGGTGTACGACCCCTTGTTCCAAAATCGATTACGCTCGATTCTACAACTATAAAGTGGAAAAAGAAGTTTGAAGATGATTATCCACGAGATCCTCAACCACCAGAGATTAACATTTACGGGTTGTGGGCATACGATACTTTGTGGGCATTGGCTACGGCTATCGAAAAAATCGGATTTAGGGAGTCGAGTCATTTGCAAAACACAAGTGCTTCTAACTCTACCTACATGTTTACTACAGGAACATCACAAACAGGGCCACAACTTCGTGCAGCAATGAACGAAACTAATTTCGTCGGTCTCTCTGGGAACTTCCATTTGGTTAACGGGAAACTAGAGTCGTCATCTTTCCAAATAGTGAATATAAATGGAACGGAGCTGAGAGAAGTTGGAATATGGACGCCACTATTGCAAAATTCAAGCCAAACGAACGCGAACATGACCGGTTTTTCAGGTGAGAAATTGGACGATATTAAATGGCCCGGAGGATCGAGGAACGTACCAAAGGGATGGGAGGTTCCGGTAAGTGGTAAAAAGCTTAGAGTTGGAGTTCCAGCAAAAGCTGGTTTTGATGAATTTGTAAAAGTCGAAAAGGATCCTCAAACAAACAGTAACAAGATAAGTGGACTGTACATCGATTTGTTTGATTCTGTCATGGCAGCACTGCCTTACGCAGTCCGATATGAATACATTCCGTTTGAAAATTCCGACGGCACAAATGCTGGGAGCTACGATGAGTTGGCACGTCAAGTTCTAAATGGGGTAAGATTGATAGATAGTACCAAGATTAAAAACTTGAATTTTGTATGCATGCATTCATAATATTTTTTTTTTTTGATAATTTATACATAGAAATTTGATGCTGCTGTTGGAGACATAAGCATCACAACCAGTAGATCAAAAGATGTTGACTTCACTCTTCCAGTTGAAGAAGGAGGGGTTACCTGGACACAGAAGGTTCAGTATGAATCTGAAACAACAAAATTCTTGAAGCCCTTCGAACGTAACCTGTGGTTAACTGCCGTAGCCCTGTTCATTTTCACTGGATTGTCGTTGTGGTTTCTCGAGCACAGGTTTAACGAAGCTTTCAGAGGTTCCCCGTCAGACCACATCAGCCTCATCTTTTACATCCCCTTCATGTCATTAGTGTTTGCCAACAGTGAGTAATTCTTGTATTCCTAATAACTATTTTATTGTCTGTTTTTTTGTTGTTGACTTGGTAATTATTTTCACAAATATAGGGGAAAAAATAGTGAGCAATTTAGCTCGACTGGTGTTAGCTGTCTGGATATTCGTTGTGCTGATATTGACGTCAACTTACACGGCAAATCTTTCTTCTATATTAACAGTACCCAAGCCTATATATACTAACATAACTGTAGCTGAGCTTGTCGAAAACAAAGACAATGTTGGATGCCTCGAAGGCTCTTTCATTATTGACTACTTGAAAAATCTGGGATTCCACGATTCCAAGATCATACGTTATAGAACCTCAGACGAATTTGATAATGCATTGACTAATGGTAGCATAAAGGCGTTGTGTTCTCGCACTGCTTACACTAATCTCTTCTTATCCAAGAACTGTAACAAGTACATGAAAGTCGGCTTCAATCTCACCGAGGGCATTGCCTTTGTAAGTATTACTAATTTCTTTCGATCCTTGTTTGTAGCTATAATATACATAGTGTGTAATAATCAGTGTTTCCAAAAAAAATAAAAAAATGACAGGTATTCCCCAGAGGGTCACCATTAGTTGCTGATGTGTCTCGTGCAATCGTTAAACTGACAGATAGCTTAAAAATTCCCAGAATAAGGGGACGTTGGATAAGAGAATCTGCTTGCGAAGATCAACCCGGTGAACACTCGACACAAATCCGCCTGAAAAGTTTCAAAATACTGTTTGGGATAACAGTGGGAATCACAGGGACTTGCATCTTGGTATATCTAGTCTCGTATTTCTACGGGAACAGAGATTTTGTTCGGACCACCATCTCCGATTCTGGCACAACAACTTGGTCCAAAGTACGTGCAATTTTCAAGCACTTCGATCAAAGAGACCCCAGATATTTTCCATCTAAAGAAGACAGCGAAATTAGTGCATCGCCAAGTCCACATGTACATCACAATCGTTGTTGCTGTCGTAGCACAGAATTTCAGGTTCAGTGGGATCAAGAAACGGCAAGCGAAAATGGAGCCGAGAGTCCAAATCCGGACCGCATAACTGCAGCTGCACATTAACTAAATTCTTTTCCAGCTGTGCGATTGTAGTACATATGGTCTTTTTCTGTCAGCATTTTGCTTGAGAACATCTGATTGAATGATGGAGTTCAAACCGTTTTTCCTATGACGGCTACAAACTTCTTTTGTGACGGCATGCTGGTTATATCTTTATGTGTATATATATGTGACTGTGTTATGATTGGGGTTGGTATTATGAATTGGTGAAGTAATCTGGCAAAAAGATTGTATTTTTACCAGATTTTTTATTTCAGCTGAGCAGAAAAACGAAAAATCAATTCTTCCAAGAGAAAAGTTTGTCGGAACCGAGTGCCGGTTAATAGGACTTAGAAAATGAAGAATTGCACCCCGATTCGATATTTTATCTGAAATCAGGTTAAAAACTAATTAGTTGGATTGTAAGGCTCTAAACAAATTCAAACTCTCAAATTACCATTATCGAACGGTTTTCTGCGATAGCAGACATGTTTATGTGCAGAAGAGCCACCTATTGACATTAAGCTATATCCTTACACAAATACTGAATATGATCGAATGCTGGTTTATTTATTGCAAGAAAAACTCATCACTGATTCATGACAACAACGCACTTAATTCTCGTTTCTTGAAATGAAAAGAAAATGCTGAGAAATTGTCCGAATCCTATGGACTTACAGAATGAGTGATACAAGATCTTCTATCTATATTTAATTGCCTACTAAAGAATAGGATATGTTATAATCTGAGTAGACTTTTACAAATTCAAAATAAAATTATGCTAATGAAACTTTCTCATTGATTTTTCCGTTTAACAAAACTTTATCGGTTCAACTTAGTTACTTGTTGCTTGTATATATGCATACACTGGATGGCCTCCTGATCAGAAAATACGATCAAAAATGCCAAACATGAAAATCCATTTCTCCATATTATTTCTCTCAGTACTTAGTCTATTTCTCTCATTTTGCAATTCACAACGAAATACTACTTTTCAAGTTGGTGTCGTTCTTGATGCCAATTCCACAAACGGACGCATAGGCATGACCAGCTTGTCTTTAGCGCTCTCCGACTTTTATTCATCTCATGCAAATTATTCGACAAGAATTGTGCTTCATCCACGCGATTCAGGACCCCAAGTCACCTTTGCTGCAGCTAGTGGTATATAATCCTTCCCTTTTGCTCCAATATTTTTGCTTCGTGTGGTTTGTATGACTTGTTAAAACTTCTCAGCTTTGATCTTCGAACTTTGTTTCTCGTAAAAAGATTAGATGCCAATCTTATCGTCTCCCATAGTTGATCAAACCATTCTTTTTCTCGATACTCTTGCTTGTTTTATGTTTGTGTGATGGTGTGTATAATCCAACAAGGTGATCGATTCGCACATGATTTTATACGATGGATATATGCAGCGCTCAATTTGTTGAAGGATGTGCAAGTCGACGCGATAATCGGTCCTCAAACATCTGCACAAGCAAACTTTGTGGCTGGTCTTGGAGATGCAGCGAAAGTGCCAATCATTTCTTTCACAGCAACAAGCCCTTCTCTTCGTCCTCAAACTCCGTATTTCGTCCGAACAGCCATAAACGATTCTGCTCAAGTTGAAGCTGTTGCCGCCATAGTTAAGTACTTTAGATGGCATCGAGTTGTTTTCATATATGAAGATACAGATTATGGTAATGGCATTATTCCTTTACTGTCTATTGCATTTCAACAAGTAAACGCTCGAGTTTCGTACAGAAGCGTTATCCCAGCCTCAGCAACCGGTGACTTCATCCTTCAAGAGCTGCACAATATGAAAAAAATGCAGACAAGGGTGTTTGTGGTGCATACTACAGCCCTTCTTGCTTCTAGAATCTTCCTCAAAGCAAAGGAAGCGGAAATGATGAGTGAAGGCTACGCGTGGATAGTGACCAGCGGGCTCATGAATTTATTTTATTCATTGGAACCGAGCGTTGTAGATTCTATGCAAGGAGTTGTTGGTGTAAAACCTCACATTCCAGGATCAAGAAAACTCAAGTCCACCACTGTAAGCTGGAAGAAGAAGTTTGTAGAGATTAATCCAATGATTCCTCCACCACGAGAGATCAACATTTATGGGCTGTGGGCATATGATACCTTGTCGGCATTGGCTATGGCTGCTGAAAAAACAGGATTTAGGGAGCCAAGTTATTTGCAGAACACAAATGCTCTTAACTCTACCGACATATTTATTACTGGAACGTCACAAACAGGTCCAAATCTTCTGGCTGCAACGTTGGATACTAATTTTACCGGACTCTCCGGGAATTTCAGATTGATTAATGGGAAACTAGAGCCATCATCTTTTGAAATATTGTACGTAAATGGAACGGAGCTAACACAAGTTGGATTGTGGAAACCAATATTGCAAATTCCAAGTCAAATGAATGCGAACATAACGGGTTTTGCAGGTAAGAAGTTGAAGAATATTACGTGGCCGGGAGAATCGAGGAACGTACCAAAGGGATGGGAGGTCTCAGCAAGCGGTAAAAAGCTTAGAGTTGGAGTTCCAGCAAATATTGGTTTTCCACAATTTGTAAATGTAGAAAAGGACAATATCACTGGATTGTACGTAGATTTGTTCAAATATGTCATGGCAGCACTACCTTACACAGTCGAATATGAATTTATCCCGTTTGAAATATCTAATGCCTCAACGGCGGTTCAAACATCTAACGCCTCAAGTGCGGGGAGCTACGATGATTTGTCCTACCAAGTTTTCAATGGGGTAAAAAGTAATTAAGATACCAACATTGATAAAACTGAATTTGAGTTTATTCTCATGTCTTGACACTTGATTTTTTTTTTTTTTTTTTTTTTAATGTTTTCTGACATTTCAGAACTTCGATGCTGCTGTTGGAGACATAACGATCACATCTGCGAGATCAGAATATGTCGACTTCACTTTCCCGATTGCACAAGGAGGGATTACCAGGACACAGAAAATCCCGCATGATGACGAAAACAAGGGTAAATATTTTTTCGTGCAGCCCCTCAAACGTGAATTATGGTTAACTGCCATAGCCATGTTCATTTTCACTGGAGTGGCTATGTGGATTCTTGAACATAGATTTAACAGAGATTTCAGAGGCCCCCCTTCAGAACACGCCGGCCTAATCTTTTACATCCCCTTCATGACATTAGCATTTGCCAACAGTGAGTAATTTCAGAAACACACACACACACATATATATATATATATATATATATATATATATATATATATATATATATATATATATATATATATATATTGATTAATCCTTGTATATATATATACTAATAACTAATTAATATATACATGATGCTTGTGTAGGGGAGAGAATAGTGAGCAATTTAGCTCGACTGGTTCTAGTCGTTTGGGTATTTGTTGTTCTGATATTGAGCTCAACTTACACAGCAAGTCTTTCGGCAATATTTACAATAAACAAGCTTGACCAAAACGGTGATTCAGACGTAAGTAGGCTTATTAGAAATGGAGACTACGTTGGATGTCGCGAAGGCTCTTTCATTTATGAGTTTGTGAAAAGGCTAGGATTCGACGAATCAAAGATTAGGACGTACAAACTTCCACAGGATTTTCATATTGCATTGGCTAAAGGAAGTGAAAATGGTGGCATAAAGGCCATGTTTTCTCGCACTCCTTACACCGATGTCTTCTTATCCATGTACTGTAACAAGACGTACATGAAAGTTGGCTCAACCTATTTTACGGAGGGCTCTGCCTTTGTAAGTATTAATTTCTTTCTCAGCCTCTGTCTATATTTATTTTGTTGATGTATACTTGTAATAATGATGATCATAATAACAATTATTATTATTCTTTTGAAAAAAAAAATTGACAGGTATTCCCCAAGGGCTCGCCGTTAGTTGCCGATGTCTCTCGTGCTATCATCAAACAGACAGACAATCACAATATTTCGAAAACAAATGAAAAAGGGATAGAAAAGACGTGTGGTGAATATGATCCCGACTTTTGGCAAACTGTCGAATTGAAAAGCTTCAAAGTACTGTTTGGAATAACCGCGGGAATCACAGGGACTTGCCTTGTGGCATTTCTATTCTCGTATTTCTACAAAAACAGAGATGTGGTTAGGAGGATCTTCTCAAACTCCGAAACCACAACTTGGTCCAAACTAAACGCAATTTCCATGCATTTCGATCGAAGAGACCCTAAATCATTTCGTTTTTGTATTACATTTGTTAGTATATTGAAGCCCTAACCTATTGGTTTGAATCATTATTCTTTTTCACGGGTCAATTCTATGCGTAATCTACCCATTTTCGACCTATAATTTTTTTTCGTTAATTAACCAACGACTGACTCGTTCAATGTACAATTGAGTCGGTTGGTAGTTGCTAAAACCTTAAAAAGTCGGTTAGCACATAACAGCCGATCAACCGACATTTTATCCAAGGCTTTTTAATATTTTTAGTTAATTATATCAACCATTTTTTTAACTCTCGGTATTTAAGAAAAAAAGGAAAGTAAAACCTATATTACAGAAAATAATTATCAATATTAATAAGAACTCGATAACGAAGATCTTACATCGATCGCGTGCATGCCAACATCATACAGCACCTCCGAAAGCATCCAAATTGTAGAAGATCACTAGATTTTGCCATTCGGTTCCAAATCTAAATTTCAATGTGGAATTGCGTCGGGTTCCCATAATAGCAAATCCACCACACAATTTAATTTACCTTAAAACTGAAAACAAATGGTATATTTCTTTATCTCCATTTTCTGTTCTTACCCCAATTTATCTATTAATCCATCAACTTCACCATTCTCACAATGAAGGAAAAATAGGGTAAAATTCAATTTTGTCCCTGAGCTTTGCATTCAAAAGCAAAATCATCCTTGTGGTTTTAATTTCCTTCAATTCCGTCCCTGCAAGCCAATTTATCCGCCAAAAATTAACATTTTTTCATGAAATCCCCACATTACCCTTACAACATTACCCTTACAAAACCTGAGGGGCTAAAATGAATTTCAGCCAACAACCCACCTTTTTTAAATGGTCGTTTGAAATTCGACCGTTAGGTGTACAGGACAAAAAATTTGTATAAAATCCATGAACAACACTAAGAAACATGGAAAAAAAAACCAAAAGAAAAAATCCATTTCTATACTAAATCTCTGGGAAAAAAAATGCAATCTTCAAATTCAACTGACAACAACAAAATTAATGGAGAAGCTATCAAATTCAAAATTCGAATTTGTTTCGGTGGAAGAAAGGCAGTTAAAATATTTGAATCTACACTTAATCTCCACAAACTCTATTTTCATTGTTACACCAAGAAGTGTGTGTAAGTTCTACACATTTTGGGAGCCAGATGAAGATGAAGTAAGGATATAAGCACTGCAAGCATTTGCTGAAGAAATATCTATGAGTAGCAACAACCAAGCAACTCCTAAAACACCTTTAGCCACAATGGAAACTAGCACTACACAGTCCACATTTAGCTCTATGAGTTTGGAAATTCTTAAGATGATTACATATTCAACATGTGTCTGTTTACATGCTCAATTTTTGCTCTTGTAGCTTCCGTAAAATTGTTCAAGTATTAATGTCTAAATACTCTCTGATTACTGTAGTAAATGCAATCATCAATGAAATATTGGAAGTAATAAATCAACTGCAATGTTTCTAAGCAATTGTTTCATAATTAAAGCAACAAAATGAGTCATATCCAATTTCAATCGTATCCAATAAAAACCATTTGATTACAAAAAATCAAACTAACAACGAAATAGGCTATTCGTATCCAGCAAAAATCATCTAACAGAAATCAAACTAACAAAATAGGCCAAATTCAGTTAAAGATAAAGTGACCTAACTAAAATCCATAAAGACAAAAACACTAATTCAAAAATACTTTGTTCAATTACCTTAAAAACGATAAAAGCCTCTGCCATTGTCTACACTTGAAATTTGAGAACCAAGATCCTGCAAATTAAGAAAAAAAAAAAGAATTAGAATGATCAAAATGACTGAAGTAAGTAATACATGTTATGTAGTGGATTGCCATGACACTTGGATTGGTACAATATATGCATCCCTCCTTCTACAAGTCCTCATGTTATGTCCAACTTCTCTGCAGACCTTGCAAGTGCCATGAACTGACCTTTTGTGTACCTTAGTTGCCTCATTAAGTTCTCTTATTCTATTTACTTGCAATCTGCCTTGTTTAAATGCTTTATGTTTTATCTTGTGAACTGGAGGCTTCAATGGAGGAATCTGAGTGTTGGTTGGCCATTTAGACTCATCGGAAATAGCATTGATCATACCACTGTAGGTTCTCAAATAAGTTTCTTTAATCAAATAAGGACTGACATAGTCTACTGGATCATATCTAATGTACAAAATGCAATTCATTGCATATTTACATGGCACTCCACACACTTGCCATTCATTACATTGACAAGTCTTCACCGACAAGTCTTCACCAAGTACTCAGAAGCAGGAATTGCCAAAAATGTCTTCACCAAGTCTTTGATTTTTTCAACCTTTGCATTCACATTAGGGGGTAACCTAGTCTGCCAACTCAGTGCCTCTTGTTGCCTAGTAAAAAACCACTTCATGACCTTTGTCCTATACCACTTCAATATAGACATCACTAGTTTCTGCCTCATTTTCCCCATCCAAGCATTGAATGATTCTCTCATGTTATTTGTAATGTAACATGATCAACCTTTGTAATTCTATCAAATCCATGTTTTGTCTGATATATGAGATAAATTTGCAATCCACAACGATGAAGACAGTCAATTTAATTGGAGTATATATTGCTTTAAGATTGGAGGATGTCGCTTAAATGTAAGCAAAAATCTATGTGCCACAGATTTGGTTGATGCTGAAAATATTGGTGGTAGCAAATATTTGACAATGTTCAGCATTTTAAGGAGATTCTTGTCAAATACACAAACAATACAAGAAGGTATAAGGCTCATCTGATTTCATACAATGCGCATACAGATAGACAAAGTTTACATTGCTTCGTCTCAACTTGATCAAACAGGCATATCAGCGTATGCTTCAAGGACAAGTTCCCTGAGCCTGTCGAGCCTGAGTAAATTGTTAACTGCAGCAGCAGGTTTAACCATTTTAGTGAGAGAACGGACAGATACACACACACACACACACACACACACACACACAGGAAGAGGGGATGATTTTACCTCCAGAGATGTCATCATCATCGGAATCACTATCATCAGAGCTCGTTGCTGCACTTTTCTGCATGGGAACAAATAGACCTAATAGTATCAGATAATAAAACAACCAAAAGTTCAAAGATTTTATTTTGAGTTGGAGTAACTGAATGCACCTAAATACATAAATACACTTGGTCACACATATTGATCAAGTCAACAAGAAGTTGAATCGATCGCATTATTAGGAGTCTTATTTTGATTTGGGATGCAAAATTGACGAATCATAATACATGCAGAATGAGGAAAACGAAATTGCAAAAGCAAATGAAAACAAAGAGTTTGAAAATCGTAAGCATGCTTCTTTCAAAAGGAGAACAGCAATGAAAAAGGATTTTTGAAAAAGGATTTTTGAAAAACTCATTTCTTCACTTTTGTTTGGTAGCGAGACTTGAAGAAAACTCATTTTTTCGTCGTTTTCGCGTAATATTTTTTCCTCTAAAATACTTTACCTAAGTAAATTGATATAAAAATTCCAAGAACATCCTCGCCATCATTTTGAGATTTTCTTTCCTAGAGTAATCAGCATCATGCCGCAGTAAGAATATGGATTTATCCTATAAATTAAGAACAAAAAGTAAGCATATCTTGAAGTGAATACCTTGTCTATTGCGGTCTGATCTTCCTCAGCACCCTCGTCTCCAGCTACATTAGATACTTTCTCGGAAAGCATTTCCTTAGCCATTTTAACCAATGTGAAGAATATTGTCTGACCGAGAAGTTTAGCGGCCTGTGACATAAAAAAACTTTGAAATAGCTTGCATTGTGGAATAACTTATGGATGAGATAAAAATTATAGCACCCAATTCTGTTGAATAAGAACATAAGGTTATCATTAATAAATCTGACCATGACCAATATATATTCAAGGTAAACACTTCAAACTAGTACATGCAATCAGAGAAACTCGTTCGACGTAAGCTTTATAGAGCTAGCTTTCATATCCTGTAGTTTGAAAGGAAAAGAAACCAGTACCAAGATACACACATTTAGCAAAGTGACAACAGGGGTTTAAAGGACTTTACCTCTTGTTCAAGCTTTTCTTTCAGAACTTTAAGATCGCTCGTTTCAATTCCTTTCAAACTGAGAACAAAAAATGATGAAGTTTTAGATGGAGAAAAGTTCAAAACCAAATGTGTGAGAATTCGGCAAAGTATGCTTGCATTATTAACCAAAAATCTTTAACTCTAGGTCAAAAAAAAATCCAAACCAACGCATAAAACAGCAAATAAAGTTTAGCAGTTCTGAATATTGCCTAAACCTACCTCTACTCAATTAAATGATGAAGCATATTTTGACCCTCTAAACTCGAAAGGGTTTTACTTTTGGATATTACTATTTTAAAGAAGAAACACATATCTAGAACCGAACATCCAAATTAATAAAAAATCTATCCCAAACATGTTATATAGTACAGCGAGAATTTACTGATTATAAGAAAGTGAATAAAAGGCTGTCCAAAACAGACATCTAAAACATGGCTTAGAATATGATAGAAGTAACCTTATCAAATTGAGAAGTGGAGTTTCGTCGCTGATAATATTCCGGGAGCGAGAAGATGAATTCCACTATAGCTGCAAGAAAAGAATTTGACGAGGCCTATCAGTTCTAGCAGAAAAAGCAAGAGCTAACAGAGTTCTTGACAAGAACAACATTGCACAGACTCTTAACCTGATGGATTAGTTGGTTCATCATCCTGGTAGAAATACAGAAGAAATGAAAAACATGAGATGAGAGATAGGATTAAAAAAGCAAAAATATACAGTCAATTTTAATGCTTAGAATGTGTTTACCATGGGAGAAATTTTTAACATGAAGCAACGGTCTGACGTGTTTAAGCGACCTGCACTAGAAAGGATTTCTGGTAAAAGGATTTAATTTAGCTAGTAAGGTTCCGGTACTTGACGAAAACCTATTAAGAAACTCAAGATAAATATGTGAGTGCATGAACATACGAACCTTTCAATTCATCAGTAAACATACGAAGTCCTTCAATTTCACTGTCCTGCTCAGGCTTATAGTCTGTCCCGAGCATTGTCAAAAAACCAAGATGAATATAACTTAAAATAAGATTTGGTATACAGTACAAAATTAATGTATGATTTAAATTTAGATCTTACCACGTATCGCAAATCCAGCCTCTTTGGCCTCCCAGGGAAGAGCTGTCTAACAGTATGACCATTCAACTCATATAGTCGAGAAGGATGCAAATTTCCCACCATCTTTCGAGCTATCACGTCTATGTAGTACCTTACCCAATGGCAGAATGATCGAAGAACACTTCTAACAGAGAAAAGAGACCAGAAACTAGAGGTGATAAGGTCTTTGACTCAAAAACTTAAGACTCGTAAATTGGAGAAAAAGATGTCAGACAAGCGTCTGGCCAACCTCAAAACCTCTGATGACGAAAGGATGTTGCCTGATGCAGTTCGTATGGATCTAAGCAAAGTACGAAGGTATGATTGTTGATTGCAAACGAAAAATTGAGTTTATTGAGCTGGAAATAAGGGAAGCTGAGAGTAACGTGATTCAAGTATTCAGAGTTTGGACACTTCGACTTTAAGACATGAAATGATAGGTCACGAATGGTATGTTTTAGAAGGGCTGAAGCAGTATCAGACCGATACTTGGATAGAGATCTGAAATTGCTCACATTGAAGCCATTAGATTGATGACCATTCAACTCGTATAGTCGAGAAGGATGCAGATTTTCCAAGCCCATCTTTCGAGCTATCACGTCTATGTAGTACTCTCGATCTACACAGTCTGAGGGGAAAGTAAACCGAATTTTCTTTTTCCAACCCATATCCCACATCAATCTAAGAGTTTCAATCTCCGCAAGTTCAGAGGTCTCCAATTTACGAGTCTTAAGTTTTTGAGTCAAAGACCTTATCACCTCTAGTTTCTGGTCTCGTTTCTCTGTTAGAAGTGTTCTTCGATCATTCTGCCATTGGGTAAGGTACACAGCGTAAAGCATGCGTTTGATGCATTCCCCAATCTCAGCCCAACTAGTTTCCATTATCTAAACAAGAAAAAATAGTGTCACACATACAGAACAGAGAGACATATGCATTGATAATAAATTATAAACAGAAATATATGAAGGCAATTGATAAATTCTATATCTGGAACACAAATGCCAAAGTATTGGCTATTCAGAAAACAGTAGAGACACGGATTTTCAAGGAATTGACATGTTAAAAAACTCATGCCAAACAGCAAGAGTTGTTAACAATCTGTTATGGTTGAGCTGTTAAAAACATCTAACTAGCATACCTCATTTTCTTTCACAAGTAATAGCTTCAGATATGAGAGTCATCATATCATATCAAGTAAAATGAGAGGGGGTGGTTCTGTAGGTATGCTAGGGATGATTCTCTGATATGGAAGGCTATCTTGAATGGAATTAGATCGTGTCTATATAGAATGAGATTCAATGATTTATGGTGAAGGCTACGTTGGATAAAAAGAGCACAGATTGGCAATACAAGTACATCAGAAACTTTGTTAATTTTGTTTTTACAGGCCATCTAACTTGAAGGATGTAAATTTTGCTTTAACAAATGAAATGCAGCAAAAATAAATTTAAAAAGAAAAAGAAGAACTAGATATGCTACAAGCAGATCAACTTCTCAGGCTCTTATTTCTCATAGTAATGTAACTAAATAAATATGTAAAAACAAAAAAAAAAAAAAAATCACAACAAACCTTCATTCATTTCCTTGGGTTTTGTGTATCTGGATCGACTTTATGCTTGTTCATCTCCATGTTTGAATGAAGAAATCTGTCAAAATATGATATTTTTACCATCGTGTCTGAATTGGCGAGAAAGAGGACTCGAATTAGGTTTGATCTTTTTATTCGTTTGGTTACCGTATCTTCTTGCCCTGGGCGCGAAGCCATGGAGACGAGAGTGAAATGCAGCCGTAGATGGATGATTACGCGTCGGAAAGTGGAGCTAGAGAGAGAAAGAAAGAGGTAGACAGAGAGAGAGAAAATAGGCTGAGGCGGTGAGAGGCAGTAGAATTTCGGCTTTTGAGATCCTGCACCGGGTGAAATACACCGGGTAGATCTTTACCATTAATATTAGGGGTGGGCATTTGGGTCGGGTCGGGTTATTCGGGTTATTCGGGTCGGGTTATTCGGGTTTTTTGCAAAAAAAATATTACCCGAACCCGACCCGAGATAACCGGGTACCCGGCAACCGGGTACCCGGTTATTTCGGGTCGGGTTCGGGTCGGGTTCGGGGTTTTGCTATTTTTTTTTTTTTTTTTTTTTTTTTATTCTTTAGTTTTATAATTTGCTAATTACATTAATATAAAAACAGGAAGTATACATAGATGTGGATGAAGATATTGAAACATTCGAGCTACATGATTTCAGTGAATTTTTCACAATTTCGACTGCATTTGATAGTAAAGATGCACTAGTCGAGTGGGCGATGAATATGGCCATCAGTCATGGACATGAGATTAGGCGACAGTCTTACCACGAGGGCCGACAATATTTGACTTGCAAAAGAGCCTATAAGAGTCGAGGAAAAAATGCAGAGGTCGAAACAAGCCGGAAGTCCGGTTCAATAAAGTGTAAATGTCCTTTTGCGCTATGGGGTAAAGAGGGTCGTGATGGATTATGGCGTCTTACCATCAAAAATGGCAAGCACAATCATAATCCTCATAAATATCCACAAGGACTACGTTCGCTAAGTCGCCTTACTGAAGAGCAACGAGAAGTGACAAAGATACTGAAAAAGAGCCATGTGAAGCCGAAGGAAATTTTGCATCATCTGAGGCAGATGAATCCGGATACGGCTGCGTCCTTGAGAGAAGTGTACAATGAATCACAGAAAATTAGACGAGAGGAAATGAAAGGAAAAACAGTTATACAACATCTGTGGCACGAACTAAGTGAGAGTGGATACAACAAATGGCATCGAACAAATCCAGCTGGTGATACAGTGCAAGACGTTATGTTTGCGCACCCTGATTCAATAAAGCTTTTGCAGTTATTTCCATACGTCATCCTGATGGATTGTTATTTCCATACGTCATCCTGATGGATTGCACGTACAAGACTAACAGGTAATAATTATTTAAATGTGTATTACATTTATTATATATATATATAAGAGTTGACTAAATTATAATTACCTTCATGTAGATATGAAATGCCTCTTTTGGAGATCATTGGGGTTACTCCCGTGGGAAGGAACTTCACTATTGCCGTTGCTTTTATGTCACGTGAAGATGGGGACACTTATGCATGGACATTGCGATGTTTGCGAGACATATTACCAATCGGGATAGAACCAGAAGTGATACTGACAGATCGTGAGCTGGGCCTACTGAAAGCATTGCCAAACGTGTTTCCACGTTCGCATCACATGTTATGTTTATATCACATAAACAGAAACGTTGAGGCAAACGCGTCAAAATTCTTGGGTAACACCAAGTTGGGATGAAAGCGACATCGTGGAGCGTGATCGTCATCTCGCCCCATGGCATGTGGAAACTGTTCGTTTCCGGCTGCCACCTCTCCACGAAAGCTAGCATGAGGTTCTTGTTCATCCTCTTCAGAAAACAGTCTCGTAAGTGGTAAAGACATGTTGCCTCCAACCTCGCAATCATCGTGTTATCCTGCGGGCCGCGGTAGTCCTCGAGTGCTTTGGTCCTCGACTCGCACCGTGTAGTTTCACGGCGCTCCTGAAAAATATTGCATGTATTGTTAGCTAAAAAAAATGAATAATATAAGAATTATGTAAAGCACGTGTTGACAGAAAAACTTACATATCCTTCCCAAATGTACATCGCTATATGCGACTTGAACCATCGCATAAACTCTAAATTTTGCGGCCCTCCCTCGCACGGACCCTCCAAGTACGCAGGACCAGGCAGCTGCGGAAAGGGTAAGGCACGACCACCTCTACGATCCTGAAATGCATCTGCTGGCCCATCATCTTCCTCCATCTCCTCGTCAGTATCCATATTATCGTCGTCGGCATGTGGCAATGTACAGGGTCCGGCTCCAGCTGCAACAGCTTCTCGTCTCAGTCTCTCTTCTTCCCGCTGTAACGCTACTTCTCGAGCTAACTGCTTTCTTCTACGCGCGGAAGCAAGGACATCTCGGTCTCCAATGCGATCCGGATCTTCCGGATTGTCCCCCTTCCCACTCAAGGCTTTCATTAAGCTCTTGCCTTTACCGGCAACTTGACTCATAAGACTTTTCCCCCGACCTCCTGCCATCTACATTTTAAATAAGCACTTTATTAATATTTCATATAATAAAAAAAAAGAATTTAAATAATGAAAAAAAAAAAGTGCTCGCATGTTTTTGCACGAGCACACCTTCTAATTAAACTAATTAATTTATTAAAAAAAAAAAAAAAAAAAAAAAAAAAAAAAAAGAAAAATTTGTTGTGCTCGTGCAAAAACATGCGAGCACTTTTTTTTTTTCCTAATTTAAATTCTTTTTTTTTCTTAAATGAAAAATTAATAAAGTGCTTATTAAAAATGTAGATGGCAGGAGGTCGGGGGAAAAGTCTTATGAGTCAAGTTGCCGGAAAAGGCAAGAGCTTAATGAAAGCCTTGAGTGGAAAGGGGGACAATCCGGAAGATCCGGATCGCATTGAAGACCGAGATGTCCTTGCTTCCGAGCGTAGAATCAAGCT